AAACAAAAAAGTAAATCAAATTATCAAAATTTATTTTCAATATTATATAAATTATCAATAGAATAATTGAATAAAACTTTTATTTTTAATACAATTTGTATATAATAATTCAATATCGGAAACAATATAAATCATTCTGAATTATATCAATTATAGATACAAATTAATTATATATTACAAACCAAAAATTATAAAAATAGAAAATTAATTTGTAATAATATAAACAAAAAGATTCAAAAAAATCTATAAAAAAATAATAATAGAATTGAAATTCATTATTGAAAAAAATATATATTATTACAATTAGAAATATAATTAAAAGTTAATATTAAAAAAGAAAGATAAAGTCTACTTATTTCGAAAAAATATCGAAACAAAAAGATTTAATACAAAATTGGATTACAAGAAACTTGGATTATTTAAAATCAAAAAAATTAAAGGATCCTTGAATTATAAATTAGTATTATCAAAGAATATAAATATATATTCAATATTTTATATATCCTTATTCGAATTAACATTTTTAGAAATATTTAAAACTTCTAAAATAAAAATTATATTTACAAATCAAAATGTTAAATACAAAATGAAAAGAATATTAAATTATAAATATATTAAAAACAAAATCAAATATTTAATAAAATAAAAAGATTATTTTGATTTCAAAAATATATAAGAATTCAAGAAAGAAATTAAATATCTAAAACAATTCCAGGAATTTCATCGATAGAATCCGGATTTATCCAAAAGGAAGAAGAATTCATCGTTTTCTATAAAAAAAGATCAAAAGAATCGAAATCGTTTATAGGATTTTTATTGAAGTTAATAAAGTCAATTGGTAATTGATCAAATTGATCAAATTGATTAAATTGATCAAAGCTTAATTAACCAAATTGATCAAATTGATTAAATTGATTAAAAAGATCGAAAAGAACAACAGATATAAAGAATATAACAATTTCCTGTTTCTTTTCTTTTCTTTCTTTTTCTTCTAAAATATCAAGCTTATCTATAGAATTCAAATCAATTATAATCATCTTCTATTTTCATTTACAAAGAAACTTTTGTTATTTATTAAAACAAAGAATTTACAATATCGCTTCATCCTTCTCTATATTTATATATTCGATCTAAACATCAATAATTTCTCAATCAAAAACAAAAAATATTTTGTTCAATTCATAAACATTATATGATTTATTAAAAATAATACAACAACTATAACAACAATATTTGATATCACAAAAAGAAATATATTTGATATCAACATTTTCATATCAAATATAAAAAACTATCTTCTTTTTAATCAAATTAATTTCTCATTTAAAAGCTTTATAATCGATACAGAATTGAGAACGAATAAATAGTATAATAAAGAAATAATACTCGAAATAAATTATACAAAGAATAACATTTCTTTTCAAATTTTATAAATAATCGAGAACGATATTTAATCAAAATAAAGATAATATTACAATTCACAGTTTTCTTTATAGTAATATTATTGATATCAATGATTTATATATCAATTACAGAAAAAATATAATTTAACTATTGTTTTCGAAGATCCTGATTACCTAAACCTAGAACCCCAGAATTCCTAAAATAAGTATTCTAAACAATTATAATAGAATAAAACAAATATCCTATCTAATTGATTATAATAGGATTATTATCCTAAAAGATATCGTATCTTAAGATTATGATTCCTAAAAGGAAAGCTCCTAAAACAAATGTTTCAGAAAAAGAAAGGCTTTGGGATATAAAAGGCCTCAGGATCAATTATATAATATATTAGCTCTACTAGTTAGTTAACAAAGTTAGCATTACAAGAATACTAGTTATACTAGCTAGCTAGTATAACTAGCAAAGGAAAAGAGATTAGTATATAATCAGAATAGTTTCATAGTTTAGAAGCTTCGTACTCAATTTAGTTATCAATTAGTTTATCTACATTCCAATTGATCTAATAATATATTTATCTTCGAATAGATAACCAATGATTATTAATCTTAACCCACAACTACCAACCAGACGAAACCCTGAGGCAGCCGCTGCCTCAACCAGAGCGTTACAGGTTATATAATTGATTAATTAAAACCTTTATATATTTGGTCTATAATTCCAACTTTCTCACAATATATGATCTGATAAAATTACTTTTGTTATAAAGAGTAACTTTTGAATAGGGCTAGGTGCAAATAAACTAATGTCCCAGTGGCATATAGGTAGGTGGCTCTAAGGGTGCTAAGGGTACCCAAGGTGATCCATTCACGGGTGACTAAGGGGTTACTGAAGATACTGGCGATGCTGCAAATACCGACGTCTGAGGGAAGGTATATTGCTAGCATGACCTTGAAGATGGTATAGCAATCAGTTGAAATCACATGGCTTATATAGTTGGCTGGACCCCTCGCGCTGGTGATTGGAAATGCTTTAGACCCCTAACTCGGAACCTCGTAATTTCCTAATGATAAACCCTTCAATTAAGAATTTGAAGGTAACTGCGATAATATGTATCCCCAGTGGAGGAGGTGGTCAAAGTGATGCAGCCCGAAAGCGAGGAATTGAGGGAAGCCATGCATACGCCGGCCTGTCAATGATCTCCGAAGAGTAGGGACTGCTGCGTGGTGAGTGATAGGTTGTTTTGTTTTAACATAAGGTCAGAACTGTTTCAAATATTGCCGTCCATGACAAGCAAAAATCAGAATTAAAAAAACTACTAAAGTTAAAGTTGGTAGAAACGAAGGTTGATAAACTATTCAATCAAGTATGCTGCTGTTCAATGAACCGGGTATTCCCCCTCCTCTTTCCAAAAAAATTAACTCGAACTATCGAGAGCCTTGCCAAAGATAAATGCTAATCAAACCTTCGAGGGTAACTCTTCGCATTCAGGAAGAGCTTATTGAGATCAACAAAAATTGACCATGAGAAGATAAGACATAATGTATAAAGCTCTTGAACCGTTTAACGGATCCAAAAAGAAGGGATGTAAAGGCAAACAAGAATTAAATGAACAAGAGCTAATGGAGAAACAGATGAATGGTGAGTACGATTGACTAATACTTTCAATTTAGAAAAGGGTGACATGATTATGAATGAAATGCGGTCACCGCCTTCAAGAAACAGCAGGAAACTAGATGACTAGATATATCCCTATTAGATGACTCCCTATCTGCGTCGAAGTATTACCATGACCCGGGAGAGATACCGATACTGCTTTATTATGACGAGACAATGTAAATAACCAGTAAAGGATAGCTAGTATGTATATCGCAAACCAAAAGTTTGATGTTGAATGTTCAATCACCTCGAATTCATACAACCTGGTCTGGGCTTTTAATATTGATTGAAAAAGTGCAAGTGCTATCATGAGCTACAAGTATCTGTGACAATGATGTGGGTTGCAGGGTTGGTAGGGGAAGAGAGAAAAGGAATTTCGAGGATGATATGAGCACTCTGGTTTATTATATATGTATTCAAATAGCATTGATGGTGAAAAGAAAGAAAAAGAAACACCCTTCCCATCAATCACGTGCCTCTTTTTCATTTTTCCATTGTCCGACCCAGAGAGACAGACAGACAGACAGACAGACAGACAGAAGACAGACACATAGATACACAGCCTCACCTCATCCCTCTCTCCATATTAAGAAAAGCATCTTATGTCACCTCGTTTCTCTCCTTTATCTAATCAGATCATCTGGTTCATCTTGTCCCAACCAAACAATCACAAGCTCCGTTCACGGAACCCCCTTTCCCATTTTCACCATCTGATAAAGCAGCATACTGATGCATCCATTCATGCATCCTTCTACTGCGCAGTCGGTCCACTGCTAGATCCGTTCGATGCATACATCAATTCATCATTTGTCGATCAAAACTCGCGATTAAAATCTAACACTCGTACCCAACTGTAGGATTACATTGATTCCCGCCTGACGCGATTATGTATTTGAAGTTAGGGTATGTATGTAGTGTTGGCGATGGCGAAAGTGTTTTACTTGTGGATAAGATGTTGAATGTTGGTTATTGGTTATAAGTGGATACGGAAAAGAATATCTCGTGTCGTCTTTCCTTTATTCTGCTTGATGCTATCTTCAAACTTCAAACTTGCATAGGAAACAATCATAAAGCATAGAAAAGAAAGCTAATGCAAGAAATCATCAACTTGGTGCAGGGAAGAAAATTTACAGTTATCAGATCCTGCGGGCTGCAGCGTAATCAAGCCAATCTGATAGAGAGATTTCCCAACAGTGGGATAAGGTGATGGATCACAAGATCTAATCTGATTCATCTAATCTGATCTTTTTCCCGGTTGCTTTTGGATGCCCTGGTACAAATGAGTAACGTTAACTTTTGATATACCGAGTAAGGGTTGCCGGCTACTCTTCTCCACCTCCTTTTTACTGTGATCATATCATTCATCATGTCAGACAGACCAAGCCACCGATCGCTTTCATGAAGCCCACCTTTCGGATCAGATAAGTAAAATCGTCAAGGCTCATGACAAGGAGCTTTCCACATTCCACCGTGGAGATTGTGTTAGCCTTGAGTAGTACTCTTATTATGTCCGGAAAGATCAAGACCGCTCCAGTTGGACTTGATTTGGAAAGTTCTCGAATCGAAGACTTTTAGCAGGTAAAAGAAGAGATTTAAGACTTGATGATATTTCGCTAAGTTGATTCTATATGCGGAAGATGTACAAGATGGAATATATATAATACAATAGAATATGTAAATGTTAATAATATAATCTATATCGGAAATAGAAAAGAGAATATATTTATTTATACTATTGAAAGTCCTGATGATGTTTTGACGTTTTTATCTTATCATCTAATTTTATAACTTTTTACTTGGAGGATTTGCTATTATTCATGCTTTCATTATTTGTTTGAAGGGATCGTCCCGATATTTTACTTCTAGCTGATCAATCCCGGTGTCGGCCGAGGTTCGTTCTGCTTCAAATTCGACCTAATGCCTTCGACCGAATGCCTTGGCTAGCTATCTAATCAACATCAAGGAACCCTAGAGTAGAACACTTTTCATTGAAGAACGAAATACAAAATAAAAGATCACAACAATTCCGCCACTCTCATCTGAACTGATTATTTATTTATTTTCCTTCCTAGAATCCTATCAAGAGAACAAGAAATTCATCAGCAATTTATCGATTAATATCTTTCGCACCACTACGGTTAACTACGGTCAAAGAATTAGGAACCCGATAATAAATACGATCCATTTAATCATACCTTACATCATCATCATCATCATCATCATCATCATCATCATCATCCATCCATCCATCCATCCATCCATCCATCCATCCATCCATCAATTGATAAATACTAAAAAAGTTGAACTTGGATTGACATACTATACCTACCTAGTAACCAACATCAACAAGTTCAGCTCGGGCACAACTGTCTTCTCCCCCCTTCTCTTGTCAATTCTCGGCATTCATCCTCTCATCCTACATTTGTTATATGATCCGTCACCGTCATCCATCTATTCTACTCCGAAATATGTCGCGTCCACAGATCTTGAGAATGGCTACTACATCTCATTGTATACCACAGGAACCACAACTTGAGTCACCCAGTTCCCAAGCCTCCCAGGTTCCATCTCTCACCTACTCATCCTCTTCTTCCTCCGACCTCGAACCCGAAGAAATTCAGCCACGTCGCCGCCGGGCCTCAACCAAACTCATATCACAAAATGCTACCGATATGCAGAGAATCATCGGAGGGGCGGGTGCAAGATTGCTGGAAAAATGTTGTGGTGGGGGTTGCTGTATGGCAATTACCAAAACAAATGGTCTCACATACGAAAGACCCAGGTTACCAGACAATGATGCTTATAGGAGCTTGGAATTAAAGATTGGCACAATTCCGACACGATTGACCAGTCTGCCAGATCTACCCGAGAAGAATATGGAGATTCGTCCTTTGCAGAAGGAGAAAGGTCGGGATCTTGTCCAAGGTATGAAATCTTTGGACGTCAACGAAAATCGAGGAGCCATCACTGTTGAGCCATCGATGGATGTCGCAGATGTCGCAGACATTCAACAGGCCATCTCGCACACTGATTCGGGAATTGGCATGGAAAATGGTTCAATTGACTTCACGCCGCACCATGCCAAATCAGATGTCGACACCAAAGTTCAGCCACCTTCATTTGTTCAACCACACCCACCTTATGAAGTTTATTCCGCGAGAATATTCAACACTAGAGAATTGACGAAACCTGGTGCCGAGAAGAGAACCTTTCATTTCGATCTGGATGTGACGGATTATCCAGAGGAAGGGGGTGTTGATTTCAAGGTTGGTGGCGCAATTGGTGTTATGGCACCAAATGAAGAATCAATGGTTGAAGAAGTATTGGATTTGTTATCTATCCCAAAATATCTTCGTGATCGAAAGATTTTACTGAGGACATTTTCTGGAAGGTGGCCTACAATGTGGGGAGACGATAAACCAAGAGAATTAATCACAACTAGACGCGATCTACTAACTTGGTGTTCCGATATTCAATCATATCCCCCAAATAAGAAGATTTTACGATTACTTGCCGAATATGCCATCGATCCAGAAGAGAAAAAGATTTTGTTATATCTATGTTCGGCAGAAGGACAAGGAACATTCTGCGATTTCAGAACTGGACCACATATTACCATCCCTCAACTACTTCACGCATTCCCATCCAGCAAACCACCTCTCGACCATCTTCTTTCAGTGCTCGAAACATTGAGACCTCGATTTTACTCCATGTCGAATGATCCCCAAGAAAATTGTGTACCAGTTGAAGGATGTAGCCGACTCATCGAAATTGCAGTCACTGTTCATGAAACAAAAGATTGGCGCGGTGGAAATCGAACTGGTCTTGGGTCAGGATTTTTCGAACGACAAGCAAAAAAATTCATCGAAGCTGAAAAGAGGGGAGAAAAGGTCAACGTTAGAATTCCCATGTTCAAAGGATTGATGGCAAATCCTTTAGCTAGGGAATTTGTTTCCGATGGACCTATGCTTTTGGTGGGTGCAGGTGTAGGAATTGCCCCATTTAGAGGATTCGTTCAACGCCGTCTCAAGAATGCCAATTGTGCAAATAAAGTTTGGGTCCTTCAAGGAGTTAGAGATTCTCTTCTTGATGAACTATATTCTGGTGAATGGGGTGTACATGAATCGGAAGTCAAAAAGGTTGTTCAAAGTCGAAGACCTGGCACTAAACAAGTGAGCAAATATGTTCAGGATGAAGTTAGACACGAAGCAGATTTGGTCTGGTTTATCATTAATGCTTTGGATGGTAGGATTTTTGTTTGTGGTAGTAGTAAGGGAATGGGTGAAGGCGTTGAGGAAGCACTTGTTGATGTTGCGATGGAGAAAGGTAATTTGGATAGGGAGGAAGCGAAGAACTTTTGGAAGTTGAAGAATGAAGCTGGACAATACATTGCCGAGACTTGGTAGTTAAGTTCACTTCACTCTTTTCTTCTTCGCAGTTTTCACTTATCACCAAAAGATCCAAGGATGCGATTACTATGCGAATGGAACGAAAAGCCGTAAATGTATAGGATGTCGATATCGGATTTTAACTGTACTATACGCTTGCTAGGTGGCAGGATACTTTTGCTTTTAAGCAATGAATAGGAGGACATTGGGTTACATGTCTGCATACGATGGGACATTGATGGATGGATCCAGATGTCGATTTTCATTAGCAGTGTTAAAGGCGTTTAGACCGGTGGAACGGGTATGGCATAGAATACCAGCAAAAGAATAATCCAAGCAATTGGGGCTACGTGATGGCAAAATCGACGGTGGGAGATAGGTAAATAGGTATTTATCGGGATGAATGCGTGGTTTACCATGCTTATGTACATACCCAGTAGGCTGTGAATGGAAATACTCTCAAATGTATTTCGATTTTTTTGAAGTTGTGAAGTGTGAGGCGATTGTTTATTGGGATTGTGAATTTTGATGGCCCTCATCGAATAGATACTCTGATACAGATGTACAAAAAGCTTGTTACAACAAATTTCATCCAACCTGGAGGCTCGTCTCCACTGGCGTGTGGGGTAAATGATGTGATTGGTGGGACACAGGTATTTATGGCATACATCTCCGTATATCTATCTCCGTATATCTATCTATCTCCGTATATCTATCTTTAACCCTGGCTACTCGCACTTGTTGAAAATCAGACAGGTAAGTTTATGTTCTTGAGTGGATAAAATGCACTATAATCATTATCTAGTCCGATAATACTGCTATTGTGAGGTTTAATATAATGAATCTGCCTGGGAAATCATGAGGAGGGGGAGGACGGCACGGGGAGGGATAGAGGAAGGGGAATACCAAATATGGTTATTGTACCCTAGATGATGCAAGTTTGATTGGTAGAGTCGATTTGGGTGAGGGGGATATCTGTATCTGAAGCTATAAACTACCTACATGATTCATGCAATATCCCATGTCTTGAGATATCTATACCTATGATAATACCAACAGCACCAGTAGCTATCATTGTATCAGCATATGGTAATATTAGCACATCATCATCATGGTACGTACCTACGTAGTCATTCTCAGCACGGCTACTGCATGTTTGTGTTTGTGCGGTGCGGTAAAGTAGATGATTGGTAGCTACAACAACTTCATCACTCCACCACGGCAAGAATCTTTCTAATGCCGTGGTGGTAATGCGTTTGTCAGCTTCTCATCGCTTGTCATAAGCATTAGAAATCCCGCCTGCAATGAGCTTGGACATGTGGGGTTCGACATAGTGGGATTTCCGATTGGGGGTCTGACTCGGAATGGGGTGGTGGGATGGTTGGGTAACAGCTTCTTCATGTTAAGGTTATGAGGGAGGAAATTGTTCGAATGAAATCTCCAATAATTATCATTTTCTGATGTTCAATAAATTTGTTAGCGTTGCCAACCAACTAATCCCACATATCTTCCCCTCGTCAGAACTCTTCATTGGCTGATTTTTGGGCGGGAAAGTGGAGATGTCGTTGGTGTCCATATCTGTAGCGGGGCAAGAGCGGCTTCTAGCTCGACTTTTGCGACGTCCGCTGGGTTGGAGGTGAGTTGGTGATGGTTGCGTGCTTGAGGGTATATAAGGGGATTGACTTCTCTGCTCATCAGGTCCAGCAGCACAATTCACTTCTCTCAATCTCGATCTCATTCTCGAAAGCACTTTCATCTATCCTCAACTCACAACCACACGCCAAAACCACCTACCCACCACATTGCCACCCAAATGTCTCCATCAGCCCAATTCATCGACCTCCTCAAGGCCCGTCGCACAATCTACGCCCTCGAGGCTAAATCCCCCATCCCCGACGCCAAAATTCAAGAGATTGTCGAACAAATCATCCTTCACACTCCTTCCTCCTTCAACTCTCAAAGTACCCGAGTCGTCTTGTTGTTCAAGGAAGAACACGAGAAGCTTTGGGATATTGCCAAGGATGCTTTGAAGGCTGTTGTTCCAGAGGCACAATTTGAGGCTACTGCTCAAAGAGTTGCTGGATTCAGAGCTGGTTATGGTTCTGTATGTTCTGAGGATTTCTTTCTTTTGTCTACTTTCTATTCTGAATTTCCACTATGATCATTCGATTGGGAAGAATCGTATACTAACAGACTAAATCACAGATCCTCTTCTTCGAGGACCGAAGTGTCGTCTCCAAAATGCAAGCCGGCTTCGCAACCTACGCCGACAAATTCCCAGGCTGGGCCGCCCAGAGTGATGCCATGACTCAACATGCTATCTGGGTCGCTCTCGCGGCCGAAGGTCTCGGAGCCAACTTACAACATTATTCTCCATTGATCGATGCTAAGGTTGCGGAACAGTGGAAGATTCCTGCTGATTGGGAATTGAATGCTCAGCTCGTTTTTGGTACGCCGGTTGCAGCGGCTGGCGAGAAGACGTTTGCGCCGCTTGAGGAGAGATTTAAGGTTTTTGGTGCTTAGATATGGGGAAGGTACATGTGAGAGGATGGGGAAGGGAAGATTAGCAGCCAGAAGAGGAGAATTGTCGATGCGTGCATTATATGGTGGGAAATAGAAGACTATACATGATAGAGCAGAATTGATACGCGATCAAACACTAGATGTTTCCATATAATTAAATGACCTTCCTATGTTCCTCCCTCATACCTATCAATGGCAAAGAGTTTATGAATTAAGCTAGGATTCAACGCAAGTGCGGAACGTAAAGCAAAAAGCACAAAGGAAGGGGTTCACCCAAACAGCCCCCGAATCACCAGCTTCCTCACTGGCTTCCTTTTCTTCTTCATTGAGTTGAGAACTGGTAAGGCAATGACCATAAAGAGTCATGAATTGGAATCGAAAGTGGCAATTCTCCACAGAGCTGTTAGTGAATAGATGGATGATTTATATTGTAGATAAAGTGCGGTAATTGGGGGTAAACAAAGTTTTTATTCCTTTTCATTAATATGGTAATTTGCACATATATTGAGGGGACAAATCCACCAAGTGATATAGAGTCGACCAGCACCTTTTTATATTTGAGCTTGGAGACAATATCGGATCCCTAGTAGCTAAGTCTCGGTCTATCGTTAGTGGTGTCGTCCACCCTAATTCTTCCAACGATATTATTTCGGAAAGCTGCAGTCGTGAAGACCTATCGTTCGTGGTTTTCTGCTTCGCAGTGTATAGTGAAATTGAAACTATTTACATACTATTATACGCCTATTGTGGTTGAGCCTGATGAATTCATGCCAATAGTCCCGTGAGTAAATATCGCTTGCCACAATGAAGTATACCTACTTATGTAAGCAATGAGTCTCAATGTGGTTAACTTTCCTTCAGTCAAGCTTCAGGAATCACCGCTCCGAATCGTCAAAAGCCAAAGCACAAGAAGAGGTGTGATTCTGCTGGAATCTATACGATTAAACAAGGATCAACATGGAGGATTCGAAAGACAACTTCTCAAATAATGTTGTCAACTTCGCTGCAGATGGCGACATTATCCTGGTTGTTGGCCCAGAAAAGAAGAGATTTCGCCTTCGTTCACTGTCTCTAAAGGTAGCATCGAAACCTTTCTTGGTTATGTTTGGACCTCACTGGCAAGAAGGCCGTGATCTGCTCAACCATGAAGGACCGATGGAGTTATCCCTTCCTGAAGATAACTCCGCTGCGCTTGAAATTATCTTCACGATCATCCATCACCAGAACAATAAGGTGTTCCGAGCCATTCCTGCACGTCGAGTCCTAGATGTTGCCATTACAACGGACAAGTATGATTTTATCAACGCCATGAAATTAGCAAGCGAGGCTTTGCTACGGACTAAGAAAAGGGGAGCTGACGATCTCATGTTCCTCGCCGCGGCGGCATACCTGTTCCAAAATGCACAAGCGTTCAAGAAAATCACGAAAGCATTGATCCTCAAATACCCTGCTCCATATCTCAATCTTGCATGCAAAGAGATCGAATCAGTTTTAACTTGGAGGGTATTCTGTGAGTAAATCATTGCCACTTCCAGCCTGAAACTAACAACCAAATACAAAGGTTTGCTAGAACAACAGAGAAGTTTTGCAAGGTTAGAATTATCGGAAATCTTTATCTCGTGGATCAATGCAGCGACCGGGATGTGTATCCCCAAGTGCGGTTGGACGTGTAAGTACACACATGCATATTTAAATTTACTAAAAAAAATAAGCAACTTTGGCCTGCAAACTTGCTTGGTATTTCTATATCTGAAGCAATAGATGCGGCAGAAAACATGGCGGATCCCATTCCTAGGGAGCGAGGTATTGCATGCAAATATGAGTACAAGCATACCCCACCAGAGTATAGGAAAGGTCGTTCTTGGAGCTTGGAACGAATCAAAAACGATATCGGCCTTTGCCTGCAATGCGTCCGCTCCGGCTCAAGCAACTCTCAATGTTGCTGTAACCACGACTCTTAGGCTGTGGCAATTGGGATAGGGAAGAATGAATTTTCAGTTTTACAATCTTACCTGTATTATTCATGTGGTGATAGAGTGGATGGTGGAAGTATGGACGCTTCGAGAAGTGATAAAACTTCAGTATTCTGGATGGCACATTAAATACAGCAAAAATCACCATGTTTTACACACCATTGATGTAGTCCATTTACATTGTCATTGAAGAAATTTTTGGGCTTCGGGTGTTACAATTTGGACTGTAACTCGTGACTCTAAATAGTTCCATCTATTGATTGATATATGAGTGGTGGAATAGTTGCACAGTGTTGATCCTCAAGTCAGCTCAGAACCAGTGATAGAAGTAGTATAGGGTGTGATTTCTACAACCGCCACTATAGTAAGGCGTATCGCATGTAAAGTTTTCAAGAATGAAAGATCATCGGCTCTATCAGACCTATCATGGAGAGTATACCTTCTTGTCAGCATAACTCGTCACAAACTCTTGTGACCGACGAGTTGAGGAGAATTGTGTTAACCTCAAATACCCCTCGCGCAGGAAGTAAACTACAAGAGGTGACATTACATTTGTAATAGCAGAGAAGCTGTATACAAGAAGCCATATCCTTCCAAAATGCGCCCTGAGTATGAAAGCTACCTATCATAGCCAAGAGTCTAGTCAAGGAATCGTTGTCAAGTTTTAGCTAAAGCCGAAGCGTAATCTCTAAAGTGTGTATTGGGTATTACTATGGAGGAAAAGCTGTGATATGAAGATTCTGGTAGAAGGATGGCAGTAGGTTGCACTGCAATATATCGCGCTATCTAATGATATCGCTTGCTTCATGTATTGCTGTTGTCTTTCCGAAAATAAATTTCCATTGTCAGTACTCACTCCTCAGTCTAGTTCGCACTACTTTTTCTGTTCTTTTTTCTTACATCTGATTGAAAATAAAGATAATGCGCTTTTTATAACTAGATTATGCGATCTGCTTCCGACTCTTAGCTTAAGCTGAAATGATTGTCGATATTGTGATTTTTGTATATTTTAATGACTTTTTCGGCGATTAAGAAGGGGGCAGTGGTAGAATATTGGCAAGGTAAGTGGTGATATGTAAATGATTCTCTAGCCATGCCAATTTGCTTAAATTGTCCCAGAGGAAGCACAATACACCACCCCCAGGTAAAACTCTCGTACTATTCAAACTACCAGGGGCTATATATGAATTCAAATGACTGGATTGAAGATTTAGGAAAGATGGGATTGTAAAAGGAAACTTTTAACGTTTTTGCTGCTCGGAAACACTAATCGCCATAGACATGGTATTGAATCAAGCACAGAAGTGCATGTGTCAAGCCGGAGTTGGAATATTTCAAAATTTGAGTACTTAAATCGACAGCTGTGGTCCTCTTAAATAGTGATGAACGAGTTAAGTGCCGATACGCATAGTGTAAATCATAGAAGGATGGAATTTTGAAATTTGAAGTGCAAAAATAGATCTATTAAGTCTAGTACTCTACTTTCCGGCCACCCCTCTTTCTGGACACCTTTTTACACCAAAAATCATCATTTTCAATTATTAATAATTTTACAGTTAATCATCAGGATTTGATGAAATTTGAACCAAATATATATTATATAATTATTAATAGATTTTGAAAATTGAAATTACGATTTTCAATTTGTACTAGATTTACATATAAATTTGAAAATACTAAAAATCTTGAATAACTTTTCAACAAAAATTGTTAAAAATAAATTATAAATTTTTTTAAGATTTTTAGATTAAATATTATATAATAAATCAATATTTTAAAATTCAAATAATATAAATAAATCTTTATTGATATTTTTAGATTTTTTAAAGATTAAAAATCATAATATTTTAATTAAAAAGATTTTTATAAAATATGTTTTAAAATAAATTGATTTATTTGATCAATTATGATATAAATATTCGAAAAAAATTTATAATTTATTTTTAATAATTTTTGTTCGAAAGTTATTGAAGGTTTTAATAATTTTTCAATTTTATATATAAATTTTATACAAATTGAAAATTCAAAAATTTAATCTTTCAATTCTCAATCAAATCAATAACGAAAAATCTAAAATTTTCAAGATTGATTGATAATTATATAATAAATCTACAATTCAAATTTCAATCAATTTAATTTATTGATTATTGAAATATTAATAAATGAAAATGATGATTTTTGATATAAAAAGGTGTCCGGAAAAAGGGGTGGCCGGAAAGTAGAGTATTAGACTTATATCAAATCCCATAGGTTTTAAGTTCAGAAACACAATATTCCCGCAGAAGAGAATGATGAGAGATGGCGATGGATGGAGGACTCAGGATATCGAAGGCAATAGGCAGTGAGATAGATGGGATTCAATCAACGTGTAAAGTCATGTAGTAGAATTATCCGTTAGCTTGATTGTTATCTCGAATTCAAATGCCCTTCTATTTTCTTTGAACGACAGTGAAAGGGGCATCTGTCTAGTTAACGAAGTTAGAATTATGTCTGTCGTCAATCTTGTGCTCTTCCATAATTATCACTTAAAAATATGACCAAAGTCATGAAAGAGGTAAATTCAATTATTATACATAAATTTGTCTCTTCTCTGCCTATTCCGGAGTATTGGCGTTAGTATATTATGTTGAATTATAGCTAGGATACAAAATTAGACGTGGTTCTTCCCCAGACTGCATGAAGTTTTGGAGGATAGTTGTGTAAAAGCACATTTCATACTAAATTGAAGAGTGAAGAAGTCTTTAGATGAGAATAATACTCACAAGTTCTGCGGGTTGTACCCAAGAGGATTCCGGAAGGACATCATGCGGGCTAAAGAAAACTAGAAACGATTACTCCAGATCAAGCCTACCCCTCTCCAACTAGCCCTCCATAGACCTGCAACAGCACCCCCGCCACCCCTTCCATCTCCCTATTACTCAAACCATCAAAAACCTTCCATCTCTCATATCCTCTTTCCTCCATAAGCTCCTCTATTCCTATTCCCCCAACCTTGCCATCCGGTCCGAAAACTTTCACAGCACCTACCCCATCCACTCCATCATCCTCCCCATAAGCAAAACGTATCCAAGCTTTCTGCATTTCTTGCATCATTCTTAACTCCCGCTCCTTATCCTCAACACCAAGATCCACCATCCTATCAATTTCCCCAAAAATATCCCCGGAGCCATGCAAATATACCAAGTCCAATGCATGTACCTCAACCCCCTTAAAAATCCCCGCTGTCGAAAATGGATTTTTCTGTTTAAAAATGTACTGTCCGATTCTCAATTCTGGACGAGATTTTTGTGCCAAAGCGACAAATTCTGCCGTACCCTTGTAGAAGATGAGATCTTCGATGATTGTTAGGACTTGCTCTGCGAATTTTGTTTGCTCGGTTTCGGATGAGGTTTTGTGGAAGGGATTGGGAAGGAGATTATAGGCTTTGAGTATCTCGTTCACCTTCTCGGTGGAAATAAGGGTGGTTAGTGCCGTCATCAGTGTTTCGGTTTCCGGTCGAGAATCTTGTTTTGGAGAGCCTATCATAATGAATTTTATGACTGAGCCTTCACGCCCTGTATTACCTATCATTATCTCTGACTTTCTCCCCTCATATTTTCTAGCATTTCTTTTGAACGAAAACCTCGTCCTCCAATCCTCATCAAAAAACTCTCCATCCACCATTGCCAGCTCACCTAGGCCAGCTCTCGCATCTACTGCCCTGTAAGCCTCCATTAATTTCTCACAATTGACTTCCTGCATTTCTTTCACACTCGTAAGTCCTAATTTTTCTTTCGTCTTGTTGTACAATTGTGACTTTTGATCAATACACTGAGGGACGGAGAATAGTGGTTGTCCCATTGTTTGACTTTGCATGATTGCTCGATGGAAGTGAGGAGGAAGTAGACAGTGGATTTGAGATTCGACAGCTAAGGAGCCGGCTGATTCGCCATAGATGGTTAAATTAGAAGGTGAGCCACCGAAGGGCCTGCTATACTTGGAGAGCCAAGTTAGGGCAAGGTGCTAATGAATGTTAGCATGAAGGAATAAGAAGAAGTCGGGCGTTTACTATGTCGCGAAGGCCTTTATTCGTCAGTTAAATTTACATAGAGTGCTGGAAATAAGCATGGCATTACCATAATTCCCGCCATGGACCACCCCAAGCTCTTTCCTTAGCTCTTCGGAGCCCATATAGCCAAAAGGACCAAGCCGATAACTACACCCATGTGAGTATGAAGCCTCTCCTGATTGATTAAATAGAGATTGCAAGCTCACTTGATAGCAACGTGGACAATAGGTTTTCCTATCTTGATGCTTTGTTTAACGATACTTCTCCCATCACACCACCAATCCGAATTAGCTCCACTCCAACCTCCGCCACCATGAATATAAACCATAACTGGTAATTCGGAATTTTCGTTCGAGCCATCCGGAGTAGTGATATTCAGATTGAGGCAGTTGAATTCATCAAAAACATCCTCTGCATGACTTGCTACTTCTTTAGGGAGACCAATCAATCCATCCTCCATACGAACTGGCATTTTCACCTGAGGGCATTTTGGACTGATTCAAAGTTAGAGATGTTGACCTATTCGATTGATGTAGGGATGATCGATTTGATACCCATAATGATAACATTCTGTCATGTCTTCAAACTCTTCATTTAATTCCGCTTGCATGAACCTCGCGGGAATTTTGCCATATTTTATCCCACTGAACTGCCATATTGAAAGAGCAATTTCTTTATATTCAGTGGCCGAAGAGTCTCCATAAGCATTTCCAAATAAAACCGTACCAAGACTTGAATGATCTATTATTGGATGGGTGGTTTGAGGCAACTGGCTCTCGACATGCATTTTTTAGAGGGTGTAGATGAAGAACAATGGGTATGTAGTGAAGCAAATGACAACGCAGTGCAAAGAGAGTGCCTATATATTGCAATTCATCCAGGATGCAAAATACATTGCCTCGATCGGGAGTGCTGACAGCCAAGACTACTGCAGGTAAGTTGATTACATCCATGTTCTACATCAATCTTGCGCAACCAAATAAGTGAAAGTTTCTCAAGCATCTTTTGCCAGCAACTATTCAGAGCCAATAAATGGAGCGGGAAAGGCCCAAGACACAGAGTTATGGTGGTGAGAATGTAATCGTGGTTGTAGAGAGATAAACGATGTCTCGAAGCATTAAAACTCGACAACGTATTGGATAATCAGAACTTCTGAGGGGTGAGAGACATGGTTATTTGAGTTTCTCTAGATTCTCAAACTTTACTTATTAAGCCGCTGGCGGGAAATGAATGTATTCAAGCCATACCATGCTGGTGCACCGACGATGGCTGATGAAAGCTGAAGCACGTCCCACGATTTCCAGTCATCGGCAACAAATTGGCTAATATCATCCAGGAGACAAATTGTGAGAGGATCTTGAGCTTATCGTCGATAGCAGAACGGGAATCAAGTGGCTGGGTGCATTGGGTATGACGGCAACTGGTGCACCATATGCGTGGTGAATGATCAGCTCCGAAGCTGCAGCTTGACCCAACATCAGTGTGTTGCACAGATACATGGAGAAAGGGATGTAGCCTTCCCATTGTATACCTGTGATGTATGGAGCGAAGGGCACCACCACACTTAGCAAGATGGGAACGTTAAGCGGATGAAGACTAGATTTTCCAAGCTGGCTGGTCCCCACAACCATCCAGCGTCGTCATACCAAGTTATCTGCATTTCCCAATACCGGTAGTGATCGGTCGACGCCACCAACAACACTACCGCCTATGACAATTTGATATGATGGTTGGAAGATCCATAAATTGAGGGAATTTTGCAAGTTTACACTTATACATACCGTACGTGGATGAAATCGAACCTTAAATCATTCAATTGAACACGCGTTTCCACCATTCAATCATCCAATCATACCATCGAATCATGCTAGAAATCGGTGGTATGATTGGGTGGATCAGATTCCACCGTACCGTGTGGGGTCGGTTACATGATTAGTCAGGTTTGACTCCTCCTCGTACTTTGAGGTTGAATGAAGGAAGGAACGATTTCCCCTCTTCGTCAAGGCCTGAATGAAGATGAAGTAGCAATTCTTCGGAATGCTGTGATTTGACGATATGAGCGAGGGGTAAAAAGGAAAGGGGTGGTATTATGGCGTGGGGATTATAGACAACTACTTATCTTTATTGTGTATGGGAATATGATAATGTGACTGCTATGTTACGGATCCTATCCCATATATTATATTATAAATGCTATATTCTATTATAAATGCTATATTCTATTATAAATGCTATATTATATTATAAATGCTATATCGTAAATGCCATATTCTGGACCTATGTGGTGAATACTGACTGTCTCATGAATCAGAGCACACTGCCGGTACAGGTACGGGCAACAGGGTAGGATTTCCCCATTGTCTGATCACAACCCTAATTCATATCAGGAAAAGGTCAATTCGTCCTCATACAGCTACCCCGCATTCTAAGAACACGTGAGTTATGTGATGATCTTTTTACTCTTGGTCGTACGACTTGAGCTTGATTTTCAATAAATACTTAGCTGCGACTACCTCATTCCCTCTTTCTTCTTCTCATCTTCATCTTCATCTTCATCTTCATCTTCATCATCATTCGAGTCAATCATCTTCTTTACAATCTTCACTCATCAACAACTTTCGCCTTCATCAATTCAATATCAATCATCTCACTTGAATCAAATCCTTCAGTCGCAGTCATGTCAACACCAGAGATCCCTATCATCAAAGTGTTATTCACACTTCATGCTGGCATGGATGCTTTGGATTTCATCGGTCCTCTTGAAGTCCTCACCCGTGCTCAGCATGATATTAATGATCCAAGTGAGTTTCATCGATTCAATCTTGTGATGATTGAGTACTCGTATATTTAAGATCGAGGAAACCTCTCTTTGTTTACTTTTGGCCATCATCCTTTCTTTCTTGGTTCAATCGCTAACCGCTATCTTTTAATTCAGAGTCCAAGGCATTCGATTGCAAATTCGTTGCTGCCGAGGAATTCACCGTTTCCAATCAAGGAGCTGCATTCCGTGCTCACTTTAACTACAAAGACGCTTATGCCAACCTCGCAGAATATGATATCCTCATTGTTCCAGGTGGTGGATCTGATCAAGTCCTCAAGAACAAAGCCGAACCTCTTGGTCTCATTAGAGCCTTCTCCGACTTGCAAAAGAAGCATCCCGAGAAGGAACGTACACTTCTTTCTATCTGTACTGGATCTCTCTTCCTTGCTCAACAAGGTATCCTTCATGGTCTTTCTGCTACCACCCACCCAGACTACTTCGCCAAGTTCGAAAATATCAATAGTGAGGCGGCACAAAGAGATTTGGCTGAACGTTGTGATGTTGTTGAAGAGAGATATGTGGTGAACAATCTTCGTTTCGATATTGATTCTCCAGAGGAAAGCCAATATGTTCGTCGCAAGTCTGATGCTAGACGTCCATCAAATGCTCGTAAAGGTTCCAATGCTTGGAAGGAATCTAACAATCGTCGTGAGAGTAATGCTCGTAGAGCTGCTTTACGTCTTGGTGGTCTTCGTGTTATCACCACTGGTGCTATCACATGTGGACTTGATGCTAGTTTGTATCTCGTTAGTGTTATGGTGAATGAAGAGACGGCTGCGGAGATTGCTAAGTTTATGGAGTATGAATGGAAGAAGGGTATTGTTGTTGATGGAATTGATATTTAAGGCGTCTTGGAGTTGGAATGAAAGAATGTATCATGCAAAGCATAGAATACAATGGCTTGTTGGCTAGACAGATAGCTTCTGATAGGAATTGGGAAAGGATTGGATGGGCGGATGGACGGATGGACGGAAACGGATTATGACATGAAATGATATCTTAGTAAATAGCTTAGCTATACTTTACAATCTCAACTTTTTACTTTTTATTTTCCATCTCGAAATGATTATCGGTGCGTGTTTATATATATCTTGACATAGTCTCCTCTCCATGAGTTTTATTGATTCTATCTCCAAGTTGTTGTAGTGAATTATGTATGTATACTCTCCATCAATCAACCTTGCCCTTTTTTTTTAAAAAAAATCCCATCCACCTTTCTCCCTGTGGACTTGCGATCTATCGCCAAGAACGGCAGGACAAAGAAAAGTTTCGGAAATAATATGTTGATTTCACTGCGTTTCATCATTCCCGATTGCGAAATGGTCATGAAAATTCCAAGCATCTTAGGTATATCGGAGCAATACCAAGACCCAAACACTTACCTAGTAGGATTACGAATATTCGCTTAGCTTTTCTCCCTCAAGGATAATCTGATGAATATGTTTTCAACTACACTCTGCAAGTATAGTATTTGGATACCTCGTACTTTCTTGGAACATTTTTTGGATATCATATCATATCATATCATATCATATCATATCATATCATATCATATCATATCATATCATATCATGTCATGTCATAGGTAAGTTACAAGAGCTAGAAAACTAGTTATACAGTAATAACGGAAGATGTAATCCAGAAAAACGACTCTACTCTGTCTGTCTATCCAAAAACTCATCTATAGCTAACAGCAGTTTCCTGAAAAGTATAATGTTTTATCCTGGAACTTCCACGGAAAGATTTTGACTTTCATTATGCGGCTAGATGATATTTGATATTGCAAGATTGGTACGGGGGGCCAATAGCTTTGCTTCCGATTCCGTGATGTTTGATAATGAAAATGCATTACCATCGTCATTGAAAGCCTAATGACCTCTTCATCTTTGGAACTATGCCAAACTCACAAACTAATTAGACGTTACCCTGTGGAATGGAAGTGCAGCATATGGAAATTTGCTTCATGCGCTTGCATTATTTATGAGGGAGAGTAATGTGTAGCTACATCTCCATTACTCCAATGTTATTCACTATGCCATTCTGGGTATGCTTAAGATGTCAAATTTGAATTTAAATGTATCTAATTCATGTCATTAATACCTCGTAAAATCCTCAAAGCACCAAACCATTTATTTCACCGACTCCAAATCTCCAAATCTCCATGCCTTTTACCCCCAATCTTCCCTCTCTTCCCAAGCTTTTATGACTCAGCACCACCCATCTAATTTAATGACCCCCCGTTGTAGGCAAACCCAACGCCACCTTGAAACTATCATAAATCAACCACTGAAAGGCCGTCAAAGTACCAATCATCACGATCCTAACCGGCAAGCCATTCCAGAGTCCTTGAAACCCAATATTTCCATAAATTCTCGTCATGGCTTTTCCAGCTCCTTCTCCTGCTTTTCTATCACTATTAAGTTTTGATACCATCACATCTGCCGGGTGAGAAATCACGGCGCAGCCAATACCGGCGATATAACCTCCGAGGAAAGAAACTCCGGTTTGTTGGAGTGAGGAGTAGGCGTCTTTGGGTTTGGAGAGGTAGGAATAGATTTTGTTGACGGTGGTTTCAAAAGTGGCAAACTTTACCATGGTGTAGGGGATTTGACGGCCCCAGAGAGGGTAGAGGCCTTTGTATAGGCTATTTCGTGTTCTGTTAGCATTGCATCTCTTTCCAACCACAAGAAAATTCGTTGAGGAGATGGAAAACTCACCCTCCATACCCCTCTTCTTTAATAACCTTTCCCATGCCTTCCCTCAAACTACTCGCAAAGGGTGGTAAAGTGGTCTGCATCCTCACTTTGATAGCCTCAAAAGGACAAAGAGCCATATCAGCCAAAAACTCGGCACTAGCACTAGCACCCAGGAAAATGGCCGTTTTATTCGCGTTTGGAAATAATTTCTCTCCGTATACATATTTGAATACTTCGTAGAATCCATATTTTCCACCTCCTTGGAAACAATATCCAACAAGTGTGGGTGACCAACCAAAGAACACTCCACGAAGTCCTTCGGCGCGGTAGATTTTAGACCAGGCGGATAAGTTGGATGTGTAGAGTTTGGAGTCGACCTGACGTCGACATTTTACGAGGTCGAGAGGGGTAACGGCTGAGTGGGTTGGGCCACAGGCTGAGGGGTGACTTGTTAGTACATCTCTTCGTCGTTGGTTGTGCAATTGAGGTGCGGGATAGCCGGAGGAGGGGTAAGGTGCAACGTACCAATTATGCCACCAAGACCACAAGCTGCAAAGTATTTTCCACTGTAGAGCTCGATCTTAGGTTGCGGCAGTGCATTTTCAAGGGAAGGCATCTTGCAGTAGGTCAATTGATTGTTTTGGGGAGAATTGGTTACTATTTGTTGATGTCTGGATATTGGAATTCCTTATCGTAACGGGCCTCCGTGCCTTGTTTTATTTATGATTAAAAACGAGAACGAGAAGGGGAAGAGAGGAGAGGAGAGGAGAGGAGAAGAGAAGAATCGAGCAATTTATTAAACAAAATAGAAGCCAAAAATAATAATAAAAAAACTTGGAACAATCACATAAATAGTGGTTCTTATTTGATTTTTTGGGTAGTAGGACATCAGCGTGGTGATGCCGACGTTCCTTGATAAGCTTTCTACTCTACTCTGCTTGTTGATTGATGCTGGTGCCGAAGTTCTGGTCCGGATTCACAAGGCAGCTCAGCTGCTGGTTACGTCATCGGAGGGTACGGCGGATGTCGGAATTAACTTTGTGCTCCGTATGGTTATTTGTATTTAGTATGCTAGCTGTTCTCGGGAAGGGTGTGAATGAAGGTATTCTTTAAAGATGGGTAGATATTCTTTTCCATTGGAGAATGCAGTAAGTGAGTGTATCTGAAAATGCAGGAGGGCTGTAAGCTCTGAGGTCTGACATGGTGATGGGATGAATGTCTAGCAAATGGGCGCGGAGAGATTGATCCACGATCACGTGTAGATCATCCCCGGCTTGCCTGGGTCTGAGCTTCCATCTGCACTGCATCTGCATTTACTTTCAACCCACCCAACATCTCGGAGAGCGTAGAGAAGTAAGATCTTGCTTTTTCCACTACTTCAACTCCGGCCAACATGTACAGTTTCTCCTTGCCACATATTCACGACAATCGCCTATCAAAAGAATGGCCAAAGAGGAATCCTGCAATATCATTCATAGGATCTCGAATTATCCATAGCATCCTAAGTTAACGCTTGGCTTCTCTCCGATCCATTACCAGTGGAAATGAGATCCCAGTGTCACACTGGTCGAGAGTCTATCCAATCTCTCCTCTCCACACAAAATCAGGTTCATCTTATCTTATAGCTCTCTTGAACTCTCCAACTCCGTATTTCATTGATTGAGGACAAGGATCCGTTATTGCGTGCTCGTGAAAGTCGCGGTATGAACGCATACTAGGATCAATGAACAATTTCTCACTAGGGATGTACTCTGAGTGTCTTGCAAACCTGGAGGCTAAGGTCTTCATTGTTACCAAGGAGCGTGTGTAGTTCCTCCGTTGGCCAGTCCTCTTCGCCATGCGAATCTCGATATGTGCACATGATGTAACATTCTAAAGCAGCTATGAATCGGGACATGCCACTGGATTTGTGGTAGAGCAATCATGCATGCGTTGCAAGTGGTCTACTTCAGGTATACAACTACACTTATTCATGCAGAGAAGGCATGCATCCAATGTTTGATCCATTAGGTTCGGAATACAGAACTTGTCAGCCAGGACGTAAAGATCTAAAATTGGCCAATCCAAGTCAGTTTCGAGATTGCTATGCAAGGCAGGTATCTGGCCTGAGTAGATCCACTGCATGCGGAAGTTGTCAGTATGTTGAATCAGATTGAGAAGGGAATGGGTCTGGCTCGATGCAAACCTGAGAGAGTTTAATTCACGGAAACGAGTATATTGAACAGTTCTAGATCATCTTCGGGCAGGGTTGCAGAATTCATCGTGCCTTCCATAAACCTTCCATTGAACATCTTTTCAGAGTATGGCACCTTCGTGAAGAGAATTGGCTTACGGAGCTTGAAGTGACCTGACTTTTCATCTGTTTCGACATGGATGTCGCCCATGGTTGCTTCTGCAAATCTTTGGTGTTATGAGAATTAAAAGTTTACGCATGATGAAATGGCGTCTACTAACTGTGGAACTTCAGATACCAGTCTGCTTCCTTTCTTAGCTGGGCATGCCCTTTCGATACTAACTTGAATTGCAGGAGCCTTCCCAACTTTAGGCGACTTCTGCTTTCTTCTGAAAATCCGCAACCAGGCCATCTTTATCCTGGCTTTTCGAGAAATAGTTGGTGATTGCTTTGAGTTAAGGGAACAGAACTAACGAGATGGTCAACACAGCAATTGCGAAATCGGATACTCACAAGCATTCTTCTTAATTTTAGCCGACTTTCTTTTTGTTTGACTGGAATGGAATGGGGTGTTCCATCATGTCAATATCAAAATTGGCTGTCAGTACAGTGGATTGTTCAGATTGCCTGAGTACAATTACATATGCCAACGCTATGAATGGAAGATAAGAGGGTGACTCTTTTGTCGGCCGAGAAAGATTAATTTTACCTGCGATATTAAGAAATACTGTTGAGCATAGCAAGGCGGTGTGTTTTTGGGGTGCGGAAAAGGAAGCTCTCCAGCCATGGCTACGACTGGAGCAAAGCAAGAAAAAAGGGCAGCAGATCCCACAGCTCTGATCGGGATAGAAAATCAAAAGGACACTGCGTTAGAAAGGCAGATGAATGCAGAAGGTGAAGATGCAGAGATTTGTGTAGCTATTGGGGACAAAAGGGTTGCCTTAGCAGAAGCGAAAAGCAATTGGGATATAGCGGAACGAAAAGGAGCTGATACCATCTCCTTGAAGCGGTCCCGAAGAGGAACTCCTGGATTTCTCAAATATGTTGATATTTCTTCAAATCTAAATCACACCTTTCTAACAATTTTGTAAGGATAATGGAAATTGAAACGGTCGGTACTTATGTAGGACCAGAGAAGAAACTTTTCCGAATCCATCGAGGTATACTTTTGTGACAAGGTTCTGTATTTCCACAAGATGTTTTCAAGTGGCTTCGTCGAGGCTCTTGAGAGCGAAGCATTCTTTCCAGAAGACCCTCCACAAAGTTTTGATCTTTTTTATCGTCGGGTATATCTTGGTACATCGCCAACCTTCATTGCGTGGATGGAAGTGGGAAGTCTTCATTTAACTGGAACCCGATATTCTGTAATTTCTTCTAGGTAAGCTCTTTTTGGTTGATCTTATAGATCAAATCTCTGATATTACATTGAGGAACTTCCGAAACTGGGCGTGCTCACGGGGGCCAAGTGGGTTGAGAAGGTGTATGAGCTCACACCAATGGGTTCACCTTTTCGAAAATTCATGTATTATAGCTTTTCTCATCCTTACTCAGAGGTAATTGAGGCTATTTGGACCACAGACAAAGTGGCAATGATTATGAATTCCCACCCAGATTTTGCCATAGACTTCCTCAATTTGTTGAGAACAAATCTTGTCGGTGTTTCCGCCAAAGACCCAAACAAGCTACCAAAATGCAGCTTTCATTGCCATGAGAAGGACGAGCCTTACACCCAAAAGCCCAAGATTTTACCTTAGGATCACGACAAGGGTGGTCCTTAACAGATGACGGCCGATCTTTTACTGGCGCTGGAGATACTCAATCGCTGCATATATCCTGATTGCTGGTATTCCAACTTGATTTCCTACGTCCGCTAAGACGATGCAACAAAATCTTGCGTAGGTAGCTAAGAATAGATTATAGCTATGGTATTACAATATTCCAATCATGATACATTCTTCGTGGCCGTTTTTATTTACCGGACCAGAGTTTCCAATGACGGCCTCTTCATTCTTGGAATCGATCGATGCTTCTGTTGCAATTCCCAGGATAGCAGAAATTGAGTATGATTACTAGTGGTTTATTAGATCCTCTTCTGATTGTTTCATTATTCATCCATCTCTATCAATTTTTCATATTGCTATTTTCATTAGCATGATTTAGTCTTGGATACTGACAATCCTTTCAAAAAAAAAAATTCTCGTTTTGTAATTGTGTCTATGATATCATCGAGATTAGCTTTCATCTAGGTAGAGGATGTTGATTTTTGTTGCTTGTAAGATAATTTGTAAAAGAAACTAAATTAACTTCATTACAAATTACTGATGGGTAAAGTTATGAGATTGCCCACTCCCACCTCGGTGTAGTGAAAGGAATTGGAATGTTTTATATATTGGTTAATGCTGTCATGTATAGCTATCGTATATATCATCACCATCGTCACTATACTCATTACTGTCTACCCTACTATGAAGATCACAACATAATAAAAGATGACCAAATCGTACCTAATAATAGTAATTCTTTCGCGGCACATACGGCAGAATATCGACATTATATTTCCTTGAAGTTCGAATTTCAATAATCAGGGGCGGAGTTTAGGGCTGTGTGCGGGACTGGATTTTAGTTTACTACGGCTCAACCCCAGACGAGGTACTTATGTCAGATTAAACATAATAGTTCGAGCGTTTTCTAATTGATTAGTGTTTGCTGCTATTTCTTAGTGTATGGTTATGTCTATGGTTGCGTTGACGATAATGACACTAGGATGACGGTGACGCTGATGAATATAGTGATATGGCTGCAATACTGCCGATAATATTTAACGAATCTTACGACCGTTAAATTCCTCAATACTTGAATGTCATGGTTTAACTTGCTAGGATGGTTTTAATCTACGGAAAACTGCTGTGTGTATATATCTCTGGCTCTATTCGAAGATGGTAACCATTTAAAGGGTTATTACTGTAGGTGTGAAGAGGGTTGTCTTATTATTGGAGCTAAGACTTACAATTAATGATTATAGACTTACAATCGTTCTTGCCATATTAGGCCTCGCACCATGTACCGGAAACATTGCCTGAAAGCACTCGAAAACAAAATCCGGGAGGTTAATGCCATTTTTTGAAATAATCACTTATAAGAGCTGCCACATTTACTCATGACTTAAATACCAATAATTAAATCACGTAAAAATGAAGCTATGTTAAACTTCCAATTTACGACTTGACAAGGTTTGCTAAGAACTGATCACCGGCACGAACCTTGGTTTTAGCAAAAAACGGACAACTATTCCTTGCGACGGAAAGAAAAGAGAGCCGGCGCTGAAGGAAGACAATACGATTCTTTGAAGATACTTAACAATTGCGGAGTCCCAGTCTTCACATCATTTCTTCGAAGTCGATGTTCCGGATTTACGTAAGCCACCATCGCTTAACCTTTATCTCAGGGGAGACTCCTGGCGCACGGGTCTCTCGAGTTCAGCAGAGAGCTTGCTATTGATAAAGCCTTTCAACAATGAAAGAGGTTCCAATTGCGCAGGCGCCGAAGAATAAATGTACTATGAGAGGATCCCCCCAGATGTATTACTAGTTTAATCTGTGAAATCAACAATCAAAAATGCGAAACAGGAGAGGGTTTTGAAATAGACTTCCATAGGGTGTCAGTCTATACATCTATCTTTACCGTGACTGTTGGAACTTTCAGCGGAAATTATGCAAATCAGTAACAGACAAAAGAAAGTATTTATTTGACCCGTCTATCTTTTAGCTGCGGTGATTAATTTGTATCTACGAGTGAAATTTTTCCATTTCCCGTAGTTGTTTTATTAGAGCTTCCTGTGGGATATCGATGCGGAGAAATAGCCTGGGAGTGTATATTGGCATAAGGTCTTACAATCTCTGAGTGATGGTGGTAGTAAAATCAAAATATTCATAATATCCGTACTAATCTGTAATTCCCGGTTCCGGTCCCTTTAGGATATAATACAGCATTTCAGATCTATTTTGCGTTATACTATGGACTATTTGTGTGATGTAGAATAAGAGCCTGTAATTTTTGTAGTAGTTATGAAGCATATGGATTGAAAGCTAGAGCTGAGTATTATTTTTAGAGCAATGCTGAGTGATATGAGATTTCCTTATGACAGAGGCTGGAAAAGCTTTCTATTCACCATGTCGCCACTCTAATTCTTAGCTATTAGATTAAGCATCTCTATTAGCACTAAAAATTAGAAATCTTTGTCTTCTAATCATCTTTCTTGGTATCTTGTGGGCCGCTGTAGCTTATTCCTTTTCCGCGTACATAATAAAAGCCATCATTCCCGACTATCGGTTCTTCATTCCGCCTACCGCATATTGATCTTTGGCAATGGCAAAAAATTTGTCAGAGAAATCAGAAGCATTGTGCATAGAAACACCCGAGAGCTCAGCAAACCTATATTTTGGAATTACAAATAGAGATAGCCAGATACAATCCATGGCATATAGACGAAGTTTGGAGCTTTCCGGTGAGGAAGCAAAAATGTTTCTTACAGTATCAAATCTCGTGAACCTTGAGTTTTCGTAATCGAATCGCCAGTTAAAATCCATTGTCTCATTCATCAGGTTCGACATACATAATTTATCCACAAGCATATAGAAACTATAAATGTTCCGGTTGTATTTTTGAGAGGACAAGTTAAATTCCAACGGTCGGAGGGACCCAGTGTAGAGCCATGCAATCAAGACATTGAAAGCCTCAGTTGAGTCTTCAGGAAATTTTGCCAAGTTACTGAGAGCCTCAGAAAATTGCCGTTGAAAATTTTGTCGATGTAGGGGATTTTGCTGCACAGAAATGCTTCATGCACTCGATAATGAGTTCTGGATGGATTAACGTATAGACCCACCGTTTCAACACCTACGAGACTAGGGACTGTTAGTATTGGCAATCTAAAGACTTGTCACGTAATAAGACACGGTACGTACCTCAGAAATAGCGACGCCACGGATGATCTTAATACTGATGGGGAAGCCATCTTGGTTTTTCGAGGCTGGTTATGGCTATATTTTGTGGTTTTTGCAATCTGTAATCGACAATCTCTCCACAGGAACAAATTGCTGTCCTCAAACTCTCCGGTTGTATCTTCGTGGCTTGTTTACAAAATTAGTCGTATCAAATTCTGAATGTCCTGTAACGGTCGATATGGTGTTGTTAAATATTGAGAAAGAAGAATCATTGCTTGAGACGCTGTATAATTGCGGTGACTGGAGAAGATTATAAGAATCTCCAAATGTATCAATCTCAATATATCCGAGCCACTATACAATATTAATACTCTTAAGTCAAGATATGTTTATTTCAAAATGAATTAGCTTATCTGATAATACCCTGATCTACTCACTAATAAATTTAATTTTATAATGAATTAGATCATTTCAAAATATATTTATAAATACAAATATATTAATTATTATATAATTTTAAAAATAAACTCTTTATATAAAATAAATCTAAATTACAATAAAATATAATAGTAATATAATCTTATTATTTTATTTTTTATTTTTTAAAAAGATTAATTATCACAGATAATCAATCAATATATATAAAATGATTTAAAATTAACTTTAAAAAGTACACATCTTTATATACACTATCCCAGACAGAGTCAAAACATACTACCCACATCACCTCACTCGAAAATCAATCAGAAAATTCATATCTTATAGTATCTCATCATACTTACCAACTCCAGATTACTCGTCCAATTAACTACATATCTTGAAACCAGACGATCTTCCATCTCACACATAAATAAAATAAAATAAAATCTTTTTGAGATTTTAAAAGTATTAGATACGATACTCCGGTTTTGTCTCTCATCTCCCGCACCGCGATTCGGATTAGACGAGTTTGAGAACCTATGCTCAACTTGGTTAAGGGGATTATTTTTTATTTCTGAACAAAGTGAGAGGATGAAGAACAGTTCAGATTTTTCATTCAGCTATCAAGTCCAATAGTAGGTACATAACACTCCAGCTGATGATTTCAATACAAAATGCTCTGTGTTTATTATAGAAACTCAAGGATATTGTTAAGTTGATCCAAAATCTCATTTATTGCTACAGACTATAACGTTAACACTAATTATATCTACACCATTCGCAAAACCAAAAATCAAAACACCATAGTTACCTCATCCATATTCCTCACCCAAATCAAAGACCTAACTAACTAGTACGTCACCATAAAGTAATCATCCCATAATATCCCAACCCAGTCCTCCCTATCCTTCGGCACTCTCGCCTTCCCCACCCCAGGCCACCCCTCTCTCCACCCCGCCACGCCATCAGCCTCCCAAACACAATCCTTCCAATCGCCCTCCTCTATATTCTCCCCCTCACCCACCATAAGCACAACTACATTATCCCAATCCCTAAGCCCCTCCTCCAACAACGTCCTATTCTCACGATCTAACCACCTCCTCCCGATCCTCAATCTCATATTCTTCACCTCCCAACTCCCTTCTTCAATCACCTCCCCATCTTCTTTCCTAAACCCTACACAGCCCGGTACTTCCTGTATTAATTTCCCAGGATTCGTTTTTACTTCTGTAGGTGCGCGCAGATAATCTATCAATTGTGATATTTTCCACGATAATCGAACATTTTCACAACAAACGAAATGCAACGGAGACACATCCGATAAAAACTGCGTCGGACTTGTAAAGATCGTAAGATGGAGATGAATTTTCGGTTCCTTCGGTGCCTTAGCACGGGTCGAGCCTGGGGCGTCAGGAGAGGGCTTTGCATCCGAAGGGCCGGGAGGAGGCGTAGATAAATCAAGAAAGTCTGAATCCTCGTCCGTTACATCGAATAAGCTGTGCTGTGAACTATCGCTCCGGGAATCCTCGTCTGAGAATTCGGGATCGGTCCTACCGAGCCAAGAAAGCCCGGGGACACGTAACTTGAGGGATGTAGTTTGAAACAAGCTTAATTCGTCACTGAGTTCATCTTCGTCATCACCTAGCTGTTCTAGATCGGCTGCTTCTTGGAGTTCTTTCATCTCTTTTTCCAGTATCCATCTTAAATCACGTTCCTTTCTCGGTTTTGACTCTATTTCCTCCTTTTTTCGCTGCGCTGCTAGAATTCTTTCTCTTTCTCTTTCCCTCATTTCAGACTCTTCTTTAATCCTTTGTTCATTCAACTCACGTTCTCGCTGCTCAAATGATTCTTCTAGATCATTTTTCCCAAGTGCAATCTCCTCCAGCTTATTCTTCAATTTTGTCATATAATCCTGTACCTCCTTTTCCTGATCCTTTAATGCATCCCCTACTGGAAACTTAGGTTGTATTCCAGAACGTCTGGCTGTCTCGGCTATATGATTCACTATCCCATCTAAGTCAATCGCAGCCCCGTTTTTAACTCTTTCCCTCTTCTTCTTCTCTTTAGCTGTCGTTTCTTCTTTCTTCCTTCTTAATTCATCCTCAATCAACTTTTTCCGAATTTCCTCCTTAACTGGGTGTTTCTCCAGCAAATCTTTGAAAAGTAGCTCAGAAAAGTTTCCCGGGCTTGTTTAACAGGGCAATCCTTTCCGCTGTTTTCTTTCGATCCTTTCTACTTGCGCTATGAGTTTGAGCCTTCTTTCATGCTCTATTTGTCTTTCGAGCCTTTTCATGAACCTTCTCTATCGCATTTCTCCTCCTCCATTTGTTTGCCATTCTGCTGCCTTTCCACTTCTTCATCCAATTTATTTCTTCCAGCCTTTCCAGCCTTTCCTTCTCCGCCATTTCTCTTTCGAGCCTTTCCTTCTCCAGCCTTTCCTTCTCCGCCATTTCTCTTTCGAGCTTTTTCTTCTCCATTCTGTCTCGCCTTTTCTTCTCCATTCTCTCTCGCCTTTTCTTCTCCCCCACTTTTCTTTCGAGCATTTCCTTTTCCTCCATTTCTCGTTCCAGTCTTTCCTTCTCCTCCATCTCCCTCTGCAATCTTTCACCATCCTTCTCATTCCCCTTCCTCCCCTCAATCTCCTCAGCAGCCACCTTACTATCCGGATCTTCCCAGCAGTTCGGGGATCTTCGTAAATTCATCTTCTTGCTTCATCTCATCCAAGTCCGCCGATTCTAGACCTTCTGCCAGCATTTCCTTCCTGATTCTTTCCGCCGCCATATTTCCTAAGAACCTGGCTACTCCAGGATGTGTTTCATAAGCAACGGGTTCCGATCTTCGTTCTTGAATAGGAGAAAGTGGGGTTTTAGCTGTAAAAGGTACCGGTATGGGCGGAGGGGTCGTATTTTCGGGATTAGCTGGGGCTGTCCCTCCACGTCCAGGAAGATCAGGTTGACCTGGCCTTCGAAGTTTTGCACCTTCACCTCCAGACAGCCCACTCCCTCCCCTCATGCCAGGAAGATCGGGAAATCTAGGGGGCTCGATTCCAGGTGGATTTTGTTTTTTTTGACGGAAATAACTCGGTAAACTATCCATTCCCGTAGGAGACCCGGGAGTCTTCTTCAATGCCGCAAGCTTCTTAGCTTCTTCAATCTTCTTCGCATTTTCAGCCTCTTCGGCCTGTTTCTTCTCCAAATCTTTTGCAAGTTGCGCCTTGGCTTTATCAAGTTTAGCCTGAGCCACATCTTTGACACCACTCCCGCTACCGGTGTCCCCGATTTTTCCTTGCGATGAATGCTCCGTCCCAGGTACACCTTTTCCTTCCGCATCATCTTCTTCCTCTGACCAAGCAAATTCACGATCCGCTTTCATCTCATCCGCTTGTTTCCGCCAAAGTTTTTGTAATTCCTTCCGTCTTTTCAATAAAAGGGAACTGCGCACTCTTTGTAAAGCTTTCCATGCATCCATTTTCTCCTTGGAATCAGACATAAACTCAATTTTCATGACAGCATCTTCATGAGGTTTATCCTCGCGTATCCATTTCTCACGTAGAGCCCTTTCCGCGGACGATTGTTCAAGTTGACCTGGAGGCCGTGATGCAACTGTTGTGAAGGATTGACCTGATCGAGCATTGAAAGCAGCCCGCTCAGCCGGTGTCATATCAGCCACTTTTCTTACTTCTGCAGCTGAAGCCAAATCTCCGCTCATATGACGTTTGAGTCTTATTCTCTCTTTGCCCTCTTCATTTTCAATTTGCAAATTTAACTCTTTGAGTTGATCTTGGAATTTGCGCTTGATAGTAGGACTTGTTTCGAGTTCCAAATGATCTTTCAGGATATTCCGATTTGCGCGTTTCTCCTCCAATTCCGAAGCTTCTTTTAGATGACGGTCAAGCCTCTCGATTGCTTTATTCAACACAATTACAGCATTGCCATCTGTCTCATTCTTGATCAAGTCATTTGCAGCGCGTTTCTCATCTTCAATCCAAGCAATGTGTCTCTTGCGTGCATTCATCAATTCTCTCTCAACCTGCCCTTCGTTTTTCTCAGCCGCAGTCCTTTTCCCTGAACTTCGGTTATCTTGAATCCATTGACGGAGCTTTTGTTGCATGGTTCGCGATCTCGCAGGTTTTTTGGCCAATCTACGAAATACTTCGCTTCTACTTGGCGATATCTTTACTGCAGGTTAGCACGACACATTTGAGGAATATATCATATTTACTGACCTTATCACCAGACGGTAAAGGCTTTTGTTTAGTTCCCACAGGAGGAGCGCCACCAAAATCAGCCTCCTCCTCCGGTTCCCTTGGATTAGTAGCATGACTTCTATCACTTTTTTCATCAACGCCACCTCCTGGCGATGGTAGTCTAGTCTTGCCGCTATCTTCGGGACTAGCTAACGGAGTAGTCTTTTCAGCGATGTCTGACAGAGACTTAACCTCAATGCCTCGTTTTGACAGGAAAGCCAGTGATGAATTCCTCTGCCTATACGCGCGGTGGTAACGACGAAACCTACGCCCAGCTTCATTTCCAATACCCGGACGTTTAGCAGCTTGCGACTTGCCCTGATTCTGAGCATCTTCCGATTTGCCTTGAGGTTGAGCCGGCTTCTCACGAGGGGGCCTAGGTTGCATCCGACGCCGAGCCCTTCTCTCCTGCGCCTTAAGCTGAGCTCTCATTGAAAGTATAGCCCCAATCCTAGCCCAATCAGTGGTACCATCTGGATTAGTAAACTTGGAAATATCTAACGGTTCAAATGAAGGATTCGGTAGAGGTGCGTTGTCTTCTGGCCTTGGATCCAATGGGCGTTTGTCTTTCGGTAGTGGCCTCCCGATACCTGAGAGATCAATGAAGGTCCCTGGCGTTTTTGGTAATTCAAGGCCACCTGGAACACCGACGCTGGTTCCAGGTACCGCTTGTCCAGTGTTTGCTGGCTGTGCATCCGGATCTTGTATTGTTCCCGAAAGATCCACAGTATCTAGAGAACTTTGTCCGACTAGGGTTTTACCACTTAGATCTCCGGTGTTTCCTGATCCGACAGTCGACAAGCCAGATCCTGAGGGTGCTGGCTTGTCTCCGCCGGGTTCAGGTATTTCAGCCATGTTATGATAAAATTTGGATGTTGAACTGCTCTCTTGAATTAATAGTGATTTGCGATTTTATCAATAAGGTGAATCGAGTTTGTTAGTTAGTAAAAGGATAGCAAGTCTCACAGCGACGATTGATATTGCAAACTTCAATCGATTATCGCCTTTATTCGCGGATCTCTCTTTATTAAGTCTTAACTCTATGCGGCCATTAAAATAGTCGTTGTTTTGAATTAATTCATTTTCCACCCATCAAGTATGATGTGACAAAGAAGAATGCCACTGACCGGAATGGGATGCATTGCTTTGACATGCAAGATAGCTATAGTAGCCACAAGCTAACAATGTCCTTTTATTCAACGAAGCTTATCGATCAATGGAATTGTGACAATGCTGAAGAAAAGATGATGAAAGCGAAATAAATCTGTAAAGAACACGGAGAGCAAAAAAAGATGATATCGCTTCAAGAAAAACTGTGAACTAATAACTGCACCAAATCCCGTCGTAAGGTACGGCTTTCGGGATCAAAAGACCTGCAGAAACTCGCTCTATCATAGCTAAGGAAATTTACCCACCGTGTAAGACCCATGATTTGAAACCCACGACATAGGCATGTCAAAAACGTGAGTTCTCCAAGTCTCTCAACCTCCCATCAATCTTCATCTCTCCAGCATCTTAAAATTGCAGCAATGCGCACTCGACAGGAAGCTTTCGTTTCATGATACGGTTTGTCTATATCAGCGATCTCCTTTCCTCGACTCCATTGCCCTGAACATTCCATTTCTATCACAATGGTGTATCCCAATCGAGATGCCAAATGGGACGTGCTCCCCCTCGTATCAAAAAACGAATCCAATCAGCGAATCAAACACTCAAATCATAGGCCCTATAGCCTTATAGCATATCAAGACTAAATAATATCAAGGTAAACACTCATTACTTACGCATTGTTTTCCATCCTTTAATTGGATTGGTAGATGAAATGATAAGTTTCAAGCAAATCTCTCTACTTTCATTCAATTTTTGAAACTTCAGATTCGGGGACACTAGCCCACTACTCTATAAATCACATCACATTTGTCACATCGCATTGTACAATGACACAAAGGCTCTTTATCACTTAAGATTCAAAGGATGAATGCCGAATATCATTAGCGGGGTAGGGTATGCGCTTAATTCATCTCAACTACGGTAAACGAAACGGAACGAATGAAAGGAGGGCAAGGTAAGGGGGTAAGGTCGTTATGTGTAAAACGTAAGCCGTCGAACGAAAAAAATGAGAGCATTGCCCAACCATCTATCGTTCAATCATTCCAATTCCCGCCAATCTCCCGATCATTCTACCAGCCACCCATCCATCCATTCATACTATACATTTCCTTGTGCCAGTCCTTCCTCCCCTCTAGCAACTCCAATCCCAATAACCTAATAATAGTAGTTCTCATCGTTCGTCCTTCCTCTCATGTATTGAGGTTCACTTCCTCTAACGTAGATATCCTCATACAAAATCTGTGGGGTCGCATCTGGGAAAGGCATCTCCTCGGCCTCCTTAACTTCGGCATCGACCTTTGCTCTAGCCTCCTTGTCAATAGTTTTCAACTCATCCTCAGTTGTAACATTCCACTCGATCAACTTTTGTTTGAGACCAGCAATTGGATCTTGGGTGCTACGCATGCGTTGGATTTCTTCACGGGTACGGTATGTGGTTCCAGGATCGGACATGGAGTGTCCTCCATAACGGTAGGTAACGTATTCGAGGACTAATGGACCGTTACCGGCATTGGCATATTCCTTGGCGTGCTTGACAGCTGCCTTAACAGCGAGAGCATCCATTCCGTTAACTTTGAGACCTGGGATGTATTGTCCACGCTTGTAGTAATCGGTAAGAGCGGAGGACCTGTTGGCTGCGGTACCCATACCATATTTGTTGTCTATAATAATTAGCATATACTAAAGCTCATAGGATCCCAGGAAACTTACTCTCGCAACCGAAGAGAACTGGCAAGTTCCATAACTTAGCCATGTTGAAAGCCTCGAAAACTTGTCCTTGGTTACTAGCACCATCACCATACAAAGCAACAGAGACATTCTTGTTGCCATTATACTTATGGGCAAAAGCCAAACCAGCACCGACTGGAACCTGAGCACCGACAATACCATTTCCACCATAGAAACCCTTGGTGAACATGTGCATGGAACCACCTTTACCGTAGGCAATACCCTCGCGACGACCCAACAATTCACCGATGATAGATTTTACTGAAGCGCCTCGCATAAGAGCGAAACCGTGACATCTGTATGCAGTAATAATGTCGTCTTCCTTGGTAAGAGAGTGTTCGATACCGACAGCGACAGCTTCTTGACCAGTTGATAAATGGCAGAAACCACGAATTTTCTTCTCCTTGTAGAGTCTATCGGCGGCCATTTCCATACGACTATATTTCCCCATTAGCAAAAGCTTCGGTCGTAACACCAAGACATATATTCTTACCGCATTGAAACCATATCGATGTACATCTGCTTCAGCTCCTTCTTGGTGGTCTCCATGGTGTAAGATGGAGGATCGAGCTCGTAGGTCTCAAAGGACTCGTCGGATAATTGCAATGTGAATGGCTTATCTTCCTCCTGTGCCCCAGAAATCATCAGCATACCTATCATCTACACCATCTTCAATCAATTGAGATATCCAACATAAAATCATACCTGAGGGACCGCATCTTTATCGGCATGCGCGGAGGCGGCGTCTGTGGTAACCGTTCTCTTTACGAGAGCAGCTCTGGAAATGGCATTTTGGCGCAGAGGCGCGGCAGATCGTGCCTTCAATGCTCTCGAAAACATGATCGTGGTGGGAGAGAATGTGTTGTAGGGAGTGAGGGAGGCGGAAGATAAGTCGTGGAAATTTCTCAGCAGCTACCAAACAAAAGATGTTGATGGTTGGGATGCTTGGATTACAGTAGTCCTGTTTTGGCTTAGTTTAGACAGATTATTCCTCAAGCTTCCGAGTCGAATTGTTCCGATCTACAAATCCTGCGAGTCACGTGAAACAATTTGACACTCGACCACACATGCGGACCCTCCTGTCAACTCGGGGTTTCCAATCCTCACTGACCCCTTCACACTCAAAATAAAGAGCAAATTGAATTTTCATCATTTTGCATGTTTAATATGCTACCCTGCCAACCTCAAAGTACAAGTTTAAGTAACTCCCTAACCCTGGGGAATCCCTAATGCAAATTCTCTCAATGCTACGCCGTTGAAGATTTCCCTTTGAATTGTCCCCCTTCCCCTTGCCCTGTAGGTATTTGAGCCATTAAAAAATTCTGTACCATTCTGCCAGCCAATCAAATGTGAAACGCCCTGCCCTTGATGCATCTTTGCTTCTTATTAACAGGTACTTTGTGCTTTGATCGATCGGTCTCTCAATATGGACAAAAAAAATAGGTGGTGAATGCGGGATTGCAAATGCATGACAGTGAAATATGTGAGGCTGTATCCGCTCACAATATCGTCTTTTATCTATCGATAAAGAAGCGATGATAGTGAGTAGTCATAAGACGACTAGTAGGTGAAAGAAGCAATCATAACCAGTGAATGCTTTTATATAGAAAAATAAAGTGATGTAGATCAATCATCTTCGTGAAAGAAGGTAGGCCCAGTAGCTTGTGGGGGAACCGTCGGTGGTCCAGCATCAGCCATTTCAATATCATCCCTCACATATGATGCTTCGCTCGTTATAATTCCTTGCATAGCTTGATCTTGGCTACCACTCCGATATTCAATAGCGCTTAAGGGTCTGGCAGGCCCCGTGATGGGAGTTGGTTGGGCATATGATTTTTCATACAAGACATCTTCAGGTGGGGAAAATGACCATACCTTGACTTATGTTAGCAAGACGCACTGCGATAGGAGGCTACAATACTCACTTCCATAATAGTGCGGTTAGCTCGGCTCGCCATAACAACACACTTTTCCTCTTCGAAAGCCACTCTCCATACAGCCTCGGCAGGAGCTGTAAGTTCACGAACAAGTTGACCAGTCTTAAGATCCCACACCTTGACTCGACCATCGCTACCCCCACTCACAACTCGTGTATCATCAAACTGTAAACTTGTGACACTATTGTCATGAGCCGCTAGCCGGTGAATTGGCGCCATCTTTTCTAGTGACCAGACGCGAACAGAGCCGTCAGAACCACCGGTCACCAACGTGTTTCCTCGCATTTGCAACTGCCCAACTAGTGAAGTGTGCCCTTGAAGAATAGCTTGACAAGACCTGAGAATTGATTAGCTTGACCTCCTTACTTGGATTAAATTACCTACCCGTTTTCTGGGTCCCAAATTCGGACACTAGTGTCAAGACTCCCAGTAGCTATTCTCTTTCCATCAAACGCGATAGCATATATTTGGGAGAAATGGCCCTGAAGCGTTCGTAGACATCTACCCTCTGAGATACTCCATACCCTTGCTGTAGTATCATAACTTCCGGAAACAACAATATCTCCTTTGATTTCCAAGCATCGAACACTTGCCTGATGACCGACAAGAACATTTTTACACACACCAGTTTTAATATCCCAAATTCTCAACGTGGTATCTCGAGAACCTGAAATCGCCGTATTCGCATCAGACATCTTTAAGCATCGTACTGTTGATGTATGCCCACGTAGAGTATGTATGCTCTCACTATGATGCATTAATAACAGACCTCATGAGACGCAATTAGTAAAACGTACCCGTTAGCCATATCCCATACTCGTACATCCCGATCACAACCTCCACTCACGAGGGTATCTTCCCAAGGTACCATTGCCCAAACACCCATGACATGCCCGGTCAAGGTCTTTTGTGCATTCCCATCCGTGTTGAAAACATGTATTTTAGCATTGTCCAACGCCACTACGATGTATTTTGGAGTCAAATGTAGACTCGTGACAACACCCTGATCCTGCGTAATGTGTCTTGCGATGTTTCGACCCCCGGTCCTCCATGCGGTTTCGACCAAATATCTCTGCTTAAAATGTGATTTATAGGATCTAATCTTTGGTCTCCTCAATACGCCCGAGGCAGTGGCACTATCGAAACTTTTTGAACTCCCGGGAACATAGGGTAACGGTGCGCTCATTCCAGGGAATGATTGTAAGGCAAAACTATCCCCTGCTTGTAATGCCAAATGAACTGGATGTGGAGGGGGTCGAAGTGACGTTAGAGGTGCAGCGGGCTGATGTTCTGACATTCTTCGGCCATAGTCGTGCTTCGCACATAACTTCATCCAAGTGACGTCGTCTGAAAGTAGATCCCGCCAACGTTTCGAAACTTGAGATGAGCGCGCAAGCACTTTGGGGTCGTCGATACAAGACAAAATCTACACAGATCAATTAGTCTAGGCTTCGCCTTCTGGAATGGGGAGCGTACACGAAGGCATAGTTCCTCTGGCAAGGTCGTGAAGGGATCCTTCTTCAGTAACGGGCTAACATATTGATGTACAAAGCTGAGTTGTTGGCTTGTGCAAAGATTCAAAAGATCCCCTAATATCCTCGTTCTTTCAGGTGCCGAACTTTGACTGAAGTATATCCTAATTTGCGATAAAAATATATCTTCCGTTTCCCCTGCTTCGCTCCAATCTGGTTGTGGGTGGTTGGGACCTGGACTTGCCGCCGGTGTAGGGGGAGGAGGGGGATCGTGACTTGAATGGGTGGGAGATTGTAAATCGGCGGAAGGAGTTGTCATGTTTGGGGTTGGGGGACCTCTTGGTCGACTCAAGATCTTTTCTAACCTTTGCGGCATTGGAATGTGATCGCCATTTGTGTCGACCGTTAGCGCTCGGGTAGGAGACATTTCGCCGTCTTTTTCGGTAGGTGCAGTGGATGCTCTTCTATCTGTCAAGCTCAAAGGTCGGAAATTTTCCATAGTCGCTTTCTCCTTATCGTCTATTCTTACAGAGACCTCTCGTCTATGTTGACGGGTCGAGAAAGATTATGATCGTGGGTGCGGACGTGGATGAAGGGCTTTCCCCAAACAGATTGATGGTTTGGGACCGAGGGAAGGATTGGGTTTAACAATTAGTCGTTGAACGCTCGACCATGAAAAAGGGAAGACGATGGCGCCAATTAAGGGGACGTCGATTATATTAGATTTCAAACCAAGGGAAGAGTATTTCAATGTGTGATGAAGGACGAAGGCGGTGTTGAAAGAAGGTTGTGTAACCCTAATGTTCAAGGGAACACATTCGAATGCGTTGTCGTTAATGTTGAAACTCGATGATTAATGAATGGGATGGATGGATTGGATGGATTGGATGATGAATCCTTTATCATTGACACTGATCACAATGAAACAAATGGTAAGAATAATTCGAATCGTAATAATAAGGACTGTAATTGATTAGATTTCTTGGACGAGCAGATGATAATTCCTTTCTTACTTTATTAATTGTACTTGTACGTACTGGGTTGGGCTGAAGTTGATGTGAGAGATGAGGAAGGACTGTGTGTTGGGGAGTAATGTGAATGGTGTGTAGCGTAGTGAGTAGTGAGTAGTGAGTAGTGAGTAGTGAGTAGTGAGTGAGTGGTGAAATATGAAATGTGAAATGTGAACGCAGGCGGTTCTTTGCTAATTCATTGGAGCTTTGGGGTGGTCTCAGTCAGTATTATTATTTATTATGGTTAAGCATATGTCTAACTAAAAGATGGATCACTTATAATAAACCTCAGGTCTAGATATCCTATCCTATACCGAGTATGACATGCAGTTCTTATGTTTATGAAGATGTTTGTGAAGATACGACGATACTTGTGAAGATATTTTCAAAGACATTCTTGAAGATAAGGATAGATGAAAATAATCTTACAATAGGTTAAGGTTACTGCAAACAGAACAAACATATGAGATTCGATGAATGAACATGAAAGTCTCTTGTTACAATTCCTGAATGAAAACGGGTTATAATTACGAGGGGTACGTACTAAAAAAGGCATCATCGTCATGAATGAATTGACTACAAACACAATCTACATACCGGTACAGGAGTGAGTTGGGTGTATCAAGGGTATCTCTACAAAGCATATCCCAGTGCGCGTTCTTGTATGAATCAAGTCGGTGGTGGCGATAGATAGATAGATTAGGTTATGATGTGACATGTTATATGTTACACAATCTATCTTTCTAATCAACGTCTTGTTTAGATATTCAGTTGTGTAGGTGTAGGTATATATGCAAGTCCTCATTGTCGCTATCCAGCCCAAGTCCTCGTTACTCCTATTCAACTATCACCAACATCAAGCTTTCATCCAACAATTCATAAGACGAGTATTGCAGCTATATTCCATACAATAAACATCTAGCTCTTTCATCATTATCATCTTCATCTTCATCTTCATCTTCATCTTCGTCTCCTCTCGTCTCCTCTCCTCTCCTCTCGTCTCCTCTCCTCTCCTCTCTCTCTCTCCTCTCCTCTCATTTTAACACAAATACTCTCCATCCATCTACATCATTCTATAAATTCCCATTCAAGAACATGCTTAGCTAAGTCAGTAAGTAATACCAACTCATAAAGGGGGTACTGTTCTATAAACCGACTACCTCTAGTCTAGTATCCATCCATCCACCTCCTTTCTTTATCGTGATAAGCAATCACCTCACCTCACCTCACCTCACCTCATGAAATCTCACATAAAGATCACCTCCATTATCACCACAATCCCCCAAACACATACATCAACTCCTTTTCTCCATCTCCAACAAAAAGCACGAATACGAATAAAAGGCTGTGCACAAATTACAATACAATACAATGCCCAATGCACAAAACACAAATTCACATCCTTTCGCCTGGTTTCAAATCCTTGAATAAGTTACCCCTACTCCTGTCTTTCGTCTAGGATTCTAACTCTATGCTTAGATAGGTATTTTTAGGAGAGGTTTCGAAAATCTAGAGCTCTAATAAATCACGTCCTAGCGTTTCGAGATGGAAATATCCGTGTATAGTAGTCCCTCTATTAGTGGAGTTGTGTGGAAGCGAACCATGCGAATTGTGCCTTTATTTCCCCTCTTAACTCAATCGCATGAATTGGGTTTACATGTTAAGATGTAAAACATAGTAACAAGATCTTATGATTGGTATTGTATTTTCTCGCCCTCTCCAATCCATATCCATTTCATACAAGAATATCTATCTATGTGTTCGACCTCTGCTTTCTTGTGTTAGAATGGCCTTAGTCGAGTTTTCCATTTCATTTCGTCATCTCGCCTCATTTATATATTACAAAACTTCCTTCATTCAATCATTCACTCAATGATCATGGCCAAACTGTGTCAATAGAGGAATTAACATTCCCCCAACTGCCGCCAGCGTATCCCGCATTTGCGGCTTCGCTTGTTTGCGCTGTGAAAGACCCCCCTCGAGGTATCCATTAGAATTTGTATGTTCATGAGTATGCACCCCTGAATCTTCTTGCATGGCATGCATTGCGACGTATCTATTCACTTGTTAGTAAACGCTCGGTAGGTTTGTTTCGAACAGAAATAGAGAGAGGATCCTACAAAAAGGTTCCACCGGAGAATAACAATAACATTCCAGTCCACCATTGCCCTCTTACTCCTTCTATATTTCCTCCACCTAGGATATTTACCAATAGGAAAGTGGTAATAGCACCAAATGGTGCTGCGAGACTGAAAACTACAAGGTGACCACGTGCTGCTCGTTTGGAAAGTCCTTGCTTCAGTAGGACGGAAGTAAGCCCGAATGCTGCGGGTGCTTTGTGTACCATGATCGCTATGAAAATGATAAATCCTAACTTCGTGTTGGATGTAGATGCGGAGGCTCCCATGGCTATCCCATCTGCTGATGCATGTATCACAAGCCCTGTCGTTGTAGCCAGACTACGACTTTGCTTTGGGCTTGGTGTGAGGGATTGAAAAAACCCATCTGATTCTTCATCAGATGAGGAAATGTTCTGAGATAAATTGTTGAGGGAAATTTGTCTCGGCGCAACTGGGGCTTGTAATTTCTCAGAGGCGTGTCTCGGGAGTTTGTCAATTAAGAACATGAGAATAAATCCCAAGATAAGGGATAGACCAATCCAAAATGTAGGTGATTCGACCTCATCCCGATGTTCTTCGCTTTGGCTCCCCGGTTTCTCCTCCAACTTCTCTGGGGAGTTATCCTCTTTTTCCTCTGGCAAAGTCTCTCTGGTAACAATCGCAACTTCTAAAGGCTGTGAATTCCTGGCGCCCAGTTTGGCATGTCGTCGATTGATCTTCGCTTCGTTCGTGTATGCGATCGTATTGAGTCCGCCAACCCATGAAAGTCCGGAGTTTCTCTCTTGAGTTGATACACTTCTGGGCCCATGACTATGTGCCGAATAACCTGCGGTATATACTGCTTCAATTCCTTCAGGTATAATAACAACCAATGAAGTACCGACAAGTACCCCCATACCAATTGTAGATATTAATCGAAGCTGCGATGGTGATAAGGTCATAGACAATGGCACTGCTCCCGCAAGAAAACAACTAGAGACCCTATTAGCATATTGATTATAACTTTTAAGCCAGAAGATTACCTCAAACACATAATCACGCTCAAAATGAGCAGCATAAATAAGCCGTCGAACATCTCGAATACTTTCTTCTATTTTGCAGCCTTCAAACCTACGTCGCAATGGGATAGAATATTCAAAGAAGATATCACCGCCTCATTTCGGGATTTTGCATCACAACAAAAGGAAAACAAAGTCCAAGGTTATTGAATACTCGAAAAAGCAGGTGAAAGATATTAGGTGCTAGTTCTCTTAACCTCACTCCCTTTATAAAGAAATTTAATTCGTCACTCCGGGATGACAGATTTGGGTCTCACTCCCGCGAACGAGGCTGAACTTAATTCAACTTAAACTTAACCTTAAGAATGGCAGTGCCAGGCCAGTGCTAAGTAATCCACTAATCCACTAAGAAACCCTGTACCTTTTTCTTGAGGGGGAGGAAACGCGTCTCGGAAAATCAATCTACGCGATTGAAGCTCTGAGAAGCTCTGAAGCTGATCTGAACTTGGGATATCTTAAACCTTACATTTTCAACCCAAAACGATAATTAACGATCAATTGACAAACCAACCTTTCGCATCAACGATAACAGGAAAATCATTGTCGCAAACATGGCCGATGTCAATGCTGATTGTAAGTGTCTTGGGTTTCTTTCCTCAAGTCCCGTTACTGTTTCTTTTCATTAGCTTCTCCCCCTCCCTCAAACTTTGCGCTCGAATCCAATGCGCCGACGAGCAAATCCCTACATAAACATTATTTCTTCATTTCATGAGAGCTAATACCATCATCTCCAGGGGCTGCTGATTCCAATGAAGCTATTTATATCTCATTGGTCACTCCAAGCACGGGAGCCACAACCTCACTTCACACTTTCACCCCGAAGTTCACATATCCCATATTCGGAGATGAAGAATCGATATTTGGATACCAGGGCTTGAGAATCAACTTAAAATACAATGCCTGTGATATGCGACCAGGCCTACAAATTACTTACAACAAGAGGTTCAAGGCAGTGGGTGATATAGAACCAACGGATTTGAAGGCGACGCTGGAACCATTCTTACCAAAGAGTACGTATTGCTCCGACGGAGCTGCCATTTTCTATTACTGATGTCAGTACAGCTGCTTTTGAAAAGTCAAGTGTTTTCGATTCAAATATCTCGGCTATCCCAGCAGATTGGCATCCACCGGGAGAACTCTTTCGCGCAATTGAGGTCGCTGGTGAGACATTTGAAATATGGAAAGGTATCCTCTCTGATCCTGTCGTTCAACAAACCATCAAGCGCATTCAAATATTAGTCCCTTTATTCATTGAAGGAGGGACGTTACTTGATCTCGATGAATCGGAAGACGATCTTGAGCGATGGACTGTATTTTTCTTATACCACAAGAAGCCACCCACAGCCTCATTTTTCGGGAAATCTTCATCATACGTATTCATGGGATTTTCAACCGTCTATCGCTATTATATGTACACACCCACGACTCCGCCACAAACTCCCAATGGTGATAAGATAGCTCCAGAATTTACGCTTCCTGTCGATGGAGTCTCGTTCAATACTCTTCCTTGTCGGTCAAGGATATCTCAATTTATGATTCTTCCACCCTTCCAAAGCGGGGGCAAGGGATCATTGTTTTATAATGCAATATTCGACTACTTGTCTGATGATCCATATACAAGAGAGATCACGGTAGAGGACCCGAATGAGGCATTCGACGATTTAAGAGATATTAACGACCTAGCTCGTCTACGCAAAGACGAAAGATTCCTCAAGTTGAAGCTCGATTCAAAGTTGAAGATCAACCCTAAAGGGCCAGCTCCTACGAAACTTTTCGACACTAAATCATACGAAGAACTCCGAACTCAAGTAAAAATTGCCCCTCGGCAATTTGCCCGCGTCCATGAAATGTACCTTCTGTCCATAATTCCCCAGTCTGTCAAAGCAGCTCCTCTCCACGATACAGCTGAAACTTCCAAAGAATCTTTACCGCCTCCCAGGAAAGAAGATGAACATACATACCATCTCTGGCAACTCCTCGTTAAACAACGTTTATATCGCCACAATAAAGAAGCATTGGCGCAATTAGACCGTGGAGAAAGAATCGATAAATTGAACGAGACCTTGATGGGTGTAGAGGCTGATTACGGAAGATTAATTGAGGCGGTCAATGAAAGGAGTGAAAAAGAGAAACGGACTGCTGTGGGAAAGGGCAAGGGGAAGAGTACAGTTAATGAGAGTGGGAAGAGGGCTGTTAGTGGGGGGGATGAAGATGAAGATGATGGAGAAGATGAGAATGACGTACCATTGGCTAAGAGGTTGAAGTTTGCTTCTTAAAGACCAGAGCACATTTCGGGCGGTATGTGACGGCGGAGGGACATGTATCAAAACTGGTACCAAATTACTATTCGATCATGGCGTTTGGGTGTGTTTTATGCTCAGGGATGATATCAGGGAATGCTTGAGATGTTTTCACACTTTGGTTTTCGGGTGGGAATCAATAAACACGGAGAGGAAGAATAAATACCAGAGCTGGTCAATTTATTTCAGCTTCAGAGATTAGTATGAAAAGAAAATAAGTACAGCAAGTCATAGAATGATCACTATGGCGCCAGCCATTTTGTCGTTGCATTTTCCCCATCCATCTTGGTATTCATTTTCCCATGCCATTCCAGTTCCCCATCCTATACCATCCCATACCCCTCCCCACACCTCCTCCAACCGAACCTTAAAACCTCGTCCCATTAACCCCCACCCCACCCTCCCCAATTGCCCCGCCACAACCGTCGCTTCCCTCACCGCCCTCGCCACCGTGCCCCTCACCCTCCCTTCTTCCAGAACCAAAGTCCCCTATCGTACACCCACCCGGCGTACTAACTTTATCTCTTAGTAGCGCGGGGTGTTCACCCGAGAGAACGAGACCAGCGGCTCCACGCATAGTTTGCGCTGCCATTTTTTGGGCTTCTGTGCGCGGGAGTCCCATGGCTACGGCGCCGTCTATGGTTGCTTCGAGCATTAGGGCGAAAAAAGCGGGACCGGATCCGCAGAGAGCGGTGCAGGCATCCATGGTTGATGGGGGGAGAAATACTACTTCACCTATGCGTGTGAAGATCCAGGTTATGAGTGCGGTTGTGGGTTCTGGGAGAGGTGGTGTAGAAGTACCGATTACGGTCATTGATTCTCTGATTTGAGATGCTGTGTTAGGCATAGCTCGGACGATTGTGCAGGGATTAGAGGCTGACGCAATGTCTGTTAGACCTTTTGTTTGTTCGGTGAAGAGCTCAGAGTAGAGTTGTTCGATTGTTATACCGGCACAGATGCTGATTAGGAGTTTACCTGTTAGAGCTTGCCCCATTCCAGGTTCCGACAGGATTTCTTTTACCATGTAGGGTTTGCAAGATAAGAGGACTATGTCAGCTTGCTGAACGGCGGAGACATTGTTGTTTTGGAGGATTGTGAGGGAGGTTGGTGAGGAGGTTAGAAAAGGCGAGAGTGCTTGGTGCACTTTTTTGGCGGATTCGGGACGGCGGACGCAGGCGATGAATTTGGATGGGAGACGGGCGTGTGGTGAGGTTGGGTAGACAGGAGTTGTGGTTTTGGATGTGGTTTTAGGGATGGGCTTTAGTGTTTCTGGGGTACCGAGGGAGCTGAGGATCCCCGAGAGAATTGCTATGCCCATTGTTCCTAGGTTTGAATGTTAGCTTTGCCATGTTTCATAAATTCCTATGTTTGTGTAAGTTCTAAGCAAAGGTAGCAAAGCATCTGATTTGTAGTACATGATTTATGTATTGAGCAAATGTGCATGGGGATCATTTTGGGCTCTGACATGATACTATTACACATGAAGATAATTCAGCAGATCCCATGCTTTTAAGGAATATAAAACGATCTGTAGGAGAGGTGATGAGGTCTACATGTGAGCGAAAGTAAATATCCATATCTTTTCCCAAAAGCTTCAAGAGCAGGCCTCATCAACCAACCAATGGCTCTTGCCATACTCAAGAAGCAAATTGACTCCTGCATATCACTAATCGACATTAAGTTTAATAACATGAAATCCTGTCAAGGCAAGAGAACGAGTCCAAAGAAACAAACACACGAACACACAAACACACAAACATACCACAACCAAGAACTGTCAAGGTCATTTCTGTTTCCGTATCTTCAATCGAAGAACTCATCTTAGCTTTTGTTTTCTTCGATCTGAGTTATTGGTAAAGGGAGTAATTGAGTATGTTATTGAGTTTCTTCTCAACATCCCTTGTTTTGAAATATCAAAGTTCCAACCTTTCAATTAGGACGTTGGAAGAGGTTAAAACAACAAAGCTCCCTCCCCACAACATCAACATCCCACCACAATACTGCCGGACCTTTACCGCCCAAAATTCACCCGATCAAGCCTAGCAACCTGGAACTACTACATCATGGATCTCACCAATGCAGGCCTTCTGCACGTCGATGAACTTCTAGAAACCATTAAAGTTCCTACTTTTCGCACACATCTACCGCACCCTCTACCACTCAAGCTATTCGATTCCGAGCCAGAGTCACAGCAAAATAATATGGATCCGTTTGAAGTGCGCATTCGCTTTACGCAGTATTTGCAACATTTAAATGCGAGTGTTGCGAGTGCGAATAAGACGGCTCAATATGCGTTGAAGTATAGGGATATGGATGAGGACTTGCATAGTTGTATTTTGGAACAATTGGAGAGGGTAAGTTTACGTCTTACCGTCTTGAAAATGGACCGCATCTAAACGGCTGGGTCGAAGGGCGAATGGAAATGTTTATGGTTTTGTCGCCATTTTTATTGCGGTTAAAATAGAGTGAAGCTAATCTAGTGTCCAGAATTCTATGAACAATAGGGCGAATATTATGTATTTTATTGAGATTTTATGCGATATGGCATCTAGAGAAGGTCACGATGATTACGTACGAATGATTCAAAGAGATATTTTACGGGTAGTCGATGCAGTTGCGCCGGAAGATGGATCGGGAGCAGCAAATGTCAAAGTAGTACGCAAAGTTCTCCAAGGCCTTCAGCAAAAGTCTTTCCTCTTGTCGCAAACGGTCACAGAAATCGAAGAATGTCTGAAAGAACGCGACACTCAGCCAGATGCTCTTTTGTCTTCTCCATCGGCAGAAAACGAAGCGAATGGAAATGGAACTTCTCAACATGCTACCCCAAAGCAGACTAAGACGAATGGAGTTGGTAGACTGGATAAGAGACAGATTGAGCAGAGAATCGAGGAGGATAGAGAGAGGCATAAGAGATTGAGAGAACATATTTGGGCAGTACCAGTTACGGGGCCAAATTCGGAGTTCGATAAATTATGGGATGAGACGAGCGATTTGGGAGATGACGATATGGATGTATATGAAGAAGAGGCCATGGAAAGAAAGGAGGCTGGAAGGGAATGGTTCAACGAACAAGTTCAAAGAAGTAGACTTGAGGGACAACCTTGACTTATGCGTTAGATTTTGGGGGCATGGCGTTTGGTTGCATGTCTGGTAGGATCTTGTGTTGGCGTTACATGACCAGTTTGGTATAAAGGATTATATGGGACATAATTGCCTGGCGTTATCACTTTTGGGTTATGGGGGCTTGCATCGTGTGGCTATATGGGCATTCCTTCGTCCTTTGCACGAACAAGACTAAGGAGTCGGTACCGAAAAATGCGATAATACCATATTGTTACATAAGAGCATCGCGTGACGGATTCCGCGTTTTTAAGCGAAAAAACTTTCTTTAAGGGAGATCTGAAATCATGGTATTCATATACTCCATTTAATTCTTCCAAGATTCCATTTGGCTTTCGTCGCATATTCACCATCTCATGGCGAAAGTCAGAGGAAGTGTACAAGTTTACACAATAGATTTACTCTACGGATCCTCACATCCATACCTAGCCACAATGCCAGTTGCACGTCATCGTATCTTTTGAATGGGGCACGTTTTCAAATACTTTGAAACAATAACCCTTGTCTACACATTATCCTCATGGCTACTCGAGTAGTTTGGGAAGCGAGCCTCAGTTCCCGAGTTCCAATCTTCTCAACAGCTCTCTCTTGGTAGTCAGTCATTACTCTCCTTGGAATATCTCTATAATCATAATTCTTTCTCAAACTCAAAATCATTGAAAAGGCCAAAAAGTTCTAACGCCGTCCCTTCCATATTCTTAGATAACGCCGAATGAGCGACTCTTATCGAAAAACTCCAGAATCCCATAGAAGAGGCTGTCTATCATCTGATCTCACACTAGTCTTTCCACGCAAACTTGGTATAAGATTCTTGATTCCTCTTTTTCTCTTCGAAGCGGTATTGGAGCCTTTAGTGTAGCTCCGAGAGGGAGATGTTGGTTTTACTGTTGATGTTGATGAGGTATATGAAGTTGTTTGTGTCTCGGCTGGGATCGTTATGGTAGGGATTAACTATCTTGACGTGCTAGTTTGTAGAATAATATCATGGTCTGGAAGGTGTGTTTGATTGAGATTTCTTCTCTTATTGTATTCGCGAGGAGCAAATTGTGATAAGTATGCAGTTGTTGGGTAGTTTTGGAATATAAAGTGGTGCAGGTGGTCTTATTATCGGACTTTGAGTTAAACGTGCAAACATGTAAAACTTCAAAAGATCGGAGAAGATACGGGCTCTACAGGTTTTAGTTGAGGGCCGCTGTAGGGGTGCTAAAGCATTATCAACATCTATCTTCATGATAGCGAAAGGATCTACGTGGTGATAATGTATTGGCAAGGATAAAGGACCCTATCCAGAGTTTACACTTGTGTAACCTTGTTAAGAGACATTGATGTAGAAGGTTAGGAAGGTGTAGTACAAATTAATTTGTTCAAATACAATATGGCAACCTTTATAATTTGAAAATTCCCAAGGATTCATATTGTAAAAGTGGTAGGTCGAGATATGTGCGTCCTGATAACATGTTGTGAGGGGGAGTTGGAAGAAAAAGCTGATTAGATCACATTGTAATATGTTACTTATGGAGAAAACGGGGTTTACAATGGTTTTAAGATTGAAACTATATAGGTTCAAATGTATATATGTAGAAAATTGATTATTGTGGAAAGGAAAAACAAAAGCTTTCCTTTTATATCTAACTATAGAAGGTTATATAATTGATTAATTAAAAACCTCTATGTATCTGGCCTATAATTCCAACTTTCTCGCAATATCTCGCAGCGCTGGACGGTACGAGGAGTATGGTCGGTCGGCTATTTTCCCGGTCACTAATATGGTTAGCCGAGCCCCTTGGTGAGGCTCAGATGGGAGAGGTGCTCCCTGCGAAATCCTGCTGGAGGAACTTTTATTTCGTGAAAAAATACTTTTGGGGTGATTGTTGTAGATTATTCCCGTGGTTGTCATAACCACCTTTTTACTCAATATAAGGTGATAGCTGGTTTGAAGATTTATACGATAATAAAACATTTACTACTAGAGTGTAATTAGTGAAATAAAATTTCAACCCGGGATATCATTTAATTCTCCGATATGAGTTAAATTATTAAAAATTATTATTAGGCTTTGGAGCCTGGGAGGCTGCTGATGATCACAATCTTAATTGGAGTATTGGAAGTATTATGAAATTCGCTGGCAAGATTGTGTCACTCGGATAGATAAAAGGCACACACAGAGAAAACGCGTCATGGGTGATGCATACTGCAATATTATGGCCAATCTAAAAGTGTGAGTAACAAACAAAGGAAGCCAGCCACACACCCCCAAACTAAACTTCGTAAAATATTCAAGTCATAGGTGAGTCCTCCGAGCTATGCGAGACAATCAGAACAATAAATTTTGGCAATTTCATCAATTTCCTCCGATTCCAAGTTGACCATCCGTCACAAAATGGCTTCCACCAGCACACCTATATCCACCAGCCTGTTTAATCCATTGAAAACCCGCCACACAAACCCCCATGGTTTTCAATTTAGCCTGAGCCTGCGCCTCCTTTTTTCTTCTCTCTACTTCTTCCAATCTTCTTCGCTCTATTTCCTTCTCGATGCGTTCTCTTTCAGCCTTTGCTTGCAACTCGCGAAGTCGAGCTTCTTCACGCAATCGAAGTTGTTCTCGGCGCTCGGCTTCATGTTTTGACTCGATTTCCTGCATGATTGCCTCCCTGGCTTTTCTTTCCGCCTCTTGAAGTGCTTCAACTCTTTCTTGCTGTCTTCGTACCTCGATCGCATAGCGCTGGGCTTTTTCCTCGGCGGCCCTTTTGTCTTGTTGCAGTTGAGCCCATATTGCATCGGGGACTCCTGCGTCACGAGCAATTTCATCGTAGGATGCTTCAGGCTCTGTTGGTAAACTTGATCGCTGTTCTTCCTCAACACTTTCCTTTTTCTTGATTGAATTGACGGTCTTGATGGCCATTGTAGAAGAAGCGGGTGGTTCCTGAATCTTGCTCATGACCGGGCTGTTTGTCGAAGAATTGAACCTAGGTTGTCCTTGGACGGTAGCCCTATTTTTTTTGCCATCGATCATGCATTGAATGCAAGCTAGTGCTTCATCATATGATAGAATAATGTTTGGACTCTCTGTTATTGAGTTGGTGGTCGACTGGTAGGCCGCGCGTATCATGCTCTTGGCCAACGTGATCATATCTCTCGCATTACCCCAGGCAGGAAGGGCTGAAAGCTCTGCGACCATGTCCAAGAAAGGTTGGTGACTTAGTATATTATTCAAACCCTCTATCAAGATTTCCTCTTTCTCCAGAGCATTCTGTAGGACGAGAAGAGAATCTCTTGGATCTAGAGCAGGGAATACTATCTCATCGGGAAAACGGCTATTCAATCCTTCGTTCGCACTGAGCAATACATTCATATCTTTTTCATACCCCGCCAGAATTATAATCATTTTATTGGCGAATTTTGGCTTTGTCATGGACTAGAACATAGCTCGGTCAATATTGATAATGTTGGAAGACGACGAGATAGAAATCCAAGATTCAGCGAAATGACAAAAACTGATGTTGCACAAGGTAGAAGTTTGTGATCATGCATATTATAAATGAAAGGAGAGCACTGACATCCACTAGCTCATCAATGGCCTCTTGAGCGAAATGCCCTTGGCCAAGTCGGTACGCCTCATCAATGAAAAGAACTTTGCCGAGCCCAAGCTCGAGCTGCTTAATGGTCTTGGGGCCAGTTTGTCCCACATACTGACCAACTAGGTCAGACGCGGAGCATTCTACGACTCTGACTTCGGAAAGAAGGCCTAAGTCATAATAAACTTGACCAATCTTGCGAGCGGTTGTCGTTTTGCCGGTACCTAAAATCAATTATCAACACGGAAATCTAAAATATAATATATCTGAGATGCTGAGTAGCACATGCCTGGAGGACCCTTGAATATGAAATTCATTGGAATATGAGATCGAGGATCTTTTCCGACCTTCTTCGTACGTTTCGCAACATTCACATATCCAGTAAGTTGAGCGACGATGGAGGCACATCCCATCACATCTTTGAACAGTTCCCTAAGATTTGTCTCTGCACCCTCAGGTCGATCATAATCTGGATCGAAGTCTTGTGGTTCAAAAATAAAGTCCACCGATCGCTTACTGACTTGCAACTTTGATTGTCGAGACTGGTAATTGCGTTTGGCCCGTGAAATCAGGTTCTCCACTTCACCACCGTTTCCAAAATTCAGACCATCCCGGGCTCGTCCAAGGAGATCTATGGCAACTGACACAGCTTTTGGGGTCGCTCCAAGTCCCTGAGTCTCCATCTTGAGATAGAGGATCTCTTCCAACTCCTGATCATTAAAATCTGCGAAATTGAAGGCGTCTTTGAGTGCGAAACGTCTGGTAAGGCCCGGGTTCACATTTTGAAACATCTCAACCATTTTGTCTTCGTAACCGAGAAGCAGCACGCACTGATCATCACCCGGTACATTTTGCACTTCGGCCACGATTGTGTCTATGACGGCTGTTCTGTACATGTCAGCGCCGCCACCACCCTTATCAGAGCTGGAGTAAAGCATGTATGCTTCATCAATGATCAGAACTTTTCCAACTGTGCTAGCCAGAATGTTTTTAGTATTCTCCTCGGATTGCCCCATGGCACTTCCGATGAAATCAGCGGGATTCTTTGTGATGACTAGAGCTTGTTAGAATAATTCATCTTAACTCAGAATATAAAAATCAAAAGGCTGCTATTTGGTCTGAGGAGTCGGGCTTGCAAAATCCAGACTGCAGTTCGAAAACGAATAAAATGCTTGAGTGCCAAATATGATACGGATAATTTGCAATCTCAAATCCACTTGGAGGTTCGATTGTAATCAAAAATTCACAGGACTAGAATATTTGAGTTTTCAGACAGATTGAATATCGACCAAATTTCAGACTTTTGAGATCTCTGGTAATAAAGCAAATTGAACTATAATATTATCACTCACCTTCCCCATTGCTCAATAGACCAAGGTCTGAGAGAATTCGACCATAAAGCTTAGCTACCGTAGTTTTGCCTGTGCCTGGAGAGCCCAGAAATACCCGGTTGAGTGATGTGTTCACAGGAGGCAATTTTTTAAGCTCTCGTTCGTAATTGGTCTTGATCATATCAATTAAGCCTCTGACGGACTCTTTGACTGAGTCCAAACCCGTGAGGCTTTGTAGCCGATTCCAAGCTTCGCAATCGAGAATTGCCTGGGATGGATCTGGCCCGATTAGGTCTTCCTTAGAAATTAGGTTGTCGTCTGGACTGAGGCCTTTCTTACGTTCCTTCGTGAGTCGATCGGCTTGACGTTCTCGAATCCTTGCAAACATATTCTCAAGAGCTCTTGCATTTCCGAAACCGTCTCGAGCCCTCCCTCTGCCCAGGCGCTGGATTGCAATGTGCATAAAAAGCCCGTCCTGACCGTCTTCTATCTTCATAGGGAATTGATAGAATTTATGGATCTTGGACTGCAACATTTGAAGAAGCTCCGAGTCAGTATAGTCCTCAAAACGAAGTGTGTATGGTAGACGAGATGATATTCCGGGGTTATGCTCAAAGAACTTTTCCATTTGCTTGCGATACCCGGCAAAGATGAAAACTACTTTGCCCACAAGATTTTCAATCTCTGTAAGTAGATAATCGAGAACAGCTTTGCCACCATAATTGTGCCCTTCCGTTAACTGGTAGGCTTCATCAATAAAGTAAACTCCCCCTTGTGATGCTTCAAGAATTGCCAGATGCTTTTTGACATCATTGACTCCACCATTTGCAAGATGGCTACCCGTTGTCTCAACAAATTCATCACCAGGAAGAACCTGAAGTGTTGTTAGAACTTTCGCATAGAGCCTCGCTACAGTTGTTTTCCCTATTTAAAATTAGAAAATTTACCACCATAACTGTGTCCAATGGCCCGCGGTAGCAGTCCGACAATGAGCTTGTGGGTCTCTAATCCAAATAAAAACATTCAAATGTAAAATCGAATAATCTTCAGTTTCTACTATTTCTTAAATATTGAATCCAATCAGAATATTCAAACTATTTGGATCATTGAATTGTACCCAAATATTGAAAGCAGCCCGAATATCGAAAAATTACATCCCAGGTAATTTGGGTTGTTTGAAATACTGAATATAAATGAGACTGAAGACATACCTGTGCCAGGGTTTCCTAATAAAACTAGTCCAAATCTTTCTTTGGTGAGATCCGTTCCCTGACGTTTTGATGTGTCGACTTTGGCTTTAATCCGCAGAACTTGGGATTTCACATCCTCCAGCCCGATCATTTCTATAATCTTATCTATCGCTGGATTTCTAGCATTCTCTTGATCTTTTTGTCTTTGCCAATCGGTTTTTGATGCTGAAACATTATGATCAAGGCAAATTTGAAGATGCTCCTGAAGATTTTTCTTTTTATCTGGCAGTTTTGGTTTTGGTATGTCTTGCAGCGGCACAGGGCTGGTGGTCGTAGGACTGGGACAAGGATTTGATAGCGGAGGCGATGAATGTCGTTGCGCGTCTGATTTTATTTGATCATTACGGTCCATCATTACAGACAAATCCTTTCTTTTTTGTGCTAAAACTTTTCCTTGTTCTGATCTCAACCGAGCGTCTCGAAATTTTTGTTGCGCGTTGTCAATTTCGTTTTGAACCTTTTTGAGTTCTTTCTGATGTTTTTGACTTATTTCATCCAACCGTAATTGTTCTTCGAAGTCTTTCTGTGCTTGTTCAGCCGCATCTCGTTTTTCCTTCACACATTTGGGGCAGGACATTGATGGAAGACCTTGATGACATAGTGACTTGTTTGTATGGCCATCGGGGCATTTGTGCTCTAAAATCACTTTGCAGAGCATTTTAGAGTGATCGAATATTTGATGGCAACTACTGGGGCAATGATGAATTTTGCATTTCATCAGAGCACCACTGATTAAACGATTAGCAGCCTGTAAAAGTACCACAAGTAGAGTGACCCACCAAGGCTCTTTGCATCCTCCATCGGGACAATGCTTTTCGAAATCTTCTGGTGTCGACAAATTTATCACCCTAGTCGGGTGATTCTCGCATCTCACGGGGAATCCTTGGTACACATGTCCTGATGCTGATAATAAATCGAAGAACTTCTTCCATAGATCTTTTCCTTTCCGAGCATGTACGAAGGTGTCAGAATTACCGACCATGATCAGCCCGTTTCTTGCTCGCGAAACCAAGACGTTGAGTCGTTGAGGCTGAGACAAGAAACCGATATCATTATTCGAGTTGCTTCTAGTCAATGAGACGAGAACAATATCACTTTCCTCACCCTGGTAGTTATCTTGATTGGAATTAGTGGTATATTAACGGTGTGCGAATTAATACAGGTTAAAAAAGGTTTCATGAGAAAATTTCTCAGGATCAATGATTGTTTCACAAAGCATTCTGATGTGTCGACAATTTTTAACAAATGAAGTTGCTTTTGAAACAAGGGCTGAAAGAAGATCTTGATAGGGAAGGAATGAAATAAGAGTAATACGTACCGACAGTAGAGATACGGAGTGAAGGCTTTGAAGCCTTAGCACCTGCGTCAACATACAAGCCAGCACGGATGAGGTCATATTTGTCCAAGTCGTTAAGTATAGGATCATTCTCTTTTGACAGCTTTTCACGCAGCAATTTGAGCTGGGCGACATATGGTGTTAGGACCACCAATTTCTCAGACCCGTACCCTTGTTGAGCAAGATACTTCACACATTTCAAGATCATGTTGGCCTCATACTCATTCTGCTTAGATGAACTCGAGTCGACATTATCCCTCATTGCTTTGACTTTTATATCGTTTTCAGGAGATCTGTGATCTATAAAGATAAGGTTGTCTCGGACGCCAAGAATATTTTTTCGATTGTGCGTAGAGTCGGCATCGATCAGGTCTGGATATGTAATATGCCTAATAATGGACGATATCTCTGGTCTAGAACGATGTTGCTTAGTCAACGTGACATGTGGAAATCCATCAAGAACCAATCTCTCAAACAAGGACATGTCCAGGTTGTAGCCGTCTCCTTGTTCCACCTTTAGGCCGTATGTATTGCACTTCGGGCGAAGCTGTTTGTGGTCTCCGATGAGGATCAGTTGCTGCGTGTCCTTTGCCAAAGATGTGAAGATATGAGCCTCGAGAATTTCTCCAGCTTCTTCAACCAATAATACCCCAGGAGAGGCAATCTGAATTGCCGACGTGTATTTTGCAGCGGCAGTTGTTGTGCAGCCAATAATTCTCTTGGATTTGATTGTGCTAATATCTCTCTGGTCGAAGATACTCTCTTTTTCTGCTTGCTCATCATTGAACTGCTTGCCGATTTTAAGCATTTCTTCAACCATCTCCTCTATAATAGCTAACCTCCACCCTGAGACAATCGCATCCCTCGACTCTGGACTGATTGTCCATACTTCGTTTGAGCGTTTGGGTTGAGTATATCGGAGACTCCCTGCATCCGTCACACCCCTGATCCACCTATTCAACAAATAGAACTTGTCCACGGCCTTTCCTTTTCTTCCGACCTGGGTCATATCATCCTTTTTGGCCATGGGCACCTTGAACGTATCAAAAAATGGAATATCATCAGGCAGAAACTCGAGGTAATCCAATATCTGTTGCTTGCTTACTTGATTCGAGTGATACCATCTAAACGCGCGTTCTAATCTTGTCTTGTGCTGATTGAGACTTGATTCAAGTTTGTGAATTCGGTCCCATTGTGAACTATTGAGTTTTCCCGACCCTTTAGACGGCCCTTGTTCGCGTAAAGATAGTTTTTTTGTTCGAGGTGTGGACTTTGATCCAAGTCTGATCATATTTGAAGATGGAATCCCGATGTCCAGAAGGTCTTCGAGAAATTGATCCAGCGCATGGTTTGTATAGCAGACGACCAAAATGGTTTGAGACGTGAAATCATGAAGTATTTTTGCACCTAAAGCTCCAATGAATGATTTTCCCGTGCCTAAAATCATTTCGTTAGCATCAATTTGGACATAAAAGGTATTGAATACGCACCTGGTGGCCCTTGAACCAGACTCACCCTCTGAAATAAGATAGCGAGCAGAGAATTCGTCTGGGATTCATCGAGAATGACTGGCTTCTGAGTCCCAATCAAAGAGGAAAGATCTTTACCAGTGCTTTTTTGGATATGTTGTTTGAGTCGTAAAGGCTGGAACGGAGGCCCCTGGACACGTTGACCCTCACTCCATGAGAGAAGTTCTTCAGCCAAAGGAACATTATTCATCTCTTGTAGTCTTCTGAGAAATGGTTCGAAAGCGAAGACAGATGTGTCTATTTGCACGAACTTTATATTTTGCGCTGTCTTTAGCTTCACCAACGCCTCCGATACGGTTGTCTCATCTTCAAATTGCAAGACTATCTTCGCTGGAGATTTTGCTAATTCTTCTTCGATCCGGTTAATTATAGGAAATGCGACGGGTTGACCATCTATAAACAGACATCCAGTAGATCCTTGCTTAAGGATCTGCCGATTTTCCTTGAGATATTCAACCCGCTTTTTGGATTCCAACTTTTTCGGGAACGGTAGCTCATGTTCGCACCGGAACTTCAGCCCCCAAGGTTCTCGGAACTTATCATCCCCGATCTGTATATCATCTATTTTGATATTGTCGAAAGTCAGACCACGGTGTCTTCCCGACTTCAAGCCTTGAAATTTTTGGATCTCATCTCTGATTTCCCCGAGCATATCTTCTCTTAAAAGCCTGAATTGGTTATCAATGTGAATTCCAAGGCGAGCCGAATCCATGTCCCTGAGGTATGTGTCCGGGGTACGCAAGAAAGGTCGTTCTTTGGACAATAGCTCATCTGCTGTAGGCATGATCGAAATATCCCGGTGATTTGCATGATCGTTGTTGTGCCTTCCGCCTGGCCCAACTTCACGATTCCTATCCAAATCTGAGACATCTAGAGACAGGGTGTGCTTGATTTTCTGGCCAAGATTTCGAGTTTCTCCATCGGAAGATTTTAGAATGGAATCTAGAATTCCAGCGGATTTGGCGACAAGTAAATAAGTTGTTGGTGATTGTCCAGGCCGGTTAATTAGCTCCAGTAGGAGCCAAGCAAAACCATATGAGGCCTGAGGGTTTAGTTCTCCGGCCCGAAATGCTCGCATGAATCCATCCCAGAAGAACGGAGGCTCGACTATTGCAGTGATCACCTCCGACAAACTCAACCCGGAATTGATGGTTCTCAAGGATGGTTCTTGTAGGTAGCCAAGTAACAGAACGGCATCTTCATTGATGAATGAGGGTGTTGTGTCGAAGCGCATGGATGCTTGTATTGCACTAAGGCCTCCCGAGCTTGACAGTACTTTGTATACGGTTGATGCTGGGTCCTTTTGAGAACAAATGGCTTCTATGAAAGTCTTCCCATCCCGAGCGGACGACATAGTTCTTCGTTCATATATCACATCATTAAAGAAACGGTTGAGACGGGTAACCCGTGGGTCATCAATAAGGGATGCCATACCAAATTTCCATTCACACAAGAGCAATTTAGATATTCTGAAGTTGACAGGGGAAATAACAAGATTCTGATCAATAGATAGTCCCTGAATGACCGTCGGATTGATATTAAGTGAGGTTAAATGAATGTCCTACAAACGACTTCGTTTTGAACGTGAATCCTCATACAACGAAATGCGACAAAAAGGATAAACGCTGGAATGTTCGGTTCATTTCTAAAGAAAATATTATAGCGGCATTGTACAAGCAATATTCCATCAAGTCATGGATGATTCCATGGTTTTACGGCCTGCTGCAGAAGTCGAAAGCCTCGCCGAGTGCGTTTGCTGTCCAATCCAATCCAGTATCCAAGGTGGAATAATGGTCTTACATGCGGATAAAGGCTACTCGCATGCGCTGAAAGCATATGGCAAGGCATTTCCGTTTGCTATGCGTTGTGAGGCACAGAATGAAGATAGCAAAGCCAATAGGATTCTTTGGGGGTCACATAGGCGGAATCCAAGGTTGACTTTTGCTAGATGAAATGCAAAAGAGGCGAGAGGATGATTCCGATGAACAAAACCATTATTTTCAGCAGGAATATCATCAGAAATTTTGAACATCAAACATAAATCATTCTTCACTTGATATTGCGACAAATCAATGATGTCGTCTTACAGAAATGGCACTTACAGAGGCGAAAATTGGGGTATCGGTAGTGCTAGTGTGGCTCGTGGGGCTCGCTCGGGTTTCAGGCGAGGCTCAGCATTTCATATACCTCCACCAGTGTCAGACGAGCCCTTTGGACTAGAAATCGACAAAATCAATATTTCAACTCTATTGATTGAAGAGAATGCTCCCACAATTGCAAATGTCAACTATCTTGCTTCCTACAACTGGCTGGACGCTCAATCCCCTATAATTCTTGTACCAGGTAAGCAAAATATGCTCTTGCAACTCACTCACGATGGAGAAGCTCTAGCATTGAGAAGCCTTCTAGCTTTGACAGCATGCTTTTCAAGGCTAGGTGTCTATGGTCTATAGAACTGTAAATAATTTCTAACTTGTGAGAAATAGGATCTCCTCCAGCCTGGTCTCCTCCCGCACAAGATGAAAAGCTTCCTGGTGATAGCGGCTCCGTATTCCGCGACATCAATGCTGCACGATATCCCGATTATCCCTTGGAGCCCGCCGTTCGTTCCATCCTAGCTCTCGAACCGGACTTTAACTTTCAAGCTCTTGATCTTGTAGGATGCGGGTCTACGATGGGAAATCTTTTGAGATTTGCAAGCTCGGTGGAGAAGCCATTTCGATTTGATGCCGATTTCGTTGGGGATACAGTTTTCTTCATCCGAAAAGAAAGGACTCCAACTGAAACTATCGATGACCTCCGAGGTTACGGTCATACATTTCCGGAACGATATACTACATGGGACCAGGATGTAAAAGGTTCTTGCTCACATCAGCGCATCATCGAATATGATTTCGCGGACCTTCACATTTTGGTCCGGAGCGAGAGTGATGGATACATCAGAGAACATGATCCACCTACGAAACGCTCAACGGAGAGTGCACAATCGCCACTGGACGAGTCATTTGCCATGTTAGGAGTAGGTAGTACCCCTGCAGGGTTTAATAATGCGAAGCTAGATCTGCGAATGCAAGGCACCAAGAAACCACAGAGTCAGATTTTCGACATTAAGACACGACGTAAATTGAATGACTTTGACATGGAAGAGATTATTCCTCGACTATGGTTAAATCAAACTCCCAACTTCTTGCTCGCCTATCATGAATATGGGCTCTTCGATAAACCCGAGGTATCAAACGTCAAGGATAAGGTGCTCGAATGGGAAGGAAGGAACGCGACTTTGTTAAGCAAATTTCACGTTCTTGTGAAGAGGGTTATGGAGATTGTGAAAGATTCTGAGAATCATCGCGTAGAAGTAAGCTGGGATGGCAAGGGTCCATTACGAGTTACGGAACGGATCAAAAAGGGAAATCGAGTTCTCCCTGCAGACTTGTTGCAGAAATGGGATGACATTGACTAACCTCGTATCCATATGTTTTACTTAGGCTTCTACTTGAATTCGCTCATGGTTTGATGGGCTCTTTAGGCTACTCCTTCATTGAACGTCATTTATGATGAAATAAAGGGTTCAGATATTAATAATATCTAAATCATATGCACCACTCTGTGCATAGCTTAGGGCTAGCCTTATGAGTTTGAACATTAACACTCTTAGAGAATATATATTTCTTCATCCTTCCAACTGCTTTTCTATTCACTTCATTTCAAACACTTTTTCTTGAGGGGACAATCTCAATTCTTTCTGGAACATCGTCCCCAGGTTTCACATTTACTTCCACCACATCTTTCAAATCAGGTACGTCGGAATGTTTGATACCTTCAAACATCTCGTCAATCTCCTCGAGTGTCTTTCCTCGTGTTTCTACCCAGTATTTCCAGATTAATCCTACCTCCAATACATCCCATGCGCCATTCATCATATATATCTTCCAGCCCATGGCTTCTTGCGCAAATGGAAAGGAAAACACAATGAGAAGTGCAACACCGTTAAGAACAAAGGTGAAGAGACCCATTCCGTTGGCTCTGATGGAATAATTGAGCACCTCGGGTGGATACAGATAAAGCAGTGGTGTCCAGCCAAAAGAGTAGGCTCCTTGGAAGAGGAAAATTGCAGCGACCGTGCCGTACACACCAGACTTGTTCTTTGATGTTCCATACACTTTTCAACATGTCAACAATATAGGGAGCAGAATCAAATGGTGGAGCGCATACCTTTAGTTAGAGCACCGACGATAAAGAGAAAAATAGTGAGAAGTGATGTACTAATAATTGCAGCCGCACGTCGGCCAAGAATATCAGCATAGTATGTTCCGAACAAGGCGCAACAAAGACACCAAGCATTCAGGATTATATTCTATTGAGGTTCAGCCATAACCCATGGACTTGTGTGGCTTGAAAACTCACAATTTCGAGCTGCGTCGTGGCGTCACTAATACCGGCATTGTCAAGCATTGTTCCTAAATAGTAACTCGCAATTACATTGCCTAGAAAGGTCAATACTATATCCAAGTACAGAACTAATTACCTACCTGAAATGGTAGAAATTACCGCGGCCGAGATCGCTAGGGATACCCTTTTCCTTGCAACTGGTGTTTTGACCATCTGCTTCAGGCTCAGAGTCTCGCCAACATTTCTCTCGTACTCTATCGTGTCGATGATCTCTTGATATTGCGCTAATACAACAGGATTCGACGTATCGCCATTCGCATGAGTCTGAGCCACAACCATCAATGCCTCTTCTGTACGTCCAACATAGGCTAACCATCGGGGTGATTCAGGGATGAACGGTAAGATGGCAATACAAAGGACGCTGAAGATGCCTTGGACTAAAGAAGGGACTCTCCATGCCCAGGTCGAGCTGTAAGAAGCTGTTCTGTATGTCACACCAGCTGCAATCAAACCTCCTGCTGCATGTCAGATGTGTGAATCAGCTGAGGGTAATGAAAATCCATACCGACATAATAACAATCGTTCAACACTCCCAATCCCCAGGCTCTCCAATTATATGGAAGTGTCTCAGCAACATACGTCGGTCCAGTAAGGGTGGAGGCGGAAGTTCCGTATCCGACCAAAATTCTAGCTATCACAAACATCGCAGTATTCTGCGCAGCTGTCTGAAGGACGACGGACAAAAATGTTCCAATGGCCGCCCAAAATAATGCATATCTGCGTCCGATCTTATCAGTTACTTGGCCATAAGTTAGACCAGCAACGGCGCCACCGATCCAGAGCGCGGCTGTGTTGAGAGATAGAGTGGCGGTATTCAGATTGAAGTAATCAGTATAGCTGGGCAAGATATTGAGTCCATTCCTATTGATGGTCAGCTATCACAGACACTGTATTGGTATAAGACCTCTGCCAAAAATACCAACATCATCGATCCGTCATATCCAAATGTGGTTGATGTGATACATGAACATAGGACAAGTAGAACTGATACTATCCATGAAGAGCTAGAAACCCTCGGACGAGTTATCCGAGCTAGTATTGTCTCTTCCATCATGAATTTATCGTCGATAAATATGGAAGATACTATTGTTCTCAACTAACGAATTTGATGCGGTGCGGAAAAGTGGACTTCGATGCTATTGCGAACCATATACCTACAAGTGACAATCACATATAAAATATAGTTCATATTTATGCTTCTTATCTTGATAGAGTCGACACGATAACATGAAACCTTCTGCATTCTGTGTGGAGGAGGCGATATGGCTTATCATAGACTCATAGTACATGCGGGGAGACAGCTCTAATGCAAGTGCAAGGAATACTAAAGCCTACAAAGCTTGTTCGACTCCAATAGCCAATGATGGGCCGTTGTCATCCTTGATATGACCTTCCTTGTGCGTCCTGGTGCATAAGTGAGTGCGATAGCGCTAGTTCTGGGTCTATCATCCATTGTAATCATCCTACGAAACTTTTGTCTATATATGGCTTTTAGTGGGTCATAGTCAACGCGCCAATAACGGTTAGCGCAATTCAAAATGTGGGCAACGTTGCATTGCAGATCCACTAGTCACGTGATATGAATCTAAAATGCATCCGATTCGGCAGGTGGGACCAAGAGGGGTAAAAGGTTCCAACTTTGTGTAGTTTGCATTTTACTTGGAGTACATGTCTTTCTCATACTGGCTACTGTCTTTAAGCCTTCCATCACAGAATTGAAATTCATGATGTATTTTCTATTCCTGTTACCAGTCCTAATATCTTTGACTCTCGCTTTCAATGCTCCCCCCGATGTCCCCACTTGGTGCGGAAAACCTTATATGAGCACGTGAGTTGTTATCCCATTGAGGCAAGGAAGGGTACTTTTTGACATTTCTTAGAAACCATTCACTAGATCCAGGAGGGCAATTCCAGTTTCCAGTATCGCAGTATGATCCTCTGCTATATATTACCATACAACCTCGGTATTCAATATTTCTAGAGGATGATAGCGAGGGATCTTTGATCGTTGATGCTAGCATATCTCATATCTTTGGTGGATCATACCGAAATGCTACCTATGATGTCCCTGGAAGCAATATCAGCTCTCCTTTCACGACTCTTGATATTAAAATTTACAATGAGGAGTCGAGTGCTCTACTTATCACCAAAAGAGTTCCAGTAAATTCAACAGGCAACCTAATTGGGTTCTCTTTCTCGTCGTTCCCAGCACGATTAGAGCCTTATGCGGTCTCAATTTACGCCAGCTCCCCTGATGGTCGACAATCCTATACCGCAAGCACCAGTGTCTACGTACTGCCATCCCGGGACTATGGTAGTGCTGTTAAAATTGACAATCTCTATGGAGGACTTTATGTTCAAAACGACAAGAATGACTGGAAGGGCTGGTATGCCATCTTCCCTAATGGATATTATGCGGATGGATCTTATGTAACCCCCGACAATGTCTCACTCGCTAACCTCGAAGCATACGCTGCACTCGGTTTCAACACTATAAACATCGTTCCAGACGGTGGCCTTCCAGATCAATCTTATCCCACAGCACAACTCATAGAGTATTGGGATAAAATGGATGAATTAAACCTCTTCAATCTTTATGACATGCGTTTCGCGTTCCAAAACTCGACACGCATTTCAGAACAAGTGGCCCTCTGGCAACATAGAACCACCCTTCTGTCGTGGTATACTGCCGATGAGCCAGATGGGTGGGTATATCCCCTCAATTCCACGCAGCTTGCCTACAAGCAGCTTAAATCCCTCGATCCATATCATCCCGTCAGTCTCGTGCTAAACTGTCAAAACTTCTACTACCCTGAATATTCAGCCGGTGCCGACATCATCTTTCAAGATGCATATCCAGTGTCTATCAATGCAACTTGGTCTATTTCGTGGAATACACCTTGTAATGAAACATATGGAGATTGTGGGTGCGACAATTGTGTAGGAGAGTTAGAAGATGTATCCAATCGGCTAGACGACATACAAAATTACCAAGCAAATATAGGACCGGGTAGTCAGGGTGGTTTGGACAAACCTACGTGGTCAGTTGTACAAGCGTTTGGTGAATCGCAGTATTGGCAAAGGGTACCAAGTGCAGAGGAAGTGGAAGTCATGATGATGTTAAGTGTGAATCACAATGCCAAGGGCATTACGTACTGGATTTTTCCAAGCACGGATACAGTGAATGCTGGTAGTGCGGCGCTGGGGAAAGTATTGCAGAATGAGCCTGCTATTGATTTCCTGTTTGGCACAAATGCAATCAAGGGATTGGGAAATGGCTTGCTGGATGTAAGTGCATGGAGAGTGGGAGAACAGATGATGATTGGGATTGTTAATGAGGAATATGTTGATTCCAAAGCCGAGGTCACGATACTTTTGCCGTGGAATGTGGTGTCGATGAATCAGACATTATATGGAGATTCAAGCTGGAGTGTTAGTGAAAGCAGATTGTCGAAATTGGGCCTGAGTGCCTTGGAAGTAGATATTTTGGTCGTGAATCTTAGTTAGTACCCCGTATTCCAATACATTATCGAAAGTTGAAGAAGTGTCATGTTTAACATCGTTTTAGAAACCGATGCTAGTTCCTCCATAGTACATGATGGGAATATGTATAGAGATGAGCTTTGAGAATAGTAATTCAATCTGATCTATACAAATAGTGTTTTAAATCGCTGTTTTAGTTGTGAGATCTGTTATTTAAGTCTTAGTTTATTGTTATAACTAATTAATATTCTTTGTATTTGAAATATACTTGTAACGATCTGGTTGAGGCAGCGGCTGCCTCGGGATTCGTATGGTTGGTAGTTGTAGGTTAAGGCTGATAATCACTGGTTATCCACTCAAAGGTGAATACGTTACTAGATCAATTGGAATATAGATAAACTAATTGATAACTAAGTTAAGCACGAAGCTCCTAAACTATGAAACTATTCTGGCTATATACTAATCTCTTCCTTGTGTGCTAGCTATGCTAGCTGGCTAGCAGAACTAGCACATCACGTGATTGATCCTGAGGCCTCTCATATCCTAAGGCCTTTCCTTTCCTGGAACACTTGTCCCAGGAGCTTTCCCTCCAGGAACTATAGCCCTAGGATACGATATCCTTTAGGGTGATAGTCCCATTACAACCAATTAGATAGGACATTTGTCCTATTCTATTATGGTTGCCTAGGATACTTATCCTAGGAATCCTGGAGTCCTAGGCTTAGGTAATCAGGACCCCCGAAAGCAATGGTTAAATCACACCCCCTCTGTAGTCGGCGTATAAATCACCGACATCAATAATACTACTATAATCAAAACCGTGAATCGTGACAATACTTTATATTAATAATATATATTTATTTTCTATAAAATTAATAATATTATCATTTTCAATAATATTAATTATTATTTATAATCTATAAAAATACTAGAATTTTGTATTTCGATAATAAACAAAATGATCGATTAATCAATTAATTGATAGTGTTAATTGATAGTTAATAAGGTAAATTAATTAATAAACTAGATTTTGATATATATTATTAATCAATTAATAAAATTAAATTCTAATTAATAATTAATTAATTAATTAAAATTATCAATTTGTTATTTAAAAAAAAATACTTGTAAAAAAAAAAATAACATAAAGTAATTTGAAATTCGAAAAAGAAGTAAAAAGATATCAATATTATATTTTTTCTCTTTTGCCCTCTCTCTTTTGCCTTTATCCTTCCCGACTCTCTTTCTTTCCTCCCCTTTTCATTTACCCTCTCTTTCTCATCTACTCTTTCCAAAAGAATATATCTTCATTTTCAATGATTTTACTACCAAATAAGGATCATATATTGACTAATTAGTAACTTATCAATTAGTTCAGCGAATCAATAATACCAATGATATACTGTTAATCAGTCAATTAAGAAATAATGATTTCGTTGATCGCTGACTGACTGATCAATCATTCTGATAATAAACTATCTTATAAAATTTCCCAATTGATGTGAGATATATATTTACGGACATTAGTGAGTAATTCTTTTCAATATCACTTATAATATTCCTTCTGTATACAAGTGACACCAATGATCTAGTCCGCCGTTCTTATTGCAAATTTGTGAATTCTTTCAATTTACTCTGCCTTGATAACGAAACCCGGTCTCACCCAAGAAATCACCCCTACACCCTAATAACCATACTAGTATCCATCCGTCATAGTAATCATACATTTCCCCCCCTTCGGCTCAATCACCAAGGACTTTCTAGGCTCCATGTCATCATCAGTTTGACTCAACGCAATCCTTGCTCCCTTGCATTCTCTGAGGAACAAAGCAAGACTTAACCAGATTTCCATTCTTGCCAAATGTATTCCTATACAAGTGCGTGTTCCTGATCCATAAGGATGATAAGCTGCTTTCATCTCGGTTGATTTTTCGCCTAGCCAGCGTTGAGGTTGAAAACTAGAGGGAATATGTGTTAGTTTTGTCATGGTGGAGAATTGAGGGAATGAATTATGGAGAAATATACCTGTCAGGTTCTGGATAGATTTCTGGATTGCGGTGGATGGTCCAGCCTTGAGTCGAAACCGTTACACCCCCTTCAACTTGATATCCATCCAACATAGCTCCTCCGTTCGGCACGATACGAGGTAGAGAGCCAGGTGCTGCACCCCACAACCTCATTCCTTCGTCAATAGCCGCATTTAGCAGTACCAACTGCTCCACATCCTTTGCCTCGAAATCTTCGCCCAAAGTCTCTACCTCATCTTCTAGTTGTTTCTGCAAATTCGGATCCTTCAAAATGTTGTACAGCAGATACGTGATTGAAATAGCAGTCGTATCGGTGCCCACCACAATAAAAAAAGCAGCTTCTGATACAATACTTCTATCAGACATTGAACCCTCAGCATTTTCAGTCTTAGATTCGGTGAGGACTTTTCGGAATATAGTCGGAATAGCTTGACTTTGTGATCTGGCGTTTTTAACTGCTATTGCACCATATTCTCTGATTCGTGCTTCAGCTGTTTGGAAAAGGGGAATATGTAGGAATTTCCCAATGGCGAAGATAGTAGGAAACTCGGCGCGTAAAGAGCCCAAACCGATTTCATGTTGAAGATCATGAACGAGTTGGGTTTTCTAATTTCGATTCAGTGCTAGATCATTCAGAAGCTGGTGGAGAAACTGACATTTTCATTTTCCAAAAGATTAAAACTTTCCCCAAAGGCCAGATGTGCCACCACATCAGTTGCCATGAACGTAAAGAACGTCAAGATATCCGCCTCTTTTATCAAAGCATCCCTCTTAATCTTTGCCACCGCCATTGCAGCTTTTTTCCTAACCTCAGGCTCCCAGTTTGTTTTTAAAAAGCTCTTACTGAAAGCCTGTGAAAACAATTTGCGGCGAGCAGCATGTTCTTTTGGATCAACCATGCTGAGGATTCCTGCAGGAGGGGGGACAAGACTTTGATACCAAGTAGATTTGAGGAATGGCTTAGAGATAGGATGGATGGTGAGGAAGGAGGGAAGTGAAGAGCATGATACCTCGGTTGGAGAGATGCGGACTATTTGACCGTAGGTATGATGAAGGGAATGGATGTAGTGAATGCGAGTCCCGGTGACGATATGGTATTGGAGGACAAGATGAGTGAGTCTTGCGTGCCATGGTCCCGGGATCTTGCTTAGAGAGGTAAAGTATGCTCTATGGAGTATCTACAGCTTTGTTAGTCTTCCGAGATGATATAGCTTGAGATGTTTTTATACTTTGAAGAAGAATGCGAGGAATATTATGAAGACAGTTATTCCCGCCGTCTTGGAGGTTGGAAGAATGGTGAGGTCGCGCATAGTGATGTAGATTGGAATGCAAAGTTGTCACTGCGCTTGACCTGAGAACACACATTGGGGACTCCTATATATACATACTACAGACACAGTAAAGTAGTGCCACCTCACATCCATAATGACTGTCGTGCATCTGCCACCCTCAATTCTAGAATAGAGTTTCGGGGCTAAATAGCAAAACAAAGCCATTCAAAACCTTCAATTCGCTAAAATCCACACCGTCATGTCGTACGGAGACATACACGCGCCCTCCGATGCGTCGTAAGGGAAAAGATCGACTGCAAAAAGGAGACGAGACTGGGGACGGACTCCGCTCCAAATTCCACACCAGCAGCATCGTTCAATTTATGGAAGATATGATAAGTCCGGCTTCCAGTTTGGGCATTGCAAAAGAGAAGTTTACTAATCACAGTCTACCGAGGCCGGAAACAACCGAGGCGGGTCGTGCACCAAGATCCCAAAAATAAATTAGTCCTGCGTCATTCGCCAATTTCGACGTGTTTCAATTCATCTGTGTTTTCGAATGAATTAGTTTATTATTCAATAAATCTTATTCGATGAAATGCGGCTATTCTATTAAAAGGAGTGTCCCGCTTAAGATCCATAGCAAGGGAACGACTAGTGGTACAAAGAGTTTTGAATTCAAAACTTTTTGTTCCACATAACCTCACTCTTCGAGCCAATTAAAAAAGATTTATTATAATACATTAGATGAAAAGAAAAACAGTGGCATCATCAACGCATCTAATCATTTTCCACTCAGAATTCGGACACTGTTTTACAAAATCTTTAATGGCGCGGCCAAACCCAAGGAAAATGAGAAACGTACCAATTCCGAAATTCAAATTTTTTGGTTTCTCAAGTGATATATACGTCTGTCGCGACGTCTCTTCACCCAGACCAAGTGCTATCATCAAATTTTATGGCCGCGTACGATTCGATGCCTGCGGAGTGATATAAGGTGCCAGTTTTCGTCTACTTCATTTATATTCAATTTCATTACATACCGTTCTACACAGCACCCTGTAGGTTACCTATCACAACCACCTCATTCAAACCCGTCATCGGCAATCTTTGCTCTAGATCCCGCAACACCCTCCCCGGTTACACTCTAGGAACTCATGAGATTTGATGGACCTTCTACTGTGGGCAATCTTCATAGGATGTCCATGTTTTTGTAGTGTGGGCTGACGCTATCAGCGGAGAAGCGGCTAAAATCTGACGTGGAAAGTCAGCAACGAGAGAGAAACATTGGGACTGGGAAAGGTGTCATTGATAATGTTTGTTACATATTCTGGGCTGTTACTAAAGCGGAAACTTACCAAGAAATTTGGGAAGAATTACTGAATGCATGCAGAAATATGCTTGGCCGAGATCTCACCACTTGGATGAAAGAGGGACTTATTGTGAAAAGCGACTGCCGTGAATGGAGTGCGGCTACAGCGTATGAGACTGTGGGAGAAATCTCTGTGATCAAGTATTCAGTCACAAAAAGAAAGACGATGTCTGACAATGATAATCTATATCAGGTTGATATGGTCGAACAAATTAAGGCGCTGTTTGCGCTTGGGGTGGATGAGCTCACGAGTCAAGTGGTTATGAGGTCAGAACTAGTCCCAGGATAGCTCCCCGCGACGCCACACCCACAGAAGGCACGGAACGACCCTTCCATTTATAGAATTTGATGTTAGGAAATATAATAGAAAGATGTCAGCACAACCGAGAGAAGTTTTCTCTCTCGATTCGTCGTGATAATGCCAAGTCATGGATATAATCATAGACTCTACGTATAGTCTGCCAAGCGAAGGTGATGGGGCAGACTTACTAGACAAGCTTAGACACAGAGCTCATATCTATAGGACTCTATTCGAGATCCGTGGCCATGAGAAGAGGTAACTCCATGCTCTGATTTAGATAGTTATGGATACCAAAGTGAACATATTGTTTAAAGTATGACTATTCACAGGAATGACGGGAAGCATTAGGCCTGAGATATGAGAGCATTCAGACTATCAGATTCGACCAAAGAGGAAAAGATCTACGAGAAGGAGAGCTCTAATTGCATAGAGCTCTACTATTATTAATTAGCCCTAGCTCGCCCTACTCTTTAGCTCCGCATGAACCCTTTGAACTTATATATTTGTTCCCGAATATTAAGATGAGATGGTATATGATATTATTGGAAGGCGGAAACTACAGCCTTTACAGAGAATTGTCTGCGGTAGTAATATCATGTGTGACACGATGGAGTTCTTCTATAGTGATAGTAAATCACAATCAAAATAGAATTCATTCAACCAGGCAAAGGCGTACCAATCCACTGGAACACTTCTTTCAATGGTTACAAAGGAATTGAAATCTAGCCATCTCTACTGCCTTGAGGTGTCTTCCTGTATATGTACTTATTTCTCGGAATTATTTTCACTTACAAAACTTCACACCAATTCCGCAACTAGAAATTTTCAACCAAAAACACATTTTACAGAGAGGAACAAATTTTTTGGGGATTTACATCAGTACTCTTAGAACACCCAACTATCACCTCATGCTCAATCCATAATCTCAATACAGATTATAACCAAAAATTCGCAACCATGAATCAAGCGGCGCACGCCTTGCACGAAGTAACTGTCTCTCTCGACTTCGCCAAGAAAGTTCTTCCACTTGAACCATACGCAGGTCTTGAATCTCCGCCGCAACTTTTGTATCAAGATCAAATTGAGTGGATCGCTGTGAGTATACATTCTTTATACTTTGGCCTTCCCGCTTCCCCACAAAACCCAATGAACTCTCACTTTCTAGTAATACACCACTCACCTCGCCCTCCAGAATCACGCTAGGAACAACATACCATCTCCTGTCGTCCTCTCGCAAGCGAAAGCCAGTACTTGGCAACAAATGCTCGCTAACATCGAGATCATTAACAGACTTCGTCATCCGAATGTGGACGAGGCGTATATCAAATGGAGAAGTCAAGATATGCTTGTTAGACGTCTTTGGCCTGATACGAAGTTTCCAGGGGTGGATCCCGATGAGGTTTATGTGAGCTTTTTTTCTCGGGTGAGATGGTTGATAAAGCTGATAAACGTTGAAATAGACGCAAGTCCGCCGTAAATACTGCATCGCTGCCAAAAAATTGGCTTTCGATAAAGAACAATATGGTTTAGATGATAGTAGCGCTCTTGTAAGTCTCGCTCATCTATATATCTTTGTATATCCTAATGCAAGTGTCTGACAAATAAAAGAACTAATGAACAATAGATCTATCTAAACGAGACTTACAACAAAAAACTCACTATAGCACGAAAGGTAAAGGTTAGTACAAATGCTTCTCTGATCGTCTGTGCTGGAGAAAAGGCTAAGAAGAGTAAGGAGGCTGCGCAAAATTTTGAAGAAGAGGATGCGTTCGTGATTGTGGAAATGGATGTGGAGGGCGATGAGGAATGTGATTGGGAAGGGGATGATTGGGATATGTTTTGATGATAAGTGAGGGCTGAAGGAGACTTGCTGTTGCTGATGGCTCTGTGGGCTGAGTTGGGGGCGAGGCATGAGCGCCAGTGGAGTGGGTGTAAGTATTATGGCGGTGTTTTTCGAGCAAATCTTTGCGGAGTCTGGCCTGCTTGGCCCAGGAGTTAATCCAGATTCCACTTTGCTTTCGCAAGGTATTTTTGCAATGCCCCGATCTAATGGATATGATTTAGGAATGTCTTCAAGTACCACGATTACCATGATTAGAGCACCCCCCCCACCCCAAACAACCCAACCGGTCCTTCTTTTAGTGCTGGCTCGTCAAATTTTGGCTAGCGTACTCCGAATTGAGTTCCTTAAATTCAACAATCTGGCTTTATTTCTAAACTGACTCGATGGCGGTACTGTTTCTGTCTCGAGGCTCATCAGCTTAACTTATTTTGTGTTTTTAAAATTATGGTTCCTATTTTACTAATTTTCCAGTCATGTACTTTTATTATCCTAGGGGGGTACTGTAGGATTACTCATCGGTTGCTTGTCAAACCACATTTCTTATATCACATCCCACATCCAAAAATCTTTTTTCAGGTTTTCAAAAAAAAGAAGCATTGAATCCTCCAAAGTTTACACTCGAGTTCATCCAGCTCGCGAGCAAACATCCAGACATGGGTAAGTCTCACATACCCTCAAGATTCCCAAGGAGGCTGAAACTAGGCTCTCTTGCAACACGGTTTCTATTCAAGACAAAGTGATATCAAATAGCAACGCAAGGCACTGTGTCTCGAGTACTATGGAGACACAATCAATGAGGCCTACTTTGTGTATCGCTAGCAAACGGCTTTCTAAAACCACTTCTATAAGTACCTATAACTAAGCGAGGTGTAATAAATATTTTTACGTCAACTAACATAGTTCCACTTGAAATTTTCCGTGAAGATTTGTTGATTCCGGTCCTGATCCTGCTTACATATGTATTCTACCCTTGGAGAAGGAGATTTAAATAGCTAGGCTGCCCATAGACTGAAGTCTTTCGGAAATACTTCAATGATAAGAAGGCAATTAGAGAATAAATGACAAATCGTAGTATAATCATCACAGAACAGATTATAACGTATCCCGAGCTTTGGTGACAGGGGTGAATATTGCAATTAAGCGAGGATGGGTAACATGGCAGGGTTTGTAGGGATGGAGAAAGGCGGTATAAGATAAGAGACATGATCTCACCTTGTTGCAGACTAGGACTATTGTGATTGCATGCGTGTCACCATGGCTTATAAGTGGCGCCATATAAAAGGAGAGTGCGGGGAGCGCGACGGGCTCTGATAGAATTGGAGCTCACTTGTGGTTTGAGCCCCCGTAGGTCATAATTCCATCTCCCGCCTCTTATTTGAGGGAATTGTTATTTAGTTGTTGTTTTATAAACCATTCATTGTTGTCGTTGTCGCTGGAATCAAGCACGAGATAGGGATCTGGGGTTCTAGGGTAGTCCTGACATTATGATTCAGTCCTTCAATCTTGGAGTGAAATGTGGATTTGATGGAAATGAGTAGTTCATGGCTAGGCAGAGTATTTCCATACTTTGTCAAGAACAAAGCTTCTGAGCGACGTCTATATACTGCTCACTAACTTTCGACATCGGAGTCCTTTTTTTCTTGGGATATAAAAATGTGAACGTTCACTCCACTTTGATTGACTGAACTGTGGAGAGATATTCGATTCTTCCTAGTGAAAAACGAAGCGCGGGGCTTGGTGCGTTATAGATCTATTGTATGGAATCCTGGTGCAATCTGTGCAAAATTCAATTAAAGCCTACTCTGCAACCTTCTTCGATATATGTTGCTGTATGTGAGCATTGCAGTGGTATACTCATTCCCTCATCATGTACTTCCTCCTCCACCCCAGCCTGATCCGTTCCTAGTCTCTGAAAAGCTAATGACTCGTTTAGGAGTTACACGACTTTCTCTTTAGCCTAGAAGAGGCGTGTCTTGAAAGGAGAGATTCTGGGGGCCGGGTTCCGGAATGATAGTTCTTCGAATTCTTCGGCCAGGTCTTTGGGGCCCGGGACTCGAATCAACAAGGGTTGACACTAGGCTGCTCCTTTTACCTCTCAGAACATCCATCATTTCCCAAATTGCCAAACACAGCCTATAAGTAACGTAATAACCTGACCAGATGATCCTGATATCCAGGAGTAACTAAATTGTTTACGCTAAACATATATATATATACATACGCTCTACAGATATAATGGCAATTCGGCCCTCTATGACATATATCACAGTATAATGGAAGAATTCGAATACTGCTGTAGCTAACGAGCGATGCTCCTTATCCTTTTGATGTGTAATCTGAACCTCTGGATCTAGGAGCGGCGTAACCATACTTCCAATAAAATCTATAGGGATGCGTCGATGTATATGATGGGTGGAACCAGATATTGTATCCAACCAATGAAAAGGTTCCAAGATGTGTTTGTGAACCAATCCCTTGTGTGCAAGCCCTTAAAGATGAATGAAGAAGAACACAAAGAAAAGTAGTCCGGACAAAAGCCACACCGCTGCAGCAGCATAGATCCATCTCGAATCATGTAAGTCAAAAGTGAATAGAATCGCCAACTGTTCTGGAAAATAGCCTCCTTAGTTCTGTGAATCCCTGATATCCAGAACCATACTCCAAAGGGTGTATATGTCGAAAAGTATCGATTTTGAAAAACAAGTGGTAAATCCGGGTAAAGCTTGTAGATAAGAGTATTCTTTGATCAGGTATCTCATACACAAGATTATATGGATCGGGGTAGAACAATGCGATAGTTAAATAGTATGACAATAGGTAATCTATCGAAAGGGCCGTCCCGGAAACAATTTCAATAACTTCAGCAACGACTAAAGAGCTGCATAGAATATTGGCTCTAGTTCTGACGCGAGATATTCGTTCCCAGGACCCTACATTTCGTGAATAAAGGCTGCTCATTTTATATCTTTTGAGGAGAGAGAACGAAACATTTCCAGGTCAGAGTATCAGGGTGCTAGTTAGTCAGAAAGCAACTATTCTGGAACAGAGGGGTAAAGTGGTTTAGCATCGTTTGGGCACTCATATTATCCTGGAGGAAATATGTATTCGTTGCATGATTGAATCACTCGAAAAATATGCGCACGACGGCACTCCAGGTAGACTTTGTGAATTTAGAGATTATCAGAATGAGGAGGGCAGCTTCCAAAGAGAGTGTCGCAAGAGATTTCGATATTAAGAGAAATAAGGAAGGGAACAAGCGATGCATTCCAATACTAAGAGTGAAGCTGCTATCTCGAGAAATCTTTTTCTCCATATTCCTGCCACCGATGCTGAAGATATTCAAGCAGCTGACGAAGAAATGATTTGAGAGGCTCTCCAGGGAGCTGGCGAGCCAGTTACCCAAGCATCAGAAACTACAAACAAACATGGCAACATTAGTTTCTGGATGTCTAGTATCTTAAACTAAGGATACTAGTGCAACTACTAGTTACAGATACCATGGCAAGGATGGCGAGGGTACAGATTCTATCCAAAAAACATGGAGACGATAAAGAGGATCCCGAGGATGAAGATCACTGGGTATCTACAAGATAATCATAAACTTTGAATATGACTTTCCTCTGCTATGATTTCCGTTCTACCTTTTGATTTGAGTTATATTAAAATGTGTTGGGTTGCTGATTTCGGCATGCATTACCCCGTACTTCGCAGATGTAAAGATTTGTAAAGTTAGATTTAGCAATTATTTTCAATTCATGTCAACCACGTCCCGCAGAATATATTAGCTCGATGTAACCTTTATATATTCCCTATATTACTTGGTTTACTAATCATAGCATATCGAATGACTATCGCACCAAGGAACTCCGCTGAGCAGCCAAAAATACGAAGAATAATGAACCCTAGCTAACCACCTCAGAATTAAGCACCTCGATTACCTAACGAAAAACAATTGAAGAACGAGATGATTTTTCCGTTCCAACCTCCACCCACCTTTTTATAGCGGGGTAATGGCGGGTAGTGATCCAAGCTGCCCTGGTGCCCCTGACGATCTACCTTTTTGTCGGCTTTCCTATCGCTTCGCTAGGAAATACGAAATGTCTAAACAAGAACGGCGAAAAAACACCGACAAAGTAAAGACCACGCAACACGTCTCTACAGCTCCGAATCAACCATCTGACTCTGAGTCATTCATTAAAGAAGAATTCCAGACTGTAGAAAATTTTGATACTTCTAGAACCGCATCCATCACACTCACCGTCGATGCGCAACCCATAAAAACACCTCTTAAAGAAAGCCCCCAAAAAACCCCCTATCTGCCGCTCGCAAACCTTAAGACCACTTTAAAAAAACTCACGATGGATGTCAACTCAAAAACTCGAATCTGGACCACTAGCCCCACAATCAACGTGACGAAAAAAAATTTCTCCCGCATCCCAGTCCTCGAAGTAATTTGGCCAAGCACGGAAGAAAAACTTCAACATGCATTGCATGAAGCTAGAGAGCCAGGACGTAGTGGAGATACATAGGCCACTCCGCAGATAAGTCCATTCTCATAACGGCCTGTCATTTTCAGCCCGGGTGGAGACTTCTCAGCCCAAGGAGAAATGGAAAATGAGTTAACGGGCGAAGGAAGGTTCGGTAAAACGGGTGGTCCCGCACATACCGGTATGCTGCAGACCAGGCTGGTGGGACGTGACAGCGGAGACATTTTATGGTGGGTTAGGTTATGTTTATGTGCTGCATGGGAGAGAGTGATTAAGCCTTAGCGGTGCCTAGGCCACTGAAGAGTGAGAAACAAATGGATGCTTCAGTATAATCAAGTAACAAACAAGCAAATCATGGAGTGCCAGAGGGCACCGAGTCTTGCGACTCATTTAGAGGATGGAATTGCTAGCTACTGTAGTATGAGAAATGCCAAAATTGAACTCCGAATACCCCTTCTATTATCCCTCCCGTGCCGGTCAGTTCAGTTGTCCTTGTTGCCTCGAGACGAACCATTTTTCGTGTGCCATCTACCCTATTGATCCAATCATTCTTATCATAGCCCTTAATCCATTACCCGGAAAGAAAAATCATCATCATTCATCATAAAAACTCCACAAGCAGACACCGAACCATGGAAAAGACACCCATGCAACTCCATCCTCTTTTCCAACACTTGGTATGAAGATCCATGCACCTTTTTACTCCGAATCGCTCCTCTCGCTCATTTGCTTAGCTCTTCTCCTCGCCTCGATAAATTTGTTCAAATGCTCTCCAATAGGACCATAAGCCTCGACCGGATACCAACACTTCCCCTCATCATCCCACGTCGTGACAATAATACTAACTTCCGACTCTGGTTGTTGAACCTGACGAATCGGAGCGCGTTCTCGTGCGTTACGATTTGTGGCCGCGAGAGGAATGCGAAGAGACGAGGTTGAAGATGCTTGTCGTGGTCGAGAAGAGGCGTAAGGACTCAGATAAGGAGTTGATTTGAGTGTTCGCTTATTGGAAAATGCGTGGGCGTTGCGGGGTGGTGAGATCTGCATGATGACCGATTGTTTTGAACGTTTTGAACGTCTTTTGGGTATTTTATATTGAAATTAAAGCGAGGAAGATCAAATTTGGAGAAAGGGTATTTGGAAGGAATTAAATTGGATACGAAGCAGATTTGTCCGACGACGAAGTTGCGAGGCTGAAGACTGGAATGGATATTAATATGTGTAACAATTGTAATGGTGTAGAAAAAAGGTGCTTTCGTTGTTATCGACTTTTGGCCGAACTTGCGTATTTATCTGACGAAGCGTTGTTGAAGAGAAGCTGAAGTTCAAAGCCCATTGCAGTGTATGATTTGGTGTGACAGTGGTATTTTGACTAGGAGTGAGATCAAAGTAATAGGTGGGAAAATGTCTCAATATATAGAATGTGTACGTTGTGAGAGGGAAATGCCTCATAGTTTCGATAGATTAACCCACGCAGGTCCATGAACCTTAGAGGAATGTGAAAAAAAGCCAACAAAATTGGGCTCTTGTGGATTGGTTAGCACTGAACATGGGAGCCCGGTAAGCAGAAAATCCTGAAAGGGTAATGGCACCTGCATAGTATAATCATACCGCAACTTTACCGTGTAACTTACGAGGTAAGGAAGTACATCTAATCTAAATCGATCGAATGAGCTGACGCCAAAATCGAATCAATTTAGAGCGGAAAAGAAGTACTCCGTAATAGCTGAAAGGAGAATTTCAGATTTCCGATTGAATTTTTCCAAATTTCTTGGATGCTTGGGCAAGGTACCATAGAAGGTCGTATGGAAGGTCCGTTCGTTGATGGTGTCCTGGTGATAGGAAAGGGGCTCGGATTGGGTCGTCAGTCTACTTCACCGCTAGATAAGCTTTGGTGGAACTTCGATTGTCGCTGTCTTGATACTTGAAGTATTTCAGATACGGTGTACAAGGAGTATCGATTAGACTTCCTGAAACATGGTGTTGTTCCTGCAAGCTTCCCCTCTGACTATAACCATTCTGTACCTGATTGGACTCACCCTGCAATTCATTTGATAATGATGATGTTGGGGTTGGGAGCACGCAAGGCATCGATAGTATATTGGACTTGGCTGAGCTGTGACTGGGCTAATGTTGGCTCGTGGGTTTGAGGAATTCCCGCTTTTCCAACGAGTAATCATGGAGCATCCGAGTATGATGAGGGGCCCCCATGTGATTTGACAGTCTCATGATGTTGAGCCGTACAAAACCGCATGTAAAATGGAGAATTTGAGTAATGATTCACGTCACGTGAGATACTAAGAAGTTCTGGAACAATTTAAAGTATTCTCATCGAGATTTCTCCTCATTTTAGTTGCGTAGAGCTGCGTAGAGTTACGTACTAGAAAGAACACGCCGAGTAAACTTGGTGTTTCTAACAGAGAATACAAGTCGATCACAAGCTCTAGAGGAGCTATGGTGCAATAGACTCCGTATGACACTGCTGTATACCCTGTATACGTTTGCGAATTTGGTCATAACCCATCTAATTGTGGCGAGGATGTGCGATTTAAAGGCAGCGAAATCGAGAAACATCTCTTTTGGATCTCCTGTGTCCCAAATTGTTGAACCTTTTTGAACCTTTTTGTATACAGCAGGCTGAAATAATGGGGATCGCTTCTCCAGCCCCCTCAATTGGACAATGCGGACGAAAGAAGACCGTTGTGCTGGCGAACCATGCACATTTTATCGCTGTCCTCCAAAATAACTTCCAGAAAACAAAATGTCGTACATCATGTCCGTTCACTAGCTCCCTTCCCAGCCAGGTCAGCCACATTAAAAATAAAGTTATTATATTACGAGACTCTGTGCCAACCTGTTAGTATACTCTGCAGTGGCACACATCATGTGGCTAGTTATTACTTGATAAAAATTGCCTACCGTGCGCGATGTGCCCCAGAAAAGAGTACTCCACGATCATTAAATAGTCCAGTTTCACAACATTTAGTCGTTGTGTTCATGGCAGCATAACAGCATATTGGATATTCTGGGGTTAGTGACCGTGCAACTTATCGCCTCGGCTAAAACGATCAGGTCCAACCTTCATTTCTTTCATTACGTGGTACAGTTTGATCTCATACCCAGCAGACAAATACCAGAGGTGTCATTCATTTGTTGCGTACCTCCTGTTGAGATGTTACTCCGGCGTGCCCAATTCATGTAAACCTCATCACTGCTCGATGCCGAAGTGCGGGGTATCTTTTATGTTGTGCCGAGTTTCGTTTGAAATGGTTCCGAAGGAGATTCTCGCAATAGTAGCATTTTTTGTTTCCTTGAATGAACGATAACCCTGTTTCGGCCACGTCGTCATCATTTGATGACGACCCTCGTACCGTAAAAGCGGTTACTTTTTAACAGATAGTTTCTGTCGAGTTTAGCAAGTGCCGAGAGGTTTTGTGGTACAGCTTGGAGGTTTCACATTTTATCTTCACTATATATATTGCTCTTTCGAAGACTACTTGGCCGGAAACACGGTCCAAAAGTTCTGTCACTTATAGAGCAAGTATTATGATGTGCTGTGGATTATGTGCGTTAGTGCGGATTATTGCTCTGAAGAATTCTGTGGGGCCGGAACATCTTTGACTTCAACTCATCGGTTTGGTTTTGGACGGAGTCTCCATCCTGGTCCAGTCCGCCGGTTCGCATGATTCCTCCCAAACTACTTCATGAATGTCTTGGAGAGTGGATGCTGTCGCCGGAACATTGTTTTCAGTCAGTGGAGATGAGCCATCACTCACATAAAAGATGTAATGAAAAGGGAAGAATGGAATAAGAATCCTTCCCGGAAAATGATAGGGCAATAGTAATTTGTCTACTGACTGGGAGAAGAAGCTGGACACCAAGTTTAAGCACACGGCTTGGAATCTGTACTCTATCCACGGTATTTGACCAGTTACAACCATGTTCTTTGTTCCCCATCCATCTTTGAAAAGCCTGCAGACACTTTCTTCAACGAAGCTGGCTAGTCGGTACCAGTAATTAGGGGTCGGGGTGAAAATATTTGTACAGTCAATTATTCACATGTTGTCACTACTTCAAAAAAAAAGGAGCCTTGTGGGAGGAATTCGCACCGAAAAATAAAAATGACTGGCCAGGTTCCAAATTGACAACTCGCATTCAGTATTTCAATAAATAAGTAGTACCACTCCACAGCATCCGCATATATAGGATTTAATTCCCAATTTCCTCACTTCCTTATCCTGCGCGAGTCATACATGTTGAATATATAGACTCATACCCTAGAACCCCCCTTTGCCATATTGTTCAGATGACTGTACCGCGCAACTATTGCAGATTTAGAAATGCACTGCATATCGGATTTTTTGGTTGCCTCACCTTGTTCCTAGATCTTGTTCAATGGTATCGCATTAATTGCAGGGTTTAGGGTTGTCTTCTTTCCTTGAGATACTCCCATGACAATTAAGTGAGTTTGAAGGGCCTTGAGCTTCCGGGTCCTCACTTGTTCTCGTGGAAGTCATGCTAGACCTGTTTCGAATGTCGCTGGATAGGGTACTATTGGAGCAGGGAGAGTGCAAGTGCAGGTTACTATTTAATGTCGCACTTTCAGAAGAACCAAGGAATAACTCCCATTCCGAAATGTCTGATGGAGCTGGGCGCATGAGCGCATCATTTGCATTGCGCTTTTCTGTGAAGCTATTGCTGCGAACACCAATAATCGGACTGGATGGCTCAGTGCTCTGTTTGTCAAAGCTAGAATAGAGGTGGTCGGTGGATTGTCTCTCGCCAATATTGATATCATTAGTAGATCCCGAATCAATCTGTGACTTTACTCCTGCCAGTGAAGGAACAATTTCGGGGCAGCTCTTAAGAAGCTTGAATTTGTTGAATATAAAGCTCCCGTTCGGATGTTCGGCTACGAGACTCAACAGACCATTGTTTGGCTGAGGCCTGTCGGTTTTGCGAAGAAGTTGAACATGGTGGACGGCGGTTTTTTTGCCGAGTACATGGATGTGCATGAGTTTCTTGTCAAAATTCCACTCCACGTTCTCGCCAAATCCTTTCCGCCCGTGTCAGATAGTGCTGCACAACAGGACAGGTGACTACTAGGTGATCCTTTTCTGAAGGCACAAGTTGCCACGGCCGACATATTAGCTCTGGTTGAACTGGTACAATTGGATGTCCAAGGTTACTACAAAAGATTGCGGTGGGGTAATCTTTGGTAAGATTCGCCCATGGTTGAGAAACGGCTGCTCGTTTGACGTTCTTAGTCTCTCTCATATCCACCGTATCGTGATACTCAACCCCATAGATATACTCAGGAGGATGCTCTTTAGCTCTGGAAAATTCCTTCTGGATAGACCTTAAACCCGTGCCGATGTCATCTAAGGCTTGCCAAATAACCTTAATGAGGCTGCCAACAGTTTCCTCACGGTATCCCTCGGCGGGCTGAGAATTCTCCTTTTTCAAATGCAAGTTTAGGTTTGCTTTTAATGCCTCATTAGCCTCTGATCCACCTGAGCCAGGATTCGCTAGCTTCAGGTGTTTAAGTTCATTGCCCTCTAAAACTTGCCAACAGTGTCGTGTAATCCTCGCTTGTACTAGGAAAAGGACAACGCAGGACTGAGGTAGATACCACGCAGTTTTTTTCTCACTGTCATACATGAGAACAGTATCATTTATCCCGTCCGTCAGAATCTCATGTATGTCTTTCTCAGTCTTAGTGGTTATGGTAGATGGCATTGACGAAGTAGTCAAACCAACACTTCCCGTGGCTGTAAAAATTCCAGTTCCTCCAGTTCCAAGCGTGATATTATAGGATACGACCCGGCGATTGTCTGGAACTCTTTCTGCCGCTGAATAAGTTATCCCCGTGTCGGAAAAAAAATTTGTGCCAATTAAAATAGAGGCTTCCGGGACCCATCCAAGAAAACACCTTCGATTTATTAATCGATGAGGGTTTAACTCTTTGTACCAGTCTCCAGTTTCTTCCACAATTTCAAATGTGGGCCTTCTTGATTTTCGGTCTTCGGCGGTCTTTGGACGGTAGTGCCATTGTATCGCATTATCATCCGATAACTCCCCGACCGGAATCAAAACAGAATTCAAACCGTTTGCAATCAGTCCATCATCAAACATCACCAGGCTCAGGCACCCAGCTACTAACGCCATATCAGCAAATGATATGTCTAAGCCCCGACCTTGGGAGCGCTTTCTGACTGGAAATCCCTTAGCAACAACCATGCGAGGAAACAACGTGTGCCAGCACTCTGTGCCGTCCAGTGTGGTGTGAAGATCGCGAGGTGTCACAGTGATTATATCTCTCGGTCGACTTTTCATGTTGTAATTAGATCCTTCAGCTAAAGTTTTCTTGGAGGCTTGGACCGCAACAGATGAATAGTATGTGAAATCATTTGATGGTTCCCGTAGAGCAGCGCAAAGCCAGGATAAGGCTAAGGCAGCTTTTTCATGGACGAAGTAGCTCGCAGTGATTGTCACGTCCACAACCGATTTATCCTCAATATCATGATATGACAAATCTAGAGTAATTATATCCTTCTTAATTGATACTGCAAGCAAGTCAGAATGATGCATGCAGTGACCATGATAAGCTTAGACTTGCCATTAATATTAGAGCTGTTGCACAGACGAGCCTCGACCGCTTCTAGAACATATAGGCCGATTTTATGAAAATTTGACTGCAGATACTCTCTGCAGCTCTGTGCTATACTGCCAGCAGTGTCTCCTGTAAGTGTCAATATTTCTCCAAGTGATTGACCGCTGGGAAAATTCCTGATAATGTAATTTGGAATTTCCCATCGCACCACATAACTGATGCGATTTTGCATGTCTCTGGGAATGTTGATTGGCCAAATATCACACAACGCCCTCTCCACTTGGTTAGGGTTCAAGGAAAGTCTGAAATCCTCCAAGAAAAGCTTCCATGAGACTGCGTCCTTGATTGTAGCAGTTTCGACGCCCAGTTCATGAGTATCGACCCATTGACCAAACGGTCGTTCTTCATTTACTCTCTTTTGAAGGTCCGTCAACTTCGCTTGGGAATATGCAAAATTTGATATCTCGAATCTAGTTGTAAGCACCATTTGCATTTCTGTAATTAATTTTCGTGAGTTAGCCCTGGCGTATTTTGCAGCGTTGACCACCTGAGGCGTCGTTACTTCACCCTCCAAATTCTCTGAAAAATCCAGTATGCATTGTCGAATATTGGTCTCGAACATATCAGCGGTAGTTAAGTTTTTGGATAAAGCCTCGCAATAAAGTGATTGCACATCCTCATCAAAGAATAGCAATTCTTCCAAAATTCGCTCCGCTTTTGAAGATTGCTCTGACACAATAATGGTACAGCGATTTGATGGTGAAAGCTTCAGAAGACTACTGGCGATTGCCGTGGCTGTGTAGTATTGTTTACTAACACAACCACTTTCAATGGCTACGTCCAGCTCTGACTCTTTTGCCAATCTTCCAATGAACGATACCTTCACGTCATATTCAATTATGAAATATTCTCCGTAATTTAGCCCAAACGTTGCATAAAGCATCCCTCGTGAGCCATTTGGAATGACCCCAATCGATAGCACCTTCAATACCTTCTCCTTTTTTTCCTCGATCAGACCACGGGTAGGCTTATCACTGTAAGTAAATGCGTGTTGTTTCGCATCAGCAACTTTCCTGTTCGTCTCCCCGGGGCGATATCTACGGACGGAACTAAGGCCAGAATTTATCAACACCCACGTCTTATAGCAATGTCATGTTAACGGCTAGATGGGCGTAAACTTACCGGCAAACACAAAAGCGCTTACCCTCCTCGACAATTAAAAGCTGCTTAGTTTGAAAGTGATGATTGACGTCTGACGAGACCTTCCAAGTAATCTTAGTTTCACCTCTTAAATCGTGGGCATTTTCTTCGGTTTTTTCCAACGGTATTTCGAAAACCTACTTGCTTAGCAAGTTTCAAGATTAAAGTAGATGACTACATACTCGGCCGAATTGGAACTTCCTGCTTTCGTGAACACGATATCCCCGATCGTATCGTTCTTTCTCGTGGTCAAGCTCATGACTATCTATCGACATATTTAGCGAGAGCAGTCAAAGTCGGTCTAAAAATTCATGCCTTGAGCATCCACGGGTGGTGGAAGTAGCCAGCCACTGCTCTTAGCAGATGTCCCCGGATTTGAAGCTCCTGAATCATGCTTCGGTTCAAGAAGTCTGGTGGACATAACGCAAAAGTTGGAAACACTGTGAATTGATCTCACAATGGCTTCTTTAGAGTACTAACGGGCGATGAGCTATCTTTCGGTTTCAAAATACAGTTATGACGTAGCAACCACGGCCTTGCAAAAGAATAAAAATAGTTTGAAATTTTTGAGGGTTAGTCCCTATATTGTAAGTCCTGAGAAGTCTGAAAGTTGCAGCCTAATAGAGTACTCAACGCCGACCCCGAATAGATACCAAATAGTATTTGCCGTATCGAAAGTTCCTCGTATGTGAACGCAAACACATCAACAAAAAGCAGTCATGCACTCAGACAGTCTCAAAAACGCCACCAATCAGTGATTTCACTAATTAGGAGTGGTAAGAGCCAATGGTGTAAGTTAATGATGCTTCATCAAAAGTTAAACTGCGCCTTTTCTAGCAGAGTTTCTCCAACGTGGCTGCATGAAATGCGGATACCGACCGACAGTACCCAATCTAGGGTGATTGGCTGGCTAGAATGAAATGAATGGGTCCAGCTTTAGAGTGCTTTTCGTGGGTACACACATCAGCCTGGCATTGCAAAGTTCGTCCAAGTTGATATCTTATCAATGCAACTACGGAGGCTCGGAAGTCGAAATCGGAAGCACTTTCAGAAAGATAGATATAACTTTTACATATTCTTAGGGTAGGTCATATTACCTAACTTCGTCGTTAAAGTCGAGAGATATCCAGTCCAAAAACATCACAGCTTCCTCAAAAGTTGTCAGCTAATAATACTAGCCGCCCCTCCTTCTCTAGCGTCTCACAGAATTACGCGATGCATCTATCCAAGTCAAGTATCGAATAAAATCCTCACATATGATTAAAGGGCATTCGCAAATCTAATAGGACCACACATATTATTTCAAACAGAATCGCAAAACTCAGTTTTAAGAGTTTACAAGGCGCAAATGCATACGCGTACAAGGCTGATACACAGAAAGAGGCACAGAAAATGGCACAGGCGGTGAGAACCGCCTCTTCCAGCCGCTTTGTTGATGTCAATTTTTTGAATGTTTTGGATGGGGATGCATGGAGGTTAGATGCATTGAATCAGATGGATGTGAAATGAGATCTTGCCCGAGATCTACGGATGGTTCATGTCTTGAGGCCTGATGAGATGTGGCGCGGAAATGGGATCAGGTGAGTGGTTGAGGGAAATGGTTGTGAGGAAGCCTTGTAAGCTTAGAGGTCGCTTGAGTTCGAAATTACAGCCTTGACTCGTTTCTTGATCTGCTTATAGGTGTGTTAGGCTTTGATTAGATTTTTGGCATTTGAGTGGAAGCGGCCGTGTTAAGCATATTTGGTATTTTAATATTTGTTTCGAGTGTCACGTTGAGGTACGATCAAATTGCAGAGCGATAATATGCTTCAAAAGGCATTATTGGGCAGCAGTTAGGTTCCATTGGGCCTTAAGCCTATCAAAATATAGCCTCAAATACCCAAGAAGCGTATTGCATCGATCGTAGGTTTAAAACAGTGCAGTGTTGCCTCAATTTTAGAGAGAGGAATATATGCCCTATCAATCAGTGTGACGTATACATCCTGGACTCTCAGTCATTCATAGAATCCAATATGAGATCTTAATACTATTATACCCTTTTGAGAGCGAATCCCTTGACTCGCTAGCCACCTTTCTGATGTTTGACACGCGGACATAATGTTCTACATTATAGACTTTGATGTAGTTCAAGCGGCTCAGTTCATGTAGCTTGCCTTCGTGATCACTACTTTCGCTCATGGCCCGAACAGGGTCTAAGATGAGGTCAACGGTTACTAAGGCGCCGTTATTGGATTTTTAGGAGTGTTTCTGTGGGGCACGCAGTGTGGTATGTATGATGGTGTGTCGTTCGGGCAAGGGAAGATTAGGTTTGAGTGTCGCTTGATTGGAGTATGTGTGTATAGGACTATTAGGTTATTAGATTAGTCAGTCAATATCTTGCATGCACAATTTAGGTGATACAAACCAGCAAATAGAACTTTCAAGTTGCTTCAGCACCACTACAAATCGTCATGTTTCACTATATAGTTGTTGTCCAAGGTATGTGGTGCTGGAGTGCAAACTATTGCGTGTTCCTCCCTGTGCTGGTACTTTGGCTGCACTGGCTCAGTCCACAAATGCACGGCCCACGATCCAAAAATCATCTTCGCGGAGGCCGGCGTGCACCTGATACCCTTGGAGTTATCATTAGTTAGTCAATTCTGAAGGTTTGGTTCTATGGACTCACTGGGATCTAGAGTTCCTGTATCGTCTGTATTGGGTCCTCTGGATATGTACCTTATACCTGCTGAAGATAGTCGCTGAGATACCTGGGAGTTGAAGTGATCTACTCATTTCTTAGTGAGCCCTAATCATCAAAGCACAACTAAATATCATACTTGGCAGTGCAGCCCGCGATGCCGTCAATGACATGGAATTCATTCCACTAATTGTGGCCTCTAAAATTGATGAAGCCGCCCCTTCCGTCGGCGGCCATGTAGAATTGTTAGCAGATGGGTATTGGAAAGAACTAGAAGTGTCAAAAGTGCCCCTGGCAGGAATTGAATCAAAATTTTGACTAAAGGAATTTCAAGAATTGTAGTAATCATTTATCGGGGCGAAAGGAGTGTAAGAAGGGATCGAAGTTGCATCATTCCCAAACGTCCGATATCCCTCGTCTGTGAGGTGGTATATACATTATTCCTTGCCGCAATTAGCGAGCAATATGGATACTGCTGATTAGACGCAACACTGGGGCCAGCATGACCCGGTTTTCTGGGCGTAGATGATGAATTTTCAGGCTCACGGTAATAATATTTGATTTCTTGAACACCAGTTGGACCCGTCCGGGAAGTGGAGTAGTAGCCGCTGTCATTCTAGGCCCATTCAGTCTAAGGAGTGCTCTGATCTAATCCTTCCGCTCTGCTTTGAGCTTTTATGTTTAAAATGCATAAATGCCACTCTGCAAACAATGAAGAGCCTCGTTAAAAAGCTATTCGCCACTAATCATCTCAAGTCTTGAAGAAATCTAAGCTGAGAAGAAAAATTGTTCAATATGGCGAGATTGTTTATCTCTGCATCAGTAAGTACCCAAGTTTCACAAAGAAATGTTTAGCAAACGCTGCTTTTGCTAGGCATGATGACCCTTATTATTCGATACATGCATTTGCCTTTTGCGAAATTGCGATCAGGCTACGTAAAGTGATGGCAAACAGAGGCTCAGTGTTTTCAAATTTCGCCACCCCTTGAGTAGCCTAATCCTAGTTAGACTTGATTCTCCAGTTGGACTTCTGCAAACTCCATAGTTTAGCTATGTCATATAAAAATCGCCGAGATACAACTCAAATAGAAGCTGTATTTGAAACTTCGTGAAGCGTTCGCGCTACATAATTATTGAAAAATTATGAAGTCTTTTCTGGTAACAAATATCCCACCCATAATTAATTCTGGGAGTCAAGCACCGACCCCGGCTAACAGTGACCACAGGCGTCTCTCTTTGGGAGACTCAGCATGTCCAGATATTCAAATAAGAGAAGTCGTAAAAACGGAAGAGCTGCTCCCTTACGTTCTGAGCCGACCATGGAAAGACCTTCAGAGCCATCGGAAAACAGAGAAGAAACCAAATCGAGATGAGGATGATACATTTACATGTCCGGATGTACTCGGCTAGACTGGTAGCGATGGCAAAAGTGCATATCGAGCCGAAAGAACTAAATATCGCTTGGCGGAGCTGTTAAATATATTACGAGAGATCAGTGAATTGCAGTCGGAACCGGTTGGGGCCCAAATTGGAGCTGGACAAAAAATGAGAGGAGTGGAATTCGAACGAGAGGCTATTTCACGAGCGGATGCTAGCTTCATGAAAGAACTTCAACGACTAAAAGCAAAAGGGCAACTTGAACTATTTGAACATCTTTCTAGGCTTGCGGATACTTGCCAATCAGCACGGGATGGATTTGGTCCTTTGGAGGATGAGGTCTTCGAAGTACAATGTTGGTATGAGGGGAGGCTGTGGGGACTCAGACAGGCAGAAGATGCATTATTCGAAGATTTTGCACCCGAGTTTCGAGAGGTCTATGAGGAGTCTCCAGTGGCTTCAAGTTCAGGTTCAAGCTCAGCACACAATATCTTGGATATTTCTTCACCCGTCAACGTTAAAAATTGTGAATTGCGAGATAAACAAAAGGAAGACAAAACATCAAGGAAAGCGCCTGTCTCTCACGTTTTGCGAATGTTGAAAAATTTTACTCGAATTCAAGAGCAAGATATTGCCTCTCTTCGTTTTCGGCACACACTAGTATCGACAGCTAGCATTAATTGTGTCGATCCGAGATTCAATTTCATCTGACGATAGGAGCAAGGAATAAGAGGAGGATATATCATTACTGGATCTAGAAAATCGAGAGTCGTTAGGGCACCAAGAAATACATTACGAGCCTACACTGTCATTAGAGCCGGTGGTTGTCGAAAGCGTCGATGATAAAGCTCAAGAATCTGAGTTAGTGCTGAGTTTAGGTTCTGAAGTCTGCAATCTAGATCTGGTTGAGGACGATGATTTGACTGCAGTTGTTACAGAACGGCAATCAAGTACAGAATCATTTCCCAAATTGCTAACGAATTTCGCTACACGAGGCGATCGAATAAATAAATGGCTACTACATACGACGCTCATTTCCAAATCAGAAGCAAATCCTATTGGGCTACAACTGCAAAAAGAAACCGACTCATCACCATTTTCGTGGGCGCAATTGATCATTGCTTTTTTCGAGTTTGATTATAATACTTCCAAGCCTACCAACAAGACGGTCTCAATGGATGCGAACGCAATGGAAGGAATTGATATGCGCGATATCTTGATGACATCTCCTCAATTCAATACATCAAAGAATCAGGAGCCTTCAGGTAACGGAAAACAAGAGACGACAAGCAAATTATGTTCTGCTTCAATCCCTAACAGCATCGCCAAAATTAACATCACCACTCCTGCTGAACATCTATGTACTATCAAAAATTTCGAAACTCATGATAGCATGGCGGACCAGTCGATATCCAAAGAAGTACCGTCGCAACTAGAACTACCAAATTCTACCTAATCCAGTATTAATGAATTAAACCACCATCTCACTAGCCTCCAAATACCAGATACGATAATCTCAGCAGGAACGGGTAATTTGATATTACACGAGCTTTATGAGCGCAGCCCAATAAGCAAAGACGCGAACTACAAAGTAGGCGGGAAAGGAAAAGGGAAGATGGATTGTCAAAAGATACATGGAATTCAGCACCGAGGACTTTGCGGAAAAGCCAGCCAAGGAAATCTCTACCTACGGCAGGAATGCCCATGTATTCTTGCAGCAGCAATAAGTCCACGACTCGAAATTTTTTATGAAGGTGGCAGGTATCTCAGATATTGCTGTTGCGTCGTAGGGGGTCATCTTAACACTTTTTTGACGCAAAATGATTGAAGAGTAATCAATAAAATTGAAGCTGTGATTTCAGATTAATAAGAGTTTTTCCAATTTATTCCATTTATCCCCGGACCGTGCCGCATGTAAAGAACGGAACTCAGTATGGAAATTCTTTAGACCCCCACTTCATAATAAGTCAGGAGTGCATTTGGAATGTCACAAATCATCTGTTTTTATTCACAAAAGCTACACTAAAACTCGATTTGCTGGCGATAAAAATAAAGTGATATAGTATAAACAAAGTCACTGATGATACAGCAAGAGTTTCGATGACCCTGTCTAATCCAAAGGAACCCCAGAAATACTAAATCCGATCAAGTGTCGTCATTAAACAATTTCAATTTAATTTATTTAAGCAAATAATAATAATAATAATAATAATAATAATAATAATAATAATAATAATAATAATAATAATAAAAATTAAAAAACTTTCAATTAAATGTATTTAAAATATTAATTAATAATTATATTACCTCATCTTATATATTGATATTTTTATTAAGATTTTTTATATAATTAAATTATTACCAATTAGAATACTCAGACCACGACTCAATTTTCAATCAATTATTATAATCTCTGAATACAAAACATCGACTAGTTGACAAGAAACCGATGTTCAAAAGTTTTATATTAATTTAAAGATTTTTCATTTATATAAAGAGACTCTTGAATAGTATTAAAAAAATCATAAAAAGATTTAATCCTTGATTATTATTCGAATATAATCAATTCTTTGTTATATAGTTCTAATATCAATTAAATTGCAATTTTAAATAAATAATATTTATATAATTATATCATAGTTAAAACCACACCACGGGTGTGTATAACAAGAATTTTAAAGAGGTAAACCTTCAATAAATTATTATATAATAAAAATTTCACAATGTATATTTAGATCTTGATATTGTAAAAGTGATAGGTCGAGATATATGCATCCCGATAACACGTTATGAAAGGGAATTGGAAGAGAAAGCTGAATTAGATCATATCGTAATATATCACTTATAAAGAAAACAAAGTTCACAATGGTTTTGGGGTTGATGTTATATGGGTTCAAATGTATATATGTAAAAGGTTGATTATTGTGGAAAGGAGAGGCAAAAGCTCTTCTTTTATATCTAATTACAAGAGGTCATGTAATTGACTGGTTAAAAACCTCTATGTATTTGGCCTATAATTCCAACTTTCTTATAATATCTTTTTAATAAACCCTTTATCGACCAAAATCAATATATCACATAATAATATAAATCTAGTAAAGTTGTTAATTGTTTATTTTTTTTAAAATATATTTGAAATTGTAAGATCTAAAAGAAAATCGCATGTTCCGAAACAGTGACAATAGTACCAGCTATTGTCCAGTAAGGAAAAATAAAACAAGAAAGTATAACGCAAGAATGAAATAGGAAAACCCAAGACTATTGACAATATACTAGATTGACAGATTATCCATCGTCGCAAGTTCGCAATCGTCAGGATCATTCAATGACTCCTCAAGTTCCGCAACTTTTTGTTGTTCTTGTTGTGCTTCTACAGCCACTCGGTCATCTGTATTACCTTCAACGTCAGCATTCAACTGCTGAATGTACTGCTCCGTAATAGGTTGTTCAGGAGGAAAAGTCTGTTGCTCAGGCGTCATTACAGATGTAAGAAATTCTGAGATTTGGTCGCGCCCTTGAATATCTTGAGTTGCTGGATTTTGCCCACGAAGTTCTGCTCTGCAAGCTGGACAATCGACATTACGTGACACTTCAAGATATTCTTCAAGGCACTTCTGGTGAAACATATGATCGCAGTGGGTCTTCACTGGCACTCCTTGCTCTTCTACGTCTCTGAGGGGCTCCCGACAGAGACCGCAGTCTTCGTCATCAACAAGCGTGAGTGCGACTGGATCAAATGCTTCAGCAGCAATAAAGCTCGTGCGTTGTTGACCCATACCAGCCTCCCAAAGATTTTCACTAATGCTATCTCTCAAAACAGGAAGTGCCGCATTTATTGCCAAGACTATTTCAAGATATAAAATCCATTCTCTTTTGGCAGGTGATGGATTTTCGCCCCAGATTACGCGAAGCCAGAAATCAGGAAGGACTCGGTGATAGAGGTCTCTAACTAGCAAAATCACGCTTTCTCTAGGAACTAAACCGACAGGTATGCGGTTGGACAAGGGGAAATTGGGATTATGTAGATGGCCAGGTAGACGTGGCAAATTTGGGGCTCGAATGCGTAAATCCTGGAACTCAGCTTCAACATCCCAACTTCGATAACATTCGGCCATCCAGTCAAGCATTGATTCCTCAGATTGATATCTAAGACATCTAACAGGCTGGGCGACTCTGGGATCAGGTAGCATGAAGCACTCATAACAGAAGCTGTTGATAATGAATAAACGCGTTTCAACTACAAAGTTGTCGCAGCAAGAACCATCTCCCTGACATGGACGGATTGGTCTACACCGGTGGTCACACTCTGTGTAGTGAAAGTATAGACTGATACACATCTTGCAATAGGTATCCCTTAAGGCTTGAATAGATATTGAATGTAGTAGTGTGATGGGGTTCTGAACTCGTGATGAATGATTCAAGAAAGATCCTGGTAAAATCCTCGACTATTTAAACTAATTGCATGTTTACTGCTCACAACCTGAATTATGAACAGCTCCATCAATATTATAAAGAAAATTGCCGCTGCGGGGTTTCAATTTTAAGGCACCAGATAGTCCTGAAGACGAAGGCAAGGAAACAAGGTCACCACAAATTGGGAACATCGTATTGAACAGACGTTGCATTGACCTAGCACATTAAAGGTGATCTTAGACAAGGTCATTGTTCTCTCTAGTGAGGGGAACAAAGATGAGGCGATAAGACCTCGATACTCGAGCTAAACCCATTCCAGAATAGAATTTAGTAAATAATGCTTTGTTCTTCCAACCCACGAGAGGCGGCCGTAACTGCGCATTAGCTTGAAGAACCAGAAACAAAGGCTGATGCTTAACTTATTCTCCGATTCTTTGTACTCTTCCGATTCAATCCAAGACCTGCTCCATTGGCGGGCTAACTGTTGAAAGTACTCAGTAACCCTTTATTCCGCAACCAGATCCGTATTAGGAATGGTGCTATTCAACCCACCGAGACAAATACGGTACATCTCTTAAAAATGTCCAATCGGATTCTATCTCCTAATCAATAAACACCACTAAGAAATGCCCATGAATGCAGGAAATATACTCACTTCAATCCATGAGATTCTACTAGTTACCAATCCCCCTCAACATTAACTAAAGGATTAATTTTATCGGATGAAATACGAGAAATCACGTTCATGAGCGATTGCATTGAAGATAGGTTCCTGAATGAAGTAGATACGGAAATCAGCAGTATCGCTGATTAATTTCATATGCAACTGTCTGCCAGCCGACTAGGAATTACAAAGGGATTTAAAATATTTCCGTCCCTCAATCTAGTGCGACCAATAGTTTTGATGAATAACACATTTAAACTGAACCGGACATATCAACCGATCCAAATGTATAGAAAGCAAAAAAGTATCAGCATACAGGATCTCCTTTGAATTAAAGTGCATGAACTACACTTACGGCCACATATACTGAGAAACTTAGGTATTGCACGATGCAGAATCTATCATTTTGAAACATTTCATAGGACGTCTGGATTAAACTTAAATCAGACAGAGAAGCCGCAACAAACCAAAGCTAAAGAGACTAAAAGGTCGCAGCAAGCCAGAATCATAACAGAGGATAATCAGTCTTAAGAATGAATGAGGCACTTGCCGTCTGGAAATGTCGCTAGATTGTCTTAAAAAATTAGAACGATATGTTGTTCACGTGACGGCGATTGTCGAAATTTGGGGGCAAAAACTTTTGACTTTTGTGGTAGAGTAGTATGATACAGTTCCCCTATCCTCCAGGTTTTCTTCTTCATTGGCCCGCCTTTCAAGCTTTCAGGAAGGGGAATGAAAGAGATAACTATTATCTACGATAATCCATTTTACTCATCCCACCCGCCCATGTATGTTCGCAACCCAGTGCGCTCGCTATTCCTAGCCACTAAACGTTGTTATTATCATCTTAACAATCCCATCATAGTGATATCACGCAGTTGACAATTTGGTTAGTCAACAGGAAGCCCGTCATGGAGGGGGATATAGACTATCCATCCGCTCATCTGTGATGAGAAACCATGCCGGGGAGAATTATGGACGCCGACCAAATGCAAAATGCTGAGACATTTTCCCAATTGTGATCGGAACACCTCCGGTTTTATCGTATCATTAAGTTTTGCAAACTGTAACGTTGACAAGCTGTTCTCGGTTGTTATCTTTCTAGAGATGTTCCGTTGTGGCGTGAGTAGTGAGGCTGAAATGATGAAAGCATCTGTGATTAGAAGGTTAATGAATGGTTTTAAGTAATAATACGTCGATAAGTAATGGGTATCTCTGAAAAGTCGATTCGAAACGCAACGCGAAAACAAGAAAGGCGTAGTGACCCGTAGTGAAAATTTTGTGGTCGAATTTGAAAATAATGATCATTTCAAATCAGCCCATCATGCTTGTTTCATCATCTTCATCGTCGTCCCCTTGCTCTAAACTTTCGATGGCTTCTTTTATTTGTTGACTCGCCTATTTCTCGTCAGTAATAAGTTTTGGGGTTAATATGATGGGATATATATACCTTGGGATCTAAGTTCAGAGCGATGGTAAAATGTCGGACTGAAGCACCCTTTTGTTTGATACTCTTATATAGTCTACCTAATAAGAAATGAACCATCGCCTCATCAGGAGCCAAATCTTTCAGGATCTTCAATTCCTCCAAAGCATCTTCCATATTCCCCATTGTCATTAAGCATCGAGCTTTCTTGAAACGAGTCAAGGCTGATTTAGGATCCAACTCAATCGCCTTTTTGAAGTATGCGAGTGCCAGTGCCTTGTTTCCCTTCTTATCAACAACGCTTCCCATAAGACCCAATAGTACGGCATTCGTTGGGTTGATTTTAGAAGCGGCTTCGAAATGTATGAAGGCTTTATCGTAATTACCCATCTTCTCATATACTTTACCAACACCATAGTAGGCGTTATAGTGTCTCCTATCAACAGCCATTGCATGTCTGTATGAAGTAAGTGCCTTGTCGTATTCCTCGTTCATAACATGCTCATGACCTTGCAGAGTAAATGCATAAGCAAACTTGGGATTGAGTTGTGTAGCCCGCTTGAAACATCGTAAAGCTTGCTCATGATCTCGCATAAGTGACCAGGAATTTCCCAGCGCACACCAAGCCTCTGGCGATTGCCACGAAAAATCAACCAACTCATGGGCAAGAAAGGCTAGATCAGTCTCTTTTTTCAAATGCCAAAGAACAGTAGAATATATTTCCATATCCTGGAAGCGTGTTGGTGCTATTTGTCGAATCCGCCTGTATAAGAATTCTGCTTCAGCATATGATGCTTGTTCGTAATGAGCACGCCCCATCTGTGACAATACCCAAGGCGTGTCTTGCTGTTGAGTAGATAATGTGCAGAACGCTTCCAAAGCTTGACGAGACTGAAATCTGGCAAGTAAATAATAGCCAGTGCCGAACTTTTTAAACAAGTCGAGAAGCCATCTTATAGCCTCCTCCCGAGTTCCAGAGTCTGATTCGGATGACCTGGTACCGGAAGATTTTGTAGATACTGGCGCTCGGGATCTTACCTCTCCTTCCCTTTGGTCTAATTCCATGGATTCTTCCACTGGTTTTCGATTACCGCTGACCTGTCTACCTGCGGTCGATGCCCCAACCGGTCGCATGATCTTTGATATCGGAGGTCTAGCCTTCTTTAATTCTCGCCCAGGCGCTGGCCCCACAGTGGCAAGGTTACTGGAAGGTTTGTTGCTTGTGGGGCGGAACTGGTTGATCAATCTGACACTCCTTCTCTGGGGTGCTCCAGGGTCTTCTGAGGGCTGTCGAGGTACTGCCTGTCCCGATATGGTTCGCTTCCTTTCCCCACCTGGTGCCGTAACAGAGTTGTGGCGAGAATTGTGTCCTGCGCTACTGTCTTCCGAAATTTCAGCTGCCGCCTTTTGAAGTCGTTTCGAGGCCATGGATCGACCCATCTTCGGAACGTCCATGCTAAAGTCCATGCCAAGCCCCTGTAGTGTTCGGTTCCTGCGAGCTGGGGCTTGTGGAGGTTCCATGTTAATAGGAAATGCTGATATCACACCAGGTTCTTTTCGACTAGGCGCAATAGAATAATCGGGAGGGACACTAGGACCAGTAGGCGTTTCCATTGTGTCAGAGCTGATGCTGCCATTTCCAGTCGCGGGAAGATTTGTAAGACTGGGATTGCTCTCAGCGAGCTTCGAGGATGCAGAGGTAGTAAGTGATCCAAAAAGGCCACCGGTGAATGATCGAGACGTGGGATTATTATTGAAAGGATCCACGGGTTCACTCTGGTAAGTTCGCACGCTGGGTCGGATCAGTTTGGGTTCCTCCACAAACATGGGTTCCACTGGCGCCTCTCGTTCTTGTGCATTCGTTTTCAGTATTGCCTCCATCTCTACACTCATCCTAAAAGTACTCGAAGCTCTAACACTGGTGCCCATATCGCAAAGATTAGTAAAAGCATCCCACATGAATGGATTCATTTTCAGCGCATCTTCGAAATAGCTGATCGCCTGCTTTTTGTCATCGAAGGCACGGTATAGCTTCGCCAGTAAACAACAGACGGCAGATGCGTCAGGATATGGATGTCGCGAGTATTCTGTATGTTTGCCGAATGAGTTTTGTGCCCCCCAACAGCCTCTATTCTTTTCCAACGCCACAATGCCTTCTTTCAGTTTTCCCAGTGCAAGGCATGCTTGTGCATAGATGTATGCACAGCCAAGATTTCCCATCTTATTCCCTGGGCTCTTTACCACCTCGAAGGCGGAAGCATAATCGCCAAGGCGTAAATGGCATAATGAGAGGAGGTAGGATGATTCAGGGCCTTTAGGGGTATAAGCATGCAATCGCTCTGCGAAGAACAAGGCATTATTAAGCAGGTTATTGTCAAGGTGGTAGTAAATGAGTTGACAAAGTTGGGTCGTGATACAAGGATTGATTGTTTCCTTCCTTGAGGGAGGCATTGTGCAGGGTCGTGAAAGAGAGGAAGTAGATCGAAGTCGCAGATTGTGTATTTGTTATTATGATATTCTCTCCATGAAGAAAACAGAGCTTCGAGTAGTCCTTCAACTGTTGCAAAATCGGTCGTCGAAGAGGTTCCCTTTGTTGATCGCCTTGGGTTTGAACAAAAGAGGAAAATAGATAGCTCACGCGCGTTGCGTTATTTGCTTGATTTGAGAATGTAAACTTTTTGTAGCTCCACGAAAGCTATCTTAGGGTTGATGACATTAAAATTATCTCATTGTATTGTTGTTGAAAGGGTAGGTGGCAAAGAAGCAGATAGGAACTTTCGTGAATACGATCGTAAGGTCGGAATAAACAGAGTTGTTGTTGTTGCTGGTTACTATTTGCCAATGTAACGATGAAGGCGGAAAGACAAGGCAAGGCAGGTAGGTAGGAAAAAAGCTAACCAGTCGTTGCTTGTAAAGTGCAAAGGCTGAAAGAGACCCTAATGACTTCGAATATCAAGTGAATATGCTGGAGGAAGGAGGAAGGAGGAAGGAGGAAGGAGAATTGTATGAATTTTTGCCAAATAGAAAATAGAAGGAGGGGAAGGCTGAATACGGTCGCGAATGCAAATCTAAATGCAAATCCAGGATCCAAAGGTTTTTTTTGTAAAATGGTACAATCAATTTATTCCTTTTCATTTGGATAACCTCAACCCTTGCGCGCCCTCGACCTCTTCTATTTTCGTTCTGTTGTTGTCTGCTCGCGGCGAGAATGATTGGTTGCAGAGCATTCACCCAGCAACAATCGGACGGTTGGTGACATTAGTAAGCAAGGTACACAACAGAACACCGCTTCATAATATATTTTGTTCCTTGCAGACTCAGCCTTGTGAGGAAAGTCAAATACTACACAAGACTCAACGACATCTCTTCTGAACCTTGTCACTTCACCCAATTGTTCTATTCGAAGACGCGATTATCGCAAGGTTCTCGTCAGGAAAGCAGAAGGATACTTAGTTACATTTTTATTCAGCGAGCATTACACTGAAGCAATCCCATTTTCCAGTCATCCAGAAGAGGCCAGATCCTGAAAGCACCAACTCATTCTCCTTTCTCAAATTCGGCATCATCCTTTTACCTCACACATAATGGCACAGAAAGCGAAAAAGGACCGAGCCAAGGCCAATATCCAAGCCCTAAATTACCTTCATTATGGGACATTTCTCGTAAATGCGCTATTCTGCCTCTTCCATTTTTTGATACGATCCCGCAATATGTGGGCATACGTACTTCTCTCAATTGCGCCGTGGATCATCGAATGGTTCCTCGAACAAAATAGTCGTCCCAAGTTCGATCAAGCTGGCAAGATGGTGTCTGCAGGTGAAGATCTCGCCGCACCAGGATTGACAGAATATATGTTCGACATTATATGGATGCATTGGTTATCATTGTTCGCCGTTATTATATTCGGCAATTGGGGATGGCTCATATTCTCGGTTGTGCCAATTTATGGACTTTACAAGGTCTTTGGTCTATGGTCTGGAGCAAAAGGCATGATGGGTAGTGGGCAGGGAGCACAAGCACCTGAAGAACAAATGCCTGCTGCGGGTAATAGAAGACAGAGAAGACAGTAAGGTCTGTAAATTTGATGGTTTGTGGCTCCAATCAAGGGCACGCGAGATAGGAATTTTCCATTCTGGGTGGTATGAGTGTCGTACATGAGTTCCATACAGATACATTTCCGTGTATATACATGATTTTATACCTTGTTTCCCGTCCAAAATTCAACATCATCCTTTTGGACATCTTTGATTAGAACATGAACATGTTCAAGGGCTCTTACACTCTGCAATGCGACCCAATTCTTGAACCACATTACTCTGTCATTGCCATCCAACCTATCAGCAAATGTTCTCTTCACAAAATCTTCGATGATTGTCCTGCTCTCATCCGTCATGTCTCCGTTCTCATCGTCGGTGGCGATCGGTGTTTTTGACCACACTACGAAATGAGTAACATTCTTCGAGAGACCATATGGCCAATCATTTAGCAAAATCTTATAATCCGAGGGATTCTGAAAGGGAATTGAGGACACGTAGGTAAATGGCGGAGAACCCCAGGGAAGTCGATGCTGGAGGATGTAATTCATCATACTTCCATACTCCGCTTTAATAGCTGCAGACCAGGACATATAGCGACGAAGATCAGAGGGCTTTCGTTTGAGGACTGAGAGATTATTTGTTGCTTGATGACAATTAGAAATATGATTGGGCGGAAATGTACAATGCCATGTGGAAAAAAGCTGTGTTGAGCCCCAACACATCACATTACAGCCCCAAGAACCAATTCTCATCACACTGGTGATCCTTCGCATGTCCTCTGCCCTTGCAATCATATACTGTTTAAAAGTGTAGCTCATGTAATCAATACAATCGGAAGTAGCTCACCTATGATCTCTTTCAACTCTTCCCAATCATGTAGATGAAATTCTTCATCTGTCTGTGACAAGACCCATCTATCTGTATCGGTAAGAGGAAATGGTGAATCCTCGTATTTACCGTCTACCTCGTCTCCATTCTGATTGACAGATTCCACGGATTCCCCCATTGCTTAAAGTGCCTGGATATTACTTTATTCGGGTATTTGTTCAGCCCTGTCAATCTGATGAGGTTGTTGACAAGTTTCGTCTACTCATGGCTCTTAGTCCAGGAAATATTATCCTCATCGGGATAAACTTTGAAGCGAGCTCCGACCTCCAGCAGAAAATCAGATGACTTTGAGTTGGCCAGCAGAGAAGAACCACAACACCGCACTTTATTATACTTCAATTGTCACCACCAGCACCTTTTCCTCCTGAGCCGGGTGTTCCGCAAGCGATATTCGACACTTCTCCGCACTCCTGAGAAGTGAGACTCACAACTTCATACCGTATATTGGGGTCTTCATTCAATTGAAAATATTGAAGGAGCAACAAGTGCAAGGATCGCAAACAGAGGCCCAACAATTTCTCGAGGTCTCACCAAATCTACCAAAATGAGTACAGCACCAGCAAATAAGTTCATGTCAAAGGCGTATATTGATGGAATTTATATTCCATCTGGTCTTTTAATATTTGGATGTTTAATTGTCAAAAAAGATTGGCTTCCTTTTGCCGTTGCTCTTGCTGCTCTTCTTGGGGGATATAAGATTTGGGCAAGTCGTAAGTTTATACTTGCACACACCCCATTGATGAAATATTGGACTTACACTTCCTCAGAAGAAATTCCAGTTCTCAAGCCAACTGTCTTTCAAGATTTCGAACTCAAGGAGAAGACTATCATTTCACACAATGTAGCAATGTCAGTTTTATTCTATCCCGCGTTAACTGCTGCTCCTAACATCCGCATAGCTACCGATTCAGTCTGCCAAAGCCTACCTCTATTCTCGGTCTTCCTATCGGTCAACACATCTCTATCTCCGCTGTCCTCCCTCAACCCGAAGGGGAAAACAAGGAAATCGTTCGATCCTATACGCCCGTCTCTGGCGATCATCAACCCGGATACTTCGACCTTCTCATTAAGTCTTACCCTACCGGAAACATCTCTAAATATATGGCTTCGCTCATTGTTGGTCAAACCATCAAAGTTCGTGGTCCAAAGGGTGCAATGGTATATACTCCCAATATGGTTCGTCATTTTGGTATGATTGCTGGTGGAACTGGTATCACGCCCATGTTACAGATTATTCGCGCGGTTATTAGAGGTAGAGCAACTGGAGATAAGACTGAAATCAATTTAATTTTCGCAAATGTCAACCCCGAGGATATCTTATTGAAAGATGATTTGGATGGTTTGGCCGCTCAGGACAAGGGATTCCGAGTTCACTACGTTTTGAACAATCCACCGGAGAAATGGGATGGAGGCGTTGGCTTTGTCACTCCTGAAATGATTACTGTAAGTCCTCAAGATGTAGCCTACCAATAACATCAGAGCTAATGTTATATAGAAATGGCTTCCTAAACCAGCGGACGACGTTAAGCTTTTGCTCTGTGGACCACCACCTATGATCAGCGCCATGAAGAAAGCCGCTGAAGGTTTGGGCTTCCAAAAGGCAAAGCCAGTCAGCAAATTAGAGGATCAAGTCTTTGCTTTTTAAAGAATTATTTTTATCAACGTCTAGATGGAGACGGGACATTCAAATTTGAACTTTGCGAGAATATCTGCTAGGGCAAGCAGATATAGCAAGGTTTGAAATATGAAAAGTAAAATTAAAGCAAGACTGAGAAGACAAATTATTCATAGATCCCTTTATGTCAATTGTTTTTTTATAAAGAAAAAACTCTCCTGACCGACATGCAATATTACGGCTTATATTGAGTGCTGCTAAAGAAACCACAGGCGGGCTTTACAAAATCGAAGCATGCACTCTGTGGTTTTACTACAGGAGCAAGCCATGAGGGTCCTCACCCGCCTTTTTTGATACTGTTACCTCATTTAGGCACCTTAACATACCATTGGTAGCCTATAGACCTGCACCCTCATTCCTATGTTCTACCTCGAGCGCACAAGTTAAAGCCGTTTCTATACATATTCCCTTCAAGTTGTTGGGTGGCTTATATAACTCCTCCGCCCCGAAGATACGGTCGTGGTCAAAAGTTACAAGGCCTTGTCTTACCACGTAGGAAAAGCCTGCCAGATTTGCCGCTTCAGGACTGTACGATGTCGCTATTACTGTAGTTCTCCCAACTATTAAACGCTTGCTCCACAGATTGAGGCTATTTGTAGCAAACGTCAATCCTCCTTGTGGTGGGCCACTGCTCAGTGCCTGGTCAGTGCTGTGAAGAGCATTCTCTTAGTCAACATGCTTGTCCCAATGCTTACGAAACTCCATTCTCATGCATGCAAGACATTTCCTGAGTGAAGCAAACCTGTGATTTCCTTCGACATTGCATTCACCCCTAAATCCATGCTTATCACAAATGTTTCCTTACTTTTGCCGTCAAAAAAGACCCTTCTTGCTGATAGTTGAGATACTTGAATGCTTCCCGTTCCATCCCACCTCTGAACACAGAGGTCAAATCCTTAAGCGGTCGCTTACCTGGTGTCCGATTCCTCACTAAATCCTAAGAGTGACCAGATTTAAAATATTACTTCCTGCTATAGTAAGCCGAGCTTAATTTGTGTATGGGAATAGATCACTATAGAATTTTTGGGAAATAACAGTAATCGAAGCCTCGAGTTTGTCCCAAGTCGACTAACTCACAAGCGCTTGGTCAAGCCAAGGTCTAATCTCCTTTTTCCATTTCTTGTGAGTAGCAATGAAGATATAAAGGTCTTCAAATCGCCTCGCAGATAACTCATATTGACAATCATTTCCACATCAGAACATCCAGCAATCAGCAGTACCACCAGACAATCTTTCAACCTTTCCTTTGTTAGTACAATCATTTTTCAAGCCCTATCGCAAATCATACATTCACAATCTTTATAAATTCTTACTTTTGTCAATTACTATCATAGTACTATAGTACCATAGTACTATCAACTTCAACATGCAATTCTCTACCATTTTCATTTCAACTGCAGCCCTTCTCCCATCTGCCCTCGCCTGCTTAAACGTCAACATAACCTACACTCTCCAAACTGCAAGTAGCGAAAGCAACATCTATGCACAATTCCTCGACAACGGACGAGTAACCTGCTACTACAACCAACCCAACCCAGCCACCGGAGCCAAAGAAGTATACGCTCTCAACAACAACCCTAACAATGTCGCCGTCGTCAACGACACTTACCAACAATGCGTAGCAGGATACTGGGCCACTTTCCAGGTCGACCTCTCGGATACTAAGGATAAGAAGGGTAATAATAAGATTGAGAGTTATAGTTATTTGGATCAACATGGTCAGGCTCAATCTTATACAGGTATTAGTCTGGGCTCGAGAATCACTACTGCGGCTGCGGGGAATAATCCTGAGGTATGGACTTGGTTGGCTAATCCTTTTTGTTAAGTGGGGTGGTTGAGGGGTGGGGGTGCAATACTTTGGGGATTATTGTGTCTTGGTGGATGATGTTCGAGTGTTGATTGGTTTCGGTTGGAGTGTTCAACTCTGAGCATGAAGGATATAGGGGCCAAATAAGCGATGGGCGTTGCTGGAATGGGAATAGTAGATGCGGTGTTGCTCATGGGAAAGAATGGGAGCAGGTCTCAAAAGATCGAGAGTTGATTTCTTGTCTTTAATTTTTCCTTTTTTGGTCGTTTTTGTGTTGTCTTGTCTTTTGCTTTTAGGTTGGGTTGTATGGGACGGATAGATAGATAGAAACAGAGATAAAATGATGATGGTGGAGATATGGGCACGCTTGGCTTGTTGTTTTATGGTTATGTTATGCTGTATTATGGGATTTAGTTTGGAAGTCAATCAATTGGTTTGATCTCTTAGTTTTGACTTTTTGCTTTAAGTTCGTGATGGTAATATAGTGATGATTTTGGAGTAAGCTTTGATGCGGAATTATGGTAATGGATTGGTTGATGAATTGGTGAAGTTTAGAAATTGTAACATTATATGTACTTCTCACAGTGGCATTCTAAGCTATATTTGTTTCTTTCGAAGAAGAGATATATGTGGTTGAGCCAGCTCATTATTCATGATCAAATATCTCAATAAGTTTCCTAATATCTTTCAGATGCGTTGATCAAGGCTTACGTGTAAAGGTGTTATATAAAACAACATGAATTGGGGAGAATTAGATCACGAAAAAATTGACCACGCTGGTATCAAGTTGTGGATTAATAGAGGTAAGATGCTATACGCAGGTTATATTTCTAATTGACGTCATCATCATTCAGCAACTACCTCTAGTGCTAGGCTAGTGCAAGTGTCACTTTTAAACAAAATCTGTCATCTGTCAAACTGTTCAAAGTCTTTGCTTGTCCTTAGCCTCTACTTCTTCGATCAAATATTCACCATGTCCCGAAAGCTAAAACATGTTCGCAGACGCTTAGTCTGTCCCTGGTAAGATTGTTGCTATCTCATGATTAGCTGACGATTTCAATAACACACAGTCTGCTATTACTGGCGAAAAATCACTATTTCTCAGGTATCGCAGAAGTAGAATATATGTCTTTTCTTGTGCTTTTCTTGATTGTCACTTGATAGGAGATTGCTTCTATGGTTTGGTTTAGCCTAATAATGTGGAGACTTTTATTCGCGTCATATACTTTTGAACAAACAATTTGAAGTGGATGAGAGTAGCTATTGGCGCTGATTCGTAGTAGGAGAAAAAGTAGGAAACAGAACTGGCACAAACGCGATGTTACCGTATGGTTGAGACTATTGGGATGAGAAAGAGTGTAAGGGCTTCTTGGGCTATGATAACCGCAAATCCCTAGATTTTTCCACGGATATTCGGCGAACGACTGGCAGTTAGAAGACGGAAAAGTTCAGGAAGTATTTAGACATTCACATATAATCACTTTTTCCGAACAGTAATCCGCATTTGTATGCCTAACCCCGCACAAACATCAACTCCAGTCGAGCATTCACAACTACTTGAGAATTGCCTACCGACTTTACATAATAATAACCTCAACAATCAATGGAATGGAGTTCTCTAAACGTGGAACCTAAGATTGCATTGTCGGTCCAGTTTCCCCGCTTTCAGCCTTTTCTGAGCGGGATAGAATATATATATCACCAGTTTATCAATTCCAACTTCTTTCAAATTCATATAGAACCTTTCCTCTCAACTTCTTTTCCTCTCATAAGATATGCCATCAAGAGCCCCTAAATAAAATTTATTCTAAATTAATTTATTCCCAAGTTGAGCTAAGTGAGCTTGGAGGAAATTTACGTTGTGTTGCTTAGTTGTCTAATAAGAAACCTTTTAATTATGCCATGGGATTAGGATATGGGAAGGATTACACACGAAAGGATGCCATAGTATTAGGCGATTTAATTTGTGGTCTTGATACCTTCGGCAGACTTGCAGTTCTGGTACTTTTTTTATGTGGCTTCAGATTTTCAATTGCGGAATTGGGTTATAGAAATGTCAAATAATACACCGGTGTTAGAAAAGGTCTTTCAGTATTAATGTATATAAACCCTTAAGCTGAAACGAATTGCAACCCTGCGTCTATATATCAAATATCTTCAACACTCGAACGACCGATACTGAAGGTGCTAACAAAGTCAACTAGACTGACTTCTATCCATACGCTAGCTGCCATATCTCATCCCAAACGTCAAACTTGGTGTGTATTAGATATTTAAAATAAACCAAACGACCAAAGTGGTATAATACCATGCTTCTTTCGAAAAGATCAGATTCACCATTAATCCAACCGAATAAAAGGGGGACCGAATATTTCCGCCGATAGGTTAAAATTGTTGGAACTATCTATATCACATGGAGGGAGTGAAGTAGGTTACACTACTGTGTAACATCGAATAAAAAGCCTACTAGTCATCAAAGCTAGCTGTGACAACGAAACAACCACTCGGTATACTTCAGATTGAATTGCTTCTGCAACACTCTGTAGAATTTAATACTTTGCGATTTTTAAGGTATCCTTGAATGATAATGTGGCTGTGAATGAAATAGCTTTCTTGTAAGCTTGTGCCGATATCAAGATCTCGGATTGTACGATTAAGAACTCTTATAGGTTAGGTTATATGAAGAGCAAACAAGCAATCTCGTGAACCACGATTTCGCAACACTTTTTAATTGTGGCAATCAATTGAAATCTGGTGAAAGGTTACTACTTTTCTCGTTGAATGACATCACAAATCACTCGAGAGACAAGAAACTGTGCGCGATATTTTAAAGGAATTGGGAAATGTGGGCTGAGATTTGACAGTCAAATAGCCTCAATACTTTTATGTTACAGCCTCGATTAGAATTTCATAATCAATTAGCCGCTGTGGTCTGTATTTCGGCATGTGGGTTATTTCGCTAGAGGGAAGTAAGAGGATTGAGAAGACTAAAAAGATTGAGAAGATGTGTCAGTAGGCGAAAATGGACTAGTGTGAATGAATGAGTGGATGAGAGAGGCTAGAAAAGACACCCAGCCACAGTACTAAGACACCATTCCGCAAGCCCAACGATGATTGATTGATTGATACGACTGGTGTATAAAATACTTCCTTCTCTCTCCCCATGTTACCTCAAAGTGTACTTCAACATCTTCTCTATCCTCGTATTACCTAGAAGTGTGCGTCAGCACCTTCTCTCTTCTCACGTTACCCAGAAGTGAGCTCAACAACTCTCTCCCCATATTACCTAGAAATGTGCGTCAGCACCTTCTCTCTCCCATATTACCTAGAAGTGTGTGCCTCGCTTCCGACCACCTTTCTTCACACGGAAATTTCCCATCCAGCCGAAGTCCGCTCAAGAACTCATATACCATAGAACTATATGCCATTCATATCCGGGTCCTACATTGGATTATAAAAACTGTCGCAGATTATATAATATATAAAAAACTAATAATATGAATTATAACTCATATTATTAATTAGTATGTAAAGAGAGCTTATTAGTTATTATATTTCTGGATGATATAAAATCCATGCGAGAGATAAGATGTACGAGATGCATCCAAAAAAATTCGACTCGGGACGATCGTTTGGTTCGAATCAAAACGTTCTTCAATGCAATCACCCAATGAACTACTCGCTTGCACAACGTAAGAATTGCTCGACACGCAAGGCTCAAAAACAGCGAATGGTTATCTCACCGCTTTGCTTCTGCCACCTCCCTGCTCTCTATCTCGATGAACTGGAAAAGACAATACATTGTTCAAGACCCAAATTCTAATTCTAATTCTTATTATTCCTAACCTCAATCAAGAGGAGGTGAAAAGCTCAAAATAATCTTTATTATGATTCAATGCATTGTACTAATAATTATCATTTACTAGATTTGGATCAAACTCTAACCGTGATATTCGGCATCGCATCTATCGTTGTGCCCGTCATCACCGCAATACTTTTGCGTCGACGTTTCTCAACCAATCCCGAGCTAGAAGGTTAGTAAATTTTATGTTTTTGAATTCCCCGTCTTCTGCGGAATCCGAGCATAAGAACTGATGCTGCCAAAAAAAAGTTGCTAGACAAAGTTTCGTGACTTGCTAAGGTTGCTGTGCCGATATATCTTGATTCTTCAACCCCGTCAGAATTAGTGGAAACCATGCTAACCCTGTACATTTATTAGAAGACCTTGAGAGAAATGCAATTCCTACCGCCGAAGGATACATAAATGATGGAGGAAATCCACTCGGTGCATTGCTGGCATACACAACGAGAATAAACTGAGCGGACGCGGCCGAGGACGAAGACGAAGAGAACCGGGAGTTTGACGAATGGCATGGAGTTGGATAAATAAAGGGCACAAGGATATCTGTGGAATCTATGAGTTTAAATGCTGAGGCCGATGCTATAAAGTACTACAATTTTGTCGAATACAGCATTTTAGCCATTGTCGTAATGAGAATGGAGTGTCATTGTACCATCACGTGACCGATACGAATGTGTCCAGGCTGAAGTTGATCAAAACAGTGCAACGAAGCCCAAACGATGATACATAGTTAGATAAGAAAAAGTCGTCTTGAACTAGAAAGACCATTACAAGGCAAAAGCTTAGACTGTATCGACGTACTGAATACGGCGTGCTTATCGATAATCAACCTCCAAGCATGGCCATGGCCATTCAAGCTGGCGAGCATCTTTTGTGTCTATCCAACCCGTGTTGAAAACAATGCTAATCGCATAGTTAGCCCCATCCATATCAGAAGCAATACACTTGTACTGTTGAAGTCTAAACCGTCGCATATAAGAACGCCGTCAGGATGGCACAGAACATATCGCGGTGTAGCAGAATGCTGCAGAACTTGAGAGGTCGCTCCCTCACGACCTCGCATTATCATATCGAATGCTTTGAATGAGATCGAAAAACATAGAATATATGTTATCCTTGGGATGAAAAAGGTAAGCTCGTCGGTGTTGTGATGACTATGTGGCCTGTATCGCGTCTCTCCTCCGGCATGATAATTTAATGTTATCCATCGACACCATGCTCAAGGAAAACTGGTACCAACTTCCAAGCCCAGGCGATTGTTCAGAAACATACCAGAAAATGCATCTCTGCAAGTTTTGAATCCTGCGACTTTATGTTGTTGTGTTGTCGCAAAGAATTTGTTGTGGTGGAGTCACAAATTGATGTTGGAGAAACTAAGAAATTAAAGTTTCGAAGCGAGGTTTAGGCACATGTGGCTAATGAGCAGCCACTTTCTAGCCTCGCTAACTTCTAGACATACGTATTGGAGTATTACGGTAATATGTCAAGCATTTTGGAGATATACTCATATTGTAAAAGGAGGTAGGTCGAGATACGTACATCCCGATAGCACACTGTAAGGAAGAATTGAAAAAGAAAGCTGAATTAGATTACATCGTAATACATCACTTATGAAGAAAACGGGTTTCGCAATGGTTTTGGGGTGAAGGCTATATGGGTTCAAATGTATATATATAGCAAGTTGATTGTTATCGAAAGGAAAAGCAAGAGCTCTCCTCTTATATCTAATTACAGAAGGTCATATGATTGACTAACTAAAAACCCCTATATATCTGACCAATAATCCCAACTTTCTCACAATGTGCGAAGTTAGTTTGGCATTATAGGTTTAGAACGAACGCAGCCTGCTCACTTACCTAATGTACAATTTATCTGTCAGATTGTTCCTGGTCGCTATGTGCACATGATTGTAACGATCTGGTCGAGGCAGCGGCTGCCTGAGGTTCGTATAGTTGGTAGTTGTGGATTAAGGCTATTAATCATTGATTATTCACTTGAAAATGAATTCGTTACTAGATCAAATAGAATATAAATAAACTGATTGATAATTAAATTAAACACAAAGCTTTCTAAACTATAAAACTATTCTGATTATATACTGATGAATGAAAAGAAGCTTTGAAAACTCCTTAAAGCTTCTAAGGCTCCTAATCATATGATCGATCTTGAAGCTTCTCCTTTCCTAGAACACTTGTCGCAGAAGCTTTCCTTTAGGAACCTTTGTTCTAAGATATGATATCCTCTAGAATGATTGTTCTATTATAGCCGATTGGCTAGGACACTTGTCCTATTCTAATATATGTAACGATCTGGTCGAGGCAGCGGCTGCCTGAGGTTCGTATAGTTGGTAGTTGTGGGTTAAGGTTATTAATCATTGGTTATTCATTTGAAAGTGAATTCGTTACTAGATCAAGTAGAATATAGGTAAACTAATTGATATTTAAGTTGAGCACGAAGTTCTTAAACTATGAAACTATTCTGATTATATACTAATGAATGAAAAGGAGCTTCGTGGAGCCCAAGAGCTTCAAAAAGCTTCTGGAGCTCTAGGGCTCTTCATCACATGATCAATCCTGAGGCTTTTCCTTTCCCGGAACACTTGTCCCAGGAGCTTTCCTTTAGGAACCTCTGCCCTAGGATACGATAACCTCTAGGGTAATTGTCCCGTTACAACCGATTAGCTAGGACGCTTGTTGTCACGATTCACGGTTTTCATTATAGTAGTATTATTGATGTCGGTGATTTATACGCCGATTACAAGGGGGATGTGATTTAACCGTTGCTTTCAGGGGGCCTAATCACATGAGCTTAGGACCCCAAGATTCCTAGGATAAGTATCCTAGGCAACCATATTAGAATAGGACAAGTGTCCTAGCTAATTGGCTGAAATAGGACAATCACTCTAGAGGATATTGTATCCTAGGGCTATGGTTCCTGGAGGAAAGATCCTGGGACAAGTGTTCCAGGAAAGAAAAAGCTTCAGGATAGGAGAGGCCTCAGGATCAATCACGTGATGTGCTAGCTCTGCTAGCCAGCTAGCATAGCTAGCATGCAAGGAAAGAGATTAGTATATAGTCAGAATAGTTTCATAGTTTAGGAGCTTCGTGCTCAACTTAGTTATCAATTAGTTTACCTACATTCTACTTGATCTAGTAACGAATTCACTTTCAAATGAATAATTAATGATTAATAGCCTTAACCCACAACTATCAATTATACGAACCTCAGGCAGCCACTACCTCGACCAGATCATTACAGATTAATAGTCTTAACCCACAACTACCACCCACAACCTACCAACCATACGAACCTCAGGCAGCCACTACCTCGACCAGATCATTACAGATTAATAGTCTTAACCCACAACTACCACCCACAACTACCAACCATACGAGCCTCAGGCAGCTACTACCTCGACCAGATCATTATAGATTAATAGTCTTAACCCACAACTACCACCCACAACTACCAACCATACGAGCCTCAGGCAGCTACTACCTCGACCAGATCATTATAGATTAATAGTCTTAACCCACAACTACCAACCATACGAACCTCAGGCAACTACTACCTCAACCAGATCATTACAGATTAATAGTCTTAACCCACAACTACCAATCATACGAGCCTCAGGCAGCTACTACCTCAACCAGATCGTTATAGATTAATAGTCTCAATTCACAACTATCAATTATACGAACCTCAGGCAGCTACTACCTCAACCAGATCGTTATAGATTAATAGTCTCAATTCACAACTACCAACTATACGAACCTCAGGCAGCCGCTGCCTCGACCAGATCGTTACAAGTTGAGTTGAGTTGAAAAAAGCTCCAAGTCAGATTTGCGTAAGGCTGTAAGGCTTATGCCAAGCTTTTTGCTAGATTATTTACCGGGGTATTTACCGGGGTATTTACTGGGGTATTTTGGACCAATCAGATTGTCAGGATCGCGACTCATTTAAGCGAGTTTCTCATTTTCCATCACCCACCAGGTAAACCTCGTGTACAGCAAGGTTATAGTGTCGGCAAGCCGACAATAATTTATGGGCGATGAACAAAGTGGATACTTGAGTCGTATGTACTCCAAAACCATCGTCAATATTCCGGAACGGGAAGTTGTATAGTTTAGCTTGTCCTTCTCATTGTGGCGTCGAATGGAAGTTGTAGCGGTTGTCCGGGAATGGTTTACCGCATTAAAAATTAGCAACCAAACTGACAAGTGATGAAGCTGATTTCTTTTTTGTCTCACCGCCTTGGTTTTGTAACCAACCGGAATATTATATTCTGCCTACACAAATCATGTTTCATTGCATCGTGGCTGTGACGCTTTTTGACAATTGAGAACCGGAGGGCCACTGATTACTTAACGTTGCTGGTCCGTGCATTTGTTCAATGTAACCCTTTTATTAGCGGTTCGTTCATTTTTGTCAAGGTTCGTGGGAAATATATAATACGACAACCTCCCCCTTCTACACATAAAGAATTCAATCATCTTACAACTAAATTACAAACTCATTCTTTTCACTCCTTTTCTTATTGAGTTTAAACCGAAATACGAAGACAACCTCCCATATATATAAATACCCTCTCAGCAAGCCAATCAGAACATTTACTCCAATATTATCTATACCGAAACAATGGGTAAGTTCGCCCAGTTATTTTCTATCCCATCCCATCCCATCCTGTCTATCCGACCTCACTCTATCCTATCCCATCCCATCCTGTCTATCCGACCTCACTCTATCCTATCCCATCCTATCCCATCCCATCCTGTCTATCCGACCTCACTCTATCCTATCCCATCCCATCCTGTCTATCCGACCTCACTCTATCCTATCCCATCCCATCCCATCCCATCCCAAACCCAACAAATCAAACTAACCCAACAACCAATTAGTATCCACCTCAGACAGCCTAACCATCATATTCGGCTGCTTATCCCTCCTCTTAACTTACATCACCGCCGCATATTTCAATGGTCGTACTCCCAGCATCTACAGTACGTATCATTCATGTAACCGTGGCAATATCCCAATCCAACCCTTGCAATCCAAGCATCTCAAACTTTCAAACATCCAAACCTCATAAACTAACTTCAAACCCCCGAACTTAAAGTAGACATCGAGCAAAACCCGCACATGGACCATAACGCACGGGAAGATATGATGATGGAAGAGATTCATTTACGACGCTGGCGTTCATTACGTGAATGACGCAGACACGACGGAAAGTGTCAGACAAAGCTTCTTGGATCAGGGAGCATCTTTAGAGGCTAGGGTTAGAATGATGTTTTCCGGAAGGAATGAGAGATGTGAGAGATTGAATGAGAGGGATGGGATGAAGCCGTACACTTGCCGAACTTCAACTTGGACATTTTTCCAAAGAGCAGAAACAAGGCAACTACTCGAATTAGATAAGAGAATGTTGCCACTCCATAACGTTCAAGTTTGGTACGACCAATGTCGAAAACGAGGAAGAGAACTGGAAGGAGAACTGTATTCTAATATGGATATTTTAATAGAGCTTAAAATAGAGGGATCATCTATAATTTAAGAACTAAAAATGAAAGAAAAGAAAAGAAAACATTTACCGAATAAAAAACCCCGGCCATTGAAATAAAGAACCGAGTCAAAAAGCAAAAGCCACCAGGAGAACCGAACCGAAGAACCACCAAAGAACCGAATTAGAGCCTCAAGACCACAGCACTCACTAGACGCGGCCAAAATCACACTCCCTATAAAACCAACCCTAAAATCCCAAAACCGCCCTTCAAAAAAAACGCAAAACAGCACAGCATATATTCTCCGCATGGTTTAAATATGAAGATCAACGGGTGGATACTGGATCCTATGGTGGAAGTCCGAGCTCGTGGAGAGTAAAGAATATATACGTAACTTTGGTAGGCGGGTCTGTTGGAGGAGATTTCGGGATTGAGAAGCCTTAGTGGTGAAGGCAGAGAGGAGATGGGAACGCGGTGGTAGTTGAGAGAATATTAATGAAGACCGGGTTGGCAGATGTAAGGGAATTGCGAAAATTAAAAAAAAAACTACAAAGAACACACACACATAATGAATCCATGATTAACTATCTTCAGTCCCAAAAAGACCAGAGCTTTAGCTTTAACTTTAAAGCTCATAATCTCAAATCTCAAATCTCAAATTTCAAACCTCAGTCTTCACAGACCTCAAATCTTCACATCATCAAAATATAGCTTCCCAACTACAGGAAACCTTTCATAAAGCATATTTCTATTTGACCACATACATGAACCGTTTTCTCGTCACTATTTTTTTTTACTTCATTCCCATTCATTCCCAGCCAGAGTTCGTTCTTGACATTTATGCATGCATCCATTTCATCCATTCATTCATCAACCGCATTTCCGCTTCGTCTACCGTCAGCCTCCCACCGGCCAAGTAAAAAAAAAACATATTTACTCCATTCCATTGCATGCATTCGGATATCTTTCACCCCCACCACCTCACTCCATCAACCATATGCTAAGAGCCAAAAATAGAAATGTCGTAACAGCATATTCAGTTCATGTCTACTAACATCATCTTTGCAAATCAATCCACTCTCCGAACCTAATGAATGTACCAGCCCACTTCTACACATAGCAATCCCAAAACTCCTTTGCTTCCCGATGAACACACTCATACACAAAAGTATGATAGGTCGCAAGAAGTTTAATCCACTTTCAATCCCTCACCTTCCTCGACATGTATTTCAGCAGCAGGTTCCTCAAGTTCGTCTTCTTCAATATCATCGACCGGAACTTCGTAATTGTGTTGCTGTGCGCGAATGTGCTCTTTCATCGCAGCTGATTTTGCCATGATCTCACTGGTACTTGGACCCATATGATCAGTATCGGGTATATAATCTTCTTGATGATACTCTTCATCAGGTAAAGCGTCACTGAATTCCTTCACTCGCTGTTCCTTGGTAGCATCATCTGGGTTGGAACCATGTTCAATCCCATCGCTACCAACTAAGCTGCCGGCTCCGAAATCACCTGAACCTACGCTACCAGCTTCGCCACCGGCTTCGGAGGCTGCGCCAGAGGGAAAGGTTGGAGAATTCTGGTTAAGGCGTTGCCAGCTCCATGGTTGTTGATTGATGTTTGGTGCAACATTATTGTAATCAACGCTCATGTCTATACCTTCGTCAGCTTCAGTACTTTCTGGGACGTCCATATCTGGATATTGCAAGGGAATGTTATTGAAGCCGGAAAATGGTTCACCACCTTGATTAAGAACATCATAATTCGACCCGTGCTCAAGATCCTGTTGATTTACTGTCGTCATCGCCTCGCCATCCTCCGAACCAGGGAGATCTGGTTGATGGTGAGCTGCTGCGACTCCTTCCAAGGCGCTCGGCGACCCATGTTGGGAGGAGTTTCCGCCGAGGCGTAGGCCTTCCCCCGAAAGTTCATCATCCGAAGAGACATTGTCAAATGCATACGTAATTTCTTGCAAAGCTTTACCACCAAGGGGTTCTGATGAACGTCTTCGATAGAAGAGAAGATAAGCGCCACGTGTGACTAGTTTGTCAAGATCTTGTGTTTGTGAAACAGAGGCATCTAAACAAGTTAGTCGGTTATTTACATTAACTGATTTCGAGATTTCATACCATTATATTCATACCACTTGCCATCGACGAAATTCTTCGCAAAGGCAGTATAATGACCTCCACCCATACCACCCCAGTGATCATCGACAGCTATCAAATCGTAGATCTCCTCTTTGCCATCTTGTTTTTCAATAACTCGGGAGGAAAGGTCCAACCCATCAATTGGGAAATCAACGAGAATGTCGAGTTTATCTCTTCGCATACCACTAGAGCTGAAACGTTTAAGATGCATGATAAGGATATCTGGAGTTCTCCAGATTTCGAACTTTTTGCTTGCTCTACGATGTTCTTTGCATCTAGGACAATACCAAGTATCCATTTCCGAGAGAATTTCTTCCTTGCCGAACTCATCAAGGCAATCCCCGAGAGTGACACCCTGCTTTTTTCTCGTGTCACGGGCTTTACGCTTTGAAAGAAGCTCCGGATCGTGAAGGACAGGAAGATTCGTATAAGTGGGTCTGCCACGGGATTCATCTTTATCGTTGTAAGCACCAAACAAAGTATCCCATGCATCGTCATTCCAATCGACAACAAGTCCTTCACCAAGACGAATCAAGGGACCATCATCAGGAGCATCTTGTTCAGAATCAACCTCAAGCTGTGGCCGCTTTTTTGCAGCTAATTTGCCCTTCTTTGAGTAAGTCTTCATGTTACGATTGCGACGTTTGTTTTTGGGACCTACCCTGCCGCCAGGTTTTGGAGCCGGCCGGACTGGAAGGGCCTATTTCTCAATTAGTATCTCTATATTTCCAGGAGCTACTTCCCAAGCAAAAAGAAACATGTTAGAAACGCTTGTGAGGCTGCATCACTTACTCTAGGAGGAGAAATCTGATCCAGATCATCTTCGTCACTCGACTCTTCAGCCATCCTCGTTGGTGCTGGGACAACGCCATTAACATCATCGTTGCTCTCCTTGCTAGACCTACTGGAAATCGATCCAGCTCTGCTGTCCATAGCATCATACTCGTTTGAGGTATCATCGCCATTCATCTGGTGTACTTGCGGATTCCTTTCAGATATCTTTGGATAAGTGTTGGTTTCAATATTCACACCCCAAGCTTTTGGCATGCCTCCGTGTGAATCAGCTATGTAGGAGATTTCAAAAAGATTCTGCAATTCTCCCGAGAGGAATTCTGCCGGGTCTAGCCATCTTGGTCGGCGAGTGTTGAAGGCTTTCAGAGGAGCACTATCAGGTAATTAGCTTTGTGTAGCGTGTACAGAAGAAGTCAACTTACGCGGGACGATCCACAACAGGTTCAGGAGCAGAATTAGAATCTTTCATAGCTACGTCGACTAATTCGTCTTCACCGTCCAAAGAATGGGCAACAAATTTACCGTCTCCAGACGAGTCTGCATCAGAACCAGTAGTGACGACCAGGTCCGGGTCGATACTTTCAGACGCGCTTGAAGGATCGTCTTCATCATTGAAACGAGGCCACGTGGTAAACGTTGCAACCTTTTCTAAAACCTTTCGCCTGATTGCTTCTTCACTTCGTGCCTGCCATAATGTCAATGATTTGAAAGCAAAGTTTTAAGGTGACAAAGCTAGGAATATCTTACCTCTTGAGGATTAACTACTATAAAATGAGGAGTGGTTGTGATGTCCCATGAATTATTCTTTTTGTTCCATCCGTGCTTGAGACGACGATAAAACACAGGAACGAGTAACCTCTCAGCCTCGGGGGAGTCCCAAGGCAAATGTTCATCAACTTCGGAATTGTTTTTGCCAAACGTATTTTGCTTAGCTTTCTCAGGCTTTGGCAAATTTGTGGGTGGCGCCTCCAATTCGAACAGCGTAACCAAATCTTTGCTGTTTTCAACGGCTTCTGTGGGAAGAAGATGATCATGGTACCATTTGTAGAATTTGCCTTCATACACCTCACAAGTAAACAATCTCTCCACTGGAACTCCGACCTTTTTGCTGACCCAACGTTTAAGTGTCCCAAAGCTTGCATGTTTGTCGATCTCAACAGCAATGGAGACTGGTCTATCATTGAGTGGAAAGAAAGCGACCGTACGGGTCCACATATTTTCAATTGGGAGTTGCAAAGTCATGTTGTTGAAAGGATCAAAAGTGATGCTGACCTTGTCACAATGTGGACAGACAAGAGTGGACTTGTACATTCCAGTGAATAAATCTGCAATTACCGAGTCATCTCGTTGCTTTGTGATATCCCAGACCTTCGTGGCCATCTCTCTGATTGCTTCCGGGTTTCCGATCATTTCATCAGTTGAATCGGGCTTCTCGATATACGGCTTCTTCTTCACTCTGCTGAGATCTTCTTGGAGACCATCAAGTAAAAATCCAATAAATTCCTGAGAATCCTGTTGACCATATCCAGAGAATTGGGTGGCAAATCTGCTGACAGTGTTCTTAAAATAGCGTGGTTGGACTGAGATAGGAGGAGGTTCCTTGTATATGTCTCTCAGGAGATCCGCATATGACTCCGCCACGGCACCTCCATGACCAAGAGGATTATCACCATTAAGCTCTGCCTTGTACGAAGCATTCAAGAAATACTTGGTTAGCTCTTCCACACTTCGAACACACTGCAGAGCAGAATTCATGTAACACGTGTTTCCAAGGTTACTAAGGCCGACAGTTCCTGGCGTCCGTCCATTCTTCGATCTTCGACTGGAAGAACGAAGGTTGTATCCAGATGACGGTGCTGGGCTATTGCGGCCACTGTTATTTTGGCTGCTGACGATGAAACTGGAATTGCTTTTACGCCCGGCACCATTGAGCTTGCCGTTCGGCGATGGCTTTGTGTTCGAGACGTAGCCATCTTTGCCTTCAACCAGTTCATCAACGACGATTGCTTGGTCATCCCCAAGCCCACAGAAATCCAAATCCGACCGGCCATTGTAATTGTCATTCACAGTCGAATCCTCGAAATCAACCTTAATCCTGCCCGAATCTCTCTCCACCTTGGTAAATTCTGTTACATCCAACAATAACTTCTTCCATGAATCTTGTGCTTCAGAGCTTGTGGCATTATCATCAGCCGCTGGCGTACCAGGTCTAGACGCAGGAGGAGTAGAGGTACCAACAGCAGTTGATACGGCTGGCTCAGCGGCAGGCAACGTTCTTGGCACCCTCCAAAGACGTATCTTTTGCTTCATGGGAATCCGTGCAACCTCCTTTACAAGTTTCAAGAAGTCATGCATTCTCATTGATCTGCTCGCGACAATTACAGGCGCGTCCGGATTTTCCGACTTTGTGGTTGCATCCACCCTACTGCCAAGTTCGGACCATACACGGTGTATGCGGAAAACCGGAGGATGATATTCGTAGGCCACGTTCGGTATCGCGTCAGGACTCTTGTCCGGGTTTGTGTTGTGTGCGAATCGAACGACTGCTTTCGTACCATTCATTAAGCCATACCATTCCAGGACCATTTCCCACGCGTCGACCGGAAACAATTCGAAAAGATCTTCTCCGATGCCATGCTTAAGTTGAACGAAATCTTCCCGACCCGGTTGAGGGATAATTTGTTGAATGATGTCAGAGTTATCAATTGGCCCAATCTCTTCCTCCAAGGCTTCCTTGCTCTTCGCTCTAGCTTCAGAGGTCCTCGAAATGACTCTCTCAAGCCACTTCTTGGAAACTAGGAATGTCTTGTCTCCTTCACGCCCCTCGCTGCGTTGTCGCTCGCTCTCTGCTCTGCACAATGTTGTTACAGTCGAAACCTGAAAGTCGATCGGTGGGACTTCTGATTTAGGGTCTACATGTATATGTCAGCAATTTCATTCACAAACAACACAAATGGGTAATACCATTGAATGGACCATTCTCGGTAGCCGGTCCAGGATGAGCACTGGCTTCGATAGTAGACCCATCTCTTAGCATATCGATTGATGCTGCTCTGACCGCAGTTGGAGCTGCAATAGCATTCTCTGTATCTTCGTCTACGTCCGGGACCATGACCATGTCAACATCTTCCTTTTGGCTTGACGACGGTGCATCTGGTTCCAATTCCGAGGCTGGTCTTTTTAACGGTGATGATGACCTGTGCGGCGTGTCTTCTGCGCCCCCCATAATGGCCCTATGTCTTGGAGATCTTCCTTGCTGCTCTGATTCGAAGGGCTCGGAGGGAAATCTTCTTCGATTTTTGCTGCTAGTAAATTCCCCGCCTTTATCGCTATCTATCGATAAACCCGCGTAGGCTGCGCTCGGCGAACTGGCCGCAGAGGAGATACAGTCTCCGGCAGGAAGGGTCGAAGATGTTTGCAGATGTGAGGGTACGGTATTTGAAGGTAGAGATTCCGCACGGTGAATTTCTTGGGCAGAAGTGTCGAATAAAGGCAGATCGGTGGGGGATTGTGATCCGCGACCTTCCACCGATGATATGGGGAAATCAGGACCTCGATCGGTTTCTATGCCTGGTACAATCTGCGGGGAGAGCTTTCTTTTCTTTGCGGAAGACGTCGTGAATGCGAGCAGCCTTTGCTGCTCTAAATTCGCCGATGGTAGAAGAATCAAATGGAAAGTTCGTGAGCATCAAAGTCCCCGGTAATGCGATTTGATTAATTGATTGTAGGATACCTTTTTTAGGACTGGTGGGTTAAGATTGAAAAAGGAATGACGGAGATCATTTGAGAAAGAATCGTAAATAATGGAATGATTTTCTCGCAAGGAGGGAGGGAATCTTGATACTTTGGATAATGTTTTCAGACACTGTAAGTCTTAATAGAACAACATACAAGTCTCTCTCTTGCCTTGTTGTTGAGATTTTCTTCCAGATCCTGATAAACCTCGAAGTAAATATAGGTACAGGGTAGGCACGCCTGATTGTTCTCCCATTAGCGTGATTAGGAAGCGGACGCAGCCTGAAGATGGGAGGTTGCATAGGCCAGTTACTGGGATGATGAAATCTTTACCGTCGTAGGTCGTAGCTGTGTAGTTGTGTAGCTGTGTATATATTAACAAAGAAAATAAATATACGGCCCAGCAGTGCATGGGATAAATGGAAAAGAGTAATAATTCTATATATAATATTCATGGTATCACGATTCTCACATCACAATAGATCCAACGATTAGATCACTGATTACTCACCCATTGCCCATGGATAACACGATCCAACTTCTCAGCTCACAACCTTATTAGTTCTAATCAAATCAAATCCAATTTGTTTACCGCCCCCGCATTTAGGGCATGCCAACTTTAAATTCATCGACGACACACACATTCATCTCAATCCTAACAATTATGCGAGCGTCTAATAAACGGAACCATATACGGGGTGTCGGGGTGTCGGGGTGTCGGGGTGTCGGGGTGTTGGAGTGTTGATTGGAAGGCTCTATTCTTGTTCTAATATCCATCCCAATACCATCCTCAACCAATCATTCATTTGATTGCACGGCTACTATCTGTCTACTTACCAACGGTATTTATTGGTCTCCAAATGCAAACACACTCAGCATCTGATTCAGGTACGAATATGAATATCACTTGCCGCCGTCGAGCTTCTGCCATATACAGCCCTAGAATCTTCTAGCAAGTCACCATTTATCCACTAATTTAGGGGACGGAAAAGAATACAATCTCATACCAGTATATCTAGTAATGGATTTCAGTTCAATCATTTCAATAGGGTTTACTAATTAATACAACTGCACTACCCTTCCCATCAACGCCAAACACTGCCAGCCGATGACCTCCAATCAATATACTCCAAATATAACTCCCCTCTTGTGATGTCTGTTCTCATGTCGCCCACTAGGCAAGAATCTCATCTGGATCAGTTTGAGAGCCAGATTCCGCATATTCAACCATCTCCCCTTTTAGCTCCTCTGTGGCTTTCTCCCTATTTGCCCTTTCAATACCCTTCAACTTAATTCCCTCAACCTCCATCTTCTGAGTCTTCTTCCCCATTCCGTCCAGTATTTCCCCCTTGAAACTTTCCACCTCTCTCTTTATAGTCTCGTTCTTTTCCTTGATGGTTTCAACTTCATTTAATACCTTATCAATTCCACCTTCCTCGTCATCCTCCTTCTCGGCTTCCTCCTTCTCTTTCTTCAACTTTTCAATCTCTGACTCTAATTTTGCCTTTTCCTTTTCTCTCCTTTCCCTATCCTCACTCTCCTTCAACTTCGCTCTCTCTTTCTCCTCTTCTCTTTCCTTTACCCATTGCTCTGCCCCTTCAATGGCATCTTCCGCACTCCTTTTATGCTTCAACAAATACCCTTGAATCTCCGCTGGGCTAAACTTTCCCTCGGGAACCTTCTCACTGAAGAGTTTGGCTAATTTTGCTACCCTTTCTTCATCCTCAACTCTTCTTTGTTCCTCCTCTGCCGCGATAATTCTATCTAATTCCACCTGTACCCTCCTTTCTCGCGATGCACTCGTAGGTTTCTTCTTGTGCATTCCCCTCCCACTACTTGATACTTCACTACCCGAACTTCTCCCTCTCGAAGTGCCAGATTTAACACTACCAGAAGCAGAGTACCCACTTTCAGAACCCTTGGGCTCAGGGTAATCGCCCTCAAGAGTTGCGTAAATACCTCTGAATATTTGTTCCATGTTGTCCTTAGTAGCCAGGTCAAAATGGACCGTCATATCAATTCTTCCTGGTCTGATAAGTGCCTCATCCAACTTTTCGATATGATTTGTTGTCATGATGAGAATTCTTCCTTCTTGTGATGCGACTCCATCGATCACATTGAGTAACGCACTCAAAGAGATCTTGCCCGATTCCTCCTTGTTGCTATTTTTCTTTGCCATAGCTTCCAAAGTCTTGGTTGCCTTGGTCAACGGAGATTTAGGACCGAATTCTTCACAGTCATCATCCTCCTTATCTTCATCACGAGTGTGGGTAAGGCCCGCTGTATCAATATCTTCGAGAAGAACGACGCACTGTTTGGGAAGCTCGGCGAACAGTGTACTTAAAGTCTCCTCGTTCATAGATCCGGAATTTAAAGAAACGATATAAATCTTAAGCTTGAAATATCCAGCAATCGCGAAGCTAAGAGAACTTTTCCCTGTTCCAGGTGGTCCATGAAGCAAATATCCACGGCGGTACGGAATACCCCGGTTAGAATACCAACGTCGGGTAAATGGATGAAGATAATCTTTCATATCAGCAATGACTTTCTGCTTGACGGCTTCATCCAGAACAACTGTGGAGAAAGGGCGTGAGATACGCGAAACAAGACGGGTCCAGCCAGGCTCTCCAAAAGAGCCAGACTTGGAGCCGCCTCTGTAGATAATGGTTCGATTCTCATCGTTCTTAAGAAATGATTGGCGACATTCATCGAGTAATTCCTTGAGAATGCGAGGATTCCGTCCGAAAGAAGAAAGTGAGATTTCCTCCCTTTCGCTCACAGCAGAATTAGTCATTGGCGCACTCTGCGAGCGGCGAAACTGTAACAATCTTCTCTTGTACCAAAAGTAGTGAGTTCCGAAGCTTGGCGTAAATCTAACCTTTTTCTCTTTCTCCGACGCCTTCTTAGGGATAGGATTTCCCTCCTCATCAAGCTCGAAGTCGTCATCGTTCTCTTCCTGTTCCTCCTCATTTTCGTTTTGCCACATGAACCACATACGACTATTTAAATTGGTATTGGCGACGAATCGACGAGATCGTTGTGCAAACGGCTGCTCCGATACCCAAGCCATTACCATATTGTACATTTCATCGTCGACGCGTATATCAGCAGATGACATGAAATGGGCATCGAGCTCAATCCAGAACCACGTTTCAATGTATTGCCAACAGAAGATTAGTATGCCAAGAATCATGAGTACTGGAATATAAATGTTGAGGTCGATTGCGGTGTAATTCTTGAGGGCGGTTGAGAAGAGTGAAAATCCCGGGAAGAACATGTCGACGATATGGGGTTGTGGGTATCCATAAGGTGTTTGTCCGATGTGATCTCCAGCTACATGATGCCCGGGATTCCCCATCGTGTTGTGAGGAATGGAGCCGTTCATGATGGCGTTGAAGGGAAGAGAGTCCTTCTCGCAGTTTGTTTGAGAGGTAGGAGTATTCAATAAGTAGAAATGCTAAAGATATTATAAGATCCTGTGGTATGTTTTATAACCGTAAAGTCACAAGTAATATGAGTAAACGGAGGAGGCGCCGCGCTGATCATATATCAATGTTTTTCACTTCTTAGATGGAAATGTGAGGGGAGAGGATGTAGTGCAATGTTGCCGATAGAGTCATGGATTGCAACTTTTATGTTCTACAACATGTTGGTATGTAGACTTCTCGTCGCTTCATTTTCCCAGTTAGCCATAAAGTTGATCGGTCATGACCGATTGAAATCCTGCGTTTCCTGTGGCTGTTGAACAGACCAAGTGAGGCTTAGCATCTGACTGCAGTGCGCTTACGGCCACATCACTGGTCACGATCCTGTTGACAGAACCGAGGAAGAAATGGCTTAACTGTGGAGGGCCTCATTTTATGACCACAGTCTCCGCCATTGCGTATGTGGTGGCAGACAAGCTTCCGTGGAGGCTCAATTCACTGAAGGCCCACTACCCGTTCAGCTACCCCAGCTTGCCCGTTCCCGCAATAGTCAGAAGACCGGTGTATATGTGTTTTAACTAGCTAAACCGAACTCCTCATAATGATTCTTGTCGCTCAACCATATTCCCACTCGGCGAGCAATTGCCCAGGCCCACAATTGGGCCAAGGAGTCAGTGTTTTTCGGAGACGTAGCAAACAGAGGCATCCTCTCATGTCGTTCGGCGTATGATTCTGCCACATTTTTCAAGCATGTCGATAGAATCAAGACTAGAGCTTCGAGTGAGCAACCGGCCATGAAAAAATGCTGTTAGTCCTGTTTAAGCTGAGTTCAACGGACTTTGTGAGCGGCTCGAACAACAAAATTCCTGACCAGTGTTGAATTATTATGTCAGCGCACTTTTAGCCTTCTATGGCCTGATTGCCTTATGTAAGCGCTGACCTTCATCCTGCGGTTCTGTAACGAAAGTAGGGTCACTTCAACACTGCTGCGCAATCCCGCGCGGATATAGATTCTTATCTAACCTTAATGAAGCATATAAGTTATAGATTCATCCTTCACAAATTCATGAAGTCCCTAAGCCTCAGTCCTTACCAACCACTAGTCATTCAATATTCTCCACTATATGCATTTCCTACACCCTTCATTGCTCCGTTGATCATGACCACCACAAAAACGACCACTCGCGCATATCCATCCGAAAATCACTACTCGACTTTCTGTATGTTATTCCCATTTTCACCACTTTCGCTGCTTACCGCACCGTTCATGTCCCTATTTCGCCATGTTTCCAATAATGAGGCAGCGTCTCGATCCGGGATGAAAAGTCATAGGATGGATAGGCCTGGAGAAATAGTCATGATCTATGCTCTTCAAACTATTCCGGAGGAGTAAAATGCGCAGAGGGCATTTATGAAAGGTTTAGGGATGTAGTGTGGGTATCACAGCAAGTATACTTTAAACTATGTAATAGTTAGTCTTAATATCTTGAAGATGTGTATTTATGTTGCGAGATCTAAGATCTTACTTTAATCTTCTATCTAGCTGACACGAATAAGAACTTCATATTTCTACATCCAGGTGGTCGTACCGTGCCATGATCATGAATGTACATGTGGAGAACATCTAGTAGACATGAACCAATTTCCCATAACCCATCATATGCTATACACATTATGCATCTATTCATATTTATACAATCCCATTTATCTAGATCAACGCCTTGCCCTCAAACATTCCGTCTCTAACTTCCTTGACTACATCCCTTCTATCTCCCTTGCCAACCAAAACTATACCTCTTCCTCTTCTTCCCATGCGTCCGGTTCTACCCAATCTATGGATGAAATCGATTGTAGAATGTGGCACATCATATAAAATAACGTGTCTCACAGCCACCGTATCAATACCTCTAGAGCCAAGATCAGTGGTAACCAGAACTTTGGTATTAGGTAATCGCCTCTTTACTGGAGGAGCAACCTCTCCAAATGGCACGTAGTTGGGTTGATTGTCTGATAAAGATCCAGGATGGGACACTGGTTTCCCCACGCTCAGCTTGGCGGGCGAGGTGAAAGATGCTAGCATCTCACTCTGACGTTGCTCGGGGGTATCACGAGACAGAGCAATTGCATCCACACCCTTGGATACGAGGTAGTCAGCTACTTCTTGGGTTTTCTCGCGCTCGTTAACGAATACTAGGATACGCTTTACATCCATTGATCCTTTGACAGGTCCATCGTGTTCAGCAGCTGCTTTACCAATGGACCATATAGTATCTGCGCAAGCGAGATTCTTGTTGTTACGATATGGGTCACGTTCAACATCAACGACGCCAAGTTGGACACGTCGAGGAATAGCATGCAGGTTTGGTGTGACGAGACGGTTTATGTAGGGGAATCGTTCGCGAAGGAATGAATCAAGAGAGCGGGGAATAGTAGCAGAGCAGAGAACGAGTTTTTCAAGAGACGGAGTAGCGCGATCGATGATGGCTGATGTAAGTGGTGAGAAACCTCGATCTAGGAGAGAGTCCGCTTCATCAACTACGAGATGGGTGACACGAGATAAGATGTTCGGATCGGAGTCTGCAATCGAGGAGAGAAGATGAGGTGTAGATACAAGTATGTCGATTCCGGATGGAGAAAATAGACGGTTACGAATGACTTTTCCAGTGAAATTAGAAGATATCATGGCCACTTTGAATTTGACCGTATGCGAAAACAACTTCAAAAGTGTTCCAACCTGGGTCACCAATTCAGAGGTCGGCACAAGTATGACAGCTCTTGGTCTGCCTGTGGTAGGATGTGGCATATTCGATAAAGGAGGCGATACCAATGTTAGGTTATTTTGTCGTATTTTCTCCTCTTGTAACTCTTTCTCGTAAGCCTTGACCTCAGCATCCTTCACCTCGGCAACTTTGATGGCATTGATCGTGGGTATTAAATATGACAATGTTTTCCCTGATCCAGTTTCCGCAGCTATCAAATATTGCTCCATCTCGCTCTTCGGTCTCCTATTTCGTTTATCGCCAAGTAACGCTGGCACTGCAATTCTCTGTACGGGTGTCGGAACATGTTCTTTGAGTTCCGGAAGAGCCTGTTGGTAAATTGCCTGCTTCACACTGTCCAACAGCGCAAATTGCTCAAAATTTTGCACTTCATTCATCCTCTCCTTTATACCCGTCCTCCTCACGTATGAGACTGGCGCAAGAGCGCTCTGCATCTTTAATGCGTGAAAACCTCTGTCCTTTTTATCATCCCGGTCCCTGCGATCAAGCCTCGATGTTCGTCGTTCTTGTGCTGCCGATGGTCGTTCCGGTACGCCACGTATTTTTGCCTCTCGCATATTCATTCCTCCAAATGGTCCATCTTGTTTTCGTCGTGCGGGTCCCTCTCTCGTCGGTGAAGAGCTAACTTTTCCTGCGCCAGCCAGACTCATGCGATTTGGTCGACGGGGTAATCTGGTTCTCATGGACAAAGCTCTGCTGGGCCATTTTTGGCTCACAGGATTTTGAGCTGCTCTAAACGAACAGAGCAGGCACTTGCCAGGCTTCGGCCGAAGCATAATGGATATAAATTCTCTTACTTTCGTTAGTTGATTGTTATTCTCGGCGCCGTTACTTTTACTTCACTAGGAGAAATTATTTACATGGGACGGGGAAACATATTTCCGCTCCGTGAGCAGCTTTTTCCATATAAATGGTTGACATTACCATATCATTATTACCATATCATTATTATTAATAGAGACAGAATTGGAACTTTCTCTTCAAACTTCACGCTTTGGGAATACTTACAACCATATTTTATCAGTGATTGGTATCTGAGTCGTAGGTCTTGAAGGGATCTCTCCTCAATTGCTCCCGAATGTCATAAACTTGGAAAAGTGCATCGACCATCGGTATGGATGGTTTTGGACTGTCTTGAGAAAATTTCTCTGCTGTTGTGGCTCTTCTGAATTTACGTATTGCATCGCTTAAAGACTTGCAATTTTTTTGGTTTAGGTGTAGTCTCCAAGACTTCGCACCAGAGAGTCCGGGGCCATCAATATTTACCTAGTAAGCTCAGATTCAACAATCAATTAGCTTGGCATTATGATATTCTTCATGCTAAACAACATTCGACATTTCAAGAAGTCTTCCAGGTGTACATTCTTGAACTCTAGTTCACAAATTTCAAATAAATGGGGAGTTTCTTTCCGGGTAACGGCTGTTTCATAAGACTTACATTTCCTGCGGCCAACAATTGATTTCAATGACAAGGAAAATTTGCATCCACCACTCACATCATGAAACTTTTCGATACATAGAGTGAAGGACGTAAAGTAATCTACAATACCATTCGGCACCGAATACTATGGAGGAGACAGTCGAAGGCCGCGCAAAGCTAATCAGGAGACGGGTGGAAACGGAATTCTATAAGTGGCAGCTACCGAATTGCGCAATTGTGTCGTGGAAAGAGCATGTTATAGACCAGCCGCCTTAACCTATTCGCACTGGATCTTTTGGCACAGTAACTGATGTCACTATCAGCAGATATGCAGCCAGACGACGAGAAACACAAACCGAGCTATCTAGGCATAGGTATCGCCGCCTAGATGGGCAGTGTTAATGCTCTCTTGTATGCAACAGCACAAATATCTTCGATTTATGTACAGGAATACGAGGTAAGGCCTTTTTTTTCTTATGAAGGAGCTTCAAACTTGAGAGGTCTGTGCTTGTCCCATGTTTTAGTTGATGATCTGCAGCAGATCCATTTTTCCTTGCGCGGATCATCGCCAATTCTTCTCCACGCGAAATCTGAAGAATCTGGCCAACAATACAAAGAAAGTCGTACTCGAAATTTAGATTGATCACACATTTTGTATCAACTCAACTCATTCAACGAGTACAACTTGCGGTTAACTGTCAGAGAAGAATGGATGCATGGAAGAGCTTCAATTCTTTTTAAAACAAACAAACTCTTTGATTCAGCATTCATGAAACATGTCTGTGCTCTACATCGAGGTAGGGATGCCCATAGCCATATCAAATCTTCATTCTTTAGATCATTCCCACATATTCTAGCTTCATCAGTACCAGTAGGCTCGAGTAGTCTCGAGCACCTGAAACTACAAGATATCGGTGCTCGGTCGTTTTGGTCTCCGATCTTATATCTTCTTCGCAACCTTCAACACCCTTCCTCGTTGCAGCTTCAGAGTTTAACTGCAAATTCGTGTGCCTAATCCAATGAAATCTAAAGTTTGTCGTTCGGTGTGTAGCTTGTCCGCGATTTCACATATCAATCTGAAGTAGTTGAAGTGTAAGGTCCCGTCTGCACGGGCAGCAGGCTACGCACACCCAATCTGCAGTTGTATTCAAGCCAAAATACCTATTTAGTAAGAGGATGCATCCAATAGTACGATTTTCTAAAAGGCGGAAATTATTACTACCTGCTTGATTCCACGCTCTTTTCCTGATTCTGTATTACCGGTATTCCGTCTCCACTGCATTGCATACCTTAGACATCATATATCTATTGAAGGCATGGCTCAAGCCGAGAAGAGAGATACGCTATACGAGTATCCTTATAATCCAGAAGACTATGATTACCATTATTATTTAGATATCCCCTACGGATATGATGTGGAAACTTCAACCTACAATTCAGCATTAGAAACAGCCCGGGATTTTACCTCATCAATTTACGAAGATTCTTACGAAGGAAAGATGGAGAGAAAAGATAGTTTGGAGTTGAAAACTTTGAATTCAGGTTCTACATATACCGAAACAGAACCATCAATGCAAGAGGCTCCGTCAATCGCAAGGCAACTGAGTACGAAGAGCACGAAGAGCACGAAGAGCTTTAAACACACGCAGGGTTTGTTTAAAATGATGTCGATTAGGAATTTAAGACGTTCTCCTCCTCCTGAGGAGATATCCTTGGATGATCCTGTAGAAACGCCTGCTGCACCTTCATCATCCTCGACGATGACTCCAGTGGAATCCAAAGAGACTGAAGAACCACCGAGACCTAAGGGGCCAGGAGGACCACCAAAGGAAATATTCCCAGAGATGGATATGAAGAAGAACTTGGTGGGATGGACGGGGCAAGATGATCCAGCACATCCGAGGTATGTGTATTTAAGGAGTGGTGGCCACGGTTTATACTGACCTCGACAAGGAATCTTCCAGACAAGAAGAAATGGTTGATGCTGGCTTCGGTCAGTCTGATTACATTCTTGAGGTATGTTTGATAATCCTACCTCATTTCGCAGCCATAGCTAAAATTTTACAGTCCTTTATCTTCATCAATTGTCGCACCTGGAATAACTCTCATGAATAAAGAATTTGGCACCACTTCCGATATCTTGGACACATTTGTTGTCAGCATGTTTATTTTTGGATTCGCAGCTGGGCCACTAATTTTGTCGCCACTAAGTGAAATCTACGGACGTCAGCCAATTTTGATGTATTGCAATTTTCTTTTAACGATATGGTAAGTTTACTCTTAGTAACTCACTTTACATCCGATTAAAACACTACTCATACATTTTCATCACAGGCAACTCGGATGTGCACTCGCGCCAAACATCCACGTCCTAATTCTCTTCCGCTTCTTCGCCGGCCTGGGAGGGTCCGCATGTCTCGCTATTGGCGGTGGTGTCGTCGCAGATTTATTCCCCATTCAACAACGTGGGAAAGCCCAAGCCATGTTCGTGATGGGACCACTCTTCGGGCCCGTCCTCGGTCCCGTAATCGGAGGATTCATCGCCCAGCGCGCCGGATGGCGCTGGGTATACTGGGTACTTTTAGTTGCCTGCGCCGCTCTCTCAATCTTTTACGTGATCGTCGGAAAAGAAACATCAGCCTCCGTCCTCATTCGTCGCAAAACCATTGCTCTTCGCAAGGAAACAGGAAATCCGGATCTTCTCTCCGCATATGATGCTAAGAAACCAGCTGCAGCGTTGAAATTCAAAGCAGTGCTTTTAACGGGCATAGCCAGGCCCTTCCGCATGATGTTTTCCTCTCCTATACTCCCTCTTCTAGCTCTCTGGATGTCCTTCATCTTCGGACTCATCTACCTTCTCCTCACATCCATCGCTCAGGTCTTCGAAGAGATCTACGGATTCTCCATCGAAATTGCCTCGCTAGCATATCTAGGGCTCGGTTTTGGTTTCTTCCTCGGCATGTTCACCGTTGCCAAAACTTCAGACCCTACAATCATTGCATTAACCAAGAAAAATAACGGTGTATACCAACCCGAGTTTCGTCTCCGTAACGGTCTCTTCTTCGCTTTCTTCATCCCTGGTTCCTTCTTCTGGTATGGTTGGACCTCCTATTACCGCGTTCACTGGATCGTCCCAATCCTTGGACTAATACCTTTTGGTTTCGGAACAATGGGCGTATTTGCTGGTATCCAAACATATTATATCGATACAGGCAAACAATATGCAGCATCCGCAATGGCTGGGCTCACAGCCATTCGATGCGTCTTTGCGGCCTTTTTACCGTTAGCTGGTAAACCGTTGTATAATAATCTGGGGTTGGGATGGGGAAATAGTGTTTTGGGATTTATTGGATTGAGTTTAATTCCAGCGCCATTCTTTATTTATAAATATGGCGGGCTTCTGAGGGAGAGGTATCCGGTTAGAGTTGATTAGATGCGTTCTGGGAATGGGATGGCAGATATGTCTCGCATGACTATTGTATTTCTTTGGTTTGTCGGATTTTTGATTAAGAGCGTGTATGCTGCGGTAATGCTGCATTGTAATGGAAAGCGGAAAAGCTATATATGAACAATGGTGACATAGTACGAATACCCTCCTTTGAAGTTTGTCGTTTATAATTTTCTAGTTTGGGTTTGGAGTTGAGGAGCTTGGAGAAGTATTGCATATAGCTCAAATGGAACACCTTTTAGAGATATCTTATACCTTTATCTTCCATCTAGATATTTTGTTGCGATTGGGATGTAAAAGAATCGCGGGGTGTATGTATTGGTAAAATGTTGAGATGAGAGTTTGGAGAGATTATTATTGATCATGATCGAAAGATTGTTTAAAGGGGGTAAATTTCGTATATTGAAGTGTGTATTAGATGTATTGATGCCTTCCATATTGCTAAACTATCGGGAGTATTGGAGTTGAGTGGATCATATGTTTGTAGACTATTTGGAGTTCAGCTGAAAACTAGGTAGCCTGGTGGATTGCAACGGACATCTCCGAGTACACGAGATTTTCATGTCAAAACAATTTGAACAACAGGCAGCAAAATTATTTGATAGAATTGAAAGAAAAATGCTGGTAAGGGTTGAAGCTCAGTGGACATCTTGTCACATCGTGGTGGACATCGGACACGGAGTTTCAAACCAGACTAAAAAACCGTTTGAGGATTGTAATGACCCCAGCAAGCATCTTGATCATTGATCTACTATTCAAGATCCCGTCATTCATAATGATTCCAGTACATTTTTCATTCTTCCGTACATGAGCAAATCAGGAAAGAAGAGATAGACAATCAAAACTCCGAACGCCTCTTTCTCTTTCTTAGACGAGATCTTACGAATACGTCGTACCCTTCTAGCTATCCAGTGAAACGGCTTAGTTGCTCGGAGCGGTAACAAGAATGGAAGACTCTTCTGCGAAGGGTGGTACGACACCAAAGATATCGAAACATGGAAAGGCTTGTGTCAATTGTGCGAAGGCGAAGGTTAAATGTGTGGAAAAGAACGGTGTTGGTGCTTGTGAAAGGTATGTAAGAATAACATAATCGCACCACGTGATGCATTTTCGGTTTCATGGTGGTAGGAACACCAGATGTTTTAGTGGGATTTTTGTATGTACAAACTTCGTCTTTATTCCCAAGTGGCAATGGTGATGTTTGTTGGTCCTTAGGCATTTGGATGTTCTTTTGATGGTTTTGGAACACAAACTCTTTCCAGCTATCGAGCACGACAAAATTGAGATTCCCACACAGGTCAGAAATTGAATGATGGTGGCCATCGGCTGATTAAATATCTCTTTCTTACGATCTCACATGATTGGTTTGACTTAGAGTAATACTGACCCTAACAGATGCCACCGATTGAACAAGGACTGTCAACCGATCACCAGGATAGAGAGGCGGAAGCCAGTGAAGAAAACCACAGCTGCGAAGACTGCAGAGCTCGAGAGGAAACTTGACGGGCTAGTTTCATTGTTAACTGCAGCTACTCAAGGCCAAAGCACGCCTTCTTCAACAGAATCGGATTATGCTGTCTCGCCGGCTCCCCAGGATATTGCTCAAGGTTTTGGCTATCAGGCAGGATCAGATTTTGGCAACATTCCTGTAAGGGGACTTGGAGCTATCAACGTACACCCTTTGAGTTCTATCCCTATACATTCATGTCTACCGGGGCCAGCGATTGGGCGACCGCATCGTGACCCAAATGGTGATCATTCTTCGACTCAAATTCCCACGGAATCATCTCCAATCTCTCTAACACCGCCTGAATTAGAATTATCACCAACGGAAGAAGAAAAGATACTTTGCCACTTCCGAACCGAATCAATAAAATATCTCCCGTTTATCATTATACCGCCAAATACAAAAGTCCATGAGTTTAAGAAGGAAAATCCATTTTGGTGGTTGGCCATTGTGATGACTACATCGAAAAACACCTCGACACAAATCAAACTGGGAATCCATATCCGCCAAGTTCTGAGTCACAGACTAATTATTATGGGTGAGCGTAATCTTGATCTTCTATGGGGATTATTGACTTTTATCGCATGGTATGTATGAACTCAAGGCTTTGGAGCAGGGTATTCTATAGTCCGAACTACAGTCCAACAACAAGAAGTTTTTCATTGTTGAGTCAAACTGCGATATTCGAATCATTTCGGACATTCAAATCACTCCCAATGTTGAAGTACTGCTCAAAATATTGGGAGCTGACTGTTGTTTCTGCCAGTCTGGGCTATTGGGTGCACGGTTTTATAGTAAAATACTAACATTGATTAGGAGTCAGTGTCATTACCACCAAAGACCAGCGGTACGTCATCCTTCCTTATATTGGGATCATTTCGAGTGTGGAATATTGGCTGATTTATTGCTCTGTAGTGGAGTAGCTTAATTCAAATTGCTATGGGACTAGTATATGACCTGGGATTAAACAAAGCACCACCGAAGGAAACGCCAGGTTTCATGTTGAACTTCGATGCCGGTGGATGCCCAAAGTCAGCTATGCGCCCAACTGGATCATATCAAGAAAAGAGGGCTTTGCTTTGCCTTTATTCGCTAAGCTCTAGGTGCGTGCTGTCATTACAGGAATCTGGTACACACTTCTAATATTTATTCAGCTTCTCGTTATATTTTCAAAGGATCGATACTCTTCGATGGACACCCTATGCAGAGGCATCGGCGAAGATTCTCTCCAAAGATCTAGAGTTTTCTCATGACACATTAATGGTTCAAATTGTGCGCCTGCAGCTCATTCAAGAGCGCGTGAAGGATGCTCCATGGCTCGACACGGCTGGTGATGGAAACGCAGCCTTTAAAGCACCTGCTCTTTTCTACCTCAAAGCCTTGAAAAGTCAGATGGAAACATTCAAACAGCAAATTCCAGATGAAGTTCGTGGAAATGGTACGCTAGAAACTGGGATTGTTTCTGTGAATATATCTAGTCCTGACTAACGGCCCATAGATACCTTTCTGCTATATCTATACAATACGGAACTTACCATACATGAAGTTGCTCTTTCCACAGAAGCTATCATCGACATGCCAGACTCCCAACGTTTAGAGTCCCTTTGCATTTGTTTTCAATCTGTAAAATCATGGTTTGATCTCTACTTTTCCCTCCCATGCAAAGACCACATATCATTTACTTTCCCCATCTATATGCACATTTCGCACTGCATGGTAGCTCTCTACAGATTATCAGTCTTCGAGGATCCACAGTGGGATTTCCATTTAGTTCGTCAACAATTAGATCTTTCACAGGTCCTAGGAAAAATAGTAAAGACTTGGGGGAATGTCAAAAACGAAGCGGGATTAGACGTTGGAGCAACGGGGACGGATGATGTGGATCTTTATACTTCTAATGCAAAGAAGCTTGCATTACTTAAGAAATGGTGGGACGCGAAGGTGGTAGCGGAAACTTCTAGTAACGCGTCGAGTGAGAAATTTCCAAGTGTCAATGGAAATGGGAGTGACAACGCAAATGGAGATGGGAATGTAAGCACAGAGCCCATATCTCAGGTTCAAGCTCAAGGACTTGAATTCCCAACCTTTAGCATGGATATGGGGTCGGAGATTTGGGATGACGGATGGTGGCAGGATGCTTTTGGTTCGTGCGTTTCGCAGGGTGATCATATGAGTGTAGCGCCTCAAACGCACTTCTGAGGACGGCCCAGAGGCTATGATTTGATTCTCTATGGTGTTTAAATCGGTCTTGGAAAATTGGGATTTATGTTTATAGATTGCGTATGGACTGGTTCTGGAAAATGGGTTACTTATCCTGTATGGGTATATGAATAGGTACAAAAATTAGAGTATAGAGTATAGAATTATTGACATAGAATTAGTATCTAGAATGGGCTGATATTGGGCGGGGGTCCCGGGTTGACAGTGGGAATGAAAATGTATGAACTTGTATTGTGTATGTATCAATTTATTTCCGAGACAGACATGAGGGGCGTCGAAGCGACGTTGCATGGTGGTGTATTTGTTGCGCATTTTACGACAAGATATTATCATATTATATGCGATTCTGGAGGGCGTGCTAATACATTGTTCCTCTCTCACATATGCATACATGCATTAATCTTCTATATTAGGCAAATTATAGGATTGTATATAATCCTGCGTCCATATACCATATGCCGCTATGGATTGCTATCTATATAACCCCTCAACGGCATCCAAATACATCATCTACCAAATTATCCATGCATTCAAGCGAGCTTGAAGCACAGCACAGCACAGCACAGCGATAGAGAACTGTTTCATGCTGTGAATAAGCCCTTGGTTTTACACTAACCTAGTTGTGTGAGAGATAGCGATCGTAGGGTGCCGAAAAGGCGGTGTTGACTACACCACATAATCATACAACCTAGGAGATTGATTGCATTAAAAGTTTAAGGTTAATTACATACAGCCCCCGCACTTCTCAAAAGTAAAATTCTGATGTTTGGCCATTGGAAAGCTTTAACGACCTAGGAACTATTCTCAAGTCTCCTGGGAAATTCTGGTTCAATTCTCAAACATAATATTCCATCATTAAAAATGTCTCTAGTCTATAGCTAATACGTGCTGATCAGTGACAAGCTGCAAATAATCCCATTTTTTTCCCCGCATCGCCGGGTAACTTTCGCTTATTTTCCCCATCGGCCTAGTCTCAATGCTCTTATAAGGTTAGTATGTGGGTAGGAAAGTCATTTCTTTTGTTGCTATAAGAGGTAATAGTGCACTTATAGCTGTCGTTCATTGCATCCATCTTCACATCAACGTTTTTGAGGTTTTGATAGGAAAAAACTCGAGTCCTAGGAAATTATGAGCCGTCCCCTAAGGTATGGGTTCATCATCTGCCGGTGAGAGATGGATTTCGGTAATTGCAGTTTGTATTAAAGATTCTTTTTGTGCTGATTCGTAGGACGTGATAAATAATACCAAACACACACATACACCCCAAAATCCAAATCTGGGCATTCGTCATCAAAAGATCAGCCTATCTTGTAAGCTGTCTAGATTTCCTAGAAACCACTATAGTGATAGGCTTAGCAGGGACTGTTCTTCATTTGATTACTGCTCACAAAATTGGTACAAACATGCTAATTTTCCATATTCGGTCAATTGTTCATCTTTCTTGCTATTTTCTTAAATAGCATTGATATAACATAAAGGCAAAATATGAAAGATGCAGATTGATCATGACAATGTAAAAAGACATGACTTATTTTAGTTCTACCATACTTGGTACGCTCGGATAAATCCATTTGGCCGTCCTGATAAAAGGCAGTTCAATGGCACTTGGAATAAGACGAAGAGATAAGTAATGGAAGAATAGTAGCCTGCTTGAATGAGACAATAAGTGAGATTATTGAGTATCCCCAATATTTAGGGAAGATTTCATTGAATAGTGGCAACTTGCCAGGAATTATGCTCTTCCCTACTCCATATAAACGCCATTTTATCCCAAACTCCGTTCCCTTTCACCACCTCCATCATCAGTCCTTCAAGTGCAACATCCTTCCCTCCTAGGAAGTCGCGAAAAGCGTATCCTCATCTCTCAAATACTCTCCAGCATCCGCCTGTCTAAAACAGACAATTCCTGTAGGATCCAATCTTCTAGCTTCCTGTGTACTTCTGGCCGTGACCCCAAATCCCAATGGCGTATCATTCATACTATAGACAACGACACCCTGATGTTCTGGACAATCTTCTGACCATCTTCCAACATGCGCTTTCACAACATGTCCACCGTAGAGGAACGGCATCTCTCCATTGGCTTTAACCCAAACCTTGTAGCGGGCGTGTTCGGCGAGGATAGGGAGAGCGGTGATGTGAATGCGAAATTTGCCTGATTTTGTGAATTTTCCTGCGCAGAATAGTTAGCTATAAAACGTTTTCAGAAATCGACTCAGGACACATACCAAGACAGATTCCTAATGACAACAACTTGTCTCTAGAGATAGAAGTCGCAAGATTTGCGAGCGATAATCGTACATAATAACATCTTGATTGTTGAACTCGGAAAACATATCGATCGGCATTTGGGGTGTTATCCAATGGTGCAATAAGATTCTTCAATGAGTTTCCAGTATATCCCGCCAATTTCGCAAAGAGCGTTTGAGTTTCTGGTTCTGTAAGAGGACGCATTTTGAAAATGTTGTATTTGCTTGCTTGATTGTTGAAGTTTGTGAGGGTGAGGCTCTAGATTTCGAAATTCCATGAATTTTTTTTGGCGAGCAAAGGCTGGAAACTTTTTTATGCGGGGAAGCGGCCGCTTGAACTCCGCCTCAGAATATTTTCTAGAGAACCCTTGAACTTTTTTTGAACGATATTCATCATAAAGTTCCCACGAGCGTTAAGTTTTGCGACACACGGGTCTAAATGGCAAAAGTACCAGCAGTAAAGAGGCGCAAGCTTACACCTCCTCCAACAGAAGGAGAAGATTCATCCCCATCGACTTTAGAGAATGCGCCAAGTTCGAATGCGTTTTTCAAGACGGCTTCAAAATGGAATTTAGAGCAAGATTACGAAACGAGACCTCGGAAAGGGAAGAAGGAAAAGAAAGAAAGTACAAGATTACCAATCAAGACTAAGGAAGGATTGATTCAGCAAGTTGAGGCGCCAGTGGAGGTCAATGAGGAAGAAAGTGATTTGGAATGGATTGGCGCAGACGATGTCGAGGAGGATGAGGAACCCGAAGAGAACGTTGAGGAAAAGCCTTCTGTGCCGATACGACAACAGATCCTGGAGGCCAAAGAAGAATTAGCACGTATAGCATTGATGTTGAATGAGGAGCCGGAAGAAAATGTGGGAGCATTTAGAGCTATAGCAGAATTCGGAAAATCGCAAAACATTACGATCAAGAAATTAGCATTGGCTACACAATTAGCTGTTTACAAAGATGTTATTCCAGGATACAGGATAAGACCTCTATCCGAAGAGAATATGGAAGAGAAAGTTTCGAAAGAGGTACGAAAATTGAGGGCATACGAGCAGGCTCTTGTGGGTGGATATCAAGGATATGTGAAGGAGTTGGCTAGGCTTGTAACTTCTGGGAGACCTCATAATAAGAGTGACGGTGGCGCAAGTCTGTCAACGGTTGCCATATCCTGTGCTTGCGCATTATTAGATGCTGTACCTCACTTCAATTTTCGGTCGGATCTATTGAAGATATTGGTAGGGAAGCTTAGTACAAGACAGGTGGACAATGAATTCGTAAAGTGTCGAGAGACCATCGAAACGTTATTCAAGAATGACGATGACGGGACCTCATCCTTGGACGCGGTAAATATCTTGACGAGAATGATGAAAGGGAGGGGATACAGAGTGGACGAAAGCGTATTGAATACCTTCTTACATTTGAGGTTACTGTCGGAATTTTCTGGAAAGGCATCTACGAATCATGTCGATCATGAGGAGGACAGCTTTGGAGGCAAGAAACTCAAGGAAAAGAGAGTATTCCGTACAAAGAAGGAGAGAAAATTGATGAAGGAGCGCAAGGCAGTCGAAAAGGAGATGATTCAAGCCGATGCAACAGTTAGCCACGAAGATCGAGAGAGAATGCAATCGGAAACCTTGAAGTTGGTGTTTGTGACATATTTCCGCATCCTAAAAGTTCGGTCCCCATCTCTTATGGGTGCTGTTCTTGAAGGTTTAGCAAGATACGCTCATCTCATCAATCAAGATTTCTTCGGTGATCTTCTGGAAGCGCTTAAGGATCTTATTGGCCATGCCGAGACAGGAGACGATGTCGAGGAAACCGAAGCAGAAGATGAGAGCTCAGAATCCGCCCGCAATCTCACACGTGAATCTCTCCTGTGCATCATCACCGCTTTCGCACTTCTCGAGGGTCAAGATGCCCACAAAGCTCAAGCATCGCTAAGCTTAGATTTAAGTTTCTTCATCACTCATCTCTACCGCACCTTACACGCCCTATCCCTCAACCCTGATATCGAACTTTCCTCCAAATCCCTTCATCTACCAGACCCCAATGCACCCTCAACATCCAACAACAAAGTCAACATCCAAACCACCACCGTCCTCCTCCTCAAATCTCTCTCATCCGTCCTCTTACCTCCTCTAGCCGCACGCGCAGTGCCACCTCTCAGAATCGCAGCTTTCACTAAACAACTTATGACATGTTCTCTTCAACTACCCGAAAAATCCGCTACGGCCATGATGGCTTTGTTAGGGAAAGTTGCGAAAATTCATGAGACTAAAGTCAAAAGCCTGTGGAATACGGAGGAGAGGAAGGGTGATGGAATGTTTGATGGATGTAGTGCGGAGGTGGAAGGAAGTAATCCGATGGCGAGTACGATTTGGGAGGGAGAACTGCTGAGGTTACATTATTGTCCTGCGGTTAGGGACGGCATGAAGGTGGTGGAGAAAAATGTGATTGGTTTGAGGTGATTATTGCATACAATTAAATAGAGTTGATAATGTGTGGCAGATGAGTTTGAAATAAAATGTACATTTCTAAACCATTTATACTATGTATAATGAATGTGAGTCCGTGAAATTTAAATGAAGATGCGCAAAAGAATCGGGTATATAGTTATACATGTTCTCGCTTCCTTCACTTCCTTCTATCCACCATAACACACAGCACAGCGCAATCCCCAACCCTCAATCCCCAGACTCCTCACATTCTATTCCCTTCATACTGATCCTCTACATGTTATGCTGAAAGACCTTAAAAGTCTATCCATCACCACCAGCAAAACTCCTTCATTTCATCATCGCAAATGAATCCAGATATATCACAGCCATCAGCCCCTCCCATCCTTCCCCTTATTTATTCCTCACCTCAAACATATCCCTCCCTTCCCTTTCCTCCACCATCCTCTCCTCCACCAACCTCTCCCTCCCCAAAACAACCACTCTCCCCTCCTCCCCCTCATGCACATGACTAATCTGATTCAACATCTGCGCAAAATTCCTATCCGTCGTCGCCTTGCTCTGCCAATCTAGAGATGTGAGCGCCGAAAGCGTAACGGAGATGGCGTTTATTACTATGCTTGTTACTGTTAAGGCTGGTGAATGTGCATGTGTTAGTTAATTAGTACTAGCTGAGTATGTTGTGTTGATACGGGAAGAGGATGAAGGAGTGTGGTGGAGTGGTAAGAGAGTTAGGAGGGGAGATTACCTCTTAAATCAGAAGCACTTGTGGGTCGCAGTGAAGCGATGGAGGAGATGACTAGGGAGGCGATGGATAGGGCTACGGAAAAGTAGACGGAGAAACGTTTCCAGAATTTGGCGGTTAGGAAGAAGGCTTCCTGGGTTTCGGGTTTGATTAGCAAATGGACTATTATTCAATACTCTATAGAAAGTAATCGTCGTGATACTGATAAGAGCCTTTCTCTTCCCCAGATATGTGTAGGTAGATCCGAGAGAACTCAAGATATTGAAACAAAAACGTGACACCACGTGATTCCATTACATAAGGATAATATAGAACTCAGACAAACCTTCAAAGGTAGCAGACCAGAGGACTCAAGACTTCTTTCTTCAATTTGAGAATTTGAAGTCGTTTCCAAGCTTTGTGGCTTCGGGCCTCCATTCCTATGAAACATATTTTGAAGGGTCCAAAAGATCTTATCTTATCTTATCAATCGGCAAGTTAACCTTAAAGTTAATATGTGGCGTTCTTGGTTTCTCTTCAAGATGCAGGGCTGAGATTCACGATGCAACGACTCGAAATTGATGTGTTCTTGATGCAATAAAGAAATGCGCATATCTCAATAAATGTGGATAGAAATGGACGAAGAATCATAAATATAATGGAGGGTTAAAATTTAAAAACGCCAAGGTTAGGGAAGATCAGTACGGAGTAAATGATTCAGAGGTTGGCGCGGAATAAATCACAGGGTCGTGTGATGAGGCGATACTTGAAAAGGGGAGTGATGTGCGGACTGTATCAGTCTGCTGGTTGAGACCTGCTGCACCTGTCTTGAAGTTCTATCGAGTTGATATAATCAGTTGCTTTCTGAATTTTGTTTTTGTTTCCCCTTGAATGCTAAAATATGCATGGGATATGGAAAATAAATACATCATAGAGGAATTAGAAATATACCTACTAGGTAGTGTGTATCTCTTGGTTTGAAACATTCTCTTTTTGAAATTCCATGTTTATTCAAACAACCAATATTTTGCATGGAGATCTGGATTTGGACTTTCCACAAATTCTTGTTTGGTAATTCATCGACGTTTCTAAGAACTCGGAACATCATCAAGTGTTGTTGTGATTATGGCACGCTGCGATGTCTCAAAGTCTTACTTAGCGATGTTGATTTGCCCCTTGATGCTCACTTCCTATTCGTATTTTCTTCTACCACTCTCTTCTCGTATTCTTGGAGCTAGAATAGGAGAGGAAGGAAGAGTAGTTAAAGGAGGACACGTGGGAACAGCACGTGAGTGCCCGACTTGGAGATTTCCGTAAGCTAGCATTGGCTACGATCATCCCAAATTTGCCTACTTATCCTCAGCTCTAGAAAAAATTAATTTTCGGGTAAGATGAAAGTATTGGGATTAAATCCATTTCCGTCTAGTCAAATGGATAGAGGTCCTGGATATATTGCCTATTCCGGAACAGATTTAATGAATTCAGATAGATTTTGGTGGTAGCTCATCAAATTATCGTAGGCTACTAAATTGATAAATTTATTTACATAAGTAACAGGACATTTGCTTTCCTCGATTAAGGAATTAGACGGCCGTTCATGAGAGCCGAGTTATAATCAAGTTTAATCTAGGACTACCATTGATTCAGCAGTCGATGCAGCGCAGTTGTGATATCAAATAAACTTTTCCATTGCAATCTACAGCTAAAATCCAAATAATCTACAAATAAGTACGCCAGACCCGACTCCTGTTCTATTGCATATATAATCCTACCAACTCGCAAAAAAACACAAATACAGATGTAAACTCTAATGTATATCCCCCCCTCAAATGAACTCTCAACCACTACCAACAACCTCACCGAACCACTGTCTCAACACACCTGCCAAGACACCCGGCAATTCTCCCACATCCCCAACCACAATATAATATCTGAATGGGAATGTATCCAGATACCTCTCGATCCTCACATCGCTCGTTCCTGTCATTTCATTCTTCACAAACCTTGCCTCCTTAAGATCCAACACACTTTCTCCCTTCTTCTTGGTTCTAACATCATCCACAATCACAAATACCATCAATATTCTCTCTTCCTCCGCTTCTCTCAATAATCGTCGAATTTTGTCATGTTCAGAAGAACTACATACACCGTCCGAGATAATGAGAGAAATTTGCCAGAGATCTGCAGGAGATGATGATGCCTTTTGTCTCGCGGTACGGAACAAATTGATACTCTCACGAATGAGTCTCGTGATATCCGTTCGCGGTTGCTCGAATCCGAAATTCTCAAAGATAGCAGGGCCGGCCTCGGAACTGAAGGGTACATCAAATTCATGTGCTACTTTGACGGTCTCTCCGAATCCGACGACGCATATCTCACCAACCTCAAGCATAGCTAAAGATCTCGAAATCATGACCAAAGTCTCCAGAGCGAGACTTCCAGAACCTGAGTCTCCCATGGACTTGGAGTCATCGACTGCTAGCATAATTTGGTATGAGCGCTTGGAGGGAATGCTGCGACGCATCCAGATTTTATCACGCTTGAACGAGGAGGCAATGTAAGGGATGATTCGTTTGATGTTAAGACGCTTTCCAGTACGGAAATCACCTCGCATTTTGGTTGCCAGGGTAGGTGCAAGAATTAATCGAAGTTGTTCGGTCAGAGAAAGGGAAAGTGAACGTGTGATGGACTCGTAATGAGTCCATTGAGCACGGGCATCGGCTGCGGATCGTACAGAAATAGTGGTGGTCGGATCAAGATGAGTATTATCGAGCTGTGTGTCAACTTCTTCCACATCGGAATCCATATTCTCATTGGCTTGAGCGCGAGTATTGTCGTTCAAGTCTTCATCCATATTGTTCTTGGCTTGGTGGATGGAAGCTCCGGCCCGACCTTCATACGCGTTGGATAATTCTTCTGGTTCTGGTGCATCATCCTCGAGATCCATGACATTGTCCTCGTCTTTCTCAACTTCATCCGGCTGGAATGTTTCTGGCATATCTCCAATTTCCGGATCAATTGCCATAGACTCATCAAGAGCGTGAGCTTGTTCTTCTGTAGCAGTGCCTAGGGCTTGAGTGTCGGCTTCAGCATCTTCGTCTTGTAGATGTTGGAATTCATTGCTCTCAGTACCCATATCGACGTTTTGATCTTGTGTTTGATCTTTTTGTTCGGTCGGCTCGCTGATTTGGGACTGTTGACGGTGCCACTTTTCGAGGGCATCTCCGAGCTTCTTAAATGGCTGAGCATTAGAACTGTCTTGAGTGTCGTCCTGAGCATCTTGTGGTGCATCCCCTGCAGCTTGCCGGCCCTTTTCACCATCCTCAGCCGCCGATTGCTTATTCTCAGACGAGTCACCTCCCTGACCACCATCATCTCTTTGAGCCTTGCTACTAGAATCGGCATTCTCGTCGGCTTCGTTCTCATCTTGGCCATCGCCAACGCCTTGTACATCACTCGGGACCACGTTCTCAGTATCTACTGTAGCTTCGTCCTCACGACTGCGCAATAGACCATCTTGGTCTTCAGGCTGTTGTTCTTCAGGTTCTTCCTCAGCTTTCTCGCCAGCCTCCTCAGTCTTTTCACCCTCTTCACCTTTATCTTCATCCAGATCAATGACATCCATTTCGTCGCCCATATCTTGATCTTCTTGTCCATCTGCGTTTTCGGCATCGGCCTCTTCCTTACCATCGTTTGCAACTTCATCAGTCTCTTGAGCCTCATTTTCCATATCTGGAAGATCATCCATTTCATCCTCCATTCCATCATCACTTCCGTCGCTTCCATCTTTCTCCTCCCCATCCAATTGCATATCATCAGGTAAATCCAAAGCATCTCCTTCATCGGCATGCGGATCATGCTTTTCTACATCATCTTGTTGTTGGACCTCTTCACTTTGTTCAGCTCCAGCCATCTCTTCTTCTTCTTCTTCTTCTTCAGCCTCATTACCCTCATCACCTTCCCCAGCTTCTTTGTTGTTCTCTTGAGCTGCGACTTGTTCGTCTTTGGAGGCCTTTCCTTTTGAATCATCACCTTCTTGATCTTTCTCAGCTTGCTCATTATCACCATCCCACATCTTCTCATCCACTGCATTAGGATCTAAGTCGTCCACATCTCCAGCCTCTTCATCCATCTCATCGTCATCCTTTTCTTCATCGCCAGAGCCTTCATCATCCTCTTTCTCTTCAGCCGCGCCCATTTCACCCTCCATCTCGCCGTCCGCCATGTCAACAGCGTCCTTTTCATCTTCAATTTCTCCCCTCTCTTCTTTATTGGGTTCTTGAGCCAATTCATCGAGATCTTCATCTTCTCCAATGTCCTTGCTTATATCCTCAGCACCTTCTCCGTCACCAAGTCCAGTTCCCCCCTCTAACTTTTCAGTTTTACCATCCTGCGCGTCCTGTTTCTCTGATGGTGTACAGAAACCTTGCGATGCAATCTGTGTAAAAGTCTTTGCGAGAATGTATGAGGTCTTACATGTCGAACGGTGTAGTATAGCGTACCTAGTAATACTTTCCTTTAATGTGTTGTAGTATTGTTGGATGATTGGGAAAGCAACTGCAAATATAGCACCAGCACCTCGACTAATTTTGTCATCCGAAAGGTTGAGAGATCTAAGGATAGCGAACGATTGTTTAATTTGGTCGGCAACATTCTCGGAGTGAAGAGCCTTGATGCTGTTTGCAAGAATAGAATCGCTTCTGATCAGCCAGCCTTGATCTTCAGTTGAAGTTGGAAGGTCGCCAATAGATTTGTGGTATTTCTCCATTGCGGCTAGGATTGTATTGCACACAGTTGACAGTTTTTGGTCGAGGTCTTCCAGCGGAGCTTGCGTAGAAATAGCTGTCGCCGCCGATTCACCGATAACAGTCCAAGGTAAGATCTGATCGATGATAAACATTAAGTCTGGACGCTGCTCGATCAGTTTGCTCAAATCGATTGATAATTGCTCAGTGGCATCAGTGATGGCCATCTCAATTTCTCGGCGTTGCGTTGACATAATTCCAGAAGGTAAAATAGATGATGAAAACCACCTTTCCCGAAGATCGACCAGTATATCTTTCCACGAGGACAAACTTTCCACCACAGGTTTCGCATCAATTTTACCAAGTTTTGCATGCGTGTTGATGAGCTCCAGTCCAACCGACAAAATGTTAGGCAACCACTGAAGGACATGCTTGTGGTTAGAGGTTGTAGTAGGAATCCTGACGTCATATATCCCTGGAGCCCAAAGCCCCTTCGCCATTTTGACAACATCTCTGAAGAGACTTAAGCTTGCCATAGTGCTCGAAAGAATGTTGCGCTGGCTCAAAAGAACTTGCAACAAGCCTTCCAAGAATCCTGTACATCTAGCCACCTCAGCGCCACTAAGATCTTCAGAATGCTGCCTTGATGCCTCTCTTGCTCTTGGGGCAAGCTCGACCGTCTTGTGAAAGTAGTACTCCGAATTTTGAGGGTCATTGGAGGGAACAAAATCTGTATTTGCCAAAACAATAGAGAGTGACTCTTGCTTAGCAAGCGCGTTGGCACCCAAATTGTATTTGATTCCCATTTGACGAAGATCTTTCAATGTATCTGCGAATAGCTTGCGCTTTTGAGATTTGAGATGTTTCACAGTATCTTTGTTGTCTTCTGTCAGGATTGACGGGGTGGCTTTCTGCAACTCTGAAGTTGATGTGATGATGTTTTCAAGGAATGATTCGAGATAGCTAGATCCCTCAACTGTAGATGAAGGTAATTGACTCTTATCTACCATCATGCTTACAGTCTTAGAAACGTTAATGAACCTCTTAGGCTTTTGTGCCCAACTTGGAATTGTGGAAGCACACAATGCCAGGGCAGATTGATCGACAGCAGGAAACTGTGCTAGCGCAAGATAGCTTATTCCAGTCTCATTACCGACCACCTCATCAGGAAGTCCTTGCTTGATAAGGGAATCCATTGGTTGTCCAAGAAGTGCTCGATATTTCCGAACAATTTTGAAAAGCTTATGATGAGATCTTTTGGCGCTGTCTCGTAAAGCAACGATATTTGTGTCTTTCCAGCTTGCAAGAAGTAGTACATCGCGCATGGCCTTCTCTAACGACACTCGACCCCTCTTCAAACTATCCTCGACCGACTTTTCGTATCGTGAATAGAGAGCAATGAAATTAGCCAGTGCACTCCCAATTATGGCGAGATTTGGGTAGTCCAACAACAGTAGATCAACATGTTTTTCTAATTGCTTTAACAATTTAAGACGCTGTACGTACTGACCCATGATAGCTGTTGAGAAATATGCCTGGAGATCTTCCAGAAGCTTTTGAGCATAGGCTTTGAGTTCTTGAACGGACTCGCATATTGATAGTGGTCCAGCAACGATAACTTGGTATGCGACAAACCACCAGGATCTTGCATCGTCATCGCAGTGCTTGTTTTCCATGTCGAATAACTTCGCCCATGTCGACAGTTCAAGGCGGCGCCAGCTGACTATAGTGGCAGTCAAATTATCGTATAGAGGAAGTGCTGAATTGGCACGGCTTGCCCAACCACCAAACTGCCACTCATGCATGAAGCCATGGACTTTCTCAACCTTGGTGATGATTTTCGCAAGTGGTTCTGTGTGACGGAACTGGAGTAATTCTTTACACGAAACCATGACATCTTCAAGCGGTTGCATGTGCGCAATCTCATCCACAGCTTGAAGCTCTCTGAATCTCGTTTGTACTTGATGGATCAGACTGACCAGTTTACGAGTTTCTGGCAGATTTGCGTCGGTGTAAAAATTGTAATTTTCAGGTACCGTAGCAGAAGAACTCAAAGCATCAATCTTATCACTTAACAACAAAAGTGAACCTGGAAGAAAAGCCTTGCTTGCGTTATGATCCCCAAAACCAGCATCACTTCCACGAAGTTTGCCTATATGTGTAGAAATGTGCTTGATCAAAGAAATTATGCTTACAGATGGTAATGCTCCACCCAAGAAAATGTCTCCGTGTACGAGAGCCAGACTGACAGCAATATCTCTGACATTTTGTTGCTTTGGAGTAGCACTTGACGCGCTCGGTGACTCTTCATCATACGAAGGGAATAGTTCATTGAATTGGTCCTGGTCAATCTCATCTTCGTCTTCAGCACTTCCACGAAATCTGTACAAGCCTGACTTTGTTTCTCCCTCAAGCCGGTCGGCATCGAGCTTTTTGGTCCACTGAATATAACACGAGTGGATCGACGTAAACAGCGATTCTCGGGTTTTTGGATCCAACGAGTCAATGGATTCAACTGATGTAGTTGTAGCCATCAATGTCAAATATTCTAGTGGTTGGGCAGATACAATGTCTTCGTCAATCGACTTAGGAGTACCTCCGAGGAATGGAGTTGCCTTGCTTAGAGCCAGAGCTGCTTTGCTGTTGTTTGATGGATCCTTTGATACGAGTGCCGCCATGTACAGTCCTATCTGGAGACAACGAAGAATGTTGATGACTGGAGTAGTAAGATCGCTGTATGCTCTAAAACGCTCAGAGAGACGTCGTATGATTTGAAGGATGTTGTTCTGAATAAGCTTGATTTCGTTCAAGATGTCTTGGTCATCTTTCATCAAATATTGATAGATTTTGGAGGTAATGGCGGGTGATGGGAGAACAACTTTTAGGAGATTTTTGAATTCACCCTGAAGCTTGTCTAGTTCTGATATTTCCGGACGGTAAACTTGCTGCGATGCTTCTGGCGGCTCACCAACCTCTGTTATTTCTGCCTCTATGAGCTGACAGCGAAGGTTCGATTCTTGGCCAGAGAAGAGACGCTCAAATTTTTGAAGGGCATCAAGCTTATTCTCCAATTCTTGAATTACTTCTTCGTGTCTTTGTCGCTCAAGTCGCTGTCTCTTATCCGGATCAAATGCTCGATCAGGAACGTAAAGAGCGATGCAGCCCACAGCAAAATGAACCCAAGCGAGAGCCGAATACTGCATCTTGGAATGAGTTGAATTATTTGCAGCTTCCACGGCGAACATTGCATTATCAATATCAGAATTCATATCTGTATCAATTAATAGTTGACCACCAGAATGTTTTGCTTGATGAGCGGAAACGGCTTCATAAAAGTTTTCCAAGGTAATATTGTGGAAGGCTTTACTACTAGCTTGCAGTGCGAAGACCTCTTGCCTCTTCAGGTGTCCATTTGAACTTTTCTCACCATGCGCAGAAATTATGCCTATCATGAGATTTGAAAGGACTTGATTAATAGCCGCTAATTGGCTGCTTGACAGGATCCCACTTGATTCCGCAAGCTTTTCCGCCATGACAGGCAGCTCGGACTCAAGCAACCTAAGAGATTTGAGGTCCACTTCATCAATGACGTTCATTTTATGCAAGAAATCTGTCGAAAAACTGCCTGAAATAGGTTGGAGGCCGTGTTCTCCTGACCATAGGTAGTCGATGTTTTGTAGCAGCCATGAAGTTGGGCTCGATGTGCTTAGACGCATTTGTGAGGTTATTGGATGATCCGCAAGAACAACAGTCTCGACGTCTACAATATCACCGAGTTGTTTATTGGATGCCAGAGCTGCAAGGACTTGAAATTGCCTCAGAGCTTCGAACTGATCATGCAAGAATGGCCGTGGGCTCTCCTCATCCGCATCAACACATTTTTCGAGGTTGTCAAGCTCTGATGTCAGAGATTGAATAAGAGCAGCTCCGTCCACATCCGACGAAAGAAGAAGCTGATGTGCTTTGACAAAGGACGCCAGGATGCCTCCAAGCTCGGCGACTGAGATTGAAGCTCTCCATCGCAAGGCGTCAAATCTTACGGCCAACTTTTCCATTTGCTCCACGATTTGCATGACTTCAAACTTGGTAGCAACAATAGGCCGAAGTTTTTTCCATAGAAGCTCCATGCTTAGTCCTGTTGTCAACTTGAATCCGGAAGCAAAGTTCACCTGTAGGTCTGAGACGAAACCCTTGATAATTGAATTCTGTTCATCGGCCAGAGGGCTCTCTTTGACTAGTCCTTCTAAGACTGTATTTCCAATAGCCAAATGAGACTGGAATGTTGCTTCTTCAAATGTCGATGCAGTGACAAGGTTGAAGGTACTCCACCAGTACCGAATAAGAGACGTGATTGTTTGTTTTCGGAACTAGTTTGTGGTCAGAGGGAGCATATGAAGTTGTCATTTTGAGCACTTACCTTCCAATGATCAGTTTCCATGATGTGAGCATTTACATAGGAGTTGATGGATTTAAGTGTATGCATTAAAAAGTCAGAGACTCGCACGGTGGAGTCCTTTACTACTGAAGCTACTCTGTCACTGACCATGGATCGTTGAAGGCGGTTCATTTGGGAAGGTTTGAGGGTTGGGATGACGGATTCTTGTTCTTGATGTGCCTCTAACGCAGCAGCGATCTGGAGCTTATATTCTAAACAGGCTGCAACCCAATAAACCTGCGATTGATTGGATGTAGATTGCAGTAATGGCACCATTGGCGAATTTTGGAAAGGATGGATGATCTACATGTTTTAATTGTGCTATCAGTACATTGTGTAACTATGAAAGGGACTGCACGGTCACTAACCTGTGCGTCACCGAAGCCTGCGGGCAACAAGGTCTTCTTCGCAACTTTATTTAATAAATCCCCCACTGCATTTCTCAGCTCACGGCAATCTTCGGATTGGTACAGTTGCATGTATTGTTGAGAAATCGTTGTTAGTTTTGCAGTAGATAGCCCCTGCTGCTGAAGACTCCCGACCACGCTTTCCGCAAATCTTGTAAGAAGAGGCAAGTCGGACCAAGCCAGGTTATCCAGAGCAATACGACTAATAAGATCTGCCTGGCTGGAATTGGAATCTCCGAGGCTTAGAACCTTTGATAGCTGACGATATCTCTCAAGTGATGCTTCTGGTCGAATAGAAAACTCTGTGAGTCTACAAGATTTAATCTCTGGGGCGAGTGGCTCAAAGAAAATCTCCACGGCACGATTTCTCATGGCGCGAGACAACTCCCCGAATCGAGGATCCATAGTTAGGAAAATTCGGAAATCGACGTGGGGTTTAACAATCTTGGGCTCACCATCTGGGCCACAATGTTCATTGATACTGAGGAACCCATTTGGTTCAAGCAGCGAGTTCAGTCTGTCCAAAACGGAAGCACTGCATAGATTAGCATTATCAAGCACCAACCATTTTCCTTGTTCCAGTGCCTTGATTAAGACACCATCTACCCATTCAAACCTAGCATTTTCGACGGCCATAGGGCGGCTTGCGAAAGTTTCGCAAGTCCCCGCCAATGTCCCAAATTCTGGTAATGAGCTTGTCTTTTCCAGCTGTCGAAGGTGGCGGGAAACCTCTTGGAATGAAAAAGAGGAATTCATAGTATCCTTTCTCAGAATATCGAGAACTTTGATTGCGTCATCCGGAATACATTCAGGAAGTGTACCTAATATACGACTTTCCATGAACTCAAGGAGCTCTCGAAGAAATCTGCTGGCGGCTCTTTGTGGATCCACCTGCTCAAAGCCACCTACGAGGTCCATAGTGTCAATGTCTGCGTTCAAGGGAAATACGGTCAGAGATTTGCCACTAGCTGCTGCAACATGCTCAAGAATTGTAGACTTCCCAGAGCCCGATGATCCCACTAGGATACAAGGTAGATTTTGCTGGATACACATAATTACTGATTCCAATTCCGGAAGTTGGTTAACAGGGTCGACTTTTGGAAATGGAATGCGTTGGTAGAGTGTATGCCTTGGCATATATGCTATTCCTACCTGGTAGGTAGTTGAGCTCATGTTATGGAAAAATTGACGAAATGGTACAGCAAAACCAAATGCTTGCGCAAAAATACCATCCAGTTCTTCTCGGTCCTTAATAGTCCTGAAACGCTGTCGGAATATTAGATTGAGGAAATCGGCTGGGCCTCTGTTAGTGAGAAACGGAGCTGATGACGTCAACAGGTGCAACCATCGAAGGATATCTCGCAAATTGAATTCCCAAGGGCCGCCTTGCAAGCCGAATTTCCGCTTGTGTACGATTTCGTCTTCTAGTCGTGTGACGAAGTCAATAATGGTCGTGATTAATTCTTGTGGCATGGAAGGGAAGTTATGCTTGCAGATTAGTTTCATATCATCATTTCTAAATACATCAGCATAGACAACAGTAAATCGATTGACAAAAGAACTGGGGAGACCCTTTCTACCACCACCCTGGTGATGAGGATTTTGAGCCGCAAAAACAGAAAAGTTGGGATGTCGTTTGAATGTTTGGTCCAATTCTGAAATGTAAACCTCCCCACGATGATCAAGACAAGCGTTCAAACCCTCAAGAACCGACTGAGATGCAAGATTCATTTCATCAAGAAGTACCCATTCTCCTCGTTGCATTGCTTGAAGAAATGGAGCATCGCGCCATGCGAAGTGTCCAGCTTCAGCACCTTCAACAGGCACGTCTGATCCAAACAAGTCCATAAGGTCAGTTTGCTCGGATAAATTGATACGAGTCAAGGGTCTGTTGCATGCACGTGCTAAGGCAGCAATCAAAGTCGTTTTACCAACACCAGGGCTACCTTCGATGAGTATCGGCTTTTGAACTTGGAGGGCGCGAAGCACCCGCATGCCGTTAAGTTTCGTCGTCGGAGCATCGAATGCAAAACCTGGGTCACTATCTGAGCCAGCCTGTTTTGGAACAGAAAAGCCACCCATAGTAATATGATTATCCTGGTCCTGAATCTGTATTGGCATGAAGTATATGGTACTGACATCATGATTGAGCAATTCGCCCAATTCCTGGAGACATTTCGCGCGTTCCTCTTGAATTGTTTCTGGATTAATTGCCAAGAGAGCAGCCGGATTTGCACCAAGGGTATCAATGTATACCATAGCCGCACCATGCAGAACAGCATAATAGGGATCGGTAGTCGGGCATCCATTCATGAATTTGATCCATGCCAAAATGTCACGAACTGATATCGAAGTCGAGGATGTAGACCTGTATGTTTGTCCAAACCATTCCGCAAATTTGACTATAGGCTCAGAGAATTGTTTCAAATCCGGCTTCAGCTTGGCTCCCACAATCTGTATGACATCCGCATGGTCTGATAGGGCTGGAACCCAAATCTCCGTAAATCTGTTTCGAAGAGCAGGTGACAATTCTCTTTTACCATAATCACCTCCAGGATTCATTGTGGCGAAAAACTGGAACCCTTCAGCAGCCTGCACAAAAGAGTTCTCCACACCCTTCTCTGCAAGCAAAATTGTTCGATGGGACTCCAGCACAGAATTTAGTCTTTCCAAGACCGAATCATCTGCGAGTGATATTTCGTCAAGCAAGAAAAATTGCCCTTCTTTCAATGCCTGCACAAGACTTCCATCAGACCACTCAAAAAGTGCCTTGGCCTTGATTTGATTGAATTGAATCCGCGATGACAGCTCAGTTGGTATCTGAGAAATAGTTGCTTCCGGCAAAGATTTGTATGCGGCCCACAAAGAATCGAGATCCTCAGAATCTTTTTGTTCTTCACCAATCCCATTCAGTAACTGCTTAAGATCTTCTTTAAGCTGCTCCAAGACAGCGGCTCTGTTTCTTACCGGCCTTTGAGCTCCGATCAAATCCCCTGTTTCGGTATTCTGGTGGGCGTTTACAATATGAAGAGTTTTCCCAAAAGCTTCAGCTAGCATCTGACATACTGTAGTCTTACCACATCCTGTTTCACCCACAAGTAGCACTGGCTCATTATTGCGTAGAGCATGGGCGACTAAGACGTAAAGTCTGCGCATCGCTTGGGTCCAAACCACACCTTGCGAGTTAGTGGTTGCATTGTAGGCTCTGATCTCTGCAAGACCGTTGCTGTAAAGGTCGTCGATATCAATTTTGACCTTCATAACCGTCTCTATGATCTCCTTGACTGCTGCCCTCTCTTCTGAGTTGCGAACACGTTCGGCCAAAAGCATATAACCGTTAGCAGCAAGCTGCTCCCTATTTTCGGCATCTCGCAACGCCCAACGGAAAAGATCACGGAGGGTAGCAAAACTGTCCTTCTGCTCAAAAAGACGTGTCGACTGTCGAAGGCGTGAAAGCTCCTTGTACACTGCGACAATTCTTCGACAGTCTGATGGCGCAACCTTTTGACTTCGTTTCTCGAGAATGAAATCAAGTTCCTCTTCCGGAATGTCATCGAAATGTAATTCAAGGAAACGATTACGGAACGCTCGTGATAAGGTTTTACGGCCACCATAAAGTCCGGGAGGATTCTGTGTTGCGAAGAGCATGAAGTTCTCATGTGGACGAACAATCTCCTGCGTTTCCGGGATGAGAAGTTCACGGTTATCATCTAACAGACGATTAAGGGCTTCTAAAACATCGGTTGGAGCTAAATTGAGTTCATCGAGAACAATCCAGTGTCCTTGACGGAGAGCTTGGACAAGCAAACCTTCTTGGAAGCGCAGCTTTCCATCCGAGTCAGAGACATATGTGCCCAAGTACTCTTGTAGATCAGTATGTTCGTGGTTATTAATACGCACAAACTTGTTACCACTAAATTTAGCGAGATATTCAATCATACTGGTCTTTCCGGAGGAAGTCGGACCTTGAATCAGGACAGGAAAGCGACGAGTTGAAGTTGCACGGACCAAATTGAGCATGTTGCGCTCGACAAATGGCGTAATAATGTAGTGAGGTTGCTCTTGAGGAATCTCATAGCCTTGAAGCATCCAATATTGACGATCTCGTTTCTTGTTCATAAATCGCACATACTGTTTTCCATCGTCTGGGTGTTTTGGTGTTTGAGCCAATAGAGCTTGAGGGTTGCCATGGCTATCCAGTAGGTGATGCTCAATCAAAGGAATGAGCATTTTTTCAGATTCTCGATCCAAAAGAGTCAAGAATCCCATAGCAAAACCTTCATACAACGCTCTGCGCAAGCCATAAGATGGAGAAATTTCCGTGACGTAAGACAGAACGCGAGTCAACGTGCGCAAGCTAAAGTGCGGTACTTCATTTGCGCCGTCGACCAATCGCTTCTCTTCGGCGAGCCGTTTTGTGTTCATGTAGAGACGTGCTACATCGTGGGCAGCCCTATCGTCATTGCTACTTGTACCTTTGAGATATGCCTTTATAACAGCTAAAAGGTCGTCTAAGTTCTTGTCTGGGCTATCCACGTAGAGCTCAGTGAACCTCGAACGCAACCCCATGGGAAGATCACGTTTTCCAACATCTGTCGCCGGATTCATGGCACCAAAAATGCGAAAGTCCGGATGTGCTTGGATTCTCTCAATTTCACCGGTCTCAGAAAGAAGTATCGAGGGAGAACCAGTACCACCATGAAGGAGATCTGCTATGCTCTCAAGTGTATCCGGTGATGCTAAGTTGATTTCATCTAGGAGCACCCATTCTCCATTGCGAGCTGCTTTGATAATATTACCTTCAACAAATGAGAAAGCAAAGCCTTTAGAACCAGCGGATAACTGAATGTCGAATTGATCCAAGCTTTGCGAGAACCTTAACCAACGAGACTTCAATTTCAGTAATGACTGTAATTTCGATTCCGTTTTTCGTCTCTTCGTGGGTTGCTCTAAATTTGTGCGCATGTTTGCCTCTTCTTTTTTGGCAAGTTCTGAAATGATCTTCTCGAACATTTTGGGAGCTTCACGCCACAATTTCGATGCCTTACTCCACTGGCTCTTTGCAACACACTTCGCAAGTTGATCAATATATTTTTGATTCTTGGTGGCGGAGATTCCTGTTGATGTAAAAAGATCATCAAATTCATCTTTCAATGGAATTGCAAGACTTCTGACATTCACTGGCTTGAAGCCTCCGAGCAAATCACCGACTTCACTTTGTTGGGACAAATTAACAGCTGTGAGCTTGAATCCCAGTGAATCCGCGAGCTGTTGTACAACAGTAGTTTTGCCAATACCAGTCTCTCCCACTAACAAGACTGGCTCAGACATTCGGACTGCTACTCCAACTTGTTCGAGCAATCTCTTAGCATGAGTTGTGTTTGCAAAGGGACGACTCTTTTTAGTAGGCTTGGTAACACGGCTAGTTCTTTTCTTGGGTAATCTTACCCTACCTATCAAAAGATCAATTTCACCGTCTTCATAACGTGGGATATGAGCATCTAGAAAATGTTCCATCGTCTGGGGATCGATATGCATCTCCTCAGCAATGCAAGAAATCAACGACCTTCGGGCATCCTGAGTCTGTAGACTTCCTGCAAAACAATCGGCCGCTTCTAAAAACATTTCATACTTCGTGGTGTCGCTAATAGGCTCACTGCCAGTCTTAGAACCTGATGATGTAAGAACACTCGCCAATCTTCGGCACCATTTCAAAAGATCTCGAGGGCTTATCGGACGTCCTGACGACGTACGACTTTTGGATGCAAATGAAGGTTGTACTGAAAGATTGTAGAGTCGTTCGTAGACGCTAATAATTCCGGGTAAAAATTGACGTAGGACTGGGTAGGTGTCTTTGATGATTTCACGGAACTCGTCTTGAGTTGGCATGAGAATAGGTACACGCTGCCACATGCGTGCTCCAAGCATGTGTAATGCTGGTGGAATTTCACCCCCGCCTACATTGAGCGACGTTCGAATGCTCGCAAGTAGCTTAAACCCTGCCTTGGCCTTTATGGTTTCGCCGCGACTAGGAATGAGAAGCTCGCCACGCTCCACGAGGGGCAGTATAACGCTAATAACTTCATTTGGAGCTCGATCGAGATCCTCGATAAACACCCAGCGTCCTTCCTTAACAGCAGTGGTCAGAACGCCTGCTCTCCAGGTGAAAGATCCGGGTGTAGATCCTGTAGCGTACATTCCAATAAGCATTTTTGCATCAGTCTGCTCGTTTAAATGAAGTGTGACCATGCTTGAATCCATCCCAAGTTCACGCGCGAAGTCATTGACCAGAGAAGTCTTTCCTGCACCTGCTAATCCGTGGAGTAAGATTGGTGCTGAAGACATAAGAGCCTTGGCAAAAGACTCCCTATTCTGCGAAGTTGTGATTGTCGGTATGAGCTTGGACGACTGAGAAGGATGACCGTTAGGACGAGGTAGCAACACATCTGAATATTGTACCACAAGTGGTGAAAATTCCTGGGGTTGCTTTTGGGCTTGGGTCATTCCTGCCCAAGTCCTTAGTTCCGAAGCAGCATTTTTCAGCCGCTTTTCTTCGAATATACTAAGAAATCCATAGTCCACTATTTCGCCGTCGAAATCTCCCATTACTGCCCTTGTATTTCCAACATTTTTCGCGACCATTGCGTCCAGTCGATCGTCCGACGCGAACTGAAGCTGGCAGAAGATCCGCACTGCAAGGTATCGTACCGCTATATCCTTATGCCCCAGCAGACTTTGTATCGTGGAGCCTGAAATTGTTCCGGAGTAGGCTTGTTTGTCGAAATTCAGAAGTCTCCATGTCGCCAACAAAATGCGCTGCAGCTCCAAATCTGACATTCCATTATCCACCACACTTGTACTATCTTCCAAGCAAAGTATACTACGAGAATTCCCATACTCTGCGGAATGTGTAGTTTCAAAAAGGTATTTTTCGAGAAAGGCAGTAAGGTGTGGCGCAAGATATAGTATTCGTGAAAATGCTGCAATTACTTCGATTTTTTGAACACCACGATGCGATTTGCTGACCCATCTTGCAGCTGAGTCCGCGATTAAGGTATTAAAATATGTGAATAATTTGAGAGTTTGTTTGGGCTTCAGCGCAGATATTGCGAGAGTTTCGAGGAAGTGAGGGGATTGTTGAAGTTTAACGATTTCGAGAATTTCTTCTGGCAAGTTTGCTTGTTGATCAACTTCCATAGCTATATCAGGCATATTGCCATTCTGAGCAACTTCCATTTCGTTCAATCATGAAAATTGGTAGGATATCAAGTGTTTGTTTTCATGAAGCTATCTCGAACTTTTTTTCTTTATCGCAATCAACTTTTTTTGATAGAGCCGAAGTTTCACCGATACGCTAAAAATTTAGCTCCACAATGCAGAAAGTCTACAAAGTCCTCATCAATGATTGTAGATTGGAATATTATATCGCCTCCCATATCCACATACGATGTCGTTGTCTTGCCAATCCGCAGCCCGCAGCTGCGTCCGATCTCTCCGATCTTCTTCCTCCATCCGAATTTCCACAGCCTCGCTTGCACAGAGAAGAAATCCTTCAGCACGATGGGCATCATCAGAGACGGCTGCCGCGAACCCAAAGATTTCCGGGATTGTGGACCAGATCAGTCAATTGACTTTATTAGAGACAGCTGACTTAGTTGCCAGTTTGAAAGTAAGTTAACGATTTCAAATCTATGTGTTTGAAGAACTCTGGGGCGGTCGCTGATCAGCTCATTTTCTAGTCACGACTAAATATTCCCGATATGCCAATGGGAGGATTCGCTGCTGGTCCTGCCCCAGTCGCTGCACCGATTGAGGAGGAGGATGCCGCACCAGTACAACAAGAGAAGACTTTGTTCAACCTGAAGTTAGCTTCATTTGATGCGGGGGCAAAACCTAAGATTATCAAGGAGATCAAGAGCATGCTGGGATTAAGTTTGGTGGACAGCAAAAAGTTCGTCGAGAGTGCGCCTAAGATGATGAAGGAGGGTGTACCAAAGGATGAGGCCGAGAAGATCATTGCGACATTGAAGGAACTGGGGGCTGTCGTTACCATGGAATAAAAGCTTTGATGAGGGGTTGCTTAAGCTGCAGGATTCGAATTCGGCATGTATCAATAGAGATGTGTACAAAATCTACTTCTCACCCAGGCATACATTGGAAAATATGCACAGCGGGTTGCAACACTTTTTGCGAACCAAAAAGTGGCTAGTCACCAGGGAGTCCTCGATGTCAAATTTGTTGTGTGGATGGCATTAAAGTGGATGCAAAACTTGTCGAATTATGGATAAATCCTATATGCCCCGCGCTCCAATGAAAACGATGATTTATGGTCAACCTTCACAAAAGATTCAGAAATTTGGGAGAGGCACAGATTTATAAACTCCTGAACAGATGAGCAATCAATACCTCCATTATCACAATTGTCAATGAATCTCCTGCAACATCACCACATTTAAATAGTTGAGTCTCAAGTGACCATGGCAACCATGTTCTTCGCTAAAAGCACAAGTAGTCTTGTATCCGAGGTGTGAATGATGAACAACGGCAGAGGCAGAAGCTTTGCAGATAGAATGATCTGGATGAAAGATAATATAAAGGCAATAGCACCGTTCATTATTTTGAGTATTTTCAGGGTGATTGATTATCAAGGAGTGTTTTAAGTATCCCCACGATGGAGTGTCCAGTAGTAGTCTGAACTAGCAAATTAGTAGTCAACTTTTCAAAAATTGAAAACATTTAAATATTTGCATGTGATTTATTGTTTCAAACAAGTTGAATATTTCAATTAGATTCAATGTTTCAGAAATTATATAAATTTGAGGACAATAGAATCTTTCAATTCCTTTGAACAGTCTAATTTAAGTTGAATGGTTTGAAGACCAATAAATCTATAATCTGGACTATTGAATACCCTGCCTTCTCATTGATAAAACACACATATATCAGTCAGTCAGTCTTACTAGTGTCTTCAGAAATCTGAAATTGTCAATATAGGCAAGATCTTTGATGCCAATGCACACAAGACCAAGCTCCTACCCTGTAGACACCAACGCATTTCGCCTCACCCCCACAATATGCTGCCTCGCTATCGCCAGCGGATCTCCTCCACTGCATTCCGGTGCTGATGTTCTGCCCCGAGTCATCACGTAAGTCCCATCTATCAACAGCCCTTTCTTTCCCACCACCACTCGCACTCCCTCCAAACTTCCCCATCGTCTATCATAAGCGTGCACAAAACCATCAACTAACACCCCCTCCCTATCCCCAGTATAATCCCCGCACCCCACGGCTCCAACCCCGGCACAGCTACCATGCCAATCATCGTGAAGCCCTGCACACGTAGAGCTATGATGTCCGCACCACACCATTCAACTCTGCCGCATCACGCTTCGCTTCATATATTGCCAAAGTTGTCGCTTCATCGTAGGTCAAGGAGGCATCCTAGAGGGTTTTTGGTGATTTTGGCGTATTTGGAAGTGGGCTGGGTGCTCCCTTTCTAATAGTACAATTCCAATTGTCCGTCCTTGCTATTCTCTGGAGATGGTAGGGAAATCTATTAAATCTACAATGATAAGCCATTGCCCTTATCATTTGAGACCAATTATAAACTGCAAATTGTTGGAAACCAGTAATCATTGAGTTTATGGGTGATCTGATGTGTAGAAATTGAAAAAGCAGAAGCAACTAACACAACCAAGTAAAAAAGAAAGTTGAGTGTATCTACCAACTAGTTTTGGATGTCTAGATCTACAAAGATGATTCATCATGTATCCAAGAAATTCACTAATTCCATAAATCTCCCCAAACAATCCCATTCTCGAAAACTGCCTCTTTTTTCCCCACCACCTTCCTAATCCTAATCGTTAAGGAGTCGATATCCCATTATCTTGTCTTGTTTAGTCCTCTCCTAAATATCGCCTAAATCCCATCCACAGAAAATCCATCAGCAATCATTGTAACACATAAAACTATCCTGCACTGTCATGTTTCACAAGCCTCATCGACCCCACTCGCTCCAAAATGCCCTCTCAATCTTTCCATCCCAGAAACATTTCTAACGTCAGATTTCAAGACATTCCATGGAAAAAGTTTTCTGAAAACTGATTCATTTCAAATTTCCATCGGATTCGGCTTCCCAGTTGGCGATTTCATAGCTGCTATTGATCTAGTCGCCACAGTTATTGATGCCCTCCGGGAAAGTAGTAACTCCAGCTCTGAATTTCGCGAAATCGTACGACAACTCGACGCTCTGGAGGATACTCTCAGATGTGTTAAAAGATTGGAGCTCGATGATACGCAGTGTGCGGAAAGGGATCGCGTTGCAAAAAGCTGCTTCTTGCTGCCAAGTAACTATTGATGATTTCTAGAAGAAAATCCAAAAGTATCAGCCTCATTTACAAAGTGGCGGCTCTGGGTCGAGATTGAAGGCTGGCTGGATGAAGATTGTTTGGCCTACATGTAAGAGCGATAATGTGATGAAATTCAAGGTCGACTTGGCTGGCACACGTCATTGATACAGTTGTTGATTACAACGATACAATTGTGAGTAGTGTCAATCATCGGAAGCTTGATGGACAACAGACCTAATTTATCTTAGGGCCTCGACAGCCAGAAATGAAAAAAATCAAGCCTCGCGATGCCAAACTCTTGCGGGTCGAACCCAGGACGGGTACTTTCGACTACACGCGACGGCTTTATTGTATAGTGGACTCATCATGGGGAAGGGAATCTTGGACGCCACTTAGAGATCAAAAGTACAGTGATGTAAGGCTCCTAAGACACTATATTAGCGGGCCAACGCGATAACAGATATATAGGAAAACAAACCTCAGGATTTTCCAAATCGTGTTGGAGATCCATCATGTAATTACGCGAATACCCGGCCAGGTAGATCGCCAACAGCCAGTCTATTTTATAGACGCTCTGGGTAGACATACCCCTTTCTACTTGGAATTCATACGATCGAAGGAGGTAAACAAAGGAACCACAAATTTGTCAATTTAGGTGCTGCGCTGACTAGTAACGGCATTCCTCACTGTGCTGAAAACAAATTTTGTCAACATTGGTCAAGCAGCGTCCAAAATTGAAAATGGTGATTTTGCTATCCGAGATTCTGCTACTAGACGAGATGTCAGAGTGGAGGATGATTGGGAGTTATGGTTTTCACCAGGTCAACGAGTGGAGATGAGTTTGATCTTTCGAAGGGATCTGGTAATCAATCGTTATCCCGACAATAAAGTATCCAACCATTGCCCTAGATGCAAGACTATCTGGCATATCTATCAAGAGAAAGAGTTTGAATGGTAAGGGAGTCTTTATTCGTATCAAACACAATCTTCATGCGGACTAGAACAAGTCCCAAATGTAACATCAACTTCTGCATCAGTGAGGATACAAAAAATCAAACAGCACGCACTGTGTATCTCGCAGAATTAAAAATTTCTCAAACAGTGGTGGATTTAAAACCATCACCATGGCAGATACCGACGCGGATGACGACGTGAGGCTTTTCCACCGTGTACGAATTTGGCATCATTTTCTAGAAGAGCGATCACACATTTTTCCAGAAATTCTGAATAACGTAAGAAGTAAAAGTTACAAGAAGTTTACGAAAAATGGCAAACTCGCAAAGATATCGTTCCTTTTGGTCATCACGGAATAGTTGCATCAGACATCGAACACACTTCAACATTTTGGCGAAAGGCACGCTTGTTGAATATGTATCTAACGTGCACTAGAATCGCCAAGGCCGATAGTTCCCTTGGAAAATTTTGAAAAGCCAATATGTACCACAAAATTTAGTGAGGTGAAAAACGTAAGCAGAAGAAGAGATATACCATGAGCGTAGACGACGAGCCTTTTTATTGTTAAAGAAGACACCATCACAAACTCAGATGACTATAAGAAAACCATTTATCTGAGACGAATGTGCTGGTTGAATGATTCCAACGTTGCTTGTGCAAAAAAAGCTTGAGATTCAAACATTTAAGTATGACCTCGAGGCCACCAGGCATTGAGGTGACTGTCCTGCCGAGTTTGGTAAGAAAGTCTTATCTATACGAAAAATGACTCAATTCGACAAGAAATAACAGAAAATGATTCAAGAAGGCAGCACTTTTGCAGTATAAATTCGGTCAAGGAATCCGATTTGGAAAATTTAAACAAACCCAGCATAGCATACCATCTACTACATCAAAAAAAGAACCTTGCACAACTGTCTTAAAAATCAAAAGAGCTTCCCTCTTAAAAATCTATTGTCCTAGTCGAAAGATATTCAAGCAAGAACACTCTTTGGTTAAAGAAGATCTCGAAAACCACAGCTTTAGATCGGCTTCTCACTTTTTAGCCAAAACACCCAATACAACGTCTTCTCCTCAATACTACGCTTCATACAACGGTCGTTTAACACGAAGATAGAAGAAGCAAATACACTACCACCGAAAAACTTTCCGCACCTTTGGTCTACCACACGCTTTATCTTTGGAAAGTCTGAAGTTTCTAGCGAACCATATTTTTAGTTCGAGAAAGATAGATCGAAAGCTAAAATTCACCTCCTTATTTCGAGAAGTCGCGCTCCTTATCCACTTGGTCCGACTCTTCGAAAGTCACTTTAGACACATTTCGCACCAAAGACATACCACAGCAAATTCAGTGGAAGGAATATCACTCGATCAACATGACTTCTACCAGTAGTAAGAGAGATCCAACGACTCACATGACGGAGGTCAATTTCGGAACGCGGCCCGAGGCAAAGATTCTTGACGTTTCGAAACTAATACTCAGTGACACCTATCCAGAAGCAGGGTCCACGGGCAAATCGCCACGCTTAACATTCGGCGTGGAATTGGAGATGGTTATTTGTACTCTCGGGGATACATGCCTAAACCCAATACCAGGAGATCGCAGGAAGGTCTACGGCGTTGCTAGTGCCCTTAACTCACCACTATTGGAGTATGATCCTGTATCAGCACAATTTGGCGAAGGCACCCCTACGAAAATGCCACGTGAGGAGATCTCATGTAGAGATAAGGGACGACTATGTGTATATGAAGATATTGTTCACAGGCTAAGCTGTGCTGGGTTCCCTGCTGCACATATGGAAGCTCCGGAATGTCGAGAGCGTGGATATACACCTTGGATGGCCGACAAGTGGATAGTTGGAACGGACTCTAGTATAAACTGTCCAGATGAAACAATTTATGACTATCATAAGATCGAACTTAAATCTCCCGTCTATTATTTCAGCAAAGGGGCTCTTGAAGCAGTTGAAACGGTATGGGAGATCATCGAGTCCACTTATAAAGTCGTCATCAACGACTCGATGGGACTACATGTTCATGTCGGCAACGGGGTTGATGCTTTCGATGTCCCAACGTTAAGAAACCTGTGGGCTATTCTCTGGAGCACAGAGAAATGGATTGAGACAATTCACCCTCCTCATCGCATAGACAATGCAGCCTGCCTGAGCTTTCATTACTGCTCCAAATTATGGTTCGAGATCGGATCACTATCATCTGACCCGGAGGACGAGGTACTAGACTGGATCTTGAAAAGAGCACCTCCAATGGTAGAGGCATTCCTCGACACCATGAAGAACGCCGACTGTGCCTACAACTTCACTAAGTTGCAAAAAAAATACTATGAAGGAAGTATCATGCGCACCATCGAGTTTCGCCAGCATGAAGCAACAACTGATAAGGAGCGAGTAACACAATGGATTCGAACATGTGTCGGACTAGTTCAAGCATCTGCAGCTACAGACCCCGCCAAACTCGATCCATACCTAAGACGATTGATTCAGAGGAAGAGAGAAGAAGTTCATGTGGGGGATATTTTGGAAAACCTTGGGCTTGAAAGTGCGGCGTACTACAGAGCTCAAATACCAAGGGAAAAAGTGCCTGACGAAAGTGCCTTCAAGAAGTTGTTGAAGAAGACTAAAAGTTTTCCTCGAGGATGACGGGTGTTTTTCTCGCACAGTATGAGACGTAGCCTCCTATCATATTTCATAATGATCAGCTTGGACTCAGACATACAAAAGCCAACATTCGGATCCCGTCAGATGAGTATCAAAAGTTTTCACGTTTTTTGTTTTGCTTTTCCTCTTTCAGATTTTGTTAGGACATCCAAACACGTAAAAGAGGGCGGCATGGAATGGGGAGGAATGATGGTGAAGCAGGACTGTGTACTCAGGTAACAGTTCGCAAGGTTAGCTCGATGTCTTTTGGAACATCTGCTTATGTAATATGCACAGATATGTAAGCATCAAAGCATCAAGTGCCTTAACCTAAGTAGAGCCGTCTTTTCCTTGCAAGTGGTTGATAATTTTGATAATTTAATTTCAAGGGAATCATAGGGACTATATCTACCTCTTTTTGCTTGATATCATACAAGTCGTTCACCTGTCCCCATGCCCCGCCCCAACCGCCGGTCCCCGAGCCCAAACCCACCATTTTGCCATACCTGTATACATTAATGTAACATATAAATCATAATATAGACAAATTATCCTCTTTGAGTTTGTTTCTTTTGAGCCTTTCTCATCTCCTTTTCCTTTTCCTTTTCGAGGTACTTTTTCTGTGCCTTAGCATCCAGACCCTTCAGTTCAAGATCCCTCTTCAATTTCTTGGCCTTCTCACGTTCTAAAGCTCGTTCCTCGGCTTTCTCCTCTTCATCCGCTTTCTGGAGTTTCTTGATTGTATCTTCACGAGTCTGACGTACTTTACGCATGACTTCCGGACGGAAGTGTGCACTAGATGCAAGTTGATCCGTGATTCTGAGGAAGTGTTCAAAGATAGGAAGGACTTTAGAGTAATCGTCATTGGAAGGGAGCTTCATGGATAGGTAGATGCGTTTCTTAGGCACAGTATCCTCAAGTCTATAACTAAGGTAAGTAATTTGACGCTTCTAGATTAAAATTGGAGGCACTTACTTCATAGGTTGATCATTTGGCTGATCCGTGATGATAAGATGCTCAAGTAAGTCTCCAGCCATTTCAACGGCCTTGATAAGCTCAGGGGTGAGCAAAAAGTCGGTAACCTCAGCACTCTCACTCATAACAGTAGCCCAGTTTGGGAGTTTAGCACTATCCTTAGTACTAGTGATCGAGACATCATATCTGTCATCACGAAGTGATTTCATTGTCTCCTTGTTTACAATAGCCCAAACAAAGTTATCATAGTTGCTCTTGGTATCTTTGCGCAATTCATGCGCGCCAGGAGCTTGACCAGGAACAGTAAGATTCTCTCTTCCATCAAAAGGATAAAGCACGGCTTCCATGCGGTCAACGGGGGTGATCATACTGTCGAAGAAGAGACTGAAGCAGTACTCCATGGCAAGTAAGATAGGATTAAAACGCTTCAAAAGCTTGATGTTAACATCAAGAAATGCGACATTCTGACGTCCAGTGGCATAAGTTGCGTACTCTTGTGGGGACTTTTCCTTCAACATATCTTCAGGCAATTCGAGTTGCTTAACCATTGACCTGGCACTTTCTTCGTTCTCGATTTCCTCAGTTGTTGGGGCGCGACCTCCGAATCCGACCAATGCAAATTCTGTGCGTAAGACTGGTGCATGTGCGTTCATCCATTTCTTCGCCTTCTTGCGATTCGCGCCTGTACCGAAGAAGTGAATGGAAATGATAATCATTAACACTCCAAAAATAATACCTTCTTGCTTGAACTCGCTCAGAGAATGTCGCTCATGAACATTGTACCATTTCGTATAAGGAATTGCAGCTCCGGTAGGAGTTGCAGCTGGTCCTGTATACTCAGCAGCGGAGGGGACTGCGGAGAAAGCTGGAGTTGGATCCGGAGCCCCAGCAAAATCCGCGAAGTCTGTTGGTAAATATAGTTAGTACATCTTCAAAACCTAATTGATGTGCATGCTTACCAGAATCTCCAGCTTGAACAGGAGCTGCAGATGGCTGGGAGCCTCCGAAGAGACCATTCAATAATGCAGCCATTTTGGTGGGATTGCGCTTGAATTGATGCTGAGCTGGAGCTTTCGTGTCGAAGCTTGAGATTGTGGGTAAATAACTTATAAAATTCATGCTAACTAATCCATGCTAACTATATTAATAAGCATTGAGTAAGGCTGAAAGATTCTGCCGATGAAGATCATTCTCACCGCCTTAATTCCATCCCCCTGACAACCACATTCCGAAGTTTATCCTCACTACCGAATATGGCAATCTGAAGTTTTCCATAAACCAATAATGTTAGCCACTACAAACTGATATTGATCTTTGAATTCCACAAAGTATTGGCTTCAATATTTGATATTTCATATCGCAGACTTGAATTCAAAGACTGTTTTATTATTGCTATGTGAGTATATATTAATCAAGTCAATACAAACAAACTGCAAACAAGATGAATATCAAGACAAATACATCAAATTTGAGTAGTCACTCAAGCCCTACTTCATACTACAGAGCTATAAATTCACCTCTCCAGTGCTGCTTTGATTTTTGGAAGGTTCAAAAGTTTACATTTGAAAGAGGACTAAGGTTCAAGGTTCAAAACTCAAACTGCATACCTTCCTCTCGACGACTTTGATATTCAGCGACATCATTATATCTATTTGCAATGAAATAATGAAGAGCTGTCACTAACTTCCTACAGTGTCATGACACGAAAATATGGCAAGAAACGTCCTGCTGTCAGTGCGGCGGCTGTAGCCATCTTTGGATCCGCAACTCAACCAATTGCTTCCAAAATTGGGGACCCCATTTCAACTCGAACGTCACAATCACCATCCGTTGACCTTGAAAGTATCACCAATGTTCTTGAAAACACCAACCTCGGAGCATCTGTTGATGATGTCACAATTCTTCTCGAAAGGACGAATCTAGAAAGTGGTGTTGAGCTTATTAAAACCCCGGTTGACGTTTATGAGAACACCAATCAAAATCCTTCTCCTGATGATGTCGCCAATCTCCTAGAAAGGACGACTTTGGGTAGTGCCGGGGGCGAAACTACTTTTGTGGAGGAACATTTAGTCCCAACAGAAGCGGAAGTAGAAGTACAAGTTCCTCAAACATCCCTTCCAATTGCTCCTGCCCTACCTCCACTCAATCCCCGCCTAGCAGCCTCTCTCTCACCTCTTCTCGATGCCTACGAAAAGGACAATGGCTATTCTCTAGCCACTAAAAATTGGGACGATGTCCTAGCGCCTGGCTGTAGTATTCAAAAAATAGCTGAAGCATCATATGCAGAAGTATTCCGTATATCAAACCCAGTAGGCTCTTCAATCCTCAAACTTCTCCGCCTCAAAGTTCCTACAGATCCTACGTCAAAGAGATCCGATACCGCAATTAAAGTTGAAACGGTCGTATCTGAAATGCGTCTTATGAATGCACTTACAGAAATTCCCGGCTTTGTAAAGTTCAAAGATGCACATATAGTGGAAGGAAAACCACCAGCCGCTTTTGTAACAGCATATGAAGGTCACTTGAATGCTGGCGGAGAATCCTATTTTCCACATCCAAACAAGATTTCCAAACATGCAGTGTTCCTAGCCATTGAGCTCGGTGACGCAGGACATGTATTGGAGAAATATTCAATCAAGAACGCCGATCAACTCTGGGACATATTTCTCGGTGTTGTCATCGCTTTAGCAAGAGCAGAAATCGAACATGAATTCGAGCACCGCGATCTCCACGAAAACAATATATGTATCCTCGAACATACCCCTCCTGCAATCACCTCCAAATCAAAATTGAGGTCGAAATCTAAGTCCCAAACTCCGACCTCCCCCCACAAATTTGGCAACTCGGGCCTAGAAATAACAATCCTTGACTATGGTCTCTCCCGCGCAACCATCTACCCCCACCCCTCCCCCTCAAATCCATCTCCACCCCCAGAAACTGTCTTTTATAACCTCGAATCCGACACTGCAGTATTCTCCTCCTTCGAACCCTCCTCCATCGCCGGCATCCAATTCGATACCTACCGTCGAATGCGCGCTTATCTATTCTCAGGAGGCCACTCGAACACTAACGATAATACACCCAACAAAGCTATCCGCGATGCCCTCAAAAAGAAGACACATTCATGGGAAGAGTATATGCCATATACCAACGTACTATGGTTATATTTCCTGATAGAATATCTAACAGAAGTAGCGCCAAAAGGAGGAAGAGGGAAACAGGGAAAACAAGCGTGGATAAGAGAAACGGAGGAATTAAGATGGCTTTTACATCCTGATTGGGTTCCTGGAAATGGACAGGATGGAATTGCTATGGAAGAACAAGAAGAGGAATTGGGACTGGGGTCTGCAGGTGATGTGTTGCAATATGCATTTGATATGGGCTGGATCCATGAAGAAGATCTAGAGGATTTAGATACGAGTCGTTTAAGTTTACGAGAAGATTCTTAATTGTGAAGTGGATAGGAAGAAGAAATCTTCGCCGGTAGTAAGAGATATTAGTCGATGAATCTGAGAAGCCGTGTCGAAGCTCTATTTTTGGGAATTGAGGTGGCGCGGCGGGGAGGAGTTACCTGGTTTTTGGCGTTCTTTGAATTTTCGGATATTGCATGCAATGGCATGGCATGGATTGGTATTGCATGGGATGGGATGGTATGGAGTGGTATAGCACTTTGATGAATATCTAGAGTCTGGCTGTAAATCAATTCCTGAGAGTAACATTTCTGTACGCACGAAGAACTTTGATATAGCGGCATAGGAGTAGCAGGGAAGATCTGTTTGTTTCACGAATGTGAAACATATGATATAGAAATGCCATACCTATGTAAGATATGATGGTAAAATCGTCAATCATCCATCATTCATCCATCATTCATCAACTAATCATCAATCGGAAGTAAAATATAGTATATACCTATCTAATAAATACTCAATCTTATCTAAGTCTTATAAATACTAAAGAACTAATAAACAGATAACCATAGACTCTTACCTCTCCTCTTTTATATCAGTATATCAATATATCACCCCATCAATATAATCTTACAAAGGATCACCTAAACAGCCCTCTCTCCTTTATTTCTTTATTTCTCTATTTAAATCCTCATCCTACAAAAAGTAAAGCCAAATCAAACTAGATTATAATCAAAATCAAAATCAAAATCAAAATCAACACTTAAGATTATAAAGCCTTTTTTCTTTTTTTCCTCGTCGTTACTCGTTTAATAAAGAGTCAGATTATAATTACCGCAACTCTAAAATATAAATATAAAGTTATCAAAACAACTCCATTCTCATTTCTCATCCCTTCCCTTTCCCCTTCTCTCCCAAAATCAACGATCAAAGATTTCATGAATTTAATAAATATTCCATTTTTAATATTCCATTCTTACTTCTTAATTCTCCGACCTTTAAAAAAGATGAAAAAAAAAAAGATCTAACAGTATTCCTCCCTCTACTTATTAATCCCTCTCCCCCCTCCCGCCACCTTCCCTTTTCCTCCCACCTCACCACTCCTCCTCTCACCCAAAAGAAAGAAAATATATATACATATAAATATATCACCCCCTCACCCTCCTCAAAGGATGCGCCTCAGTATTCAGAACCCACTCATCCAAACTCACCACATCCCACTCCTCAAAACACAAATAGAAATATTTCAACGTCTCCGCCAACCAAAAACTCTCCATACTATCTAATTGCTGTATGCCTTCTTCTTCTTCTTCATCTTCATTATCATCTTTTCCTTTCTTCTTATCCTTACCCTTTCCATCTTTTTCACCCTTCTCAACGCTCTTCACAGTAACAGTAACATCCATCACCCCCGCCGCCGCAATCTCCGTCCTACAAATCCGTTCTATCGCCCTAAACATCCGCCACGCCGCGTCAACATACTTCCTATCGCCCGTGATCCTCCACATAATAAACACACTCTCAATCGCCTCGGGTCTTAAAATATATCTCCGATCATCCACCGCCGTAAACCCCGGACTTAATCTCTTCTCCTCAACAACCCCATCTAATTTCTTCTCCGTATCCGCTTTCGTGTTCGTAATCGGATGCGTATGGATTTCCGCCAGCGCATCGTACCATTTCTCCTTCGAATAAGTGCAATCGTGATTTTCGGGGCAGGGGACCACGCTGAAGATTTCAGGGGCGATTCCGTTGGGACTATTGTCGTAGGCCCATATACATCCATTGGTGAGTTCTTCTGCCAATGCCAGTTCCGAGGGTCGGTTGAAGATTTTCGAGGCAATTCCGACCATGCCGCCGGTGAAACAAGTCAGGTGCTGGCCGCGGGGCATGAGTTCCGGAGTGGTGCTTTCACCTATACCTTTTATACGGATATCTCCTGATACTTTAATTTTTTGGTTCTTTTCGTTTAAGATTGAGAAGAACATTTTTTCTTGGGCCACCGAGATGAACTTTTCGTACATTTTCTTAGGTTGATCTAGAACTCCACCGAGAATCATGTATTGTTTTGGGAAATATTCATACAAAGAATCCGCCATCCCGCCGAGGGAGAAAATCGTATCTTCGTCAAATCGAAGCTTCTGAATGTCGACACTGACAGGCCATAATCCGGGATATCGAGTAGAGTTTTGACTTTTCTCGAATTCATCAGAGATTCGCTGGACAGCATCGTAATATTTTGGGTTTCCAGTCAACTGACTAAGACGAGTGAACTCCAGAGTCAAAGAACCCGGTTCAGAAACCAGAGCTCGCCTAGGTGCTATTTGATCTCCTCCTTCTAGATATCTATCATGGTCAGTCATTTACCTAACAAATACTGAAAAAATAAACCTACTTCTTCCAATCCCACCTAGGAATTGGCATTCTATTTGGGGTATCAAAACAACTCATCAACAACTCCGCAACCTCTACAGCCTTCAACAGCAACCCTGGATATTTTTCCCCACTAACATCATACGCGGCCAAAAACCCTCCCATATATCTAATCGTCGTCTCAAAAACATTAATCTCCTTCTCATTCGTCGTCGTAAAATCAATTGCCTCAATTGATTGCACCGCAATTGCAAAATCTTCCTTCAATCCCATAATCCACAACGTATCCAAAGAATCCACCAAAGTAGCGGCCCAGCCACCAAATGTATCTTTCCATGACCGTGATAACGGGGAAACCTCATCTCGTAACCATGCATGCGCTTTATACCCTTCCCAACTGTGTACGAAACTCTCTTTTACAGCCGCTAATCGCTTTAATCTTTCTTCTTTCTGCGCTGCGTCTTCTTTGGGCGGGGTACTTTGAATCTGCGGGATCTTCCTTGGTTTTCCAGTCGGTAAAGGAATGTGTGAAGTAACTGGATATCGTTCTGGCAATTTCGACCAATGGATCTTCCCATCCGGTGGATGTGGTCTCGATATCGAAGGTATATAATTCGCGCCATAATTCCAAATATTGCGCCGCGAATGGAGATAATGAAGACTAAAAATCATAAACAGAGCAGCTATGAAAGCTAATCTCCCTCTTTTAATGATTGTCGGCATATCTGCTGCTGATTTACTGCTCGCAGAACAGAAAAGTAAGATGGGAGAAGAGAAATAGGGAGAAATTATGTGTCAATTGATCTTAAGTGTCAATTGACTACATCCCTTGAATGTCCGACCTGATTACAACGATAGATTGACTCGAATGCTTTGACAACAGTTTTGTCCTTCATCCGAGGTTGTTCTGTATCTAAAGAAGCAGTCCACACCGTAGACTCCAAACAAAACAACCAAGAAGAAGCAGAACTGGTGAACCCAGATATATTATCGAAAAACAAGTTAACAAGAAGAAAAGAAAAGAAAAGAAAAGAAAAGAAAAGAAGATCAATCGATCTACATGTTGCTGAGGAATGTATTATGTGACAAAATAAGTCTCACAATTCATTTCCAGGTTTTCCTCTTCATGAATGTTGATTGCTGACTGCCAAGCCAAGGAAACATCATTGTCTGTCCTGTGCATATTCTGCGGTAAGGGGTCTAAACTTAGGACTCTCCGTACGGGTTCCCCACAAATAGTCCGGTACCGTGATAACCTTATTATATAGAAAGTTTAAAAGAAGCATGAAAGAAGTATCTCCATGTAGTATCCAATATATCCAATAAAAACAAACACAAAATATAATCATCATTATGGGATCCCTTCTACCTACATAAATACTTCTATAAATACTTCTATAACATATCTATCTAGTACGAATAGAGTAGCTACCAACAACTCAAGATGTTGGATATTGTAAGACTTATGTTAGATGTCGGATTAGAGCCAGGTCAATTTAGCTCACTAAAAGATTCCAGTACCATGTTAATGGTAACATTAATATAATAGTTCCCTTTTCTACAGAGTATGTATACGGAGAATTCCCCCGTGTCCCCTTCCTTCTTCTTCTTCTTCTTCTTCTTCTTCTTCTTCTTCTTCTTCTTTCGTTCTTCTTCAACTACCTACCCAGTACGAGGTAAACCTTATTAAAGCTAAACGGTTGTATCCACTTCTATTGGACATCGATTTGTTTCCTGCTAATCCACAAATTCCCCTGAAGATCTATCCCACAATACCGTTGACAGTAGCTTACAGTATTGAATCTGAGGAGAAGAAACAACTACACGGTCTGTCGTCTCTAAATTATAAATTTTGCCTAGTACGAATCTTCAAGACATGAGGCTGAAATTAGCTGATGGGCTTGATTCTGGTCAGCTTGTGGATATTATCATCATTCACAATTCACAAAACACATGATAAAACCTCTGGTAAAGGGTATTAAACTAGACAATAATATGTCTGATGGGTTATCATTGATCATCAACGTCACCAAAAACTGCAACGCTCTACTGAATGTCAACCAGTCCAGTCGTGCGCCCACGAGAATTTTGACTGTCCAAAAGACCCGTGATGTGTACGCCGACTATTCTCCCTCCCAGCAATAAAAGATCACGCGAAAAAAGCAAGCTCCATCACTTTTGCATCATCAACTGGACGAATTCGTTGTCTGTAAATAATCATTAGCATATACACTTGGAATGAGGCATTGGCGAAGTTGTTCATACAATCGATTCTTCCATCACCGTCTTGATCAGCCTCTCTGATCATCTCATCGACCTCATCATCAGTCAACTTCTCTCCAATGGAAGTCATGACATGACGAAGTTCAGCAGCAGAGATAAAACCATTGTTGTCACGATCGAAAACCTATATAAACAAAATATCAGCCTTTGCGATAGTTAATAACCCATGAAACACTAACCTTGAATGCTTCACGAATCTCCTCCTCAGAGTCGGTATCCTTCATCTTTCTTGCCATCATAGTGAGGAATTCTGATCCCGTCAGCTTTGTGAGTCATAAACTATATTATGCTTCGCCGTACCTGGGAAATCAATGGTTCCGTTGTTATCGGCATCGACCTCATTGATCATGTCTTGCAACTCAGACTCGGAAGGGTTTTGTCCAAGGGATCGCATAACGGTACCCAACTCCTTGCTGGTAATTTGTCCTATGAATTTATATATCAGCCCTGTCCTGTGTTATCATGCTCAATCGTGTTATTGCCTCCTTGTTGGAACAATTGCTCGAGATAGGGGCGGTGTCGGTCAAGATGTCTAGCATGTAGATAAAGGAGGAGAGTCGATCTAGGACATGGAAAGTATAATCTGAAATTACTAACCATCACCATTCTTGTCCTATAAAGTCATAAATTATCAGCTACCATATCTTCAAATATACCCTGCCAAGTGTCCATAGGGCTGAGATTGTAAAAGTTAGGGAGATGAACTCACAAAGAGGGAGAAGGCCTCCTTGAACTCAGAGACTTGCTCTTCAGTTAGAGAATCAGCCTATGTGAATGCGCATGTTAGTTGCGACCTCATCTTCCTCCAACACTATATCCTCTCTCCAACTGGAAGCTACCAACTTCCCAGCTCCAAGCCGAGTACTGGAGACCGCGGGGTTGTTGAAGTCCAGCTTTCTTGGAAAGGAGACTAACCATGGTTAAGACTTTATTTGGGATATATGTATATTAGTTTCTGAGGTCCGAAGGGTTTCTAGGGTATATGAAAACTTGAAGAAAGTTCGTAATGTTGGAGATCTTTGATGATGTCGGTAGGAATTGCGATTTCAACAGTTCAGATGTTTTGATTCGGAGAAGCATAGAAACCTTAATGGTTGTTGTACGGTGGCCGGGTCAGCTGAAAGGAATTTTTGGTTTGAGAAGAGGAAAGGTTCTAGGAATTCCTTCCTCAGGCGAGAGGGAAGCTGGGGGAGCTTGGAATCGTTGAACAAGAAACAACAACATGCGACATTCAATAACATACTTCAACACAAATCACAATCCTTTGAGTTTCTATATGAAATTCTGTTTTTATTATATTTTGTGAGAGAGTAACCTTCATTTCAAATCGCCATGTGGCGCGATCGTACAAATCTGTATGTTCAAATTATTGTTATCCTTTTCAAAGCTGGATGATGGAAGCTTAGATACTGACCACCTAATCTATCAGCTATATCTCCTATCGACAATCATATGCACATCACCCCGCAAAGAAACCGAAATATTCCAGCGCTTCCGGAAATGGATATTCAGATAGTATTGGAGGCGCTTCAGAGGAACGCAGAGGACTTATGTCCGCTGGCGCATTCGAAGATGATGGAGATGCGATAATAGAAATGGATTTATTACCACCGAGATGGGCAGATATCAGCGATGAAGTTACAGAATACCTTACGGATATCGCAGATAAGAGTCAAAAATTAGAGAAACTGCATCAAAAGCATGTACTTCCAGGATTCGATGATGAAGAAGTCAAGAAGAAGGAAGAAAGGGAGATTGAATTGTTGACACAACAAATTACAAAGGGGTTTCACGATTGTCAGAGAGCGATTCAAAGAGTAGAACAAATAGTTCGTGATTCGCGACATCAAGGAGGAATAAGTAAAGGAGAAGAAACTATGGCGAAAAATATCCAAATTTCACTTGCATCGAGAGTACAGGAAGCAAGTGCAGGATTTAGGAAAAAGCAAAGTAATTATTTAAAGAGTGAGTTTTGTATTTCCATGATGATCGATGTCGTTGTCATGATAAGATCTTTAAAGAAGCTTTACTGACCAATATTAGAGTTACGAGGTTTAGGAGGCATGAATGCACCAATCGAACGAACATCTACCCCTCTTTACAGTAATTACATCGACCCCTCCATCATGGAATCCGATGCCGATAAATCTTTCTCTCAAGCAACCCTCCAACAAACCTCCCAAAAGCAACTCACCTCCAATGATGCAGCCATCATGCAACGAGAACGTGAAATTAATGACATCGCACAAGGTATCATCGAACTCGCCGACATATTCAAAGAACTCCAAACTATGATTATAGATCAAGGAACAATGTTGGATCGTATAGATTATAATGTGGAGAGGATGGCAGTAGATGTTAAGGCTGCAAATGTGGAATTGAAAGTTGCGAGCGGATACCAAAGACGAGGAACGAAGAGACGAATTATTTTGTTATTAATCCTATTAGTTGTAGGCATGTTTATTTTGCTGTTGGTAAAACCAAAGAAGCATAGAGGAGGGATAGACGAAAGTGTACCACCATCATCACCACCCTAATAATGAGACATTTTTTCAAGATGAATTGCTTTTTTGGGTGTGTAGTTGTGAATGGTTTGCAAGATGTGTCCCTGTTTTGCATGCGGGAGCTATTGTGAGATTTATCATGATTCCATATGAATGATATGTATCCAACGGGCAAAAATGGCACCCTCAAATAGTATCATAAAAGCATTTCCTCCATGTTTCCGCTCAAATCCCCATCCCTTTTTTTCTCTCTCAGAAAACTCGAAAACTCAAATCTACATCCGCTCTTACAACCTATCGACATCCCTTATTTCATTATCCTGTCTCATTATTTTTATTATCTCATCCTATTATATATAGGCACATGCTACATTCGACATTTTGAGTAGGTGTTATTTGTATTATATGTCTAAATGATAGATATCTATGGAAAGATACTAAGTACTAATTAAGATACTGGACGGGACAGGGAAAAAAGCAAGAGCTTGAGGTTAATCTTACCCCACTTCGCTTATTACAGGGGGTTACAATTTCTAGTTCACTTGATTTGTTTTGAGAAGAAAGAATAGAAATAGAAATAAAAACTTATATATTAAAGGCTTTAATTCGAGTCAAGCTAGTTTGACAGAGTGAAATAAAAACAAAGAATATCTTGAGTATATTTACTCGTAAGGATATAAGTGATGGGAGAGCGGTTACGTGGAACGTGTATAGTGAAGATGTGAAAAGCTAGTTAAAGAGAGAAGGAAAAAAAGAAGTAAGAATAAAGATATGATAATAGAAAAGGATGATAATAATAAAAATAACAAAAATAATTATAATAATAATAATCTATAACGATAGTATTAATACACTATTATAAATAATTATCTAATATAATACTTAAGTGAGTAATATAAATATCATTTTAAAATTCCTTCATTATTGAATTGAATTTATATCTACAGAAGTAACTCTTTGTATAGGTTTTTAATGTTCAATAGGTCAATAGTATTCTATGTCTATATATAAATATCATTCATATCCTCTATGAGTTTATACAAGGTATCGTTGCTAGCTAGCGCTAAGAAGATCATTCTATATATTTTGAGCAGGAATTGAAGAAGTACACACATGAGTTTGAGGAGCTGGTATGTATATTTTGAGTTCATCATGCTAGTGACCTGTATCCATTCTGTTCAAGTTTGTATGAATATTGCTGTGTGAAAATATGAAGTGTGGATGCTTTCTATGAGAGCTGTGCATCATATAATTTTAGAGTAGAGTAGACCTTCTAAAGTAACCTTAGACGTTAAAAGACACAGCATCCGTTGGAGGAACTTCTGGTCCAAAGATTAAATCTGAATGAAGCCAAATGTTTTCCTGACAGACTACTATCAGAATATATCTTTAACTTCAAGTAAATCTTTCCTATTTTAACCCAACGAAAGTGTTAGAAAATGTTGAAGTTACATTATGATTATCTAGTATGATTGATCTATTTGAGGGAATATGACGTGAAGATTTATAAATTATGAGACTTATTGCCTTTCGACATTATAAACATCTTGTCTGAATAAAGCAGGTCCTACATCCTTCTCCACAACCCAAACTCCAACATCCCAAATCATCCAGATCTATCCCAACAAATCAAAACTTCAGTCTCAGTCCCAAACCCCATTTATCTATACATGAAAATAAGACTCAGCTGCGCTCCCTTCACGATACAGATTACAATTGAGAAAATCCGACGGATCTGTAAAAGCCTTGGAGACTGCGGGACAGCACCCATGGCGCATTTCCATCAATAGCCTTGTCTGTTTACTTGGGACAAATAATGTGCTATTCGCAATATCCCATTCCGAAGTATTGGCTTCTTGAAAGTTTCTCCTCTCTTTCAAATCCATAGTTCCATCAGGTTTCTCATCTTTCGATAATCCCTTACAAGTTATCACCCAACATCCCTTCCTTTCCATGGTTTTCCCATCCGAATCCCGTATCCAAGAATAAATATTTCTGTTATCGTTTTGACCCTTGTACCAATCATTCATCAAGATACTTTCTAGTAACAAGCTATTATCCATCGATGAGTGTAGTGAAATTTTACGAAACTTCAAGGCCAGAAGTTCAAATTGGGAAGTCAATCGGAAATAAATAATGACCAAGCCGGTTGCCATGAATTGAAGTTTTGCCAAGATGATTGCTACTTCTGTAGTGTCTTTTATCGGAGACTGAAATGAATAGGCAGGGTGGATGCCAGATAGATTTCCATTTTCGGACTCTTTTGGAGCTGGTTGCTTGTTGTGAATGTGTCCTTCTGACCATGTTTCTTCTATATCTTCTTCAAGTGTCATTGGATTGTGCGATAGCCGTGTCTCGGTAAATTGACCCATCTTTGTGTTATATTGATTTGCTGGTTTTTGGATATATTTCTGGCTGTTTGGGTTGTTTGTTTCAATATTGAAATGTATTGTATGGTTCAATGAGCTCGTTAGGTTGATGGCGGTATATACGACTGTTATGGTTTATGAATCGATCGTATTGGTTGTAAATATAGTATATATATTTTGTATATAAAAAGTATTTTGAAATATTGTTTTAATTATTCCTGAAATGCTTTCGAAACCATATCTCGAAGTGTTTTGTGAAAGTGAGGTGTAGAAGATTGACAAGAAGAAAGAACTGAGCAGCTTCATATATGAGTAAATTTGTGTAGGAATGATTCAGTTACTGGAAGATCTAGATAACATATCTTGTAGTTGATGAGCTACGGCCGGAAAGAATAACGTCAGTGAAAAGCTAATGAGTCAGTGAGACATTTTCCGGTTAGAATAAGTACAAATAAAAACGATTAGAGTACAGAACTTAAATGGAGTAAAAGAATTCGTTTTCTGTCGGAAGTCATCTATGACAACATATTCGATGTTCGTCCATTTAGGGGGATTAATAGCGCTAACAATACACTATATCGCCAGGATTATCACATATGACATATGCATTGTGTCCTCGGATCTCAGATCTTTGAGTTTAGTTTCACGCTAAATTTTTTAGCACGACATCAAGAGTAAACTTAGGACTAAACTACTCGCCGTAAAACTGTCCTCTCCACGGCAACCACTCGCCCTTCACCGGTAGTGTCCAATTACACTTGTCATGACTCCGATTCTTGACGTTAAAAACCGTTGAAAGCTCTACTAGAGGATGACAAAGTTGTTCCAAATTAGCGGCCTGCTGGTAAACATCTAGACTCACAAACTAGCTCCTAGCTCTTCCCCGGTACTCACTAAGTTTTCTAGTAATGCCAACTCAAAAATTCTATTGCGAAATCGAGATGAATCTCATCCTAATCACTTATAGACTCTCTATTACATCATTATATCGAGTTCTAAAAAATCGGCGGGTATATATACATCTGTGTGATCCGCCTCGAAAATTTTACATGTTGTTTTCATTTATATTTTTCATTGACATGGAACTTATTTTATGTATGTCCATCTTTCTAAAGCTTGTTGAAGACTTCATAAATCCAAGATGCAGAGTGCTTACATGCTTCCAAGTCTGCATAATAAATTCTCAGAAACCGGAATTCATACTTGATGAAACCCTCGTTAGATATCCTGAGCCAGTGTTGCTATGAAGCCATCTCCCAAATACAAAACTCTGCAAATTCTCATATTTCCGGCAAAGATTCTTCAAACAAACTGAATCAGCCGCGAGCTGTGTGGCCAAGTGACCATTGGAGAAAATTGGAAGGTTTCATGACACACAGCATGTACCTAGTATGCAATTTGTAGGACTCAGGACCATTATCAACAGTTTTAAGTCCTCCTTACTATTATGAGAGTTATCTGACCATGAAAATATGGATTTTGGCTGTCAAGCCAAAATAAAATGCTGTTTTTCAACAAATCACTATTGTCTGTGGCATTTATCTGTTGTATCTTCGCGCGATTGCGCAATCGGGAAACCAATGTGAACTTCTATGGCCTCATCCATGGCATTAAGAAGCTTCTGTCTCTTTGCCCCTTTGATTGCAAAGCTAGAAAATGTTAAGCACCACATACAAATTGAGGTGGCGTAGGTATAAGCGGGATATCAACGGCGCATAGCGCCAAATACACCCATATCTCCATCCATTCTCAACACCGGGAATAACTATCAAATTCTCAAACCAGCGCGCAGGAAGCCAAGATACGATGTCGACGGCGCCACAAAAGTATCACAACTTTCATACTTTCCCAAATGTACAATCGGAGTATAAATCTTCCTCTCATGCCGTTATTCGGATTCCTAAAGTCGACAATCATGGTCATTTATCCAACGCGCCATATCTGTATTCCACACTTGTCATGGCTTTGCTGCTCTAACTTTATAGCATGAGACTCTTTTACTCGTCGAGGTACACACAACCACAGTCTAGCTACCACATAATAAACGGACTGCGGTAATTTACGGTTATGAATCTAAAAAGGGCTTAACGAAAAGAGGGCTCTCAATAGGCCTTGACGTTGGAGTCCAATGGGTGGATAAAGAACCTGATCAGTATCGACCTTTAGCCGTTCTTGTTTATTTATCACAACCATAGTGAAGAGTTCAGGTGAGGGATCTCGAAGATCAGGGAAGTGGCAGTGGGAATGGGAGCAGATTAATGGTGTATATAAATATTGAGGATCAGTTTTGCTCATGACTATGAACATCGCTCTATCAGTCCTAGGCATGTAATACCGCATTTCCAATATAGAAAAAGTCCGTACTACCCCTACTGTCGATAAGTTCCGTCTAACACCTCTGTTTAAAACATTGTCGCACTTGGGGGCCAAAATATTGATACATCCATGCACATTGTACGAACTGTGCCACAACTATATATTGACGAATGCAAATATGCATCACAAATAGGCAAGATTGACAAAAAAACCATTCACAATATTGTACCACAGTGTTTTGTGGATCATTCTTTTGGATTCCAATAGATTTTCAAACTTCTCACTTGAGGATTTGCAGTATAAAGTATGCAAAACATACTTGCATCGCATGAAATTTTGATCACGTTACGCGGTCAACTTTGCACACCAAAATTTGTATGAGAAAGCGTGGCCCCCAGTAAATGCTCAATGACCCTTGTAAGACACGGAATTTGGTGCATTTTAGACCAAATGGAACTGACTGAATATAACTATCTCCTGTGATGAGTGGCCTACTTCATTGACTATACAATGTAGGTGAGATGTCCATCAGAATATGTATAGGATAATGAATAGTTCTAGGACTCTATCGCTTTGAATATAGTAGTTCATCTAACGCTCTCGACATAGAGCTCAGGTCTGGCTTGAAACTAACGTTACCAACACAGCTAGACAAGAGAAATGAGGTTATACTCTATGGAAGTAAAACTTATCCTCGAGAAGGGCACGAATCATCATACCTTGAGTTCTAGCTGTGAAACAGATCAGCAGAATAGCAGAGTATCCGATTCTACTAATTCCTTTATGATCATGATGAGTGTGAGAGCAGGAAAATGGGCGACCCTTCATTGTCTAGGAAGTAAGATAACCGGTTAATGGATGATACTCGATTTTGGTGGCAGACGGAGACCATAAGTAGGTAATGTGTAGCGAAGGATTGTGATTTGAGATTCAGATAAAAGATCAGATGTTATGAGTCTTCAATGATAAGGGTTATACCACAGTCGCACTGTACAACGTAACGTCCACAGGGTATTCGAGTGGTAGTCTGACAAGCCAATTTCGTGCCTGTTTCAATTGTTGGCCAATAGTCATTTATTTATATATAGCCTTCATTGTCCACAACACAATTCTATTTTGAAATTTTATATACATTGTGATTAGCTTTCTTTGTAACGAAGAATTTATATCATATTATAATAATGCCATTAGGAGTAAGATTTATATCACTTCGGATACCGGAATAGCTGAGTAATCATGCTTTTCATGCTTCACGCTTCACGCTTCACGCTTCGTGAGCTTCGGAGGTTGCCGAGACATTTACATGATCATCCGGCTTCACATGGGCAATACTAATAATAATTCATGAGATTCAATACTTTGGAGCACATGGCAAACATTCATCAAAGGTTTCACAATTAATCTCTACGAATCAATCACACGTGTTGATATCGCCGATAATACCGAGTATATTGAGAATTATATTGACATGGGATGAGGTTTAGCCTTCTTATCACTTCCAATAAATCCCATCCCAACCGACACCTCCTTGCGTGATTTGATAGTCTAATCAATAATCCAACAATTCTTCAAATGAGGGATTCTATCGAAATTCGAACGGCGATTGACCGATTACGAGCCTTATTCAAGAAATCCGATCCTGAACCAGAATATGAACCTATCTCAAGCAGTTCTAGTATCCACGAAGAGGATGTTCGCAGACCCGTCCTCGTCTTACCAGATCAAGTCGAAGGGGAGCCATTTTCATGGTTTGAGTATGGAATCTTTATGTTAATCGGAGTGGCAATGCTCTGGGCATGGTATGTTCCACTGAAGTCTCGGGAGGGCGCAGAAGCTGATATCTTGACAGGAATATGTTCTTAGCAGCCGCACCATATTTTCAAAGCCGATTCCAGGACAATGAGAGTATCGTCCAGCACTTTCAATCTGCGATCACTTCAGTTGCAACGATTACGAACCTCGGATCTACCCTACTGCTCAGTCACTTGCAATTGAATGCCTCATACCCGAAACGAATTATATCCTCCCTCGTCCTTAATACTATAGTCTTCACACTTCTTGCGATATCCACTTCATACTTTCGCGATGTTTCATCGACCGGTTATCTGGCCTTCACGTTGATCATGGTATTCGCGACCTCTTGCGCAACTGGGCTTTTACAAAATGGGGCATTCGCATTTGCGTCGAGCTTTGGTAGACCGGAATACATACAAGCTATCATGACTGGGCAAGCAATTGCCGGAGTTTTACCTTCAGCAGCACAGATTGCGACGGTTCTGGCTGTTCCGCCGCCAGATCATTGGGCTGATGTAGATACAGAGGTTGCAGATGTAAAGGAAAATACAACTTCGGCTTTTGTTTACTTCTTGACGGCTACCGTCATCAGTGTTCTCACATTAGTCTTCGTCTTCCCCTTACTTAGAAAGCAAAATCGAATCCTTGAAAGCCGCGCGGCATCATCAGCTGAGAGTGATGATGAGAGTGACGAGAGCGGGAAGAATAAGGTCGTTGGTATGGTCAGACTGTTCAAGAAACTTTATTGGTTGGCAGGAGGAGTGTTCATGTGTTTCGCTGTCTCGATGTTCTTCCCGGTGTTCACATCAAAAGTGGTTTCAGTAATACCGTCTGATAGGGCTCCTCGAATACTTCAACCTGAGGCTTTTATTCCCCTTGGATTTCTGGTTTGGAACATCGGTGATCTTTGTGGCCGTCTGCTACCACTTCTACCTTTCCGTACCAAGGCTCGACCCATCCCACTTTTCATATTCTCTATTCTTCGACTTGGCTTTGTTCCATTATATCTTCTTTGTAACATCGAAGGTAAAGGAGCCAGAGTGAACAGCGATGTTTTCTACCTTCTCGTCGTTCAAGGTGGATTTGGACTTAGTAATGGCTGGCTTGGCAGTTCTTGCATGATGGCAGCTGGTGATTATGTTGATGAGGAAGAACGAGAAGCAAGTGGACCTTTCATGATGATCAATCTTGTAGCAGGTTTGATGGCTGGCTCCCTCCTCAGTTTTTCTGTGGCTGGAATTTCGTGATCGCACATTAGCGTTGGTTTGTACCCTTGTAATTATGGGAAGGCGTTCAGAGCGATATCATACATGGATTTGGCGTTGGCGATTGCGGTGCTTATACTCGAGACGTAGATTGTTGATATCATGGCATGGGATATTTATGGGAAGGAAGTCTGATTTTAGAGCTTGCAGAAGAACGTGGGAGAATTAATATTATACCCCACGAGTTGCATGTATTTGTTGTTTTGAAGATGAGTATCTATGCTAAAGTTTGTATCCAAAGTGATAACGAGGTTGCGGTATCTTGTCGACGAAAGGAGAGTTTTCACTCACTCCTGCGTAGTACTTGGTTTCCACATTAACTTTACCTTAAGTTGCATCAAGTAGAACATGGACTTATCCGTTGTACTGGCACACGCTCTGTGTGTCTGTGAATGCAACAGTGAACACAAGTTGTATAATCACAGAGAAGTAAGTAAATGATCTCAATCCATCCTCCACATGCATACGGAGGCTTCCTTTGGAAGTTCTAAGGAGGATCCAGAAAGGTAAATTGTCGAGAAATCCGAGAAATCCGAGAAGGAAACTTGGATGTGTCAGGCTAAACTGTAAGGTAGGATTGGAATATGTCGTGTGAATCAATTTGATCTTATTATTGCTCATTGGCAGGTAAAACTCTAATTCTCTGGATTGATATAAGACTTACTTACTAGTTATTCGCTAGAGATCGTTGATATCTCCTATTACTTGAGATAAAAATCTTACATGAGTCTTCTTTTATTTCAGTACGGAAGCATTTTACTGACAGCTATTAAATAGGACGCGTATAGCAGACTACCAGAACCGTCTAATTTTGCACTTCCACACGTCTCAAAATCTCTAGATGATAATACTATTTACTACTGTGGCCAATATGCAAGAAGGTGAGATTCACTATAACCTTTTCGTTCAATTAAATTTATATGATAATCTCGCTGCTGCTCCCAATCTTCCTTCCTTCTTCCTTCTTCCTTCGTTCCTTCCTCCATTTCTTCTTCAGTCAACACCACTGTTTGATTCCTTTCTGGTCTTTTGATCTTTTTATTGTTCGTGATAAATTAAAACAATGAATGATGTAAAGGAAGATAGTATCAATATTGGACAATCTACTTCTACTCTTCAGCAAGCTCGGATCAAAGAGATTCAAGTCACAGTAATCCAGAGCCTCAAAATACTGGTCATACTGGTCTTCAAAGATCAGGTGCTGATACTACAAGAAGACGTATGGTATGTTTGATCTCTTTTTCTCTCTCCAATCTATGTGATGGTTTCGAGCATTTGCTTGTTGATCTCTTTCTTTAATCGATTTTGGATATTCAATCTGTCACATTCAATCTTGTACATTCATTGAATGGGTAGTGGGGAATAGTAGATCTATTATTCTTTCATCTGTATTCATTTATTCATTTATTCATTTATTCATTCGTTCAAAATCTCAATTTACAGCTTCCATCTTTATAATTTATTTCCTTCCCCCAACAAGGATTTTCTAAAAGAAGTTTAAACTAATTAAACAGCCACAGACTACAAATATGAATGGATTAAAGGCAACAAAAGCTACCACTTCAACTTCCTCCATTTCTTCTTCCCGTTCTCCATCAACTCCAAACACCCAAAATCGTACTTCTCATCTAAGATCTCGCAACAGTCCTCCAGTCGTCACCTCTCTACGCCATGGTGCTAGTAAAGCACGTCCAAGTTCTTCTGCTTCAGCTATTTCTTCGGACACTTCTTCTATTCCCCCTACGCGTCGTGTAGCCAATATTCAACGTACAAATGAGACTACTCTAACGATAGCTCGTCCAGTTCATCGTCGTCAAAATGGCCTTTCGACGACTTTTAATCGGGCAGCAGAAGCTCAACGTCTCAGTCCTCCTCACGCTAGAAGTGATAAACATCATAACACCACTGCGCTAACAACGCGTCTTAATCCAGCTCGTCATGCTGCCAGTGACTCGCCCAGAGTGACAGGTACTCCTGGTTCTCATGCTAATGCCAAAACTCGCACTCAAGAGCTATCTCAATCTTCTTCCCTTGCTTCTTCCACTCGCTCTTCCCCAGCGGGTTCGGATGACGAAAAAGATGACGAAGAAGAAGAAGAAGGCCTATTTGTCTCACCTCCAGATACCACCAAAATCCAAGCTACAGCACCTAATTCCCGCGCCCTAGGTGTTCGAGGTTTTGCGAATATGCCATTACCAAGAGATCAAGAGTCTGATGAGGAAGATCTAAGACCAAGTCATGTTTTGAGGCAAGAACGTCGAGCTGCAGCTGGTAAACCAGAGAAGCCTATCGGTCGCAAAGACAAAGATGGTAGATTGTATGATGTTAATGGTTCTGATACGAAAATTTATGGTGCGCCGTTGTCGGTTGCTAGGGCTTCTTTCAGTACATTTAGTGAGCGTAAGAAGTCTGGAAAGTCTGGAAAGTCTACTAGATCGGCTTCATCTAGATCAAATGATTCGGATGATAATTTTGATATTGATGGTAGTGAGTTGAGTGTAAGCTGAATATCCTATATTTGTCTGGTCTTATTGAAATAGATATACTAATACATGACAGTCATCTAATGGCTCATTTGAAGGAACCCCTCAACTTGATCGTCGCTCAAAAAATCGTGACAACGCACGTCATTCCAACTCTCATCGTCATCGTTCCTACAATAACTCCGGTCCACCAAGAACTCCTAGTCCTAATAACGACGGATACTGCCCCTACGAAGTCTATGGCCCAGACCTTGACTCTCCACCACCATCCTACCTTATCAAATCTCCTGGTGTAATTGACCGAACCCTTCCATACCCAGATCGTGAAGAAAATAAATTCCTATCAGATGTGGCTCAAGTTCAACCCGATGATCTCTTTGATGCTGATGACATATTTTTCACATTTCAAGGTCAGACTCCTCATGAAATACAAGTTCAAGCACGTTTAGATGCAGAAAAAGAAGCTATGCAAGCAAATGCATATGGTTCTGGATTTCGTGCCCCAATGCATTTTGATCATTGTCCATACACGGCTCCAATTTGTCGTGGGGAACGCGAAACCTGGATAGCAGAAAGAAAACGAATCGATACTACAAAGGCTCGTGATGATTGTTTTGAAGATGTAGAGAGATTATTGAGAATTGATCGTGATGCTTATCGTCACATCACTTCTAATTCAGGTACACCCGTTTCCTCTGTTTTAACAAAGGGAAAGAGAGCCACTTGCGCGGGTCCAGCTCGTGTTAAGAGAAAGTACAATTGGCGAGATCCGGATATGAAGAATAAACGTCGTCGTCGTGGTATTACTCGTGGCGCTCAAAATTCTCGTTCTCGTGGTGAAGCACAAGTTGATGGTGTGGATGAACGAGTTGACACTGAGGGTCCTTCTTGGGCTTGGAGTGAGGCTGCTGGAGCGGTTGTTAATATTCGTGAGCCTATTACGTTGCTTCCTAGGACTCGTCCAACTAGTGGATCTACTCGGAGTGGTGGTGCACTTCCTAGCTTTGGATACCGTGCTTCTAATAGTTTTGATGGTCGTGGTATTCCTGCTCCTCCGAATATCTCTGATGCTTCTATTGGGTTTGTCGGTCGGGAGCAAGCGGCTACTTCCGGTATTTCTGGTACTTTTGGTAATGCGTCTGCAGTCGCTGGTGATAATAACGAAGCAGGCATCGATATTGCTCCTGCTGAAGAGCCCGCGGTCGTTGGTAATAGCACCAAAACAGGTTTTGTTCCCGGTGGTGAAGAGTCAAATGCTACTGGTCCGCCTGCCGAGAACAATGACTTTGATGCATCACTATCTCGTCCTTCTAGCTCCTAGGCGTTAGTATTAGTATTGGCGTTGATGATTTGGTGCGATTTTGGTGACATGCGGGTGTTAGGTGTTAGGTGTTGGGTGTCAGGTGTTGACATCTTGATTTGTGATGCTTGTTTGCGTATATAGGTAGTTGATGAATTATAAATGATGGAGATGAAGATGAAGATAGATATTTTGACGTTCATGGGGAATATTATTGATGGATTCTGGGGTATTTAAAATATTATTAAGGTGTATTATATTTATTTAAATTTTTAAGAAATAGAAATAGGAATTGAATAATGATGATAGATATATTTATATATACTTGAGAAGAAGATATAAAATATCTTTTAAATAATATAAATATTAAAACAAATAAAGAAGTGAAGTAAATACAAAAGTAGATGAATATATTTTTATAAATAAATTTGATACTAGTTTTAATAATTTTATAATTTTTAAATTTTTAAAATTTGAAAGATAATTAATATTCAGATTCAGATTCAGATTCATCAATTAATTATTAAAAATATACTTATATTTCAAATCTAGAAATTAAAAATCAAAAATCAAAAATTAATATTATATTTATATTTATATTATTCTCTTCCTCCCCTAACCCCACAGGGCAATCAATACTGTAACCAAGGTGACTTTTTAATAAAGTAGATACTATAGATACTATAGATAATATAAATAATATAATAAGAATAAATCAAATCAAATCAAAGTATCTGGGTATCTCTCTCTCTCTGCTTCTTCTTCTTCTGTCTTGTCTATAACCTCCCACCCCTTCCCCAACCCCAACCCCAACCCCAAACTAAGTCAGCCCCAAAAATCCCCGTCCTTAAATCTCTCTGTACATTCGCGTGATTAATTAAGATGATGTTTATAATGCCGTTAATCGCCATCAATGAAAAAAACAAACAAACAAAAAACAAACAAACAAACAAAGGATCTGGAATCCCTAACCCAAACCAACCGTCTATTTCCCTTTCCGATGAATAATTATTCTCCTGTTGATTTATTCATTCCACCTTTCTCCTTGTTGGCCTCCTCTTCGTCTGTTTAGGAAGTATCTCCATCGAGATTATTCCTATATCAATAGGCAGGAACATTGGAAATCTCATATCCTTCGTGATAATAAACATTCATCAACTGGTTGTTTTAATTCCTTACTTTCTTCACCACAATACCATCCCTCATCGACTAATTCCTGTTCTTTCCTTCTCCATGATGAATACTTATTAGGTGATTTATAATCTAAATCTCCCAAACGAGCTTCTATGACTTGATGATTCTTATCCATTCGTATGTATAGGGAACAATCTCTCAAGGTCATCGCTACACAAAGTTCATGAGATGCTTTTTCCGTCTTTAAAGACCCCTTGAGATCATACTCGGCTTGAAGATCGCGAAGTCGTTTAAGCAATGGATTTGCGTGAATCCATCTTGCTAGCGATTGGACGGCGGGTGTCTCGCGAGGTTTGTGTAATACGTGAGAGGCGGAAGCTAGGTAACTTTCGAATTTTAATTTAGCGTGATCATCGACGAGTTTGAGTGGACAAAGATAGGATTGAAGATCAGTGTTTTTTCTTTCTTCTCCAAAGGCTACTCGACGCGCGTGAAGTGCACAAGTTCTGCAGCGGATAGCTTTTGGTGGTAATTCATGAGATGGTGAGAGCCATTTTGGTTTGAATTCTACAACTGTCTCTCGTGCGGATTTTCCTGAGAACTTATGAGTACATTTTGCCACAAATAGAAAAATCCGAAACATACTAGGTGTCATATCTGTAATCAAAAGACCATAATCATCTTTTGCCAAGAAAGTACCACTTTGAGCTCTGGAGCGATAAAATTTCCCTTTTGGTGGTGGGACAAGATGATTCGTGGTAGATGTACCAGGATTATCAAAACGTCTAAGATCAGTATTTAAACCAGGGATAACATTAAGGTGACCAATGTAAACCAATTCCTGAATGACTATTTGTTCGGGTTTGAATAGGGGTACAATATATGTAAGCCACTGTTGATATGACTCTGAAGTTGGAGCGGTAGTAGGAACATCTTTTCGAAGACGTAATAATTTTCCTAAAATTAAGTTTTAGTATGTTTCCTTTGTGAATATTTGACAAAGTGATGAATTTTATATCTTCACTATCGCTGGAAGTGAAGAAATTATTGGAAAATAATTACCAGAAAGATAATCTAAATCTTGATGATCCTTGTCCACCTCGATAACCCCTGGTGATTTTGGATCAATGGTAATCTGATATATAACATTCGCAGCACCTTCTGCAAGAACTTTAATGCAGATATTATTGTTCGGTAGATGATGAGGTTGAATAGATAAGTTCTTCATTATATCAAGTAAAGTCGGATGGAAACGCCGAGGTCGAAATGGAGATGGAAATGAAGTGAAATCGAGTGGAACGATTAGAATGATTGGAAGAATAGAAACCGGATTGGGTCTTTTTGAAGTAATCGAGGTAACCTTATTGCACCATTTTAGGTTTGTCCCGTCCACCGTAATACTAAATTAGCTTTAGCGCAATTGACGCTTGGACTTTCATTTCTTGTGACGGATGTGATGGATGGGATGAATGTTATAGAAAAGTTGGAATGAATTAGTAGGGATGAAGGTCTTGCAGTTGGTAGGCGCGGGAACAGATAATGAAATATGAGATGAATTTGAGTAATGAAGTGATTTGTATGAAGATGAAGATGAAGATGGGGAACGGACTTTAAAAATAAAATACTAGTCATATGAAAGCCTTGAAGTATTAATATTCTATTGAAATATGTTGAGCTTCTCAAAATGTTTGTATTACATGAAGTCCCAACAACATAACCTTAGAGACTTTGGAGTTCAGTGGAAAACTTCACTTCCTCAACAGGACATGTGTATTCATGATCTCCAGTCATGAAGAGCCAACGAGACTAGGAAGATTTAGCTGACGTGATGACGAAAGGGAAGGAAAGAGTGCGATGAGGGTATTGATAAGTGGATGGTTGATGATGTATATGGAGATGAAGATATAGAAACTGATATATCTTGTCTCGATTGATGATGAATGGAGAATATCTATCTCCTTTGCTCTGCTGCCTTTTTTCTGGGGATAACCATTCCCTTAATCGGAATGATTACAAAACAACAGAAGGAAACTCTTGACAATGCCTTGATCGAGACGTTTGATCAGCAGCCACTTGACCCTCAAAGTCATAGATCTTATTCCATTCTTCCCAAATCACCATGAAACTTTCAGGTTGGTGAAGAGCCGAGGGAAATTCAGACAACGAGAGCAAGTTGGATGTTTTCCCATAAAGTCCTCAACTGACACACATCCATGTCTGTTTGAAGAGAGAATCGAGTGAGATGAACTACTAGGACATCGCATTAGCACATGGTACTAGCATATACAATTTTCACCCAGTAACATGGCATGTAGACATCTGGAAAGATAATCTATCGCCAAAATCGACAAAATGGCCAAATCCCCCTTTTTCATCAATTCATCACATGTGACGACGGTTGAAAGGATTCATGAAGGTCAGAGAAGCAAACAATCAGTACCTAGGTAACAAGATCTTACTCCGTACATGGCACATAAAACGAAAGGATCCACCAAAGAATGGTCGCCTTATGATTGCTAATTGAAGTGACACCCACGCAGCACCTACCAACTTTTAAGATGGCAACCTCCGTATGCATGAATAAATAATAAATTATGCAAGGAGATTGATTATATTGGATGTTGACGCTAAAAGAGAGACAAGCTCACAGGTTTGCAGTAAGGTTATATGTGCTGGGTAATGTACCGGGTACCGTACGACATTTTCCCGGGAATAACCTCGGGGAAAGGAAAGGACTTGAGTTTTGAATGGAAATTGGGATTATACGGAGGACGAGAAGAGAAGAGAAGAGAAGTTGAGTGTGTGGTCAGAGCACAATCGAGTCTGTGAGTGAGGTGAGGGGAAGAAATGAAAAAGATTATTAGTGAGTTATGTAATGGAGTTATGACGAAAGGTTGATTCTGAGTAGGACTGGAAATGAAGTAAGACGTGGATATTTATATATGCCTCTCGATATACTCATGTATAATAAATGAATATAAAAAGTCTACCATCTTTCAATATCACTCACTTACTTAACATACAAACAGATATTGGAATAAAAACAACAACATGAATAATCATCATACAATACAATAAATAAGGAATGCATTCGGACAATCGGAAATCTCATCAATTCCAATCACAGCAGGGTTCATATGGTAACGGAAGCGAGCTGAGGGAGAAATGCGGAAAAGGAAAAGAAAAATTTAAATTTAGCTTATCGACTGCGTTTCTCGTACAGCAAGCAACACAGCAAAGCAAAGTAACAAGCTTTTGAGAATCATCATCACATTACACTCCATTTCATACCCATTCAAGGACGAACGAAAACTTGTGCACTCGTCCTCATCCTCCTGCTCAAGTCCACATCACAAATTCAATCACTGCACCTCAACCCTCTTATCTTTCTCGACGTCTCTATTAACAAAATAGAGAAGCAGGATCGTCGGTTACGTCACACGATACAATCATTTCATTCATTCCACGCATTCATCCATCAAAAGATTCCTCACGCGATCATATCGAAAGCTTTCATGGAGCTCCAGCGAACTTAAATCAACAAAACAAATCTCATCGAAAATATCCTCTGGAGCGAATCCACCACCTGGAACATCTTGATCGTCAACTGCTCATGTCATTTCAATATGGCATTCAATTTCAACTGGTCGCCTTTAACGGCAGATGCGGAATTTTATCAAAGAGCTCAGGAAATGCTCACGGCAGCTCTCAATAAATCACCAAAACCTCCGATTATAAAGGATGATATTCTAGTCAATGAGTTAAACTTGGGTTCGGTACCTCCAGATCTGGAAATATTAGAGATTGGGGATTTGGCAGAGGATAGGTTTAGGGGTATCTTTAAGATGTGCTATTCTGGAGATGCTTTCTTGACTTTGAAAACACGAGTTCAGGTATGTTTGTTACTGTCATCATCATCATCTTCTTCATCATCATCATCATCATCATCATCATCATCATCATCAACAACACCACCTCATATGACATATCTTGACGCACATCCCCTCCACTGTCCCACTTTTGGATGAACATTTTGTCACACGATAAAATGAGGTGTCATTGCAGAATTCTCGGCGCGCATAGAGGGGATTTCGCGTTCCATTTTTACCACCCGACGCATATCACACGCTTAACATGGTTATAACACATGGCTAACAAATCAACCTAGGCTAACCCGCTGAATAATCATTTATTCTCAAAACCGTCATTCACGTCTCCACAACCCCTCGCGGCAGATGCGGGTCTCACGATTCCATTGCAAATCACCTTGTCAGAAATCAAACTATCCGCCTTCATCATAGTGGTATTTTCCAAGCAGAAAGGATTAACATTGGTCTTCCGAAATGACCCACTTGAATCTCTCAAGGTCTCTTCCACTTTCGACTCGATACCATTCATCAAGGATTATTTACAGAAGGAAATTGAACAACAGTTGAGGACCTTGATGATGGATGAGTTACCTGCTATTATTCATAGGTTGTCATTGAGATTATGGTGTCCGGAATATAGAGGAAAGGAAGATCAAGAGATGGCTGAAGTTGCAAAGAAAACGAAAGACGAAGTAGCCGTTGATCCATTTGCAAGCCCACCACAAGATGCGGTCGATGCACGTGGAAATGTTCTAGATGCAACCGAAATATCCAATTTATCATTAGATGGTGGGTCAGAGATCCACTCACTGTTCTCACAAAAGAACCTTCTTAGGTTGGCCGCACTCACAAACTCTCATCGAACTTTGTCACTTTTCACTCCTTCTATTCGAGATGCTGTCTTTCGAGCATGGGCGCCATCAGAAAGAGGTGATTCGGCTGGAACAACTACACCTGCAACTACTTCACTTCACAGACCACAATCATCCCTTGGAGGTCAAAGCACTACCTACACATTTTCAAATAGAAGTTCTGATGATGGACATGGTGGTATGCCATCTAGACCATCATTGGTCAACATGAGTTCGGCTACAACAGGATTAAGCCTTGGTGCGAATCGAGGTTCGAGGTCACACACCACAAGAAAGAAGAAGAACAGAGTGGTGAACTTGAGAAAATCTAAAACTACAGATGATGTTAGCGAGAGTGGCGAAAGTGAAACTGCTTCAATAACTGCAGCATCTGAACCAATCGTTCCATCCCGTATTCCAGAAGAGCCGGAAGATATTCCTGTCACTCCACCACCCGGAAAGGTACGATTTAATAGTATCGACCTTGGAGATTCACCAAAGAAACTACAACCATCTCGTTCTATGACCCCAGAACAAGGAAACATGAAACAAATTCCAACACTCACTGTGGAACCTTCTACTCCAATCCATTCAGCAAACCAGAAGCGTCCCGCTTACAATCAATCAAGCTTTACATCATACATTTCAGAGAAGTCAGCAACTACTCCACCACATACACAATTCTCATATCCACATGGTCTTCACTTCTCTGCAACTGAATCGCCATCTGGAATTCTTGAACAAGCCTGGATTATGAAGATGGCATCTGAACTAGCTCGTCGTCGACATGATGATAAAACTGCTCGTGAAGGATTTTGGTCTACATCAAGCAATGGTGATGATGCTCCACCTGCTTATGAACCTAAAGCCTTGTAATGTAGGCTATATTACATTCAACGACACACACGTGTACAACATCTCACCTCTTTCTTTTGTTCAACATTTTTACAGGAGTATGATGGGAAAATAATGGACTTTACGAACACTCCACTCTTTTGTGTTTCTGGAAGTACCTAATATTGATAAACTTTGGTGCTGCGATTTAGCGAGTTTTTTTTCCCAACTGGACAAAGAAAGGGCTGTACCTCATGGGAGGTTTGGCCTGATTTGAATGAATGGTTTGGTTTTGGTTAGGGTTGGTGGGGGATTAGGAATTGATCTCGAGGGTGATTTTCGGTAGCAGGTTTACAAAAGTTGGTTCTTGGGGTCTCTTTCGTCTTTGAGCGATTTGGTAAAATGGGGTTGTAGAGTCCTGATTTTTGAGTGGTGATATTGTGGAAGCAGAGAAGTCGATGGTGTTTTTGAATTGTATATACATGGGACTTTATGATTCCCTCCTTTTCTTACAGATCGTTTTGGGCGATACTTCTCAAGAACTAACGAATTTCTTTTGTCTTTTGCCGTTCGCTGTCTACTTTTTACAATTGGGAGAAATAGAGAAGAGAAGAGAAGAGAAGAGAAGAGAAGAGAAGAGGGGAAAAGAAAGAGGATGGGGTTAGAATAAATGTTGAGTATAGTTAAGTTGGAATTAGATGAAGATTGAGATTGAGATATCTTGTGTTTTTGTATATTTGTTTTGGTATCATTTAAGTGTTTTTTGTATGATTATTGAATGAGAATTGAAAAGAGTTTGAGGAAATCTTGAGGGATAAGACTAATTAGATGAGAGGAGATAATTAAATAAATATAAGAAATATTTATTTTTAATTTTAATTATGTTTTAATCTTTCTTTTATTATATTTATATTATAACCAAATCTTGAAGACTTATTTGTTGAATTCTTTAATTTATTAATTTACTTTATATATACATATATATATTTATTCATCCTTTTAATAATAATTATTAATTTATTTTATATAATATATATTTTATATATATTATTAACTCTTTTATTTTATCAATATATATTATTTTTATATCTTATTTATATTATTCTTTTCTCTATTATTCTTTCTCTCTTTCCTTTTCTATATTTTATATCCTATACTCTATTCTTTCCTCCTATCCTGTCCCTCCCTCTCTTCTCCCTCTTCTATCCTTTACATTCTAAACTCTATCCTCTAACCTTATATTCCAATCTATTTATTATAACAAAACAATTATATATATATAATTTTCAAAATCAATAAATAAATATATCTAAATATATTATATTGTATTGATTAATCTATAATTTTTTTAAAAAGTAATTGTTATTGATTATTATTGTTTGATTATTAATAAATAGTTTTCTTAATATATATATATATATATATGTATGTATACTAATGACTACTCGAGTAGTAGCCTATGTATCAGTAATGCCTTTGATTTTTGTTTATTTTTATTGCAACTTGAGATTTCTTAGCTGTGATTAACCTAGGTTATCGGTTATTGTGTTTTTTTATACTGCATTTATTGCTTTATTCTGGTTATGGTTGTTACATCTCGATTGTATGAATAGTGTGAGCATGAATAGCAGTTTAGCAATATAGCGCCATGGTGGATGCAATGATGTAATGTGCCCACCTAAGTGTGATAAATGGTCGAGGGAAGTCCTAACATTTCTTACGCACGTGTAAATATGAAGACGGTCAAAACTATCTCCCACATCTAGAGATACTTCCCAAGTCTAACCCAATTGTGATTTCATTTCCATTTCCCACTCACTTCATCATCAAAACATCTTCCTCATAATTTCTCCAATTCTCCCTTTAACCTCTTTAACTCCTCCTCCTTCTCCCTTAACTCCTTCCTCAACTTCTCATTCATAACATCCACCTTCTTCTTCCCCTCCATCAACTTCTTAACCTCCGCCCTCTCTGTATCCCTACTAAATGGCTGACCTGGTCTAGGCGTCAAAGGAATAAACACCGTTCTCTCCCCCACACTCCCCACCATCCCTCCCCTCATCGTTCTCGTCGCTTTTCCCTTCCCTCCATTATTCTTCTCCCTCGGCATGGGATTCGTCAAAACCTCATAGAATTGTTCATAAGGTTCATTGAACACCATTTCATCATATACCCAAGATCGTACCTCATTATCGCGAACCTGCGCTATCTGTAATTGTTCATCTCCATATGGTTCTAACTGTAAACGATGCCAGAAACTTTGAGCTTTTTCGTTCGCGATGGGATCGTAGTAGATTTTGATTTGGATGTCGAATCCACCCCATCCTGTTTCTGTTACTTGGAATGGATCGCCTGGTTTAACATTTTCAATTACTATAATCATCAAGTACTATTAGTCTCATATCTCCAAGATCGCATACTCGAAACACAGAGATCTTAGGCATTGGCGCAAAACAAGAACAGTCGCGCAAATACAAACACAAGATAATCATACCTCTCAAATGCTGCGGATAAGTATCATGTAATTTAAACTGTACTTTCCGACACCAATAAGTAATATCCGTATCATCCACCCCCTTTACAAATACAGTCCACTGATGCGTATGTTCCTCTGGAGTCCCCTCTGGCTTTGGATATTTCGGACTGAATTTATGCGATGTGGTACCATATACAAAAGGTCGAAAGATCGAGACACCTTTTATACGTTTTTGGGTATTTGGGGGGGCCATTCTTTGATAGATTAGGGAAGGTAAGGTAGAGTAGAAGTGAGCGTCGATGTTGATGAGGGGTAGTTGAAAATTAGATGGAGCTACTAATCTAGACAGTTAGAGTTGAGACGGCGTCAAAAGACATGATTAGAGATCGAAAGTTCAAATGCCAGGCAGGGTTCAATTTTAGTTTAGCATTTAAGGTTCGAGTTAGCTTATGCCGTACAGCGTACAGTACAGTACAGTATAGGCTAGCTAGTCCAGGCTAAACTAGTACTGGAATGTACTAGAATTTGAGTGGTCAATGCTTTAAAGTACTGACGTCTATGGGATGGGCCTTTAAACAAGGCTTGGGAGAATCATCTATCATCAGATGTTTCCCTTTTCATCCTTCATTGTTACCACATTTTATAGTTGATATTGGCTGAAAGGATACGATCTGCATATCTGGATATGTCTGCGACTAAGCGATTGGTAGTTTGCGGTGGAAATGGGTTTTTGGGTTCGAGGATTTGTAAGTCCGCTGTTGCGAGGGGGTGGGATGTTACGAGTATTAGGTATGTAGGAAGTTTGGTTCCAGCTTGGAGCTACCATTTCTAGGTCTTTCGTCTTTCATTCACAAACTACTCCTTGCAGTTCTTCTTCTTCTTCTTCTTCTTCTTCTTCTTCTTCTTCATACCTAGTATTAAACCCACAATACTAACATCACTCCACTCTAGTCGCTCCGGCGAACCAACCTGGTCCTCCGTCACATCCTCTCCCACCCCACCTCCCTGGTCTCACAAAGTAACCTGGGAACGCGCCGACATCCTCAAACCCTCCACCTACGCTCCGCTCCTCAAATCCGCCGACTACGTTGTGCACACCATGGGAATCCTCCTCGAAGCCGACTACAAAGGCGTAATCTCAGGAAGGGAATCCCCCATCTCCGGTCTCACCCGCGCATTCTCTTCTCAAAAATCCGGTTCTCAAAATCCCCTCACTCGAAAACCAGGAGAAGATCTACAACCGCAGGAAAAAGATGGTCAAATAACCTACGAACTTATGAATCGAGATTCCGCAATCACATTAGCATCTGAATCATACAAGGAGAATGTTCTCGCTTTTGCGTATATAAGTGCTGCGGGTGGAGCACCCGTTCTGCCAAAGAGATATATAGATACGAAACGAGCGGCAGAAAGTACCATTGCGAGTGAGTTTCCGAAGATGAGAAGCGTGTTTATTAGACCTGGGATGTTGTATGATAGTTCAAGGAAGATTACTGTGCCGTTGGCTGCGGCAACAGGCTTGGGTGCTGCTTTTAATGGGCTCACTGGAGGAATATTTGGAGGAATTATGGGGGCCGCAGGAGTTAAACCTTTAAAGGCTGATGTGGTTGCTGAGGCTGTTGTTGAGGCTTTGAGTGATGAGAATGTGAAGGGTCCTGTTGAGGTTAAGGAGATTGAGCAATTGGCTGAGAAGGCTTGGAGAAAGGGTATGTTATAAATGAGTAATGATCAAAAATTGCCTGTTTTGGCTTTGTATTTTATCAGACTATGAAGTCTATGAACAAACTCCGCATAAACTATCCACCCAATTCTAATGTAATTATATAGCTGTGCCACGCTCAAAACTATCCCTAACTTCCGCAGTGTACTAAAGAATGTTAGTAGATGCAGAAAACGAGAAAGAATAAAACCCGTGCTTACCTTGTTGTAAAACCTCGATAACTTCTGGTTAAACTGCTTATTCTTGTCATTAATATAAGTAACATCCCCGTCCTCTCCATTGGCCGCATTCCTCGCTCTCTGTTTCTTCAACCTCGCCTCCTCTGCCTGCTGCAAATCCTTCACCAATCTATCCACAGCTGATTTTTCCGGTTTATGTTCCACAAAACCCGTCGAATCCGCCGTGCTGTAAAATGTTCCATCCTTATCCACAGCGACCAACTCCCCATCATCAGTTTCCACAATTTCTAGTCCTCCTGAAGCAGCAGCCCGTTCTACAGCAGCCATCTTCTCTTTCTCGTAAAAATCCATATCAGGTTTCAAATCACGAATTTGTCGTTTGTAAACTTTTCGACTATCCTGTCGATAATCCTGAAATGCTTGATCATCCCTATGTGCTTCTTTTTTCTTCAACCGCTTATCCCATTTCTCACTTTCTTCGATAGTCCAATCCCAAGCTCGTTTTCGCTCGAAATCTTCGCCTGCTGCTTCAGCATCGGCTTTTAGTAAATTGTGGGATGCGATGGCGGATTTGCGGTTCAAGGAGGTTAGAAGATTGGGATCGGTGGCTAATCGTTGTGATTCGAGGGTAGCCTCCTTCAGATTCTTTTGAGCGGAGGATTTGGCGCGTGCTTGAAGGGCTTTGAATCGCTCTTGGCGTTCTTTGGCTTTCGCGGCGGCGTCTGATGATGATATTGAAGTAGCAGTAGATTGTTCGGGTTCCGTAGCTTTCTCAGGGATAGGCTCTGATGGTGTGTCCGTTGGTTCTGCACTGGTGATGGTATCAAGTGGTTGCACTTCTTCTGACGATTCAGCTGTTGCGCGTGTCTTTCTCTTCTTTGCTGGTGGCATATTCGGGAATTTTGTGATAGTATGTGTTTAGAGGTAAATATCGGATTCTGATTGTGTTTTTGTTGTAGAGAGACTTCGAAATCTTGATTTACGTTGGGCTATTGCGAAATGTGCTGATGATTTAAATTGTTGTCGTTAAGAGAAGACGGACGCTGCTGTACTCCGTAAAAGGTGTCTTGCTGACTAAGATCATTTATAGACTACTTTACCCCGGATTTACTTGAGCTAAAGGTTAGCGGAGCATTCAATACTATTATCAACGGCATCAATCTAGAACCATTTCGACTATTATTCTCCTAGTCTCGTTTATTTAAAAGAGACAAGTCTAGACTTTGTATTTGTTTCAATTTCATAAAGATGAACTGTCAAAAAGGGATATTGCCATTGTACCGGCGTATTATCAAGTCCTCCAACTCCCCCGCAATCACCAAACTCACCAAACGATCTAAAGGATACAAAAGCGAAGAACCATTTGTCCTCCCAAGGGTAGTAATTGATCTTGATGCTCCTGAAAACCCCGCTGTACGCGACTACGATGCAACAGAAGACAATATCCTAACACCTTTCCAACAACAAATCGTCCGATCAGCAGATAAAGCCATCGCTAGAAGAACCAAACTAGTTCGCAAACAATTGGACGAAAAATTAGTGGGGTTTCCTCGCAAGGGAGGTAAAAAAAATCAACATATCAGAGATGATGCTTTAGAGCATGAGTTAGCGTATAACCCAGATGCCTCACCACCAACTGTTACGGCGGTGGATCTTATGACGTATGCACTACTTGGGAATCCATTCACAGCTAGGGGATCGAAAGAGCCGACTCATATGAGGGATGTACATATGGAGAGATTGTTCATGGGTCATAGTATTGATTTTAAGGATACGGCGAATATGACGATTAGGGCTTTGACGGAGGATTTTGATATTTCGACGGATGGGCAAGGTGAGGAGAATGTTAAAACGGAGCAGAACCGAGAAATTGCGGGAAGGAGGAATAAAAGAAAGGAGGAGCTGGAAAATGAGGAGCAGAACATTGAAAAAGGAGAATAATGAGGCACACACAGTGAATAGAAAAAGGAACTGTAGCTTTGGATATTGAGAGGATGACCGCGAAGGGCGTTGAATTCACGATCCTGTGGAGTCTCAAGAGTAGCTCAAGAGGTCATCGAGTCAGGCATCCGCAACTCAGATCTGAAATTTCCCACCCTGTTGAAGTTTGTGAGCAGATCACCAAACGATGAAGGGGGATGAGCCATGGAGTGGCATGAGATTTAGGCTGATGCGGCTTCAAAGGGAAACTATGTAGACTTTGGTTGTCGTGAGACCTACCTGAACTTCAGCTAGTCTGGTACTGACACCCAGAAACAATAAGTCTATACCAAAGAGAGTCTTTATGGGTCATATAATCGTTGACTAATTATAGTAATTATGGTGAGATTCATCCATTTCATCTAAAAATTTAAGTTTTGTTTCTACGTATGTATGAGTGAGCCGAGATGTGCATCATGCACAAGGACATCTTATGAGAAGCCCATGAGCTCTGTTAAAAGGAAATCTTTTGTACCGAGGACACAGAAGTCATTTTATATGATAAGTTGTTATGAATAATAGCTCCAAACGTTCATAAATGCACAATTTCTTCGCCTGCCAAATCCCTAGCTCGTCTACGAGGCTTGGCGAACTTGAGCGAGGCAGCGGAAGGTTTTGCATCTACCTACTTAAAAGACTTTTTAATTCATATTTTGAACCTTAAAAATAATACTCTTCACCCAGCATTTTTTTTTCATTCTGTCTTTACGGTAAACTTAGATATATCATTAAAATCAAACAAGTCGCCTAGACTCCCCTGCGCTCTCTCGAAAATCCTAAGCCAGAAACCACCATCGTTAAATATTTCCAAGACCTTTACACCGAACCCAAATATTTTCGTACATTCAAAGAAGAATGATTAAATCACCCAGTTTGTGAATTCTTCCTGTTAGCGGCCGCCCTATCAGCCTCGTCATGCATATCAATGTTACCCCTTATTCACATAGCCTTACCTGAATCCATGCACCTATATCTAATCCATGCATTCATCATATGCATATCTTAACATCCTGGAACCTTACCTCAAGGCTGTGGCTAGGATACTAAGATCTGCACGCAGAAGCTGAAATGTGGGGCTTTTGGGCGTTTTCCCCTCCCATAATGCTAGCTTTTAAACCATAGAATTATTCGGTTTTTGTGAGTCTGGTGATAGAAGATATGGTGGGGGATTCTGGGGTATGAGATGGTGGATGTGTAACTATAAGTCGTAAAGCAAAATGGGGAGACGAGAATAACGAAAACGAAGGAAACGTCGATTGATATGATATATATGATATGCAGTTTGCTTTTCTTTGCAATCCTTGTCTCGAGTGGAAACCCGGGTTAGTATATGCGGCGCAAAGATGCCGGGGTATGTTACGGGTATAACACCATTTACAGGAAGCATATGCATGTACCATGCAGTCATCATGTTGCAGATGCATGTCATCAGAGAATTATTCAAGGAGGTTGCTTAGGATAGCAAGATCTAAGTCAAGCTAGCATTGAAGATCAACCAATGGAAGAAGATTTGAATGATGTGCGAGAAAGAAATCGTATTTGCAGATATAAAGCCATAAATTGTAACAGTTTGATGTATGAACAAGTGACTGCAGGAAAATTGATCGCTGGCAGGGACAGAGATAAAGTGAATATAAACAAACGTGAAAATAAACTTTCGTAACCTCGTTATCAATACTCGAAATCAGATCCCAGCTGAGAGAATAGAATTGACGGAAAAGGATTTGGGACTTGGAACCAGCAGAAGAGATGATATATATACAGAATCTGGAACCAGTAGAAGGGAACATATTTCCGGATATCCAAAGAAAACAAAAAAAAAAGTTAGGGAAAAAACAAAGCATAGGCATAAAGCCTTGACACTGTTGCTGAAATGTCTTGATATCGATCGTGACTTCGTTACTCATGAAAAAGAAACGAGAAATAAATACGCAAAACTCATATCAAATTCAAATAGAAAAATAAATCCTTGGAAGATCCGACGAGGGCGCGCCATCATCAAGCTTGGCCTGCAAAAAATGGCACTAAGGGGTAAACCGAGTGGACCCTGAACGTATGACAATCGAGAAAGCCTAGACCTGTTAGCTAAAAATTACTTTTCGCTAAATGGACTCACAAGTTGCTAATTAGCTCTGGTCATCGAAATAGCGCGTTGGATCATCGACATCCCCGCTACCGTACCTATGATTGGACTGCAGATTGTAGTATTGCTGGTTGGTATGAGGCGTATATGAGGGGTATTGGGAATATTGAGAGGGGGGATATTGCGAGGTGGAATATTGCGAGGGGATGTTGCGAGGAGGGATGTTGCGACGGGGATGTTGCGACGGGGATATTGCGACGGGGATATTGCGACGGGGATATTGCGAGGAGGGATATTGCGAGGAGGGATATTGCGAGGAGGGATGTTGGGACGGGGGATATTGCGACGGGTGATATTGTGACAGAGAATATTGCGACGGGGGATATTGTGAGGGAGGATGCTGCGATGGTGGGTACGATGATGGAGTGTACTGTGTTGGGAGGTTTTGCCTCGCAGCACTGTATCCACCATCCAAATTGGAACTACTGGAACCCGTGTTGTGTCCTGTCCCATAAGAAGGTGTTGACTGGGACGTAGTGTTGCCATAGGACGGGATATTAGGCTGATTTGAGAAGGTGGGATAGCCAGTGATATTTGAAGAATTGCCTGCCATAGCACGAGGAGAATTGCTGTAGGTTGGATTATTCTCTGTGTATGAGCCTGATGCAGATGGTGGAGTTGATAGACGCAATGGTGGGTTAGCTTCATTATAAGATCTTGCTACCGTCTTTTCGAAATCTTGATGGACATGACCGATGAACCAAACCTTAACATTATATTCCACAGAACAGACTTTACGATAATTAAGTCTTGACGACGCTTCCAGGTGATGTCTTGTGTTGTCTGGTATCACTTTGATAGGCCGATACACCATTTTATTACCGTCCTCGCCTTCAACCAATTTCGGGTATGGTGTGGTGTAAATTATGGCATGCTCTTCAGGATGTACTCCGGGTTTAGTTGTCCCCCTCTTTCTGTAAGACATGATCGGCCTGACTTCACTGTTAGTAATATCACAAGAGCATGAGGAGGGATGAAAATAAATACCTACAAGCAAAGACAGTGACCTCGTCTGTGATCTATGATAACAAACCTCCGAACTTTTGCATACAAATCTTCGCCATGCTTCTGTCGTCTGACCGACGTCATGGTCCCTCCACGGGCTTCACCAGACGGTTCAGACCAAAGGACCTTGAAGACCTGCTCAAGTTAGTGTGCAGTTTGATAAATTGGTGATGAGAACAAAAACCTACTCTCCCAAACTTAAATTCTCGTTTTTGGTGCACTTTATAGTCTATCATAATTTAGTGGCTAAATACATCTTCGGCATTGAAGACACTCACTTGGATCAAAGTCCGTATGCTCAGTGGAGGTGTTGGCTATTTCAAGCTTGGCCACAATAGGTGGATCTACATTGGCTATTGAAGTCAAAGTAGTCGCCGCCATTGAATTGGTTAAAGATCCAACATCGTTGTTGCCTGTAGTGTAGTTGCGATCCACTGAATATTGAGTAGTAGTTGCAGAAACTGGTTCCAGCGGGGAGGTATCATCAAACCTCGGGACATTTGAACCAGCGGATGCGCCAGAAGTAGACTGAACAGAACTGTACCTCCATTCCTTCTTACCCCTAGCATTAGTGCGAAATGATTCCCACTTTTGCGTTTTATTATTCAGTTTCCACTCGCTCCATAGATCAGACCCTCTAGACCTTCTTTGAGACGTAGAAGAAGACATCACCACACATTATGTATTGTGACATGGGAATAGCTCAAGATGCGGACCATGCTATTAGGGATTTTACTTGCCTTTATGGACGGAGAATAAGCATCTATCCATTGTGGCTTCAATGCCCAGAAAGTGCACACCATTTCAAAATCCTCGAGGTAACTTCAAAGGTTGTGACAAGAACCATTGATGAATCGCAAATACGATTGGTACGATTGTCGGGAGCCAGTAGGTTTTTCGAAAGTAGTTGCATATTGGGCGGGGTTATCTAATCGCTTGGTTTAATATATTATACTTGCTAGATAATGGTTTTGCCGCTTTAACATTTGAATTAAAAAGACAGTGGGGGTCTAATTTAGATTAATCGATTGATCTTTCCCATGGTACTCCGTACAATCTTGGCTAATTACGCATGGATTTTTGCATATGCTTGTACAAGAATGTACACTACACAATCAGCCTCATTCCACTCTTATTCGCCAAAGTGGTGGCCCACGTAGCGAAGAATATTTGGAAACCCTTAGCGGCCTTTGCCATGTCTTAATATCGGCGTTTTATTTCAGCCTCATGAATTTCAGCTACAAGACACTGCGTTCAGAGCAAGATAGACCTTTTGTAACCGGGACTTTCGATCGAGAGAAGTGATCAGTTTGAAGCCATACGGATGCGGACAGTAGTCAAACCTCTTAGCTGGGACCATGGGCGGCAATTTGGCATCCGGCGGGAGGAAAAAAGCTCTTATGATCAAAACACATTACAAGTGAAGGAGTTCAAAATAAATTACCGAAGAAGCCAGAAGCCCGGCCCCTTTATATCGATGGATCCTACTTTTCAGAGGAGATGCCAATACAGCCAACCGCCACATAAACTGAGAGCGCGCCGGAAGAGACAGAAGCCTTATATCACGACGGAAGCAGATATTGAAAAGCGAAGCTGCTCAGATTCTGATCAAGATGGTGAATCTAGAGGGTTGTACGGACCTAGCATCTCGTTCGCAATAAAGAAGGAGCGCAACCGTGGAAGTCTCCCCAGCTCGAGCTCAACACCACGTGTCCAAAGCTGTGCGGAGCCACAGGAGTCTCAACATTCAGAAGCAACAGATAACTTAGTACGCACGAATCAGTCATTGAGTGGGTTAGGCAACAATAATTTCCAGACATTTGAGTTCAAATCTCAAGATCCAAAAATATCACCAGTTACCATGCATGGCATTGCTTGCATGGACGATTCTCGACCTATTAGGCAACTCCGCAAGACGGCAACGCACCAGGGGCCACTTGTACATGCTAGTGCACATATTCGACCGCACTCTGTTCCAAAATCTACAAGACGATTTTCCGACCCAAGTCACGTGTACGGGAAAGTTCTGTCCCTCGGATCAGAGATTTCCCCTGTGTCCAGTCAACCTGTTAATCAATCTTCTTTGAGTGATAAGTTTTCCCCTGGAGAGCCGCACGACTATGCTAGTAGCGCCGATGAAATGAGCCATTTATCAAGAAGGGCGGATGTACCGACTGCACATAAAAACGTCGAGTCATCACCCAGACACATCGAAGATAACTCTTCTATGTTTGAATTTTCTATCTTGTACAATCAATGGAGATACATTTCACGGATTAGGACTCATGTACAAACACTTCGCTTCAAACTTCAAATCAAGCGCCGTGAACTACGTATTCTGCAAAGAGAGAAATCTCTTGCAGAAGATGCATATTTTAAACAAGTTCAAATGAGGGAGTTAAATATGCCCTTTCCCCGCGCATGGTGGTCTGAAAAGACTATTGCAGAGCTACTGAACGATTCCCAGAAAGCCAGAAATGAATATGGTTCCCTGGAAGATGAATACATTCAGATTGAGGATGATCTAGATTCGCAAGAATGGGAACTTTCACAACAGGAAAACCATTTTTACAGTCAGCTGCTAGACCCTTCACGATTTTTTCGCGGGCCAATAAATTCCGAATATGCAGCGAAATCACAGGACGAGCCGGAGCATTTCGAACCCCATCCGTTGGTGGACGCATATCTTCTGAAGCTCGGAGGTCTTGATAACCTACGTGAAAGCTTCGATGAGACTTTGGATGAGAAGTTAGACCTCGAAGAACAACTAGCTGTCAGAAAGCGATTTAATATGACCCTTATGCCCGAAGATCAGCAATGGCTTGACAGCTCTCAATCTCAATTGGATGATTTGGCCTCTAAGATTCAAGTCGCGGAGACGGAAGAGAGAGAATTACGACAGCAGTGCTTGTCATTGGGACTTATAGATGAAAATTGCAACCCAATAGAGCCATCAAAACATGAGCGACATAGTTTGTCGACAGACACAGCTCCAGAAACACTCGAGAATCCTCGAGAAAGTGTTCAAATTCTCTCACTATTGCCCCCAGAGCCGAGCGACATGGAGATTGGCATAAAGGCATTAGACTTTGGTCACAACTACTCATCACGGAATGAACGCTTTGACCGCTGGTCACTAGAAAAGCTCCAGGTTTCTCTTCTCGAGATCAATATCTATGCAAATTGCTTCGAAAATTACGATGATTTGACAGATTTAAGCAAACTGAAGGAAACGGTCCACGACGACGATTTTGTTACTGCCTGGTTTGCCGATGGCTTCACGGATAGTGCATCAAGATCTACGGGCTTTACATCCATTCATTCGACTCCACAGCACATCCCTTGTGCAAATTTAGATAGCAAAGTTTCTCCATATGATTCTGTATTTTCTAACGCACCTCATAGTGAATCAGATCATTCAAATATCGCTGAGGGGGGATGATAGAGTGTGCTGTACCACTTTCAGATACTGTTCCCACTGGAATCGCTAGGTGATTTATTTTGGCGCTCGGAATCGAAGGCAGGCAATTTTGGCAAGCCTTGTTTATGTTTGTGTTTATGTTTATTCACTTCCCTTCCCTTCTCCCCGGAGACTTTATCGATAATAAAGGGCCTTGGCAAGGACATTCAAAAGGTCGCCTTTCTAGGACATTTCTCCTTGCGAGTTTTTGTTTGTTACTTTGTTTGCACGACTCGTTTTCCAAGCTTTGTTCTTTCTATTCACCTCAAAAATTAATGGTCTATTTTAGCACTTTCATCACAATACTCTCTCTAAATCTTTCCTTTGCAATGGTGGTCAGTGACATAGCCAATGATAACAATTTCTCTGTCGGTAATGGTTGGATTCAACTCTGCTCTGTCTTCAGTCTGACATAAATGTGCTATATTAGTCAAAAATAACTGACAGCCTATTCCTTAAGCCTTAGATATTCTTTTTTAGCTATATATGCCAACTAAGCCCACTTGAAGAAATAATCAGCAAGTAAATTAAGCAGTAAGCACGGCAAACTGTATGTACATTTTCACAGGATACCCCTTTTTTCTTCACATCTAGTGAAGAAAAACCTTTGGTCTTACCACACCGAATGAAACATCAGCCTATGGACCTCCCCATCTTACATACACGCAGCATATACTCGTGGAAAATATCAGCTAATACTAGCCCCCCCACCCGGACCGTTCTATCCGGCACTGTATGCGCCATCCCTAGACATCGAATATCTCAATTCTGCGTTACGATATGTGTGAATGTAGTACAACAATGAAAGTTGCCCTACTCGCCAGATCATGCAAATTGTAGTCAGGATATAGGGCGATATACGACCTTTTGGTCCAAGTCTAAGCTCACTTGGAGCGATTATTAGAATCGCACACGACCGTTCCACAACATCAAGGTCTCACTAAGTATTTGTGTATAAGCATCTAATATTATGCGTGTAGGATAGCAGCAGCTTATTTTGCGTAACTTTTAGGAGGCCTTTCGACGCGGTGGTTGGTTCAAATTGCTGTAGAAATAAGGGACTAACCTGCAGCTTGTGCGAAGGTACAGTATTAACAATTGTGCGCTTATGATTGCTATGTCGAATCACATTCAGAATGTATGTGATTCTTCAAATTGGCATTGGTTTGTTTGGCGTGCATGAATTATGTGTGGCATGCTGGTCTTTTGTGCTCTGAAATGCTATGAAGATTAGTGATTAAATAAAAAGCGCCACTTGTAAGTGACAAAGGACAGCTGTTATCCCAAGCTTGTTGATTTAAGCTTCTAGACTCTGTCTCCCAACTGCTTCACATATATAACTTGGTATTAGTTTCTATCGATACGATCAACGTGTAACAGTGTCGTTGATTGCAGTTTGGGCCCCTATACATTAGCGCAATAGGGCTAAGAATATACGAGAAAGGAGCAAAGAATTATATCAACGATGAATGCAGGAAGCAGAAATATTCTGCCGTCTACATAAAGGAATATGTAGGAATATTTTGAGAGTGCAAAGGCGGTACAGAAGCAACCATTAATTGTTCGATTTGGAGTGTTGATGCAGTAAATAAGCTTAATTATATCCGCGATATCATTTAATGTGCCTTGACAGAAGTTTTGATATTAGAATGGCCGAGAGAGCCATGATGATTGCTCACCGTGAGATAGGCAAAGCAACATCTGATAGCATGGAAAATGTTCAGTGCCTCAGAGCAATTCAATTCCTGGGGTCAAATTAAGTCTAATTGGATCCAGGCAGGGTAAAAGCAGCGGAAATTGAGAATAGTACATAAGTTCTAACAACTTTCATACACCAATTGCAAGGCAGCTGCATAATCACTAGAGTCCTTCACATCGTCTCAAGATCCGGTTATAGAACAACGAGGTAAACCCGAGATATCGGGTCAAGTGAATCACAAGACCAATGGCTAGAAGTAGATGAGGTGTCCGAGTCTTTGCCTATAGCACTGGCTGCAGGAAATTCGAGCTGTACCAATAGAGATTTATCACCAGTCTGTTGTGCAAAACTTTTGTGTCTGGCAGCATCGTGGGATTGAACATTTATGCGACATGTGAAGTGGTGACATTCATTTTGTGCGATGTCGTAGCTATCTGGTACCAATTAGCAGATAGAAGTCGCTTCCAATGGATGAAGAAATCACTACCTTGCACATTTGGGCTTGTCCATGATCTACAAAGTGACGCCGTCATCACAAGTTGAATGAAGGTAAAATGACAATAAGTTTGCTACCCGCAAGATCGGAACTAGAAATCTGGCATACTAGGCATTATGATACATAGGTGGCGAAAGGTATTGAATCTGACAATAGAAACGTCAAGATCACACTTAGAGCGGACAGAAAAGATAATTTTGCTTGGTTATCAACAATCTTTGCTGGTTCGCCGGAATGGACATAAGATTGACGAGTAATTGACTCGCCTCATAAGCTTACCAGAGTCTTCTTTGCTACTTTGCAAAAGTAGATAGGTATATTCACTTGTTGGGGAAATGATAAAGGTACTTCTGCCGCGGAGAAAGAATTAATGTGACGATTGCACACATATCAATGATGCATCAGAGCCCCTCATCCCACGAAACAGAGATATTAAACAGACTAAATCTCGTGTGAGTGGTCGAAATAGTATCCAATTGAACCATCTAAATGCCTGCTGTTGAGTGCGACGACAGCAGGCTCAATCAACACGAGATTTTGAAGTTGAGAAGATGGGATAGGTTGAGTTGCTCCTCCACCTCTGTGAGAATCGTTCGATTCTGTGATTCTTGGCGTGAAGGCAGAACTTTGATTCTCAGCGCGTAGGTATATTCCCTATGTTGAGATGGAGCCACAACAGTGTGGACCAAAGGCTCAGCATGCTTAAACTTGCTTTTCCTCATATTCGATCCAGGATGGTTTTTGGTTTAGATGAAGAAAAAGGAGAAACAGTAAACCTCGGTGCGCTGTGGTGTGATAAGGCGGCGATAAGCAAGGGGCTTTTTCGGCCCCTGTCAGCTTACCACTCCCACCTTCTAAAATCCTTCGAGTGCCTATTATAGGTAACACTCCCCGATTCATCTCGATGTATATCCGTAGACGACATGTGTTTGTTAGATCTACGATTAGTTGAGCCAGTATGATGGGAGAGAGGGCCACGGGAGGGCCCATCCGTCGTTGAACCTTCTGCAAGGCTACCAATGCACCTGGGCCTACCTAGAACTCCACAGACGATGAAGATCAGGTGTATATCTTATATATCATTACGAACATCCTCTAAAAGCTATTGATGGTCATGTAATAGCGTTATCATATGCTGCGCATACGCCACCATTATTAAACCTGAAACTCCCTACTTCCTACTGTAGCTATTTATCGCGCGCAGCCCCCATTATCCTAGTTGGAATACATGGAATGGCATCCTTCCGGGTAGATTGCTCTCCATTGGAAGCTTCATATAGATTTCTACAGGAATTTTTTGTCTGTCATCAAATCTTCTCTTCGTGCATGCACAGCTGTGAGCGGCGCAGATTCGACCCCGCCTTAGCATTGTCTCGCATGCTACATGATGAGCGACTCCGTAAGATTCTGCCCGTTCCAATTCATATCACCAATTCTCTTGGAAGCTTGAGTTGAGAATTGTCACACATAGAAGTATTATTCGCCAATCTGTTTTCACATCTTTTCTTTTGACCAACGATTTTACGTATTTGTGATGCTGTCAGATTCCCGATGATTGATGCTATAAAACCTTGTGTTGGGAAAATGTACAATGATCGTGAAGAAGGCACTTTACGATTTCCGGAATTCGTAAGAGGAGATTTTAATGAGATTCAATTAAGAGAAATACCCCCAACTCCAATTGAATCAAGTTTCGATGTTGAAAGGATACCGAGGGCAAGGGCAAATTCAGCAGTTTCAGATGTTTCCGAGCTCTCAACAGTATCAGTAACAACGGATGCTGAATATCTTGTGACGGAGGGCTCACCATCGCGAAATGTTTCTAAGGCTAGGGGACGGAGCCATTCAAATGAATCGAGATATTCAATCTTTCCCGTCGAGGCACCAAGACGCAAGTCGACTGCTTCTACAAAGACAACAAGAATCACTAGAGAGAGGGCGACTTCTATTGCATCATCAGAATGGTCGACCACTCTCGATGTACCCACACACTCGAAGATTGGAGCCTCAAGAGCCTCAAGAGCTTCGAGGTCCAGCTCTAGTCCTGGTCCACCTTCTAGGTTGCCCTCAAGGTCGAGGGGATATTCGAATCCAGAATACAATAGAACAATTAGTCTTGAAGTACCAGCACGAACAGGTACAATTTCTTCGAGGCCGAGGGGAGTTTCTCATTCTGATTCTATGGCTTCCGCGCGAACATCGATCAGTCGAGACTTTGGAGATCACAGAAGTCTTCTCAATACCGGACATCCACCACCTGCTGTTTCTGAGAATGACCTGATGGCACAATTTGAGAACTATGTAGAGTAAGAGTGCCTTATTCAACAGGGAAGAAGGATTAATAACATATTATTAGTGCAATCAACGGGGTTCCAGCGAGAAGGATAACTCCAAGGCGAGTTATAGCTCCCACAAAGAAGAAGACAAGGTGGATGCAGTTGGACTTTTCTTTTCAGAACCCTTCGCGGAAAAAGCCGAACATATTAGAAGAGGAGACCGAAGCTCCTGATGGTGTTGGGGCTCAACATTGGAAAAACCGCTCTTCCGTTTTATCAGCCCTTATGGGTTCTGTGCTTGTCGTATATATAGTATTTGTCATCTGGGCGTCGCAAAGGTCAGGGAACGGCACAAATATCGGAAGCATATACGACGGAAGCTGTTCCATGGTTAACGCGACAAACTTTGGCTTACACATACTAATCAATGTAATGGGTATGGTAGTCTCCATGGCAAGTGCTTGTGCTCTCTATTTTTTAAGCTCTCCAACGAGAAATGAAATAGATGAAGCCCATGCAAAAGGAAATAGCCTTGATATCGGCGTGTTAAGTTTAGGAAACTTGAAAAGTTTGAAGAAGAAAATCTTGTTTGGGCTGTTGCTGATTTCTTCTATACCCATCCATCTTTTGTTAGTTATTATTCAATGTCATCCACCTTTCACCTGTCGCTAACAGGTAGCAGTTCAAATTCCATGGTATTTGCATCTAATTTGGAGGTCGACTACGACGTTGTTATAGTCAGTCCGCATTTCCTAGTCCAGTCAACCGTAGACTGTTCGCAGGATGTCGCAGCAACATGCAGCGAAATTGATAATCACCCCATATCATGTGAAACTCATCCCCTTAACTTTACTACCTCCAAGGATTCATCGGATCTTTGCAACACCTCCATAGTTTTACATGAAAGTGCAACCCAAAACAAACTTCGGCGCCTCAACACAACCGATTGTCTCACAGCTTACTCAACCCTTTCAAACCCATCCTCAAATTATGGGAATGTTTTGGTAGTAACTAAAAACCAGCCACTATTCACCAACAATACCATTCTCCTCGCATTCCATCATATGACATACTCTTCCGTACTCAGCGGCCATGGGTGGACTTGTGGCCCCGAAGACCCCTTACCAGGGCATAGTATGTGCGATATTTCTAATCTAATCCTCAATGCCGATATCTGGACACTTGGGCCATCACAACTCCCAATCACTTCCAACTCGACATCGCTGGAGTCCTACGAAAGATGGGAAATTGATCATTGTCTCGCTGAGACATTGCCAGACCAGCCCATGTGCAAACTACAGTATAGTCGCCTAATATTGTTATGTATAATTATCGCATCGGCGGTGAAATTTATCTGCATATTATTTATAGCAGCCAGCATGAACCAGACAGTTCTTTCGACGGTGAAAGATGCTGTCACCTCGTTTCAAGGGCGCACCGATGCGGTGACATCAAATAGAAATTTCATCCATCGCAACTCAGCATGGAAGTCCAAAGATGGACTACTGATCCTAGAACCGGAAGTGGAGGGAAGACCAAGGAACTTACGGTGGTTTCATGGAGCTAGCTTGCCACTGTGGATTGCTACTCTCTTCTTGTAAGTAGACTCCTGATTGCTTGAAAGATTATCTAACCACATGTACAGAGGCAGCATCCTTCTAGCTATCCCGCTCATTCTCCTCACCATCGCCACAGTTCCTATTCCCAATCCCTATTCAATCAGCCTTGGAAGCTATTCGCCTCTCGCAATCATAAACATTTTCCCCTGGTCTAGCAAATCTTTTGTTCCTTTCACCCAGATAACAAACACGCAACTCTTTCGAACAGTTCTCCTCGCCAATCTCCCCCAATTCGCAGTCTCAATTCTGCTATTTCTCTTCGCACAAGTATACACCCGTATGCTATCTGCAAATACATTTTCATGCCTCACGAACCCTTCTCCGAGCTTGAAGTCCCGGAAAATCATGGGGTTTTCATGTGCATATCTCTATATCTCCGCACAAGCACTTTTGGCATCAATACTTCATTTTCTTGTGTCTCAAGCCCTATTCATACATCATGTTGAAGTAGTAGGGAGTCATGGGTCTAGAGAGTCTCTAGAGTATTTGGATTTGGGATACAATCCTCTGGGTATTTTAGTGTCGTTAGTGTTCGGTGGCGTAATGGTTGGGACTTTGATTGCGACTGGTTCGTGGAGGCTGAGTGGTGGGCAATTGGTTGGAAGTGGGAGTATGGAGATTGCCGCAGCTTGTAAGGATAGATGATGAAAAAATGTGAAGCCGTGTTTGGACATAATGATAGCGTTCTATGTACTATATTTGGATGGGGAAAAAGGGAGCATTGTCTCCAAGACGTGGCATGAGGAGTCTGTGTATGATGATATTCAAGTGTGTTTTTTCTTCTGTATATAAGTTCTAGCTGGATTCTCTTCGAACTATAATAACAATTGTACATTAACTCTTTTTGATCTTCGGTTGTGACTCGTGAGATGATCTTGTAACGATCCGGTACTATCGGGCAGCGGCTGTCTTAGGTTCGTCTGATTGATAATTGTAGATTAAAGCTTTATTATTATTATTATTATTATTATTATTATTATTATTATTATTATTATTATTACTTTTAAATAAAAAAATTCAATTATCAATTATCAAAAACAAACTGATATTCTATCTAAACTCTGATATATATTCAATATTTAAATTTATTATAAACTTTTCAAAACTTAAATTTTTATTAGACTTTCTCAAAAAGTCAAGGGTCCGGGGGGCGTAGGCCTCTGATTAAAAATTTTGATATTTTGAAAAGAAATTTATATTAAATTTTAAATTTAATTAATACAAATCTAAAATATTCTTTTATAATTTTCTTTTAAACATTTTAAAATGTTTAAAATATTAAACTCAAAAAAGAATTTCGAAAAAAAGTCTTTGGAAAAGTTCTAAAAGATCTTTTTGATCAATCAAAGCTTATTATTCAAGGTATGTTACACGGACTGAACATTTATTCGTATGTTTGCCACATCCATTTTGCTTTTTTCATTATTATCCATCATCGCATACATTTCATTTTTCTAAACTGGCACTTTTGTTGATTGCGCAAGGATTCAAGGAATCCAGGTTCACCCCGCATTCGTCTGATTTTCATTAGATTGAGCTCGGACGCAGCCCCATGCGGGGTAAACGGTGGGTGTATATATATCGTCAGGAATTGTAGTCAGGAATTGTAGCTCCAATAATAAGACAACACAACCCTCCTCATATCTATTCGCTTCTCAATGACCTCTAAAAAGGTTGTAATAGCTAGAGATCTGTGCTTCTTGACTTGGTAGAACGCCTCATTCCAATTTTCATACCATTTTAATTGCCGTGTTTGCACCTTCCTGCATGATGTTCTGGTATTGAATTTGCCCATGTTCCGGGTATGTACAAGGTCTTGCGTACTATACTACTCTTTATTAAAAGGAGACCTGGTCGATGCTCGTTAAAGGTTAATGCGAGATACTGTCTCATTGATCCAGTTTGTTATCGTTGCATAATCTTTCGTAGTCTGTATCTATTCCTCCAATCGAAATCTGTATATGGATATCTCGGCATTGTAATCTGCTAAGAGTTCTGACACTCTTGTTCTAGTCTAGCCGCTTCGAAGTCCCGTTCTTCCATATATTGCGGAATTCTAGGTCGGCGTGAGTTAATTGTACCAGCATCGGATGCTCTCGGATCGATAAGTTTCCAGATTGAGAGAGTCTTGCACCATCGCTCGAGATCTTCGAACCAATGGCCCATTTAAGACGATTGTCCAGGAAGACCCCTCTGCGATCTTCTCGATCTTGAAGGAGTTGTTTGAGAGCGTCCTGAGCAGACATATTGAGGTTTTGAAAGCGATAGAAGTGAGATGAGGATGTAATTGTATGAATAGAATATTTGATGTGAAACAGAAGTAATGGAGAAGTGCAATGTCTTGATCCTTATCAATTGATTTAAGTTGCGAGTGAGCTTGTAAAGGCTCTTTGAGAATACCGATTGCTCAAGTGCAAACCGGGCTCATAACAGTCATACAGAATACCAATTGACGCCTGTAATCAAATTACTGGGTCATATATAAAAACAAACTCTGGCCTAAGTATCACACTTTTCAAATTCATTTCTGTACAGAGGTTTAAAAGGCAAATATTATAAAATATTTTTTATTTGTATATTATTGTTTTTCTTATCTTATAATATTATTTTAAACAATTTAAGTAAATATTAAATTATTTCTCTTCATTTAAATTTCAAAATTTGAATATTTTAATAAAATTAAATACTTTTAAGATTTTAAACAAATTTTCAAATGAAAAATTATAATATTTTAATTATTTGAATTTTACTATATAAATTTCCAATAAATATATAATATAAACAATCAAAACCTTTGCTTATTAAACAAACCAATTTTTTTTAAATATATTTTACAATACTTGCCCCGCAACCTACAGTTAAATGTGGGCTACCCGCATCGCGGGTTACTCATTAGAACTAGTACTCAATCCATTAATTTGTGAATTACACTTACTTCTATCCTTATTCATCAAAAGATCATGCATTCTAGGCTTTCAATTTACGGAGATGCTTCCATAAGTTCACATGTAATACACGGCTAGATATCCATATGATGATTAGTATAAAAATTGAGATAATCTGGGAATAGCTTCAAAAATTACGCGAATATCTACTTATCCATCGGATAATTTGCAGATAATCTACAAAATATTCATTTATTTATCGGATATCGGATAATCGATCTTCAGATTGACGGGTAAGCTGCAGATAATCTGCGGGTTGCTTATGGGTTGCGTACTCAGGTCTTCATTAACACGCCCTGCCGGCGGGTTGCCCACGGTTAGCCCATTGGAGTAACCCGCACCGCAGTCAACCGTTGCGCAGCCTATATATAATTGCAGCTTGGCCGCTATTGAAAATGTACATTTCATTTACCAGCAAAGTAAAGTAATATTTACGATTCCATAAATAATCTCAGAGAAACGTCGACATTCTATCTATAACTGTAGATTACAATCAGGATGGATTCTTTTGACCGTCTCAGTCATCTCACTCAACCTACGGTTGAAGGTCTTCCAAGGCTGGAAGAGCAGCCCCCCACAATCAACACTCGCTATGCCATCAAGAGCGGAGGGTTTGATTGTCTTAGTGCATCAAACCAGGAAAAGCAGACCAAGATTTGGTTCAAGTCACCGGTTGGTTCTCAGCCCATACGTCTATTCTTACATCAATGTAACTGACTCTCCTAGCCACTCACCGCCCAAACAATCCGTATGATTCGCGGGATTAAACTATTCGCAGAGTTGCACGATCAAGGTTTTGTCAATGAGTCGAAGGAAGGCAATTGGACCTGGATTGAGCTAGTCATTCTTGACAACGGAGAGGCGACGTCTCCTAAGAAGGCTCGCGATGGTCAAGAGCTTGTCGTCATGAGCCACTCAAATAAAATCAGTCCCACTCCCAACCGAGGCCAAGCCCACAGACCCCATCCAGAAAGAAAACCAAGACGGTTCCTACTGCCAACATAACAGTTATTTATTTCCCACTTGGCACCGCGTGTACATGATGCTATTCGAGGTATGTAATATTCCCTTCACATCGAAGTTCTACAGACTAATACCGTACTTAGCGACGAGTCAGCGACCTCATGATGGAAGAAGCTGTGACCCATGAGAATGAAACAAAGGAATGGGTTTTAGCCGCAAAACGATGGCGTTTGCCCTACTGAGACTGGGCTGTAGACACGCCACTTCTTCCTGGTCTAGCTAGTAACCATAAGATTCGTATCATCAGGTCTTGGGACGGCGAGGCTCAACCCGTAATGGAAGAGTTTGATAACCCAATGTATCGATTTCAAATGCCTAATCATTACCCTATGGGCAGCATGAGACACGGCGACTACCGCATCGATAACAAAGAAGAAGATCCAGTACGTATCACTAGCTGAAGCGTTGTAGCTTCAACGGCCATGCTAATGACGCTCAGTGGCACGAATGTATTTGCACCAGTCGCCATGGCATCACAAGCGACGGCCCTAGAAATTAGGTTGATGGATACTCTAACACCGCGGAAGTGGAAGCGGCCCTGCGGGGCGGGCACAACGGACCATCCGACCTCACGCTCAAAGACGCCATCTTGCGCCTGCTTACACACGACTATACCACCAAATACGTGCATTTTGCTTCAACCAAGCATGACAACGAATCACCAGAGGAAGCATCTGGAGAAGAGGCAAAGGAATTCCTGAATCTAGAGAGTATTCAAAACAACGTCCATGTATGAATTTTTGTCTTATACAAGCTTCAGTCATGGAGATAGCGTTCTAATTTATAGATAGAACTTCATTGGCGGCACTAAAGATAGTTCCGGTCGAGGCCATATGCACTCAGTCGCAGTGGCTGCATTCGACCCCATTTTCTGGCTACATCATTGCAATATCGATAGACTTCTTCACTTGTGGCAATGCTCTAACCCCGGCAACTGGTTTCACCAGAAAAAGAAAGGGGGGAAACTGGCTGATGACGGCCCTCAGAAAGATCTTATTCCCTTCCGTTCTTCCAGTGAAGTCAATGAATTCTACAACTCTAATATGGTCCGACATATTGATGCGCTGAATTATACCTATGATTACATAGATAAGTTCACTGATGATTTTGGTGACATAATACCGGAGAAGAGTCACGAATATATCAACAACTTGTACGGACCCAAAGAAGATGCCTACGGAGAGCCCAAAGAGGCATTTGACCCCGTCATCAATGTCGTCTACAACCGGTATGTTCCAGAGAGACTCTCTCCCAACATTGCCTTTATTCCTCCTCTGACATTCCTTTTTTAACTTAGATATGCTTTTGACGGCCACTCATATACCTTACTCTTCTTCCTTGACGAGAAAGTTGTCGGCAGTATCTTCACATTCAGTACTCCCCTCGATCAGGGTGCTACTTGTAAGAACTGCTCTAAGCAGGAGCATAACAAGATCCTATCACGGGCGCAAGTCCCGCTCACGCGTGTTGTGCCTATCGAGAACCGCAGCAGTCGATCAGAGGCTGTGGAATATTTCAGGAAGAACCTGAGATGGATAGCAGTCCGTGGTAAGAAAGGTGATGTGATCAACAGGGAAGACCTGAAGCCACAAGTGAAAATCACACTGTCGATTGGAGTAAATAAGCTTCAAGAAGATGTGGGCAAAAAGTCACTTTTCAAATATTATAGTTATTTGGATCAGGAGTTCGATTGGGATGAGACTTATCTGTAGCGCTGATTTTATATCTGTATCTCCTTTTTCTTTTCCTCTTTGACTTTCTCCTATTTTTTGAACATCGGTAGCGCCGCTATTGCATTGCTACATGGCGTTGATCGATCAACTACTACGATCATTCACTTTACTATTAAAGCTACAAGCATTTTAATTGCGTGAGCTTTAAGAAGCCTAGCAGTTCCTTGTTTAGCAATAGAACAAACAATTTTCATTTCTACCTTAACAATCTTGCAATTACAAAAAGACTCGTATACTCGAATCACAAACAATCAACCAAAACTTACTACCTAACCGCAAATACGGGGTTATTCGACGCCAAATATTGGGCTGTGAGGGATTCTGGCCAGGAAAGATGAGAAATAGATCCCTAAATAGGGGTGTCAAATATCGCGTCCCGAATACCCCTTTATATTGAGACCTCTTCTCATACCCCTTCTCGATGTCTGCGAGGGCTTAAGCACACATGCTCTCTTGGCTTTGCAACAGTGTAAGGATCCAACATCACGCACAGTACTGATAATGATAATATGATTCAGAATTATAGGTAGCAGTATGATATCGATTTGAAATCATAACTTGGCGATAACATTAATTATTGTCTGTCGGAGTTAGGTGATCTAATCTTATATATATGCCCGTAGTATTCCCTATAGAAAGAGGCAAGAATTAGTCTATAGAGATACTAAATATTCCCTTCTGTCTATCCACCTTCATTATTGTAGTATTCTATCGGGTTCCGGGTCAGATTCTCACAGAATATCTTTTTTTGCTTTTGTATATCCACGTCAATCTTTTTGTAACTGTATGACCTGACTTAGTTATTGCAGAAGCAGCATTTAGGAGCTAAGTCCTTTGCAAAACTGCCTGATCGATCTTCTTTCCCTTTCATCTTCCTCTTCCACATCCTCTGCCACGGCTCCGGCATCTATTATAATTTCTATCCCTTCTATTTGACTATACCGAGTTTCCTTCCTAGCCTGACAAAAGATAGCGTTGCGAGACTGGAAAAGTAGTCTATAAAATTGTCTTGTCCATGACGGTGGTATTAGTGATTTGGGTGAGGAGTTTCTGAGAGAATTGATGAAATAGAAAATACATTTAATAAAATTATTATAGTCTTTATTAATTAATCGTATCTGATTAGTTACTATTGATACATTCATTTCTTATATGTATATATGTATATGTAAAATGACATTCAAAAAGTTGTATTCAAAAACCATACTTGAAAACTTATTGGTGATACAACAAACATCTCATTTTCGCTATTAATTTTCTTTCCCCTCTGCCCGCCCTTTACCCCTAAACTAATCAACCAACAAGCTAAACCAGCCCCCCAAATCCATCCACCACCCCCTCCACCCCTTCCATTCCATTCCACCACCCCTCATCCCTCCTTTCCTTCCATTCCCCCCACTCTCCACCACCCCACCCCCCCACCCCCCACCCCCACCACCGGCCCCAAACACACACTCCCCAACTCCCGCAAACCCTCCTCCCCCTTACCCACGCACTCCTCCCCATCCCTTCCCTCGTCTCCCTCCTTATACCCTCCAAACCCCATTGCTAACACTCCAATCCGTATGATACGCGACTAATTTCTTCGCGAGTTCGTCCGCGAAGATTATTTCCTGGGGATTATTAATGTATTTTGCTAGTTCGAGGATGGCAAGCTGTTTGCCGTAGAGATGAAAGCGGGGGAGAGAGGATTTTCGAGATGGAGATGTGCGATGGGGGAGCGAAGCCAGTAGTTGTAGTTGCGGATTGAGCGGGCTTTTGGGGAGGGGAGAGGTTAGTTGGAGTGGATTGGGATTGGGGTTGATTATAGGGGATGGGAATGGGAAGGTTATAGGAGGGGAGGATGGAGGAAGTGTTTAAAGGATTGTAGATGGATGATGGGATGGTACGCACTGTATTTCTCGAGATCTTCTTGGATTTGATCCCAACGGTCGGCGTTGCGTACTTGATGATGTTATTATCAGCTGATGTTTCAAATAGTGCTACCTTGATATATTGAACACATACATTCGTTATACATCTCATTCCTACTCAACAATATCCAATTATGCTTATGCAATTTCGCAGTCGAGTGTAGTATATCCTCCAAATACATTGTTCGAAGCATTGCCCTATGTTCACCCATCGGATAACTATTTAAACACCAAATTAGCACATCAAAACCTCACCCCTGAATTCCTCCCAGAAACTCAACACAAAAGAACTCACACATCCGGCAAATCCTCCGCCCTCGGATCATACTTCTCCAAAAATTCCTCCAAATCCCTCGGCAAAACCTCCTCCACCATCCTCTCCTCAAGCGGTCCTACAAACCCCCTCCTAACCCCTCACTCGCCCCTCCTCTGCATAACCGGTCTCTTCACCTCTCCAGCAAACTCCCCCTCCTCCTCCCCCTTCCGCATACTAAGCGCCGTCCTCAACGCCTCCCTAAAAACCCTCGTCTGATAAACCACCTGATCCTCCTCTAGCTCGCCCAGCAACCTATCCTGCGAACACGCAGTACTTCCATTATTTCTCCTAAAATGCTGTTCTGCCGCTTTATGTTTGAGATTTTTCTTAACGCGTGAATGCGGGGAGAGAGGAACAGGAGTTGAGGAACTAAGTATGGGGATGGGAATAGGTCGATCATTAGGATCACTAATACTAAAACGTCTTTTTTCTCTCTGAGTTTGAGGGGTGCCACTCCCAGGGAGAACTCCAAGATATTCGTGTAATCTATCTAAGTGTTCTTTATCCAACTGCGACCTATCTGTCGCGGGAACATTACGGAATATTCTTCCACTTCCAGCTGTATTTCCTGCGGTCCCGGCGTTGGAGAGCGCACTCCATGATCGGTCGCTGAAGGTGACGCTCTTGGGACTGGGGCTTGGTGGTGGCCTGAAGATGGTATCGTGTCTGTAGGCGGCGGGGGGAGCGTTGAAGGGATCTTGTTGCGGTTGGGTTGGGAAGATGGGAGAAGGGTGGGGAGGGATGTGTGTGCGGCCGCGGTGATCGCCTGTGAAACCTTTTTTGTAGGTGCGGTTTTGGCCTCCTTCGAGATCGGGGGAGCGGGAGAAGAGGGACCGCATGGTTGTGGGGGGTGCTGTGATGGAGGAGTAATGATATTTGATAAGTGTTGAATTTCGATCTAGGGAATGGAATTGGAAAATGTGAGATTGGGTGAAGAAAGTTTGCATGGATTTCGAGTAGGTTTCTAGGAATAATATGGTCGCAGTTTCTCGAATTGATGAATCCGGCTGATTGTAAAACATCTATTAGTTCTTTCTATTTCTATATCTATATCTAATGAATCTTGTCTAAAGTCTAAAACCTTCATCCGTCTAATCGCCCATCGATATCTATCATTGCAAAACCAGAAGCCATTTACAAGTTCTTATAGTACAAACCCATCAGACAATTATATATCTGATACTGTAGACCCACAAACATCCATTTATAGCTTCGAGTTGAACTTGTTGTTCTCCTCTTTCAATGGCTCTGCCTCACTCACATCCACCTTATCATCCGAACTCTTCGCTGGACTACCAGGAGTGTCCTTCTTCTTTGGTGCCGAATGATATCCACCCTTTTCATTGTCTAGGTTCGTGATATTGCCTTCTCCATCCCGTTGAATGCCCAATTCAATTAACTTTGCAAAGACTTTACTAAAATCCTCAAAGAACTTCTCCTTGTCATCTGCATATTTCCCTACCCATTTCTTGAACTCCTTATCTTGTGTGAGAGCCAAATCGGTTGGTAGCATCATCAATTCTGTCTCGGTATCATCGTCATAGTTGACGAATTGTTCAATTCCATTTGGCAACTTCTTCTTGCGCCATTGAAGTGAAAGCAAGAGTCTGTAATATTGATTTGAAAACCTCGTAGGATTGTTAACCCAAGCTCCCTCAAATCCGGATCGATCGCTATGACATCGTCCAAGACTATGTGCTCCACTCAACGCAACTATTTCTTGATCATTAAAGCCCATGCGGTAGAAGATCCATCGAAGATGATCAGAGCCTTGTGCCGCATCTGGTAGACGTCCTCGTGGAGGTAATTTCGAATCATCAACATAATCCGTTCGTCCCCCTTTCCATGGGATATCTGGACCACCCATTTCTTTGATTGCCACAACTCCGGCCAGTGTCCAAAGATCCGCATATGTTATCCAGGGGTGCTTGGCTTTGACTGGTTCGAGAAATACTCTTGCATGTTGTAGACCAGCATTTGCTGGATCACCTCCTTCACTTTCGTATCGCATACCAGCTCCATTGGATCCACCGGTATCTGTCTCAGCATCGTATGTTCCAGCAGAGTGCCTAGAAGATGTTAATTTGTGAATCGAAGGGAGTAGATGCGCCCAAGTGGATTGCAGCAGCTGCGCACAGCCTGGAAGAGGCGTAGATTGGGAAGCTCACATACCATGCTAAGCGCACAAGAACAGGTCCAGCACTGCCATCATCGTATTCCGGTTGGTGCAAAAGACCAACAATATCCTTACTGACGGCAGCAAAATCCCCTTTCTTACTCATTTTGTCTCTTGTATTATTGAACAAGCCCAAAATAAATGTATATTAAAGAGGAATATATGTGACCAAATAGGAATCTAGAGACAATCGCCACTTATAATGAAATGAAGCCAAAAAAACTAAGGGGAATCACGGGGAAAAGTGAGGGAACGGAGATGACACAAAAGAGACGCCATACCGAGGCTCGCGGCAATACCTATTCCCTTTACCGCGCGATTGTCTTGTGGAAAATCGGGGCAGAATGATACTAACATTGTGGGTCTTTTTCCATGATTCATGGAGTTTTGACGATAAGGAATTTAAAGGAAGTTGATGTTAAATCTCATTTCTGTGATGCGCCAACATTTTTTTTTGGCCGAGGTCGGAGTTTGAAATTCTATGGGCGAGCTTATGGCTTTGCAGGTGTGAGGTTAGTATATTTCTGAGCACCTTTGCCCATGGCTACCTTACTGCATAGTGCCCCAGGCGTGTGATTAGTTGGCGAGGATTTTGAAGGCTGACTGGGACAAAGATAAGATATCCCGGATTGATTGTTCAAATCAAGGTAAGAACTCACACTAAGCTCCTTTTGAAATAGAACAATTGTGAAGCCATAACTATTATAAGAATAGTTCAATATCGGAGAGAGACTTGAAAGTTGAATTCCCAATCACATACTGAAATGATACCTAGAAATTTCAAATTCATGAGCTTTCATGAATTAATTGATATCGGACTTTTGAATATTCCGATGCAAAGTTGAGAATGATCCGGAATTTTGGAAATTCCGAATTCTACCTCGTTGCCGACTTTCCTGGAAAGCTAGAAAGGGGTTGAGTGAGTGTAAATTCTTACCAGTGAGTTTATACGGTAGGTATGCCATACCTCCCTCACACCCTCGATAACAAGTCGGCAGCTGCGGAAGATTGAAGAGCAGCTCATCTAACCTAACGATGCGATTAGATCATCTGATCGGTGGGTGTTCATCGCAATCAAAATGTCTCAACGCATTTCAAAAGTTGAGCTGTGACAAGCCCAGTCAGTGAGTTGTCTTTCAAAAGTCCCTTTCCAAATGTCGGACCTCCGGCATGTTATTATTAGTCAAATTGTTTGCCCCGGTTAGATTGTTTGCGCGCCATTGTACGGAGTATTTCGAATACATTTGAGCCTCAAGCTTCTAGCTCTCCACACGGAAAGTCGAGAAAGCATCAAGGTCAAAGCATTATCCACGGGCCATCTCACATGATAGAAACTCCGGGGGGATATTTGAAACACAACTGCAGGAGTAAACTTTACGGAGCATATCGTGAATCGTGAAAATAAGCATGAAGTGGCTTTTTGTTGGTTGAAGCGGGTAAGGCCGCTGATGTGCAGTGATCCATGTTGATTCACGGAAGCTGGGCAACCAATTGGAGATAAGGTTTTCAAACGTGGGACATTCTACCGTGATTGTATCTCTCCCCGTAGCGTTTCAAGCTGGTGATGATAAGCCGTCGGTAAACGCAGACTTGGATATCAGAGAATCCGACTTCTTCAATAATAATAACCCTTCAAAGAAGATGAGTAACTCAGTTGGGCGTTTCCTTCTCCTTGGCGCCGCGTGGGTGGATGGATGGCTTGAACCAACGGAATAAATAAATGTTCGAGTAGTGGAGTCTATGGAGCTCATATAATGATTTTTATAGAGTGGGGCAAGTCGGTTCGGCTGGGTAGGCGGGAGATTACTACTCGAGTATCCAGGTACAGAATAAAGAGGAGGGGTTATCCGAAGCATCATTTTGTCATAAAGTTGTGATAGACCAACAATTGGATTATAAGGTTCGTAGAGTTGAACCCGAGGACAAGTACAATCTGTGAAAGATGCCATACAAGGTTGCGTTTGATAGTTAAGGACCTGCTTCGGAATCAGTCAAAGTTTTGTTGATGGCACTAGGGTAACCTTTGCATCACGCACTTCCTGTAAACAGCATCGCTACCGGATTTGATGAAGGGGCCCAGATAGTGAGGGGTTATGTATAGTGACGCCAAAATCCGCTTTTTGACTCCATAAACTTACAGCAAGCAAAGCAAGAAGTCAAATTCTGTGCGATCACAAACTTGGATTGATTAGAAATTATTTTACACGGAGCCCGAATTTGCTCAAAAGATAGTCATTTGATACCAGGAGAATGGTAAGAATTTAGTCTTCCTCTTGTTGATTCGGACTTTTGAATTGCCCCTATAGAAAGCATGCCAATTCCCACTCCTCCAACCTGAAACTTATAAACACATTTTAGGATGAATGCGTGAAAGAGCAAAAGACGAGCTAATTACCAAAGTAGACGTCTCTGGAACAAGAGAAGGTAACCCATTACAGTATCGGCACATCCGAGACCTTCAGAACAATGTATAGAAGAAAGAAGAAGGAATAATAGATCAAGGAAGGAACAACTGTTAGTGTTTCTGCGGCCAAGGTAAATGGAAAAAACGTTTAGTCATTGTCATGAAGGAGTTTGATGAGGATTTCTTAATAAGGAAAACATTGAAATTAGATGAAATTATCTAGTGGTCTCTTATCAACAAAGGTGCACTATATGAAATGTCGCTTGATATCACAAGGTTATTATGGGGTTGATGTTATATTTGCCTACCTACCTGGGTCCTATTCCGGTCACGTTGATCTAAAATTGGCCTATTGAATTTTGGGTTTTCAGGATTACTGGTAAGCTTGAAGCTTTGAAGCTGGGAAAGATGTATTGAAGAAAACAAATTTCAACTGAACCAATCATCTCGTAGTATTCTTTTTACTCGAGTACACTTCCTTAGAACCAGGGCTGAAAAGTAAGAGGAACAAGACCAATCTTTAAAGCACCCAGAATTAATCTGGGTAGTAGCTAAAGCCGCATTCGGTCTATGGAGAAAAGGGTTATCTTTGATACCTGGTACACCTGGTACACCTGGTACATACACCCTTGGTAATTATTGATCGGCCAAAGCGTAAAATGACTACCCAGCGCCCAGGGCCTTACAGCTCTTCATGGAAATCTTGATTCATAGGGACTTATTGCCTGGCAGTCATTTGAACGGTACGGAGTAACACGAGGAGAGGGAGGTGGTCAGTAGGTCACTCGTTGAAATTAGTGAGTGGAATGGGCAAAAAGGCCAATTCCAGAACCCAAGGCAGAACATATCAATGTCCGCCGCAACCAATTTCATTTTCACCCAGCCTGTGCAATACGAAAATAAAATGCCATACATCCGGAATCGTTCTTATTTTCCACAATACTCTTGATATAAATATCAACACAATCAGACAGTCAAATAAATCTCAAAGATAAATAAATAAACCGATCCAATCAAATCAATACACTGATTGATATATTCTCCATCCGGATCGGCTTGCTTGATATCACAAGCTTACTCGTGCTGGGTAGGTGATTGCATTCACTCATTCATCCATCCTATCCCAATCTTATCCAAATTATCCCATACAATTACCGACACCCAAACCCCCACTTCATATTCCTCAATACAACCCATCCATCCATATGCAGTCAATCAATTCATCCCATCCATACGCCCTGTCCTCTTTTATCAAAGGTGCCTTTTGATTGACTGTCCGTTAAGATTGGGTTGCACTACGGAGTACACAGTGCATCGAATGACGGCTCATCAAAATAATCCCTGAAATCAATCATCACAACGTTACTCGTCCTTTACTTTAAATACCAAAAAATACCTCAACCTTTTTTTCCCTCTCCCTTCAGTTGATAACCCGCTTTCCTCCCCAACCCAACATGCCTAATTCGGAACAAAGGATGGTCGAGGGTCAGCTACAAAATGGAAGTCTCGAAGCTGTGTCAGGCTTTACATCTACCCTAGGTGGGTATGATACACCCACCTCTATGAACGATGCGAACGCGATGCAAAACTCAAACATCTCGTTATCACTTCAATCGAGTCAAACACCAGCATTCACTGCCATATTCCAGTCCAATACCATAGCACCTTCGCCTCCTCATAGCAGATCCACTTCGACAAACGAGGCATACACCCCACTAGCGCTCGACACCACTTCCCGTCTTCACCCAAATATAGATCCTTGTGGTAGTCGGACCCCGAGTCCTCTAAGCGCGGGTCTGCGAATACAAACCGATATCGTTCCAGGTTGTACAGTAGCATCTACCAACACAGAAACCGGAATTTCTGAACGCGAATCTCCCGATAACACAAGAATACATTCAAGATCGAGCGGGCAGATGGGCATGTCTCTCGCACGAACCCCCAGTGTTAAGAATGTTCTTGCCAGCAATATAGGTAGCAACAATTCGGCACCAAACTCTGCATTGTCGTCGCCAATGTTGAACGCAATGGCAGATGTTACTCCTCTTCCTTCACCACTCATGTCGGGTGATTCACCTGGACCATGGAAACGATTAAACTCCAGACGAACTTCGCGCGAACACATGCTACCGATGCACTCTGACGCTGCGCTTATCACATCGAATGGCGAATCGGTTTCCTCTGCCATGGCAAATCAACAAAAGAGAAGGGCATATCATGGGTTAATAAGTAGTGCAGGTGAATCTGCCCTGATGGATGCGCAAATAAATCGAAAAAAGAACGCAGAAGGGCATACTAGAAATAGAAGTATGAGCGAATATGTACCAGAAGCAATCCAGGTACCGAAACCTCGAAACATTACCGTCTCAAGTTCGCATGCTCCAATAATAGATGGAGTAGCCGAAATGGCTCCACCGTCAGACATACACATGCGCAGGGAACCACATTTAGCAGTTCAACGAGGATTGGCTCCTATCCCAAGACCACCAACCCCACCATCGAGTCGAACAGGAGGGGAAAGTAGTGATAGTGATTCTTCATTGACCACCAATAATATCCCTAGAGCTCTTCGAAAATCAAGAGGTGAATACTTTGATGCATACACCAGAAATGATTCTAAACGACGAAGATGGAGAGGTATAAAAGTTTTAGGTCAAGGCACTTTCAGCAAAGTGATTCTAGCCACCAGTCAAGTCCAAGGTGATGAGGGTCGCATAGATGAAGATAATGTGTTCGCTATTGAAGGACTGGTTGCACCTAGTGAGACAAAAATTGATCGAAAAAAACTGGTAGCAATCAAGATTTGTGAACATGGTCCAAAAGGAGGGGCATCGGAAGAAAGAGTAGAGATGTCATTAAAACGTGAATTGGAAATCATGAAATCGATACATCATCCTTCATTGGTTCACCTTAAAGCTTGGAGCATAGAGGAGACAAGAGCTATTTTAGTTTTGAGTTATTGTCCCGGTGGAGATCTATTTGAGGTGGCCAGTCAACATCGAGATATTCTCGTCCCATCGTTACTCAGACGTATGTTTGCAGAGCTTGTTGGAGCTGTCCAATATTTACACGATAGACATATTGTTCATCGGGATATCAAATTAGAAAGTAAGTGTTTCAGTTTTCCCTTTCCTACGGCCTCTGTCTTTACATGATATTCAGAATCACAAACTACACAAACTAATCGAGCTTTCTATTCAGATGTCTTGGTTAATCTTCCTCAACACGAACTTGCAAAACCTCAAGACTGGACCAAATATCCTTACTCTATCATTACCCTCACAGACCTTGGTCTGTCTCGCCGAGTAGCTGATGATGAAAAACTTACCACCCGCTGCGGATCCGATGATTATGCTGCCCCAGAAGTCATCATGGGTCAACCATACGATGGACGTGCTACCGATGCTTGGTCACTTGGTGTTTTACTTTATGCATTACTGGAAAGTAGATTGCCATTCGATCCCAACCCTGGAATGCCTGAAGGACATAAACAACGAAGCCGAACGAGTCATAGAATTGCACGAGTAGAATGGAGATGGATTGAATATTTCGGTGAAGAGGGAGATCATGAGGGTGATCCAGAGAAATTCCAGGCAAAGGGATTAGAGGGAGCAATGGAAGTTACTGAAGGCTTATTGAAAAGAGCCAGGAGTAGATGGCCACTGGAAAAGGTTCAGGCTAATGAATGGGTCAAAGGAGGTGTGGATGTGGAGGGTGGTGTTAGATGGAGAGAAGAGGTGATTCCTGAAGAAGTCAGAAGTGGAGGGGATTATTAGGAGTGAATTGGGTAAAACGTCAGCATGCGTCCGTTTTCTTCCTGCAGTCTCTCGATATCGACTTCGACTTTCTCTCCAGTTCTACCGATTGATTCATTCATTCATTACATAATAATCTCTATTCATGTTTGATTACCCGAACAGTATAGAAAGAGATTCGAGTTTTTTCTTCTTTTTCTCTTCGCGTGAGCTTTGCTTACCTTTTTTTTTTACTGCGATGGTTTATGGGGAGCTTGCATGCATGGTTATAGCATGGTGTTTAAGGATTTTGATTGCGGGGTATAGGGCTGGATGGACGTGGGGACGAGGGTACGAATGTATATGTTATTATTCTTCAATTCGACACTTTGTTTTGTCTATATAAATAGGGATTCGGGCGGAGATGGAATGGGATGGGAAGGGGTGAATGGGCTTGTGTATAATATGAGGAAATGGGGATTTGGGGTGGATCGATTGGATGGACGTGGATGTTGTTTGAGGGTGAAGTGGGTGAGGGCTGCATGAACGGATGGGGATATTATACCCTGTGGGAATATGGAATGATTACTGTGAGAGTGGGGTAGAGAAGAAATTAATGGAAGAATGGAAGAATGGGGTTAGATGGCTTTTTTCGGTAAAGTACTCGAGTAAGAAATGGTTATTTTTTTAACCGAGAAAAAATAGGGGGGTTCGATGGGGGTTGAAATGATCAAATAAGGGTATGTGATGTGTGAGAGGTTGGTGGTGTGATAGAACGTGGTTGAGATTCCAAGATGAGATGTAGTAAGATGGGATGAGATGTTAGTGAGAGAGAAATTAGATGAGGAATAAAGATGAGTTGTGATAAGATGAGCTTGAAATATTTTGATATTGAATTGTGATATATGGATTATGTAAATGAATTGACGATATGTTTTGTTAATATACTATTTTACTATTATCTTGTATAAATAAAAGATTGTAAAGATTAAAAAAATTGTAGTAATATAAGAAGTATATTAATAGTATATACAAATTTGTGACAAAAGAATCACAATTACATCGGCTTCACCAGCGATTCATATCTATTACCGTCGCCGAAACACTATACATGACGAATATCCCGATTCCTAGGCGTACTTCATGCTCGACCTTTTACATGAAGATCCAGATTACTGTACTCGGTGTGAATGATGTCTATCTTTTGAAGGTAAAGGCATACAAACTTTACGTAGTTTAATTTGTGAGATTGGAATCAATAGTAATCTTATTTAAAATTTTCGTTTCAAGGCACTGTGGGTATAGTCATGCTTCTGTTGTGCTACCTATTGCTAGACGTCCTGCGCCCCAATATTTATTAAAGCCTGTTTTGCTTGACTTTATCTCAAGATAGCAATATAACACAAGATAGAACAGCTTAGCTTGACTGTGCACATGATAGCGACGTGGCGTTGCACTGATCATGATGAACCGGTTGCGCCTCATTTAGCATCTCATATGAATATTATCCATCTTACACCGTGCATCGGCATTTTTGGATCTGCATGCCCGGAATACATGCAACTGCCAATGGGACCACTCTTATATAGTTTCCCTGATATTTCAGATCTTTTGCGGAGCCTTGTCCAGGGTTGATATTAGGCTGCACAAAAATAACCTGCGGATTGTAGATATCCGCAAATAATCCGCCCCGCGAGCTACTCAATAAATCTACAATCTGTTTTACGGATTATCTATAAATAATCTGCTGATTCATAATTAGATATAATTTATAAAAATTGATATAAAAACTAATATACAAAATATAAAAATAATTTCAAAAATTTAAACAAATATCATTTATAAATAATCTACAAATAACCTACAAATAATCTACCTACTTACAGATTGATAAATTATCTACAAATTTATAGATATCTACAAATAATCTACAAATAATCTACGGATTATTTATTCAGATTCTTCAATTATCTGTTCTACAAATAGATTATTCACAGATTACCCACTATAAACAATAATCCGCCCTACGGAGCCCTGTTGCGCAGCTTAGTTGACATAGATCAATACTCTGGATTGAAATGTTCCCCGCTAGTTGGCAGTTTACCTACCTGTTGTGGAAGCATCCGGAGCAGGTAGAGTCAGTCCCGCCGGATACTAAGATCTGTTCCGGGGCATTGGCATCTTTTTAACATTTGCCAATCAACGTCGTTCTGGAAGGAACTAGCGTATCGTTTGATGCACTACTACATATATTAGATGAAATGAGGCTATTCGTAAATCAAATCAAATAGTTCATGATCATTGATCACTTGGAAATATTTTCATTATAAGAACCACGGAACTCGCATCTCGTTCGAGATTAGATTTCTTTTAATTCCTAGACATAAATTTTCACTTGATTTACTCTTGTTTAATGTACTATTGTGCTGTTACCTCCCCTTGAGAGAAACACGTATAGATTCTCCATGTTTGATCTTCAGCCTTACCCGCACGTGTGTTACATCGTGGTAATAAGAAACTCTCACGTGTAATCATTATCACGTGATTGGCCCAGTGAGAACAATGCGGCTCAGTACTGAGCTCACTGATCCTCACTGAGCAGCCAGAACACGAAGATCTATATAATGGGGTTGGATTTCCTTACTGTAGAGCTTCGTGCTCAAGATCAATCATTTAGTATACTCTACTATTAGTTACGAATTGCATATCATTACCATCGTTACTTAAGTCCCTGCTTGACGCCTAGTTATAAACCACCTCGAGAGCCTAGAGCACTTCCACGTGATCTACACAGCAAACCTCATAACAACGTGCTACTTCCCTCTTTCCTCCCGGCCACTTCTGCTACATTTATTACTCCGTACTTCCGGATATCACATCATTCCACCAATTTCGCCCCAATAGCCCGCTGAATCAGTCATAAACCACACCTTCTATTCCTCTTTGTTATCCTCCTGGGATCTTCCCTACGCTTCCAGCCCCTCTATGATCAGTAGCCAAAATGCGTACGTTCACATCCAGTTATCTAGACCCTACCCCCAAACTAATTAGCTAATTCCAAATCCTAACAACACAGTCTCCACTAACGACCTTCTTGCCCTTGTCTTCGGCATCATATCCGCTGTACTAGCTGCTATTGCTATTATTGTGGCTCGCAAGACACGCGTGTTGAATCATGGTATGTAGTCAGTCCCAGATATTTTCTTCTATAATTAAATCAAGACTCATGAGCTAACTCATGATCAATGACTCAAGTAGTTGAAGATATTGAGGCAAATTCATCGGGAGCAGCTGCGTTTGAAGCTGAGTAGAAATAGGGTGTTATTTATAAGGTAATTTAGGATCTGTGGCTGGTTGTAGGATTTTTGCATGGTGGATCTGGATGTGGATGTGGAGGAAGGATGAGATGAAGTGATTGATGACTCTGATATATATTTCTCGCTTCGGTAAGTGGTCAAGGGGAGAGGATTTGCGTAAGGAGAGTGGTAGATGAAGAAGAATTGTGATGTATTATTGGATTGTAATACTTTAGGGTTTAAATGGGAATCTAAATTAATCTAAAGAACCTGTTGGTACTCGAAAAATTTAAAAAATATTCAAAGATGAAATAGAAGGAAAAGATAACAGGAATGAAAAACATTTCTAACGAGAAATCATATATTTAATATTTTCTTTTGTTATTTTTAATAAAGAAAAATAATTCAAATTAAAAGCAGCTCAAAAAGAAAGTATTAAACTTATATCAATAATCAATCTCTTTTCAAAATTTCAAAAACTTATATTTATAAACAGTTATAAATAACTTTATTATATACTTTATATTCAAAGGCGTTTGAATCATAATAAAAGAACATTAACTTATATTGGAAAACTAATTTACAATTTGAATAATATTAATAAAAGTATATTCAATTGATATATTTTATAATAAAATTAATGTAATATAATTATCAAAATTATATATTTTAATTGGATAATATAGTTTATAGATTTATAATTCAAGAAAGTATAATTAATTCTTCAAAAGAAATTAATATAATGATAATTATATTATAATTAATGAGTAACCGAAAATTCGAGTTCAGTCCGTTTATGCCTGAGTAATCATATTCAATTTATATACTCAAACCACCCGTCGACTATACTCTCTGGAATATCTCTGTATTTTTCTCAAATGGCCACCTTCACCTTATAATCATCCCCAAGGCTCGAGACAAAAGAAATCCGAGCTCGTTCACTCCAACCTATCTCCGAAAAGTGTTCCATTATTCATCAGAAAACAATGCCTCCCCTCGAATCTCGAGCGTGCTGCTGCACAAAGTGCAATATTTGTCCTGTCCATTCTGCACGCGCTTCTCCGTGAACTTGAAATTCGCGAGGGGGATGAGTGTAGCGAACCATCTTATGACCTTCCCGACCATTTTTGCGGCATGAAAACATATTCTAAATCCAACTGCCGCAGCCCGCAATTTTGCTGCCTCAAGGTCGTCACGATCTCCCCCGACCCTACACGTCGTCCCAAGATAGCTTTTCTTTCATTTAGACGCCCGATCGTGTAAAATAAAGACGACCAATACAAAAATTCGTAAAAGGTAATAAGGGGTATTGCTACAGCAGCAAGTGGATATGCAAATTCGTAGGGGATATAATTGAATTGGCCGCCGGGGTACTCTCGGATATTACATGGCCATCGTTGTGCAAAGTGTATGAGGGAATGCATCAATTCGGGGTGAAATCTGGCCATCAAAAGAAAACCAAAGGAACAAAAGTTGCACACAGCATGATATCGAGTTTGCTTATGTTCGAAAGAGCTTCGGATTTCGTTATGTGATGGGCATCTCGTATGAAGCAATGATAGGGAGGGAAGAGTAAAGATGGGAAACTTTATAATATTCTTGGTAACTTGTAGTTGATGAGGTGGCGGAAACATGAATCATAACTCCGGGTATTTTGACTAAAGTCTTAACTTACTTTGTCCTCTGTCTTCGCGAAATACAACTAAACCTCGATCTATCATTTGACTTGTAAGTCCCCTACCCTACATTCCGGCCTCCCTCTCATTCCGACCACCCTTTTACACCAAAAACCCTGATTTTCATCTATTAATAACTTTATAATAAATGAATGAAATTGATTGAAATTTTAATATTGAATAATTTGAATAGATATAAATAGTTTCTGAAAATTTTAGATTTTTCACAATTTTATTGATTGAAATATTAAAAATTGAAAATTGAAAATTTATTTATATATAAATTATATACAAATTTAAAATCATAAAATATATAAATAACTTTTCAACAAATATTTCCAAAAAAATTGTAATTTATTTTTAATAATTTTTATTCAAAAGTTATTTAAAATTTATATATAAATTCTACATAAATTGAAATTCATAATTTCAACCTTTAATATCCCAATCAATAAAATGGTGAAAAATCTAAAATTTTTAAAATTTATTATTATATAAGTAATAATTATATAATTCAAATTTTATCAAATTATATTTATAAATAAAAAAGTTATAAATATCAATTTTTGTTATTTTTGATGAGAAAAGTGATCGGAATGAGGGGGTGGTCGGAATTTAGGATGGGGGACTTACTTTGAACTATTCTTTTAATTAAAAATTATAATTTTTATTAATTAATAAGTTTTCAATAAATACAAATATCTATTACGATTTTAATTATAAATAAATTTTATATATATATAGATCTAAGGTCTCTAAACGCATCGTTTCTCTACCGATATTCGACAGCTAACGTGCCAGAAAGTTTTCCGTTCTTGTCGACAGTATTAGTGGCCTCAAGGTGGTCTACAGAGATGAAGACGGAAAAGACTACGGAATCAATCAGGTATACCCAACT